CAGCGCCACAGGCTCCTCTGAAAATGTGATTATCTGTGTCCTTGTTGGTCTGTTCTTACCTATTCATAATCATTACTGCTTTGGAAATTGATGCCACCAGGCAGCTAACTTTGTGCCAGTACTTTTACTTTTAGGGCTTGTTGATTCAGTTTTTTTTCTTCCAATCTAATAAAACATGATGTTCAAATGTTAATCACACCAATAATTATAAGCCTTGGAACTAAAAATCTTCTCTGATGGCTAAAAAGTATGTCCTTATTGAAATAAGTAACACGAACAGGGATGCTCACCTGAGGACAAATAATTATTTAAACGAAAAAGACTTTGGGATGAAACCCAAGAAGAGTGATGGAGCAGAAATCAGGGTTACGTGCACTCTTGTCTGAGGATTGGTGAGGAGTCTGAGCGTGGCATTTTGAATTAACCACCTTTCTGGCAGGCTGTATTTTCTCAAACATGACTGGAGTTACAATGGTTCAAACCAGCTGTGATGAATGCAAAGAAGCTGAAAGTATGACAGAGAGAAAAACTGTGACCAAGTACAAACAACCTGAAAACCAGAACAGCCTTTTCCTCAAGTGTGGGTATTTGTTCCGGTGATACGGTGCTGTTTATCTCCGCTCCAAGTACCTGACAGTGTTTCCTGAAAAGCTCATATTTCAAAAGTGCAAAAAGTTTCACGTTTCATTCTCTTGACCCTTTTTAAAAAAGTGGGAATATTTTTGACAAAGCAAGAGGAGCGGCAGCCTTGCCTTTAATTGAACAAAAAGAGGAAATTACGGCAAAGGAAACTGTACTTTTCTGCTGCATGAGAAGCAGGTGAGCAGGAAAGCAGAAAGGAGTGGTTAGAAGTGGATCCACAATACACTGACTGGGGACTCTGGCTCGAGCTGGGTTTTTCCCTGAGCACCTTATAAAAAATCCTTATCTATGTGCTTCATTTCTATTTTTTTTCCTGCGATTGTTCATCTCCTGGTACCTCAGGGATGTAACATAACATGTCAGGAGGAGGTGTGCAGGGAAAAAGCGTGAAAGCTTTACACAGGAAGGCCCCAGCTGGGATTTGAAGCAGGAGTCTCCTTGCTGTAAAAGGACAGTTTTAATACCTGCATCACCGCCTCTAAAATCCAGGGTGTAATCTTGCAGATACTATCCATCCTTTCCTGAAAACACAAAAGTATTACGTTGTATAGTTCTGTATTTTTGTGCATCAGAATCAGAAACACTTTATCAGAGCTGCCAAGCGTCACGCTTTGAGTGTGACAGTCACGCAATTTAACCCATTCTCACACCACATGCCACACTTGACATTTCTCACGCTTATCTTTCCCCATTCAATACTCTGTATTTATTATTTTCATAATAATAAACTTGGCTTGCCGTAGTTCGAGTAACTCTGATTGAGTGACCGAGATAACCAGTCCCAGACCAATTCATCAGTTCTTTGTGCCGAAATCTACCTAACCATGGAAGGCATCACGCAATATAAACCAATCAGAAGCAATGTAAGGCGGGTGTTGGCGTATTTTACTATCTTTCACACACAACAGCGCCGACATTTAAAACCAACCTAACGCAATGCAGAATTGACAATTAAATATATTTTGTCAAAATTCTTGTTACAATTTTCATTTCTAATTTCTGGTTAATTAAGGCTAGCATTAGGGAGAGCAGCTGGCATGGAGGTGAGGACATCAGCCTTAAGGTATAAATCGATGTTATAAAAGGCCCTTTTTTTTTTTTTTTTGCCGTCGGCAGCCGAACACATCATAACGGGAAAGTCTTACTCTTGCCACTCTTGGCAGCCCTGCTTTATTGATTCTGTAGGATTTTCAGTCATTGCAGCTCTGCAAACTCTCAGATGCATAAAGTCGTGAAAAAAAGTGTTACCAATATTTAACCAATATTTTAAAACTGTAAGACTATAAATAAAAGCACTATAATGTACATGAATGACATCCATAGACTGTATATACTATGGACAACTTGGCTCCGCCTTCCGTCATTATATGAATTTGCAGCCGAATAGACAGGTTTCTGAGCAAAGTCATTGCAGGTATACACACACAGCCTTGGGGCAGAAAGCAGGAAAATTTCTTTTTTGTTTACTCGCAGAGTCAACGGAGAAAGAAAATGACAAGGAGCTGTTGTGCTGTAAAATGCACAAATCGGCAAAACAAACAATCAGCAAACATTACAACCCTGCTCCTGATATTAGAAATATCTAAAAGACCGTCACAACCTAGTAAATTGAGTGAAATTCATGGATATTTCAGCAAGTGTTTTTGTTGATTTTGATGCAATGAAAGACAAAGTGATTTTTCAATGAAATTGCATTTATTGCACTTGTGTCAGGGAGAACTTGCAAACAATATGTCATCTTCATTGATATCAGTTCACTCTGAAGCAGACTTTTGCCCCATGGTTGCGTGTGCACCTAGTATTGTTTGTACACAAGAAACCCCTCTCTTGCTCTGGGTATTTTCTCCACTTCCTGGAACCACCACCTGCGCAGTAGCATTAAGCTTTTGGTGGGAGAGTTGCCGACAGTTGCTGTGATGACACTGGCACAAACAGAGTATCCCCCAGGTGAGCTACAAAATCTTCATACGCCCTTGCAATAAAAATGCTTAAATGTTTTGTTTCAGTGTTGCAGGTTAGCTTTAGCATGTATTCCAGTGCCATATCCACACCTTTAAATATCATTTCTCAAACCTGCTCTGAGGCTGATTTATGTAACTCAAACATAAATGCACTGCAGCCCTCTCCTATCATTATCAGTGACTTTGTCTCTCTCTGGCTATCATCCAGCAGGCAATTCACTTTATGAGCGTCTCGTAAAGCAGAGGCAGGTGAGTGAAGAGGTTATCATGGTGATACAGACAGCAGAATACAGACAGATGTCATCTGATGTAAACACACTGAACAAATGGGGAATGTATGTTCGCTGCGGGGCAGCAGGTTGAGATTAAAGCACAGCTGAGTGACGCTGCATCTGCTCCTATAGGACATGATCAGATTACTGCGTCTTTCTTCACTAATGGCCTCACTGTCTCAGCTCCACCTCCAGCAGCTCTGAGGAGGACAAATCACACTTAGCAGCAGGTGGGGGTGCTTTTATCCTCTGCCACAAAGCCACATTTTATTACCACTGGCATGCTGATGGGGGGACAGATAGATAACCCCTCCACCCATTACCCAAAAAGAAACTTCCCCAGCTGGTTCTTTGTCAGACTGGACATGCAGCTGTCCTCTTATCTGCGCTCTATCAAACCCTTTTTCAAGGTTGCACTGAGACAAGGCCGCAGCAGTAAGGACGAACTGGAGACGTTTTATGGTCTGTGCTTGATCATCCTCAGCAACAGATGAGCATCTATCTGAGCTGCCAGATTCCTTGTAGTATTCTGGAAACATGAAAGTGCATCTAATTAGACACACACCCGCATCAGTAGAGGCTAATTGGAGCTCGCTTGATTTAGTCGATGGAGATAAGTGACAAGTTTCAGCTCACCGGTTATTATGCCACGCTGCTGCCTCCTGTCTGATATTCATACGCAGCAGTCTCCTATTATGTCTGCATAATAAAGTTGTAAAACAATCTGTGCTGGAGCCAGGATTTTAGAAATACTGAGGTCGTAGGAAATCAACTGCTGTGTATGATAAACAAAGTCACTGAAAGTCTTTAACCTTTTCAACATTCTGTATAGGTTTAACTGAGTCAAATGAATATTTATGTATATTATTTCTAGTCAGATTTTCTTGCATCTTAATTTTGCTCCCTCCAGCTGCACCTCTGATGATTGATGATAACTCCAGGTATAAACAGAAGAGCCAGGGCTAATTCTTGAAACTCAATTGAGCAAGAAAACTCAGATTTGATGATTTGAACTGTTTCTTGTAACAGCAGAAGAACATTTCAGTTACATAATTTTGCATGCAAAACCGAAAGAGTGATAGCATAATATCTTAAACCCCCAAATAAGAGCATGCAAGTGAATGCTAAAATGGCTGCAGTGGCGATTCTGCAGCCTGTCAAATTTGGATGAAATGTTTGTTATGTGATTTAAGTTAACAGGTAGAATTTAATTATCTATGTGCAGCATTTAATGCCTATATTTAAAAATTTGATGTTGTTACAGCTGGTTTAAATGTTCTTACTGATCTGTCTCTGTGGTGGTGCAACATTTCCATCGCTGACATTTTCCTTCATAATTGATCATGAAAGCAAATCAGAGTTTCTTCATCAGGAGACTCCTTCTGCCCAATAAAAACTCCCCTCCACTCAGCAGTGAAGTAGATTACCGGTAATAAATCCATGTAAAACAACCAATTACTGACAGCTGCTGACACTTGTAGGCTGATGTCTGACAGGCCAATAATAGCTGATATATCTTTTAGTCGTATGATTTTAATCCTGACCTCTAGCTCTGCAGACTCAGATTCAGACTCAGAAGGACGTGGCATTCATCAGCGTTAGGACACAGGTGCAAACGAGGCCACAGCAGGTTTATGAATTTTCCTTACTCCTCTCAGAAAGTCTGAATAAATTTAAGAAAAAACTTCAGCCAGTGAGGCCGAGCATTCATCCTGTGTTGATCAGAGTTACCCCTCTCCCCTATGAATAGATAAAAAGACTCACATTGTCATCTGGCTGGAAAGGGCAATATGCAATTTGCACAAGGAGAAAGTCTGTTGCAACATTGTTTTGTAATTTACTCTCTGAGACTTCACCTTTCAAAGCAAATCAGAAGAATCCCCTCGCAGGTTTTTAGATGATATTATGCTGGGATGAATACGCCGTGTTATGCACCAGGGTGTTCATGCCATCTGGATGTGCTAACGGCTCTGACCACACAGAAAATTATTCTGGGAGCAGTGCAGCCTTCTGGAAAGATCGTCTTTGTAACATAAAACATCCATCCAGGTGTTCCCTCCTCCTGTTCAAGGTGTCCGGTATTTCACCGGCGGGGGGTCTTTGTAATGAGCGCCTTCATTTCCAGCGGAAACACACAAACAAAACACATCTCCAGGTCACCTTTACACACCTAACATTATCCTGCTTGTGTACCCGTACTGCAATGTTTGATACGTCTCTGAATGTGGCAAAAAGGCGGAGTCAAAGAGCATTATTTGTTATTAATGACACATTTTTTGTAGAGAGGAAAAGAAATAAATAGAAAAAGAATAGATGCCCTCCAGGGGGACAAGGGTAATTCTGTAAGAATCCTCAACTGGGAGGGATGCTGTGTAATAGCTTCCATTTCTGATGGGGAACGCTGTTTAACTGCTTAAGTTTTGATGTTTGCATCCAGTATTCATGAGCACAAACGACTTTGGAGGGATTACAGATGCCTGCTCTCAGTGCAGAATAACTACTGGCATCTTAGATTTGGCTTGTGAGGTAGGAATGAAAAGTGCTGTAGGGTGTCAGCTGGGAAAAATACACGTCTTACCTACAAAGAGAGACATTCAGATATGATTCAGGCACTTGTCATTACTTTATCACATTATTCAAAGACTCCAGACATTTTTTTTTTCAACAATCAGGAAGCCGCAGCGGTGGAAAAATGAGATTGTAATTTATGGTGATGCAGTCACTCTTCATGTGGAAATAAATTGAACTTTGTAAATGAATACAGATCTGATTTTTCTGTTTGTTTGTTCCGAGCAGTGGTCCTGAAAAGTCAGTAAAACGCTGACATCCTATCGCATTAAAAGCCTGTTAGTATCTGATTTCATTCAAATTGCTCAGACAGATGGTATTTACAACCTGAGACAACCTCATTTTGGGTCAAACTTGGACATGCAGAGGGGTAAGGACTTTGGATTCCTGTAAACTATACCACACCAGGTCTGCCTTTAGCTGCAAACCCAACTTCCTTTAATCATGCAAACTCACCATGTTGTCTAAAAAAATCCAATAACTCTGAATTTAGTCATCAGAAATCGAAACTTAAACTGTTTTTTGAAGCAGGTTGTAATCGGGTTTATTTCTGTAGTTATGATTTCTGCAGGGAGGGGTCCGGTCACTGCAGCGGGTCTTTAATCATCAGTCAGTGTCCAAAAATGGCTGAAGGCCTAAATGACACATTTTCAACCCCTTAAAAGTTCAATTTAACATTTTTGTCATCGCACTAGAATCCCTGCGGGTGTTTTTTTGGCAGCTATTTTTAGGCACAGATTCTGGATTCACATTAGATAGTTGTACGTACTTTGGGTTGACCAGGGGTCTCCTAGTTGGACATGCCTGGAAGACCTCTACAGGAGGTAGAGTACATCTCCACAGGAGGTCTGTGTGCAGAAATGACCACAAGATAAATAAACGTTTGTCTGATTTTTGCAGGAAATTTCTCCAAAACAACCCGGAGAGGTCGAGTGGAGGGATCGAATTAGCTGAGGGGATGCCATCAGGCAATTTACAACTTTAACCCTGATTATACTGTGAGTGAATAATCTTTAACCTACTTATTTCTGCTGCAAAGCTGGTGTTGTTAGCCAGTTTGAGGACCCAGTCTGAGCAGCTGCACTGAGACTCTGATTTAATGTGTCCCTCACCCATCTGCAGACCTGCTCCCAACACCTTTATTAAGTCTGTAGTGCATTGAGAATATACTCTCTAGTTAAAGTGGTGCTCCAGGACCTCTTTTATGGCACCCTTACTTAGTGTTGATGCCAGTTTGGACAGAACTGCCTGTTCAGACCAGCTGTCTTATCAACAACTACAGCGAGCATAAATCCATTTTATCTCAAATAGGGTTTAAATAGCTTTGGCCACCATTTCCCATCACTGTGATAATGTATTCTCCAAAGTGATTGCTGGGAACTGGGAATACATTGACATCCACAGAGGTCCAATGGGGGCAAGAAACAAGCTGTTAGACAATTAAACAGCCTGTGAACAAGCTAACAGTTGCTCTCGTGCTCCATGACCTGCAAAGCAATCAGCAAACGCATGTTTATCATCCGCAGTCGTGACTCACAGCGAAGCTTAAACGGAACAAAGCAGTGGTTATGTTGTTAGCAACACCTCTGCTTTTATCTACACCCAGAGAGAATAATTCATCTCCTCGTCACGGCTTACGGGAGCATCTAAATGTGACAGAGCCATTGTTAATGTTATTAGTCACACCTGTGCTTTCTGGGAATGACAGGTGAAGATATCTGCTGAGGAAACAGTTTAGTGACAAGCTTTCTCGTGAAGTTTTAGGAAGTTATGAACTGGCTGACAAACAATGTTTTAGCAAAAAAATCTGCCCGAGGCGAACAAGAGCGCTCAAAAGGATGTGTGAGGGGTAGTATGTGTGTATGCAAGATATCTAAAAGACAGTTTGAGTGTGTGCTGCATCCGAGATGAAGTTTTACTATCTTAAATGTGAATTTACAGTCTGCTAACTCCTAATATTTAATCTAAATGTTAACGCTTGCTCTTAATCCCAGATGCAACATTTATCCCTAATAGCCTTTTAATGATAGAAATTTAGGATCTTTTGTGCAAAAAAGCAGCATTAGGAAAATACTGTTAACTATGGAGACATCACGGTGGTGAAATATTTAACAGAAATTCAATCAACCTGTTACATGACCACAAGGCATGTAGGATTGTGGGTTAAGTGAACAGTCAGGGATGGAAAGAGTAGTTAAATACTCTTACTACATAATAAAATAACAAATCTTTGGCAGTCAAAGCCTCATATATAGAGGTTACAGTCCATGTCGCAGTGGTCGCTGGTTTGACTCCCAGCCATGACCCTTATTTGCTGCATGTCTTTCCCAACTCTCTCTACCGCCATCAATACAGGCTAAAATGCCCAAAGGTGTAACTCAAGAATGACCCCCCCAAAAAAAAAATATATATATATGTGCAACCACACAAAAACAAAACAAACTCCAAAATAGCAGCAGCGTGAGTCAATGCAATTTTTAACTTCCGCTCTCGTGAACAATTAAGCTCGGTAATTTAGATTAGGCTGATCCTAACATATGGTTAATGCAGGACACTAACTGTTACAAGAGTGTGTTATTGTTAGCTCTTAATTAGACCCTTAACTTTAATGGTGTGAATGTATTTTTAGTGTTTCAAGTCAAATTTCCAGAGGCTTCACACCACAAAGAGAGAGAGAGGGAGAGAGAGCTGTCAGGGTTTGTTTCAGGTGAGGCAAGTCAGAGCTGCCTCCCTCTCTCTCTCTCTCTCGCTCTATCTCCTTTCATTACATATGACATGAAGCCAACCATTCTACTGAGCTGAGAAAGCTGCACGTGTTGTAATGCATGGGCAGCTCCATCTGGTGGATCTGACACACATTAATACTGAAGGCAACATGCAGCACATTATCAGAGAAATACAGCAGATTTATGTGAGTCAGATTAAAGTATAGAGCGAATTTCACCGCCTCTAGACCATGATGTAAATATGCATTTTTTATATCAGAGGGACACAGTTACTGGCAGTGAAAACATGCATCCTACTGGGACAATGACAGACAATAAACACACTCAAATGCATTCATCCATAGTTCAAAAGCCACAAATCCATCTTTTTGTCTGTCCTCACCACACCTTCCACACTGCATCCCCAGTTCACCCGTCTCTCTCTGCTTAATGCTAATTAGCTACATAAAAGGCTTTGCAAGTCATCCTGCACTGCTGTTTTGGACCGAGCACAAGGGTCGATGCCTGTGCTCGCAGCCGTGCAACGCTTATCTGCATGCCAGTGGCAAAGACGTTTCAAAACAAGCTCTCCAAGCTGGCACGGCCTCACTGTGACAGGAGGCACGGGCACGAAACAACCAGATGATGACACCGTGGGAGATGGGAAAAGGGCAAGAGCTGGTCAGTGCACCAGATCCTTAATCATCAATCAGAGTCAAAAATAGCTGTTACATCAACCTAAGTGCATGAATGACACATTTTCAAATCAGACAGAGTCCAATTGAGGGTTATTCTTGACACTGGAACCACTGCGGGTTGTTTTTCAGCCTTTTTGGCACAGATTTCAGAACAACACTAGATAGTTTTATGCTAATTTTAGGGACAGTTAGATTGGAAGAAGGAAACTGGTGCAAATAACTCACATTTTACACCATGTAGGTCCTGTTTTACATGCTTAACCACTTGAATAGGAATCTGGCATTGACTTTAGTCTTACTATCTGCTCTGAACAGCTCTAAGTAAAGAGAAACCACCAAGGGACTTTCAACATGATGAGAGGCTAATGAGATGATACTTCAACCGGGGAAAAAAGAGCCATAGCCGGAGTCCTGGCGGTGACGTGAGGTTGTTTTCAGGGTAAGAATGAGTTGTGACAGGTAACTTTAGTCAGAGCTGAAGTGCATTAATATTTGATCAGTTTGGCCCTTTCTCTCAGGAGGAGCCCTCCAGGGAGATATCTGGTGCTGGAGTTTTAGGAGGTGGTTCATGAGGCTCTGTCGGCCCATATAACTCTAAATCGAAGCACAAAGGGGAGAATAAGTAAGCCATATTTTCAGAGATCACTGCACCCTTAGTAAAACAGCACAACTACAGTAACCATGAATGGATGATTTGGACTTTATTTCAAACTTCTTCAGGCTGAAACTGAGCATACACTTGAAATTTGCTCATGTAACACATTATTAAACAAAACAGTCACAGCAGAGAGGCAGCAGCCGATCTCTTTCTTCTGACTTTATCATCTCTGCTGTATGCCTCAGGGCAGAGTACAGAGAGCTCCATAACTCTGCCGTTAACCACCCATCGCTCATATTCAATATCCTAGGAAGCCGTCATACATCAAAAGCCCTGCTGAGTTGTAAACATTACAGCAGCAATGGTGGAAAAATGCAAATCATAACCTCGTTTGAGTCATTTTTATGGATTCGTGCCCTGACGTACCTTATATCTTCTCTTCAAAATGCTGCAAAGTCTGCATCAGAAACGTCTATTTCATGTGTCGGCATATGGACAGATCCCAAAAAGAGGAATAAACCACATACTGAAAGCATGAGTCACATCAAGAGCTTTTCTGTCACCTTCTCGGTCTGTTACGGTTTTCATCATGAAAACATCATGACTCAGATGAAGAGCAGACATGCACTCTATCTATTTTAACAAGCAGAAGAGGACTTCTATTAAAATGTCAGAGTTTTATCAATATTTAACTTTGTTTTTGCTCTGAAAACAAGATCAATTTTTTAGTATTTGTAAATAACTGTCATGGCTTGTGCAAAATTTATGTGCTGTCTCGCAGAGATGATAAATGTTGGTCCTCTAATGAAGAATTTACCTCCTGGGAATAATAAAGTATTCTGATTCTGATTCTGAACGGTTGTTCGTCTTCTCCTCAGCTGCAGAAATATAACAGATTAAATATGTTACAAAAATTATACTTCTTTCTCAATCTGTCTGGAAGTTAAGTGATTTTATGATCGTTTCAGGGGAACAAAAGCATCTGAAATAATCTGACTAGAGCTGTGGATTTGTTTGAAGAAAGTTTCATGATCAATGTTATTGAACTCACAACGCCTTTGTTGAAAAGTCTATAAAACTGTCATGCAGCTCAATACCACAAAGATGAGAGAAGTCCAAGTTGGCAGCGCTGTGTAACACAACAGCTGTTCAGTCTGTGATTGAGTTTAGACGAGCTGCCAAAGAAAGAAGAGAAAGTGACGATTTTTTTTTCAGCAGTAAAAAAGGTACCATTCCTAAAATCTTGACAGCACATGCAGTTTTAAACATGATACTGCAGCGCTGAGGTGACCTGAAGCAAGATCAGTGTCAAAGCAGTGCCCTCTACTGCCCAAACACTGCTGTAGGGAGCTTCTGCAGCACTTTTTCACTTATAGTTTTTAGTCCAGTGCAGCTAAGTGTAAATTGAGCATGCACCAGGGAATTGTTTGGAATTGGCTGTTATTGGAGTCTGGGCTGGAGTATTTATAGAAGGTACTGATGCAAGAAACAATAAAGATTTAATAATAACACAAAAATCACAGATCCATGAAATATAAATGAAAAGCAGCAGACCAAATCTACACCACTGCACAGTCGGTTTACTATGTAATGGATTAGTATATATATCCATATTACCCCAAATAACCTCAATACAATTTTTGCAGCCTCAAAAACTGTCTATGAAGTCAAAGAATACTCAATCAACTCTGAGACAACTGCGGTAATGACAACAGATGGATGAATTCATCTGCCCTGCAAGGCTCCTGCATCTGCCTGATGTAGCTTACAATAGCCAACACAAGGAGCTATAGCTTTCTTTAATGTTGTGTTAGATGGTTATTATAAAGTTAGGGTTAGGGATAGGTTTTAAAAATTGTAAAATGTACAATTTACAATACAATGCAACAATAACCATAACATTTATAAGTTATGGTTATTGTAAAGTGTTACCAGAGTTTTGAATTTTACTTGATTATTTCAAGACTTGGGTCAGGGATCCATTTCAGACACAGCCTATGTGTTATTCATGCTCAATCTAAGGCAAATATTCTATAATTTTCTTTTATGATAAATAAGTGCCTTGTTTGTTTGTTTATAATTCAATAAAAAAAAAGAAAAAAAAAGCTGAGCCTGCCTTAAAATCCACATGAAGCCCATAGGAGTTCTAGCATTCCTCCAGAGGTGGCGCTGTAGCTAATTACGAGTCATTTGGCCCTTTAACTCTGACGTTTCAGATTTCCTCCACGTTGGCCGCACATGCGCAGAGAGTGCGGTCACCTGCTGGGGAATCTGAAGCGAACAAGGAAGTCTAGCACAGAGGACTGAGACTGGATGTCAGGCTAAACGAAAACCAAAACACTTCTCCGCCGTAAAGTAGTCACCTGCCCGTCAGCTGTTTGCTCCATCGGCGTGGAAAGATGTTTAAAAAGCTGAAGCAGAGGATAAACGAGGAGCAGTCCCCGCTGAGGAGTGCGCAGTCACCACCGCAGGCCCAGGTTAGTGGAAGCTAACTCAGCTAGCCTAGCTTCTTCTGTTTACACTGTAGAGAAACGTATCTGTTTCGCTTATTAATCTTTCTCCATAAGCTGTCATTTTGGTTTGTGAGTTTCTCCTCCTTGCTTTCTTCTTGTTCGCACTCAGTCAACCCGTGTAGCTCTTAAACTTATCTGTCATCAACTGCTGCCAGTCTGGTGCGTTCAGGTACACATTTAACTCGTAAATCTCGTTATCCCAGATGGTCAAACACAACAATTGCCAGTTGCCAATACTCGAGATAAAGATCTTAAAATAGCCTCTGAGATAGCATGGGTGTGTCTGTTGTAATGTGACTTGGACGGCAGCTGGCAGCTTTATTTTGACAGATGTAAATCCCGCCTGTGCCGGACGCTCGTCCTGCTTTCGTAGCTCATGAATATTAAAGGGCAGTCCACCGGTTTCCAACATTACGAAGTTAGGTGCTGTTCTGAGCATTATTTGTGGCTATAGAGCGGCGTTTTGGTTGAGCTAAAGTTGGTATAACTAGACAAGCAAGCAGTTGATAACATTCATCTCTCGGGGGGTGTCTAACTCGGTGTTATGGTGTGTTTGACCCTAAATTAATTTTATGTCGGAATATCCCTTTAAGCCTGTGCACACATGCATTCGTACATGCAGGAGGACTTCATTTAGTTGTTGTCTAAAGATCTCCTCAAGTGATCTCAACCTCTATCCACAGAGTTGCAAAAGCTCAAAACAAACATACAGCTGACAGCTTTTTGTTGTGTGTTCAAGCCTCCCAGAAAACAAGTTGTATTATACCAACATGGTGCTATAAATTTATTTGCTTTTGTTGCAGGTACTGATTATAATGCTGCATTTTCTTATGACATGCATGACTCAGATGTTGTTTTTTCAGCCAAAAAATACTTGAAAACTGTTTTAAAGCACCACACTGAGGCTTTGAACTAAGGTTGATACAGTGTGCAGACACTCTGGCAGGCTATGAAATAACTAAGAACAAGTCAAATGAAAGAGAGTATTTATTGCGTCTTTGATAGCATGCTGAAGAATATTGCAAGAGTGGAAATCTCCCAGCTGCTACAAAAGCATCTCTATTTTCCAAAGACCTTATGATGTTCCTAAGCAGTGAGAAAATTAAGTACAATCTGTGTCTGTTTATGAATAATTTCACATCACAATTAAGAACACTGCTACGTTTGACTCACCCTGATTTAGATGGTTTACTCTATTGCATGACTTCCCATTGATTCTGCTGCTCAGGTTAAATCTATCCTTATCTTTCTGTGCAGTTTATCAGCTTTGTTTAATGTTTAGTCAGTTCTGATCTGCTCCAATTCAAACACAGATAATTTGGCTTCTTCAGAGCTCTGCTCTTTTTAATAAGGCCAGGCATTTTTATTTGTATGTCGCAGTTCATACACTTAAGCCTATTTAAATATTGCCACCCTTTAAAGATAATGGCCTAAGTCATGTTTTGAAGAAAATTAGTTTTTGGCCTAAATCATCTCTTGATAATGCTGGCCATCTCTGGTAAAATCGCCTAAATCCTTAGTTGAAAGGATCATGCCACCTGTTATTTTAACAGGGTGACGATATGCTTACAAGCCTAAAGTGAAGGGGTAAAAGAACAAAAAATTATTGAAATAATTTAAAAAGTTCATTCATATAATTCAGTAAACCTCATTTGTTGCTGGAGAAAAACGGCTGCTTTAAGTCATTCATGAGCAACTCTTGTTTTGAAGTTGCCAAACCCTTTTTCATGTTTCCTTAACCACTTTTGAGGAATTTTTCTTATGCAATGGCATGTGGGAAACTCAGTTTGTTTACTCGTCTCCATCTCACCTCAGCACAATGTCCTGAACAACAGCTGTTCTCTACTTCTTTAAGCACGCAGCAGTCTGTCCCTTTAAAGCATCAGTCATGCATAGTTTCAGATTAACACTTCTTTGCTTTTAGCAGCTGGGCAGTGGAGAGCGGCGCAGCAGCCAGACCCTCCCCTTCAATCAGGATGGCTCACCATTACCCAGTGACAGAGAGGTGAGTGTGCTGCCAGCCTGTGATAGAAATATGTTTAACATCTTTCAGCTCCAGCTGCAGCATCCCGAGACGTCCTGTTCTTCACCCAGCAGCTTATGTTCTTATTTACCCAGTGCAATGTTTCTGCCAGTCCTCAAAAGTCTGTTAACAGTTTTGCTTAATGCTCCTTTAGTAACAATCCTGCGCACTTTTGATTGCCATGCCCTGCAAATTAGATCAGTGAGCTGTCGGTTTGATTGCAGCCTTTTAACGAGATCAAATCATTGGCTACTCTCAGATAAAGTTGAAATCCTGGACTTACCAGTTTATTTTTGCAGTCAAAGATGCTTATCTGACCTTTTTATTTCCTCGGTTTAATATCCTGTACAGAGTCGCTGTTCACAACTTCAAAAACCACATGACAAACTTTAACTTCACAGTCTTGTAATTGCACGCAAACTGGAATTAGATTCCGCAAATGATGTCTGATGATGTAGAGCTGTCAAGGATGTGACCTTATCATCTGCAGGTATGGTTAGACAAGCCTTTGAGTGCATGTATCATCAAATAAGACAATATTAGGATTATTTGCTGTTTGCCTTTAAAGGCACTGTGGGGAGTTTTTATATTTGGATCCTTGTGACTCTTTTAGACACAGTCAGTGTTGTTTTTTGGTCATGAAGACTACATTTCCCATACTGCAATACTTTGTTTAAGACAACAATGCAGAGTGATGAGCATATGTATTTCTTTGCTGCTACGCCAAATCATTAACTGTAAGCTAACGATGGCAAAACTTTGGAAACTCTGCTTTATTACTGCTTATGTGTGAACATACGATTTAGCTAAAGGTATAATGAAAACATGCACACAGTTGAACTATTTTGATCTCAAAGAGCAGCGAGGCGGTCACATGTTGGTGTAAACATTAAATCCTGCTCATGTTGCTTTTTTTCATCTTGCAAAGCTGTGGTTGTGGAGTTTCTCCTGAAACAATTATGGGTGTAAAAAACATTTTAACCACAATACTATATGCAGTTGTTAATTTAGTATAATTGGTTCATTCATATTGATGCATCTGTGTGTGAATTAAATACCTGGATATACCTGGAAAGTGATGCTAGTGTGAGGGTATTTTTGCCTCCATTATGTGCACATGTCATGTCACACTGTGTCTATGATTTTACTAGGCTTTCCAAGAGTTTTTTTCCTACTGTCATGGTGGCTGCTCACTCAGCTCAGGAAAGTGACAGCTTCATCCATCATGACCTTTTCATATAACGCAGGTGTGCAATGTTTTGAGAAGCATGGGTGGTTCAGTGTGCTCTATATTTGCTCTACAGTCTGGATCACTTCACAGAAACTGGGATTTTCAGATGTCTGCAAACAGGAGAATGACCTGAATGTACAGTTTAGGTTCCCTCGTTGTCATTGCAATTGCATAAAACCTCCCACATAACCCAAACTTGTGGCGCTTATACAATGCAGTTTCCCAGCATCAATAAAATTGATGATTTGCTTTGCTAGATGAATAATGCCATAGTCCCAGAGCCATTTACAAATCAATACAGGTGGATTGTGTAACTCGAAAGTGATGCATTGATGCAATGAATGAATCGTTATGCCTTTAGAAAACAAGAGAATAAACATCTTTTTGCCAATCCATGAGTTCAAAACATCATGTCAAAAGAAAACTGTCTGCTGGTTAATGCCTCACAGCCAAACTTTACCAGCAGAGTTCAGAGCAACGACACCCAAATAATAACTCTGCTCCACTTGTCTTGTCGCCGATGTAGGTCGTGAAGAGGCGCCAAGATAAGAGCAAGACTGTGTCAATGCCAGGCGGGTATAAACTCCTCACAGTGTCTTTGGGTCGACAGCATTTGGGTAATTATCGTAAGGTGGTCCCCTGTGAGAAAGCTTTGTGACATAAACGATCGTAATCAAATAGGGTATAAACCGAACCATTGATTTAGTGACACAGTGTTATTCCTCACACTGCTAATGCTTACCCAGAGGAGATTCTCATTAGCTGCGCTGGGATAGGTCTTTTTACAGCGGTGAGCATGTATATGAATAATTGATGCATCCTCTCTGTGTTGTTTTATTTTTCCTCTGGTGATTTGTTGCAACACTTTCCCTCATGCACATGTGCAGGTTAATACAAGACATCTTTCATAGATTTAACCGAGGTTTGGGAGGTACCCAGAGCGACTGTAGGCCTGATGATGATAACGATGATGCAACTTTGGTTAATACATCTCTTTTTCAGCTTAGACTGGGATGTTTACAGCTTTGGCTGTTTGATCTTTAGATGAAAAAAAAGTGGCTAAATTACTTATTTATGACAAGTTTCTACATTTCAACACTGCAGAGCCCAAACTGGAGTAGTTACAGAGCCCCCCCTTTTGGTCAGATTTCTTCTAGAAACTTCTTTGCATCATAGCATCTTTTTTCACCTCACAGATCTTGAAACACTTTGACATCCCTGAAAGACTTTCTTTGATTATTGGAGGCTGATTCGATCCTTTTTTTTGTCAACATCAAAGCTTACAAACACATAGAGGGATGTCAAACTGTAGTTCATAACATAAATGTTTATTCAGTGTTTCACTTTCCCATTTTCTTATTTTTCTTCCTCTCCCATGTAGACACTCTGCTCTCTCTCTCTCTTTCTCTTTCTCTCCATCCATCTCTCGTCTGGACCCTCCCTCCGGCGCTGTTTCACACTCATGGTGTTGTTTTTTCTCATTGCTCTCTGTGTTCCTCTCCTTTCCCCACCTTTTCGTCCCGACACCGCACTGACGGGGTCAGGTGCTGGCCGGGATGATAGCAGAGCCCGCTTTTCTCTCTGAGTATACTATCTTTGCTCTGGACCATTCAAAACGACCCAAAACGGCCCAGGTAGCCAGTGTGGTGAGTTTGTCCTCACTTCCTGTCTCTTCCTCCTCAACTTTCTCCTCCTCCTCCTCCTCCTCCTGTTGCCCCCGTTCCTCCCCCTCGTCTCCGCGCCTTCGGGGATTCGGTAGAGGACTGTGGCCCGAGTAGGGACAGCTTGTTCCCTGCTCTCTGTCTCCTGTTTCCTTTGGATTTAGCATCAAGAAGGCATCTCATATCTAGGCTAACCCTGCATCCAATGGGAGCGATGGTTCACATTGTGGGATAGAAGCTTGTGTGCTTTCTGCCGTCTGTTGGTTTATTGCCCTACCTTTCAGTTAATATTATCTTTTATAGAGCCAAGTATCGCCCTGTAGTCCCCAGGTATCCTTAGCTGCTTGCTTTGTAGACCCTCAACACCCTGTTATGTTGTTTGATGGCCTCTGTCCCTTCTTCCCACAAGTCTGTTTATTTGGAGAGTTGATATTTTTTTTCATTTCACAAGCTCTGGGCGAGGTTATGAAGCAATTTGAACGTTGAATTGTCTGTAACTCTGCCAAGTAAACAAACAGACCAAATATCTGTGTAGATGTGAAGTTTAAGATTGAGGGGATTTGTGCTCGTATGGAAAGAAAAACACAGGAAAGTGACATTTGAAGTGTTCATCATCTGTAATAGAAACACATTCAAACTGCACACAGCACAGAGAAGTTCAGTGAATTAGTCTGTAGGTGATAGTTTGAAATAATCTCACACATTTATAACTTCTGATCTAGGGCTGCACGATTTTGGCCAAAAATGAAATCCTGATTTTTTTTTTTTCTCTGAAAACTCGATTTTCAATTTTGATTTTGATTTTTATTCAGTGACTACTTCGCCAAACTTCACTCTAATAATTAATTTTTCTATCATCTCTACGAAGAAAAACTAAAAAAACTAAAAACTAAACCATTGTAAACGATGTAGTGCACATTCCAAGCCAGTAAGTGGCGCTGTTATGCTGCTGAGGAAATGCACCAAAGACAGAAGAAGAGTACACAATAACGCCGATAACAAAAAACTTTTGCGTTTACTCAGGATTTGTTTCCGTGTGGATGGGTTGATACCACCTTAAGACAGACTCTGTGGCGGGGAGTGGTTTGCTCTTCATCTGAAACTGCGAGGCCGAACCAATTCCACACGACTGACTTGTTCTTGCGCTATTCAGCCACGAAATTATCGCCTTCTTTTGCAAACGGTTTGTTCACAGTGGTGTGTGTGGGAAGGGGGGAGCCTACAGTGGCCTGGAGGCGCGAGACATGGTAGAGAGAAAAAAATCAATTTGATGATCTTACTTTTTTTAACATCCTCATAATCAAATAATCCGATTAAAGCGATTAAAAAAGGATGAATCGTGCAGCCCTACTCTGACCACATATAACATTATGCAACAGTATTTTGTCCCATACATAACATATTGTCTGTCTGAACAAGCACTTCAGATATGCACACTGTAATGTCTAATGTATATTCAGGGCATTAGTATTACACATTTGCATTAACCAGCTAACATCATGATGGGTAAATTGGATCAACTTCTGCTGGGACCAGTAACACCAAAGAGGTTTGATTTGTTTCTTTGATTCCAGCCTGTAGAGTCTTGACCTCTGCTGCCTTTAGACTCCTTATCTCACCTTTATTCAAATGTAAATTCAAATTAAATTGTATGAAAGTATTGTACTCTACAAATCTTTCCTTTTGCTGATGCTGTAGTGTATCAAAGACGGTGTGTTATCTTATCACTATCTTCTCCTGTTACGAAACACAAATATCATAAACCCATCATAACGGTCATCACAGTCATGATCCATCTACATGTTATTAAATATGAGTAACATGTCCTCAAATTTCCTCAATCCCATCAAGTTTCTTTACTCATTTGTTGATTTTGTGATTTTTATTTTGGAGGTACAGTCTTGTTTTGCCAGTCCGGATCTGAACTCCAGGATTACCTTTTGTCTCTTGGAGTGATGTTTTTTGTTTCTGTTTGATGGAGGGTAATAAAAGTGGTCTGAACGTCGGTCATGATATGCAGGGTTTTGGATTCAGGTCCTCTTTGAATGCAGTCGTTTATTATTTGTGGGGATGGGAGCATGTATTCGGTATTGTCTGATATGTGGGGTTTTTCTGTCTGGTCTTCTGTTCCTGTTGATTTGGATAAAGGTGCTAGAATACGGTAAGAAATCAGATATCTGTTAAATTACCAGGATCTTTATTTTATGATAAAGATAGGGTTTGTTTCTATCATCACTCAGCTCAACAAGCTTTTGCTCTCACACTCCTGGGATCAAACTGCTGCCCTTTCTAACACCTTTAAACAAGATAATCATTTAGTTTTAAAGCAAAAAAAAAAAAAAAAAAATCAGGGTTATTTCCTCATGAAACAGGACAGAAATATCGAGCACTTTGCGCAGCACTCCAGAGGAAGGAGTAGCTCGGAGCTGGACGAGGGAGGAGAATATTTGCTTACTCTGATCCTTCTTCTAACAAGTCCACTAAACCAACTAAGCTGCTCAGTGTTTACTAAATTCAATTATGACTCTCATGTGCTCTTGTAATACAGCTGCACACAGCACTGCCAAGCATCTTTAATCCAAAAGCCGGCTCTCCTACTTGACTTTTGACTGTCTGTTTGTTCTGACCTCATGGCTGCTCTGTAGAGTCTAGTTTTAACCCTTTTTGTTTGATGTACTGTAGAGATGCCTTCTTTTATGTACTTAACCCCTCTGTTTTTTCCAAGTTGCATGAGGGTACCCATTGCCCCTGCATTGCTCCCAGCAATACTAATATTGCTCCCTCCAGAGTAATCAGGGAGAGCCACGCTGGGTGTGGATGACTAACTGGCCCAGGTCAAGTCCAAAGACGCAGCTTTTCTGTCACTCATGGTGTCTTTATATCTGCAGAGTGCCTCTAAAGGACCGGCCCGATCTCCCAGAGGAAGCATCAACGGGGATGGGAGTGCTTCTCCTCAGGTACCCACCCTCTTCGATCTTCAAGCTGCTGTTATCATTCCGCTCCTCTGTTTTTAATTCCACCTCAAATACTCCTAACAGAGAGAGGAGACTCAGTCCTTTGCACAGAAACTCCAGCTCAAAGTTCCCTCAATGGAGTCACTGATCCGTGGCGGTGCCAGTCGAGCAGAAAACCTGTTCCGCTCTCCCTCCAAAGACAACCTGACCCGGAGCTCATCACGGGACTCCCTGACTCCTTTAGGGGAGAATGACTCCCCAGGTGGCCCCACGTATGACCCTCCATCAGACATTGAGAGTGAGGCCGAGGAGCCACCGGGCACTGCAGAGTCTCTCTCCAAAGAGCAGCTGTTGCACCGGCTGCTCAGAGTGGAGAGGAGCCTGGGGAAGTATAGAGGGAAATACTCAGAGGTGAGAATCACTTAAACAGGCTGTAAGATCATCCACCTGTTCAAGGTACAGCACGAATTATACCTGTACAGCTGTAGCTACTCTAATAAGAACCTAGTTTATTGGCACCTTAAACAACTCAGTCTGGCCTTTTAATGATGAACATACAGGGTTAAAGCTATCCAGTAGAAATGAGGACTCTGAGCATTAACTGTGGTTTAATTCAGCTCTATAATTAAAGCTCGTTTTTATCTCTTAATATTACGTCCCTGTTGAGTTGAGCTGCTGCAGCCGACTGTTGCTGTGATTGAAAATAACAGCGTTTTGAAACGGAGCCATTTCACATTAACTGGCAAGTCAAAAGCAACATAAACTTTGTGTTAAATGTAATTAACTTATCGCCAAAGTGCTTCAAGTCTGAGCGACCACCTGCATGCTAAGCATCTTGGTGCAACTGATCATACTGATGTCAGCGTGCAGCTGCGTTAGAGAAGCTGTCAGAGCAGGTTTTCGGAGTACAAAGCACTGATTGGAGTCGGGGTGATTTATCCAGACAGCATTGAGGTCCTGCTGTTTTCTCCATGGGTTGAATACCTCATTATGTCTAGTAGCCTAAATAATTAAATGTGCACTTGCATGCGCAGGATTCGGACAGAAGACGATTGCAGTACACGTTTAAACGAAGGAGAACCTGTTCTGTATGTTTGTTTGTGTTTGCACACCCTGCAGCAAGTCTCTGGGACTAAGTGAAGCATTCACTGATGTGTGCAGTGACTTAATGATGTGGCTCTTCTGCAGCCATTGCCAGTGGAAAAGCAAACTAGCTCTGAGATGATTCATAAATTGAACCAGTCCTGAACTAGCACCAGGTCCAAAAACAGAGTACATATGAATCACCACAAACCTCTGGATGGACCTAATCAGGAAAATATGGTGCACAAATTTACATGCACTCTGACTTATTCCTGAATGTGATTATTAAAAACCTTGTATTTCACAGATTAAACGCTTTGAAGGTCTTCCTCTTCTAGATTATGGTTTTAGACCCTTTGGTGCAAATGAATAATGCATCTTTAAGTCAATGTCATGAAGTCCATGGACTGAAAAACTGTTCTGACAGGCACAGTGGTGGTGTTTTAAACAAGTGAATGACAGTGCAATTAACTATCAACATGTAGAAATTCATCATTACTGAGAATTTATCATATGAGACCCAAAAATAAGATGTTTTTTGTCGTCACAGAGAGCTAATAGCAGTTTACTTGTGCATACAGTATTTGATAGTTGCTTAATCAGGAGTTTTAGGGCAGAATTCAGTCTATTATTGAGTTTTGCTGCATCTAAAGTACAGACAGGATATTATCCAAAAAGTTTTATCTCAGGATGTTTTAACAGAAGAGCTTTAGAGGTGTCAAACTGGATGATTTACAGTGTTAAATCCAATATTATAGTCAGTAAACAACATCCTACTCATCCTTTTAAGATTGAAAAGATAAACTGTTTACACATTTGGATTCCCAGCTTTACAAGTCTGAAGTAGACAATGTAAATAAACAGTTGTAATCTGTCCTCACTCAGCTCTTCTCCTATTTTCTTCACCCTGCAGCTGGTTACTGCTTATCGAACGGTGCAGCGAGATAAAGAGAAAACACAGGTACTTTGTTCTGTTATGGTTTCAGATTTTCTGACGTGATGGGAAAATAGATCCTGAACCGATCGGGTATTTTTGTCTCATCTCCGTCCCCTCAGGTCATCCTCAGTCAGAGTCAAGATAAAGCTCTGCGCAGGATAGGAGAGCTGCGGGAGGTATGACTGTTGGTGAATGTCACTCACATCAATATCTGTACTCCTCCTCTTTCCTTTATGTAACATGAATGTATTTAATCATCTCCAGGAAGTTCAAATGGACCAGCAGGCTAAGAAACACCTTCAGGATGAGTTTGATGCAGCTCTGGAGGAGAAGGACCAGATGATTACAGTCCTCCAAACACAGGTGAGTGTCAGTACACAGCCCCTAACATGGATGTGTTACTTATTTATTTAGTGGTGGAAACCTGCAGCTCTACTCATTAAATTATGACTTCAGTACTGATACAATAATGATTATTTCATAGTAATTCAAATTAAAAGTCATGTGGAAACTTGAACTATGTTTCCGGTTCATTTCACTAACCTCAGTATTTCATCTTTCTGTTAGGTCGCTCTGCTGAAGAAGCGAATGAAGGGAGTCTCCGACGGTGCTGCGCCACCTGAGGGCACCGTCCCTCACCCTGAAGATGCTACAGACTCTACTTCTGCAACACAAAGTCCTTCGAAGGAGGACGGAGGGGAAGCTGAGGGCGCCGAGGGTGAGCAAATGCTTATATGTCGCTTTTGAAGAAGTTTACTTAAAGCTCCTGGGAGGAATTTTTTATTTGTGTCCATTTGTTGTCCTCTGCATGCTTTTGACCAGAAATCTCAACCTGCTGTTTCTTGATATTCTTATTTATAATTTATTTTTATTATTTGCAGTAAAAGTTACCCGAAAATATTTATTTTGATTGCAAATATAGTCACATTTTTAACCAGTGCATTTTTTCTTGTCTGGCCAGGAGAGGGCAACAGTGATCCAGCCAAACTTATGGAAGCTCTGCAGAAGAGAGTGAAGAGGCAGGAAAACCTTCTGCAGAAATGCAAAGACGTGATGCGCACCCACAAGGAGCGAAGTTCCCAGCTGGGAACTGAGAACGAAACTCTGCAGGAGCAGCTGCAGGAGCGACTGCAGGAGCTGGAGAAGATGAAGGTGGCCGACATGTTTGATACACCTTTGATAGACTATGGTTGTCTCGATATATTTGGACTGTTTTCATAAGTTTTAGATTATATACACAAAGTTGGGAGATTTTTCAAAGAGGGGGCGGGGCCGACTTGCGGTTTCAGTTTGTTTAGGGTTGTTAATGTGCTTCTGAACGTCTGCTAGAGTCATTATGGTTCAGAAATGATGCGTCTCCTTTATCTCTGTGACACAGTGTACTGCTGTGGTTCTCAGACTTTGAACATCCAAATTCTCTGGCCAGGCTCCAGAGGGTTAATGTCAGCGTGACAGGACAGACCCATTGTTGTCATTGATTTCAAAACACTCGGCTTCATTGGTATGATCGGCTTGTTCAACTTGTCATAGCTGCTCTGGAGTTTTTCAGCGTCTGATAATAAAAGTTTGTTGTTGTAGAAACTTTGTGATAATAGACAGCTTGTCCGAAACTGCACGCTGGTAGACTCCCTTTCATTTGCAGCCATCGTTTTTGTGTTGAGTCTGCGCTGTGTTTTGGGAAAAAAGGCCTTTCCTGTGTCAGGAAAAGCAGAGGTTAACAGGCGTTTAGCCCCCTTAAGCAGCATGAAGGCATCCTGGAACTGCTGGGAGGGCTGTGCTCATCCCCAGCCTCAGACAAATAACCCATAAAACAGACCATCTGTCTGCGATTCCAGACGTACAGCTCAGGGTTTTCTGTCTGTGCTCCTTATTTTTACTTTCAGGTTAATATGGGGTGTTGTTAAAGGAGTGTGACTACAACTACAATCCCAAAAATGTTTGGACATGTTGACAAAAAACAGAATTTGATGATATGCAAATCATTGAAAGACTACTTTCTACATATCAAATATTAAAAACTGAAAAGTACATGTTCCACAGATGTACCCATGCCTCTAACAGAGGTTTCTGTAAGTTCTGTCTGGAGCTCAATGGCTCAACAGTTGTTCAGACTCAGGACTGCAGGCAGACCAGTTTAGCACCAAGACTCCTCTACAGAACCATGCTGTTATAGTACATACATGCAGAATGAGGTTTGGCATTGTCTTGCTGTACTATGAAGGTCTTCCTTCCTTGTGTACTGTTCAGCAACAATGGTTCCTCAGAAATGTAAACTAGCCATGCCACTGGAAGTTCTGCATCCTCATACCACTGTGGATGAACTGTGGGCTGATGAAAACTGGGTGGTCCCTCTTCTGTTTGGAGCAGCGGACACGGTGTCCATGATTTCCAAAAAGAAAGTCGATGTTTGATTCAAGAGACTGCAGGAACAGTTTGTCATTAAGTCCATCTTAACTGGTCTTGGACTTGCAGTTTCCTCCCTGCAGGGTTCACTTTTAACTTGTAAACTTGTTCATGCAGCGATGAACTGTGTAGTAGTGCAGCGATTTCCAGTACAGAGCCATACCTTGTTTTCAGTCCTTTCCCTCTTGTAGAGAGATTTCTCAAGGCTCTCTGAATCTTTAAATGATTTTATATGATTCAGATGCTGAATGAAGTTTTCATCATTTAATGCCTTAGATCTTAAAGTTGTAGAAGTGTTTGCTCACGCAGTCTCTTACAACAGTAATTTTAGCTTCTTTTATATCCACTCATGTTTGTAACATGTTTTTTTTAATCGCTACAAACTGTTTCAGAGTTTTGTGATTTTTGTGTGTTTAAAATGAGCTCATATTTTTCATAACACAACAAAAATATTCACTTTAACATTTGTTGTGTAAAATTTGCACTATTTTCAATTGAATTTAGGCTCATAAGAATTTGCAAACCATCACTACCTTTTTCTATCACTTGTTTGGAATTGTGGTTGTTTGCCTGTTCGGTTAAACTTCGATTCATCTTATTTTTCTTCTGATCTTATTTGTTTATTTTGATATCAGAGTACTGTCAACACAATCAAAACACTGTCTTGTATCCTCCATAAATCAAAAACCAAAGTAATACAGTCTTCCCTGTATTTCCTGTATAGTCACCACTTGCTACACAGCGCTGGCACAGAAACTTTGCTGCTAATTGCCACTGCTGCAAAACTGGACTGTAATTTGGGTTGACTTGTTGGTTTAGCCGGGCTTGTATACACCGTCTGGTTATTTGGTTTGTGGGTGAGGCATCCTGGGTGGTGCAGAAAACATCTGATGTTGTTTGACTAAAGCATATACATGATCATGATATGATTCCAGAAATCTAAAAAAGACGACATGCAGGGCAGGGATTTTTTTGCAGCATTCTCATTGTAACTAATGTTATCTCTTAACGTCTGCAGGAGCTGCACACAACAGAGAAGACAAAGCTGATCACTCAGCTGCGTGATGCTAAGAATCTTATCGAACAGCTGGAGCAGGACAAAGTGAGTAGAGAATTTTTGGCGCATTGACTGAAGCTTCTTAAAGATTGTGTTGTATCAGAAAACTGGATCTGTTTTTATTCCCTACCACTGAGTTAAGAGGTCTGGCACCTTTTGAGTCCCATATTGTTCCTCTTAAACTTTGACCTCGGCTCTGCAGGGTGGACAGCAGCTCATAAGATGTGCACCAAGAATGTTAACAGCGCTCCAAGTCAAAAACGATTACACACACGCAGAGCTGGAGTCAAGGTGCAAAATGCAGAGGTAGAAGTTTTGATTTTATTTCAATTTATTCTGTTTTTTTAGGGAATGGTTATCGCTGAGACAAAGCGGCAGATGCACGAGACCCTGGAAATGAAAGAGGAGGAGGTCGCCCAGCTCCGCTCCAGGTTCCAGCAGGCCACCGCTCAGAAGGAGGAATTACAGGAACAGAAAGAAAAAGCCGAGAAGTCAGGTCAGTGAAATCCACATCTGCAAGAACAAATGAAAAATGTTGGGTCTAGATGTGTTAATGATGTGTGTCCTTTTCTTTAAAGCATTTGAAGAACTCGAACGGGCCTTGGGTGTAGCTCAAAGGGCGGAGGAGGCCAAGAAACAGCTGCAGGTTCAGCTGGAGGAGCAAGTGAGGGAGGTTGAAAGGGCGAGTGAGGAGGAGAGGAAGAGTCTGCAGCAGGAACTCACACGAGTCAAACAGGAGGTCGTCACCATAATGAAGGTCAGGGACTTATTGATGCTAAATATGTATATGTGGATTTAAAAGGAGTTAAAACATACTGCCTTTAAATTATGAGGCGGCTGTTTGGTTGTTTTATAAATAAAGAAAATAAAGAAAGTGATGTACACTGTGGATATAGAAAAATAACATCAAATTAAGTTTTAATTACAGTGACTTTAAAAACAAAGCAGCTTTGTGATTATTATCATTGTCATTATTAATGTTATTAGAAATCATCAGAGGAAACAGTCGCCAACATGGAAAAACTCCACAATGAAGCTTTGGCCGCTAAAGAAGAGGAGATCAGTGCCAGAGTCAGCAAAGCTGTGGTATGTGCCGAAGGTTATACACATTCAATTTTCACAACATAATCAGGTGGATCAGATTTTCAAGAGTTTCCCTTAGATCTTGATTTGGCATGCTTTTCACTGTTTGTGTGTTTAGGAGCAGTGCAAAGAGGAGCTCGCACAGTTAGGCAAGGAGCGAGAACAGCAGGCCACTCTGGCTCTGGAGGACGTGGAGCTGCAGAAAACGGCTCTGAGGACGGAAGCGGACAACAAAGTCAAGGACATCCAGCTGGAGCTCGAAGCTGCGAGAACCGTGAGTCACGTTTACAGTTGTTTTATTTAAATTTGGTCACTATGATGATATTGGACATATTTATTTAGGCAGGAGATTAAAAGCTTCATGTAAAAGTCTAAAAGACTTCTTTTGTTTTATATGTAAAGTAAAGAAATGCAGAAATGAGCTCTTAACTGCATAATTTACAGCTGTTAATTCATCACCACATCCTTCAGCTGCTATTTTCTCATCTTTTTAAGATAGAGTTGAACCAATCTGTGACTTTTTTCAAAGAGGGATGTTCAGTGAAGCTCAGGATGTTGCATGAAGACAATTTAGGAGAGTCAAACTGGATATTTTTTAACAATATCATTTTCTTTTCCTGAACCTGAAACATGATTAATTTATGAAAATGATTAATATATTGCAAAATAAATCTGAAAATATTCCAAAAGAAAATATTTCAGTTCAATCCCTGTCCCCAAAAAATTGGGACATTGTGCAAAACTGAATTTAATGATTTGTAAATTATTTAAACACTATATTGAGTGTAAAGACAAAGTAAAGACTTAAAAACATTCAGTTTTGGTGTTTGATATTCTTTTACGAAAATAAATGTTTGTTTACATTTGATACCTGCAGAAAAAGTTGTGTAATGCTAAAAACACTTGAAGGAATATCTCCTAATTGCATTTGCTAAGAGTTAATAACATGACGGTTTAACAAAAAAGCATTAGAGGTAAAGACAACAAGAGGTTCCCCACTCATTCAGAGACTGGGTGAGCAAACAGTTTCAGAGTGTTGTTCCCAGGGTAAAATTGCGAAGAATTTAGGCATTTTATCATCTTTGGTGCATAATAGAATAAAGGATTCAGTAAATATTTGTAATGATCATAAGAAATCACCATTAAACTAAAAATATTTTGCATCGTAAGGTTAAACAGGGTTTAAAAAGTGGATTTGCAACCATCAAAATCTTCTTTTTATCAGCATTTTACTAGGTATTTAACTTTTTGTACTAGAGTTAAAGCCAAATTTATAGTGAAACATAATATATTAGGATAAAATGTGTAATGTGTTGCAAAAAAAGTAAAAAATCTCACAAGAGCAAAAGATTTTTAATCCCAAAGATTTTTTTTTTGTTCTTTATCAAATAATCTGACTGTTGCTTTTGTCTCACTTGCAGAGAATAATGGAGCTGGAGAGCTCTCTAGAAAAGATCTCACAGGATGGATCGAGTCTGTCCCATGAACTTTCCAGTCAGCTCGCCCAGCTGAAGGAAAAACACAAAGAGCAAATCTCTGCATTAGAGGAAAAGCACCAGGAGCAGCTGGAAAAGCACAAGGGCACCCTAACCCAGCAGCATAACGCTGACCTCGAGGGGCTGAGGGAAAAACACCGAGTTGAAGTGGAGACCCTTCTGAAAGATAAAGAACTGCAGTTCCAAGCACATGTTGAAGACATGAACCAGAAAACTTTGGAGAAACTAGAAGCGAATCAGGCAGAGCTGGAGGCGATTTCAGCTGAACTTTCAGAGGCTTTGAAGAGTAAACAACTTCTGGAGGAGAAACTGACAGCGGCTGAAGATTCTCACCGTTTATCCCAACAGGAACATGAGAAGAAGCTTCAAGATCAGGAGGGGAGGCACAATGCCGAGCTGGCTAATATCAAACAGGAGCATGAGCAGTCTCTAGGAGGTGTAGAGAAAACCCTGAAGGAGGAACTCAATGCGATGAAGATCATCGTGAGGGAAAAGCAAAAAGAGATCGAGGAACTCACTCTTCGAGAAAAAACACTACAAGAGGGATCCGATTCTTCTGTACAAGAGCTGAATGTGAAAGTTCAGCAACTTGAGGAGCTGCAGAGAAGTTTATCACAATCCCAACAAGACAACGAGAGCCTCAAAGACTCCAACACTCAGCTGAGTAAGATCTCAGAGGATCTGGATCGGTGCCGGAAGGATCTGGCAGGTTTGGAGCAGCAGTTAGCAGAAACAAAGAGCGACTGTCAACAAAAAGAGAAGCTGCTTCAAGAGCTGGAGCAGCAACTACAAAAGAGCAACACCGAGCACTCAGAACAGGAGAAGTCATTCACTGCAGACCTTAACGCCAAACAGGAGGAGCTGACACGCCTCCTCAAACAGCTGGATGATGAAAAAGCTGCTCATGAGAAGAAGTTCAAAAACACTACAACTGAGATGGAAAACAAGCTCAAATCACAGGAAACAAAAATGGAAAAGTTCAAGCAAAAAGCCAAAGAAATGCAGGAGAACTTCAAGAAGAAGCTGCAGCAGAGCGAGGAGAACATGAAGAAGGAGCTCGCCAAGAAGGACAAGGAGCTCCAGCAGAAGGAGCAGCAAGTGCAAGAGAAACTCGTGGAGATGTCTCAGAAAAGTTCCCAAGGCCTCAGCAGCGCGATGTCGGAGCTGCAGGCCAACCATAAAGAAGAAGTGGAGAAGCTGCATGATGCCCACAAGCACAAGGTGGAAGAGCTGGAGCATTTCTGGAAGGAGAAATTAGGACAGCAGGAGGAATTAGCAGAGAAGCACTCGCACTTACTGCAGGAGAAGGCTCAGGAGGTGGAGGAAACAAGTCAGCAGCTTAACAGAAGCAAAGAGGAGATCGAGCAAGTCCTGTGTGAGATCAAGAATCTAAAAGAGGACCTGGCCATCCGAGAAACCACCGTGCAGAAGCTGCAGGAGGAGCTGAATGAAGCTGCGGTGAAGCTGGAGAGTTTGTCTCAGGGTGAAGCGTTGCTCAAAGAGCAAATGGAGTCCGTGGAGAGGAACCTGAACCAGGCTCTGAACGAGAGGAACTCCCTCCAAGATAAGCTGAACACTACAGAGGAGGAGACCAAGGAGAAGATGAAGAGCTTGTCAGACAAGTTAGAGGAGACGGAGAAGCAGCTTGAAGCGGTTCAAGGCTCCAGATGTAAAGAAAGCGAGGAAACTGCCACTCAGCTTAAAGCCAAGGAAGCCGAGTTTCAGCAGCAGCTGATCATGATCCGGAACCACATGGAGCATCACTGTAAAGAGGTTCAGTCTAAGGTGGACTCTGGGTCTAATGAACTCTGTCAGAGAGTTGACTGTCGGCTGAACGAGCTGAAAGATAAGCTGATCTGTAATCAGAAGAAGGTGGGGCATCTAAAAAATGTCATCCTCATGAAGGTTGATCGAATTTGCACTTTAGAGGAGAGTCTCCGGCAGCAGACGGAGGAGAATAAGAATCTATGCATCTCTTTAGAACAGACCACTGCTCAGGTAAACGCTCACGCCGAGCATATTAAAGCCTTAACACAGGAGAAGGAGGATCTCGCTCAGTCTGTCCACGACAAGGTCCAGAAGATCGAGGAGCTGAGCGAAGCAAACAGCAACATATCCAAAAGTGTGAAAACAAACGAGTCGGATATCAGTAACTTGGAGAGCATCATCGGTGACTTGAAAACTCAGCTTGCAAGTAGCATCACAGAAAAGGAAGAAGCCATAAATCAGCTGAACCAGCAGTATGAGGAGGAGAGGCGGCAGTCTGCAGCTCAAGTGAAGGAGACGGTGGAGAGATTAGAGCAGGAGAGAAGGTCTGCTTTAGAAGAGGGAGACTCTCTGAGGAAGAGTCTGTGTGAGAACGAGAGCAAAGCTGAGACAAAGTTCACTCAGAGCGAAAACACTATTTCATCTCTGCAGACCAGGCTGGACGAACTGGAGCGAGAGGTCTCTGCGAAAGACGAAGCCCTGCAGAGGCTGAGAGCGAACATAGACAATCAGTCCATCAGCAAGTCTGAGATGGACCAGGTGTTGAGTGAGAAGGAGCAGAAGGTCAGCGGACTTACCCTGGAGCTCGAGGGCTGCATCAGCCGACTGGGCGAGCTCCAGGAGCAGTTAGCCTTAAAGACGAAAGAGTGCGAGCAACTCACAGCTGACCTCAAACAACAACACAGCATCAGGGAGAACGAGAAGAAGGAGCTGGTGGAGCAGCTGCAGCAGAGTCAGCAGCAGTGCGTGCAGAACGGGAACCTGGAGCAGGAGATGGTGGAGAAACTGCGCTCTCTCGAGGAGGACAACCAAAACTTTAAGCACAAGCTGGAAAGTCAAAGGGAAGAATTTGAGAAGATGAAAGATGAGATCGTGAAGAGCAAAGAGGAGAGTCTGAAGGAAACCGAAGAGAGGTTATCAGCAGAGAGCACCAGGAAAGTGTCTGAGCTGAAGAAGAAAGCCGAGCAGAGAATCAGTCAGATTAAAAAACAGCTGAGCTCGCAGTTGGATGAGAAAGAGCAGACCATCAAGGCTCTTCAGACGAGCCTGGAGGAACTCAAGAGCAACGAGACTTCAGGAAAACAACACACACAAACACTAGAGGAGAAAACGAAAACACTGGAGGGAGCTCTCGTCAAAGTTCGAGAGGAGCAGGAGAAACAAATCGAACAGATTCTGAACAACGAGAGGCTGGCGAAGGAGAAGTCTTTAGAGGAACTGAAAAACACCTACGAGGAGAAGCTGTCATCTCTGCAGAGGGATGCTGCGCAGCAAGGAGAGCGTGAAGAAACTGAAGAAGCGCTGAAAACCATCCAGGTAAAGCTAAAAGAAGCTGAGGAGCAGAATGGAAACCTTCTCGCAGAGATAAACCGGCTGAAAGAAGAAATAATTGAGAAGGAGGCTCAACATCAGGCAGCCATGAAGCTGGTCCAGAACTCTGCTGAAACGGAGATGATAGAATGTAACAGCGTACAGAAAACAGGGAGCACCATGGAAAACCACTCTGTGATCCAAGACGGAGACGAGGATGCTACAGAGACTCTAAAGAGCAGTCTGAGTCAGGTGAAGAACGAGAAAGAGAAAATCCACAAGGACTTCACCAGGCTTCAGAAGGACATGAGATCTCTGAGGAAAGAGCACGAACAGGACCTGGAACACGTGAAGAAAGAGCTGCTGGAGGAGAGCGAGAAGAAGATGAAGTAAGTAAAATTGTAAAATATGTTAAAAGAAACATGCTTCTGGTGTCTGCACTAACTCGAGATATTCTCACTGTTATCTGCTGTTGTAGGCTGGAGTTGGAAGATGTGGAAATGAAGCACAATTCTGCAATCAAGCAATTAATGAGGGAGTTTAACACCCAGATGGCCTTGAAGGAGAAGGAGCTGGAAACGGCAGTCAAGGAGGCCATTGGTGAGGCTAATAAACAAGATTTACAGCCATGTCGTCAGTTTTGGGGAATCAGGGAGGGGTAAAATAGTCCTCTGTTGTGGCAATCAGCTGATGTTTGAAGCATTCACACGGCTTCCTTCAAATAAGAGATCAAAGTTTCTCTGTGATGAAGTCCAACAGCAGGGTGGAACAGCTACATGGAAACATGATGCATTTTTTAATCTTGACACAGTGTGGAACAGAATTAAAGGATCATTACATTTGGAAAGAGTGTGTCCGAGCGACCATGTTCGCTTGTTTCCTCTGCGGTTAAATCCCGTTTCACTCCAGATGGATTGTGACCGAGTGGTTTGGAATATGACTTTGGTAACGCTGCCATCTTTCTGCTTCCCTCTTTCCTCTTCCTTAACAACACAGCGAAGGCCCAGACCGTCGAAGCTGAGCTGATCAGCAGCCACCGCGATGAAGCCGGTCAGCTGAAGAAGCTGATCGCCCAGAAGGAGGAGGATATGCGCAAAACGGTTCAGAAATATGAGGAGGTTATACAGGTAAAGACGACGCTGATAGACTCAATCAGGGTAAACTGCCTTTTCCTATACCGCACATTTGAAATTGAATAATCAGTTTAATTTAATCTTAGGGGGAATTTCTGGTTAAATTATGTTCAAAATATTCAAACAGCCGAATCTTGTAAACTTACATCTACAGTATGTCTCTTACAGTGATGGGAGGTGGGTGTGTCAATTTAAGCATCACTATTTCAATTAAAGAAGTCAGACTCTTGGTGCTCATTCACTCCTTTATTAATAAGACTAATTAACTGATTGATAAATATCTATTTCAAAGAGGTTGAGAAAATAAAATAGCATTAATGTGCAATTCAGGTACAATGCTAACACCTCCTCCAGCTTCCTGCTGCCACCATCAAAGAAAACCAGAATTTAAAGCTCCTGTAAGGAGTTTTTCTAATTCTACGAAATCGACTGAAATTTGCATCGATGGCTTTTTATGACATCCAAAAGCAAACGAGACCATCAGAAGCACCATTGATGGTTTTTATACTGTAGTTTTTAATGCTTGAAACCAGTGCCAGGGGGTAGGTGTCACCTTAATATTCACAATAAATGATTTATTCAAGTGGTTGAAGTCAGCAGGATTAGATTTTTTTGTTGTTGAGGACAAGATGAGCCAAGATTTATTAGTGAGAAATTCCTCACAGGAGCTTTAAATATAAATTAAGTACTTTAAGTTTAAGCAACCACCTATGAATTAAGAATACAGGTGCAGCTGAACAGACGGACTCACAAAAGCAGACAGAGAATAATTTAAAAACTGATTTGAAATGCAAAAAAAATAGAGTTTTAAACATGAGATAAAAAACATGATTGAACTCAATTAACTTCTAAAACTTGGCGATTAAAATAAATAAAGGTTTTGCAGTTTGACTAGCTTAAATGACTTAGGACTTCCTCAGTTTCAGCTTCTCCCTAGTAGTTTTAACTTAGTCATAATGACAGCGTAATTTGATTGAAATGGTGGTCTTCATATTCTCATATATCTTTAAGTTTCTCTGTAGTTACATAACTAATTCAATAACCTCACAGCTTTTCCAGATTACTTTTTCCTCACTTCTTTGAGGAATCACTCAGTCCCGGAAAACCTGACTCATCATTAATCACTGCTCGTTGAAAAATACGTGTTGAGAAATCAGTACAGTGTATTTCTCCAGGAACAGTCAGCGGCTTTTATTAAACTGTTTTCTTTAATGTCTTGCAACATAATTAAAGGCTGGAGGTCTGAAAACGGGACCCTGACATGATGAAGTGATTTGACCGACATACTTGTGTCATGATGCGGGGATGAAACATAGGAAATGACTCAGCCATTGTTTGATTCTTCTTTGTTTGTTTCAGAGTCGAGAGGAGGAGATGGGAGACAGAGTGTGGCAGGTCCAGAAAGAGCTGGAGGAGTTGCAAGGGAGGAGCCAGGACGCTTCTGAGGTAGAGACAATCCTGATGCTATCTACAAATTCAGCAGGTCATCAGACATCTGTGATCTGTGTCACAACTGCTCGATACATCACAGTCACTTTTTCCCGCTGAAAAAAACAGATGCAGACGCACAGACCTGCAGCTATAAGAGTCTATTATATTCCAGACTGCAGGTTCAGATCAGATTTATGAAGTGATTCTGCTTCACGATGGCCGAGTGAAATCACTTCTTTTCAGCTCCTCTGGGAAAAGAGCAGAGCCTGATAGAAACATTACGAGTTCTGAATGACAGCCAAGTCCAGACGCAGTTTTGAGTCCGCACCAACCCCTCAGATATCTTTATTATCGGAGAGTTCACGTCCAGGTTGACAGACTTCACAGTGATCGATTATCTTTGTCTTGCTTTGTAATTGAAGGATTCCGAATCCGAGCTCAGGGACACTCGGCTCACATGCTTCGCTCTGATCACTCTCTCGCCCGGGTCGTGTGGCTGCTGTCCAGAGCGCGTCCGACCCTGCGAAGCTCGTTTGAATCACTCAGGAATGTTCTCCTCTGGAAGCAGCAGCAGCCAGTCTCGAACTCTGTTCTCAATTATCATCGTACGAAGTGATTCTGGGCCTTAAGATTTATACTTTAGAAATACTCACATGTAAGACATTCATGCTGGAAAAGAGCCAGAGAGACAGAGAGTTCTCCAGGGAGACATTTCTACCCGTGTGTTGAGGTGCCGTCAGACCCCTGCGTCGACTCTTCTACCTTTACACTCTGTCCAGATGTACACAAACACACTGAGTCACGCCGCTCTCTCTCTCTCTCTCTCTTTCTGCTGCATTTTTCCTCACTGAGGTCATAACTTTATGGGTGGATTGTATGGGCTTATGCTTTGAGAGGCCTTTCCTCACATCAGGCCTCATGATCCATTCCTCATCCAGACACTGGGACATTCCCCTCCATGGAGACCACAGACTCTTTTAGAACAACTAGTCCAGTTTAGTCTGTTTATGCAGACTCAATAAACACTGCTTTGTATTTACTGCGGTGCTAAAACATATGCAGATGGTTTGACACTTGATTTTGTAAAAATAAAATACCTTAAAATGACCAAAACAGGCGTCTGATCATCATGCTTTTAGGACTTGGTGTCTCGAACAGCTGGGGAAGGGTTGAGACACTTTTGGCAGTGAATTTATACAAGAAATCTGATTGGATGAGACATTTTATGAGCCCTGATGTCAAGTACAAAACCACAGAGTATAATTTTTATCTGTTTGAAGTACTCCTCTCCACTTCAGGAGTTCTCAGTACTCCAAATTAATGTTATAACAGTCTTGGAGGTCGTTCCCGAAACATTTGGTGCAACTTAATCGATTAAAGCTCCTGTAGGGGACTTTTGGTTTGTGTCCACTTTTGAAACTCCTGTCAACAAAGCAGTCTGTGCTGATTTTATCATCCACATATCTTCTAACAAGTATTTTATCCCGCTGAGTTTTGACTGTTAAATGTGTTGTTTCGTTTAAATATTCCATATGGAAGTTGAACAAACAGTGCTTGGCTGACACCTCCCTTATTGCACAGTTTCAGACATTAGAAATTACTGTATAAAAACTCTCAGTCTAGTCCTTGATGGTCTTGTTTATCACAAAAAGGCATCTTTATGAATTCTGAGTATAATGAGTATATTCTATTAACATAAAAATCTCTTACAGGAGCTTTAAATCAATTATAAACAACCTGTTTTGTCATTGCTTTTTGCAGCTTTTTGTCCCTGTTTTTTTTTGAGTAAAATCACTCTCAGGGTCATGCTGTTATACTGAATATCATCACTGCTCTGATTACTTGCAATACTGGATTCAGCCGTGATATTTTTTGGACTTCATATTCCTCCACTGTTTTTTGGGATTCTTTTCTCCGTACTTATGTTTTCTTTTCCTTGTTTTTAAGGAACAGATGTCCACAGAAGAACTACGGGTAGGTTTTCTCGATCATTGCTCAACAATTAAAGCACTTTGGCAAATAATCCTTGCTAATTTGTCACCATAGGTCATTGATAAGCACATGATCTCTGTGTTTTCTCTGACATTAATATTCTGCCCTCCTCTCCCTCAGGCTCAGCTGGCCGAGAAGACGTCTTTGCTGAGCGAGGTGAAGCTGAAGGAGCAGGGCTTTGTGGAGAAAGTGAGTGCAGAGCTGCAGGGACAAGCGAACAGAAAACCTCATGCAGTGATTCCCAGGATTCTGTGGCCTCCAGCGAGCAGCTCTCCTGCTGCATCAACTTAATTACACAGCACATCTGTTTACATTTGGTTTAACCCTATAAACAATCAGAACAACGCCTCCCACAGCTTTTCTCACACGCATCGTCATCCTCACAAACATCCCCCCGAGGATGATCAACAAATGCTGTGCTCATGTCCTCAGCAACAATTAGGCTAATGCATAGAATTAACCCACCGGGGTCAAGTAGCTGTTTTTATTAATGGATCTGTGCATGCTTGTGTGTTTCTCCACGGTAGATTCACTCGCTCGAGGACAAGATTAAATGTTTCCACCGGAGCACTGTTGTAACTCATCTTGGGAGCACTTTCAAAGGTAAAGTTGACACCATGAATCACTTAGTTCTGCTTCTCGAGCCCATTTCCTTTTAGATGAGCACAGCTAAGACACCACGCTGACTGCTTCAGCACAGAGCAAACACCACGGGACGCTGGGACATAAACTACAAACTGCTGCAGCTTTATCTCGGTTATCTTACTGTTTAGTCGTAATGTGGTTTTAATGATATACTGTGTTGACATACGAATTTTATAGTGTATGTCCTCAGAGCGCCACTGCTCTGTAGTATGTCAGTGTTTTGACACGCTACCAGAAATCTGCGAGCCCCAAAATCTCTTTATGGATGCGAGATGCAGATCCAGGGAAATGTACGATGGTGTGCGGGTGTTGGGTTTGGTTGAACTCTGCGTTTGAGGAGAGTCCAGCCCCCCTTAGCGTGGTTTTAACCCTGCTGGTTATGATTTGGGTCGCAGGTATAATTAGGGTTTGGTTAAGGTCAGAGTCAGGGGTTGGGGTTTTAACCACTGTGGTTATGGTTCGGTTCAGACTGTGGGTCAATGTATATATTTTGAAGTATGTCATAGACTGATCATGCTGCATGCCAGAGAAGGAGGAAGTAGTCCTCACTGGTCGAAAAAAGAGGAACTACATAAATCAAATCAGTCAGTGAATGTTAATTCATTTAGCACCAATTAAAAAACAAGTCATCTCTTTATTATATGACTCACAAAGACCCTTCATTACGATAAAGATCCTGTCTTATCCCATCTTAACCCACAGTAAACAGAGCTCTTTGTAGCATTACGCAAGTTAGAGTGGCAGGAAAAAACAAAAAAAACAAAAAACAAAAAAACGGGTCCTGTTCTTTCAACAGGCAGAAATCTTGAGCAGATGGGTGCAAAAAAAAGAAAAAGCTCTTTCCACTTTTTAACTACTTTATTAGTTTTAAGTACAGATGCAAGAGACCTGATCAAGCATATAATAGAATAGAATAGAACTGAACGAAATAGAATGCAAAAGAATAGCATGGAATAGAATAGAACTGAACGAAATGGAATAGAATAAAGCAGATAGTGTAGAATGGAATGCAACAGAATAGAACAGAACTGAACAGAATAGAATAGAATGAAGTAGAATGGAACTGAATGGAAAAGAATGGAATGCAACATAATGGTATTAAATGGAATGGAACGGGTTGGAATAAAATGGACTAGAGTCGAATAAATAAAAATAGAAATGAAATGAACGGAATGGAATAGAACAGAGTACAATTGAATAAAGTGATATGGGAAAGAAAATAACTGAACAGAATAGAATAGATTAGAAGAGAACAAATAAAAATTGAATTAAAATGGAATACAACGGAATGAAATAGAGAAGAATAAATAAAAATGGAATGGAACCGGAAAAAAAACAGAATGGAATGGAAATAAACAGAGTAGAATGAAATGGATTGCACAGAATAGAATGGAATGGAATAGAATTGGAAAGAAAATATGAGATTACATAACCAAACCAAAGATGAAGTCCAAAGTACACTAAACAATATAAAAACAATATATCTGATAATAAAAGTTGATCCTGAAAAGGCTTTTCTATTTTAAATCAGGATGCATCTGTAGAAAAAGTAAATGTAAAGCAGAGACTTAAGCGAGATCTCTGACTCAGCTGATGGGACCATCCTCTCCCATCATACTGTATTTGAAGTCTGCTAAATCACTACACAGATTTTCCATGTATGTCTTGTTATCAGTCTTCCTCTGGGGTTTCCTGTTGTCCCCTCAGAGTCACACTTAATGGCAAACAGACCTGAAATAGCGGAAAGAAAATGTGGCTGACCCGGAACCAAAAGACTCGAATAAAATACGGCCCTGAACCTGTACAGGTCATAGGCCGGGTCTTTCGTCTTTGGTTTTTGGAGACCTGTGAAGATCTCAGAGAGAGTAGGTGTAGGAAACAGGGAAGATTGAGTGAATTGAACCCCTCTTTCTCTCCTCTTCTCCCTGCTGGTGTAATAAAGAGAAGCTTCTGTCAGAAGGGGGGGCCTTAGGAAGCCATGTTTGGATTTAATGGCTTTTGCAGATTGTGGTCTTGACGTGTCCCTGCAGCAAATACTTCTCAGTCCAGTTCTTTTTAATACAAAAACTATATTCTTATAAAACGAGTCTCTTCCTCTAAGTATGTATATTCTCAGCCTGGTCAACTCACCATCATGAGTACTTTCAGGTAGAAGAGAAGATCTAAGGGCGGCTGATATCTGGTTTCACGTGGGCAGCTTCCTGACTTTTGGGATTTAAGGCTCAGTTGGGGCGTCTTGGGGTCAGCAGGACAAAGGCTGTGGGATTTATTGATGAGCGGTTATTTTTGCAGGAGATCAAAGAGTGTTTGCACCTCTCTATCACCTTTTCCTGCAATCAGATGCTCTCCTCGTGTCTCAATGATTATTCCAGATAAGCTTAAGTACGTGGGTGTTGTTCCGTAATGAAGACCTGATGGGATGTTCCTCTGGTTAAAGCAGAAGTCTGGGTGTTACCAATGCAGTTTAAGACTTTCCCATTCATAGTTTTTACAGGTAGAGTGCTGTTATAGCTTCAGGCGAGGAATTAAAACATCCATTCACACTCTTACAGTTTTAATGTGTTCCTGCTGAGCCTCACTTCGCTTCCCCGTGTTTAGAGTTGGACCTGTTTGAACCTCTTCTACATGATTCACATAATTAAATGTTTTTATTTTTGCCTGGTTTGCTTTTACAGATCCTGGCATCTCTGATGCACTCTCAGAAGCCACAGAGATAGAGTACCTGAGGAAGGTGCTGTTTGAATACATGATGGGACGGGAAACAAAAGTACGCTCTTTCTTCTTACATACACACACACAGAAAACATTTTGCTATCATTTATAGAACTCAGTTTTTACTTCTTCATCAATAATTTGTCTCAGCTATCATTATTAATAGTTGTTTGACAAGTCCTTGATTTTTTTTTTTTAATGACATGCATAAACGTAGCAACAAATGCAATACAAAAGTTTGAAGAGCGCTGTGTTGTTGCCCTGGATTAAATTAGGGCTGGGCAATAGACCGAAAATTACAGATGCCCATATCAATATATTCGGTGTCAAAAAAATAAATAAATAAAAGTTGGTTTTGGATGTGTGTAGGTAGGCTATGGTCTTATGTCCCTTTAAGACGCTGTCCTAAGTTAGAGACATGACTTCACTCCATCCAGTCTGTAACAAAGTGGGAAAGACAGGTGAGGAGGTGGAGGACGGTTCAAAAGTTATAGTGGCTGGAGTACACAAAGTTAATGTGGGAGGGGGTGAGCAGCTTGAGGAGTAGTTATCGTCCATTTATCGTTATGGAGGTAAACTGCTCAATATATCTTGATATTGATTTTCAGGCCATATTGCCCAGCCCTAATTAAAAGTGGTAATTTATTTTTCTCAGTCTTGAGAAATGAAGCCAATAACGTAGTAAAACCTGCAGTTCCCTGAGTGTCCACTAGATGTTGGCTGCAGAAGCACTGAAAACCACATACACACAAAACCAAAGAAGCCTATTTAGAGCAAAAACAAACACATTTGCATGCTGGTTCAAGGCATCCAATGTAAATATCTTTGCAAAGCATTTGTTTCAGCGAATCAGAGGCACAGCTGACTCGACCGACAGGAATTAGGGCATTCATGATTTCACATTTCCACCTCGTGTCATTATTTTGATGATCCTCCCATCGACATCGAAATAACGACAGGAGAGCAGATAGCAGGAGAGCAGGAGAGAGATATCAAACCACTGGAGCTCGGTCTGCACTTGTTGCATCATATGGAAAACATAAACCCATGACTTAATCACTCTTTCCTTGAGACTGATGGGCTGAAATTTCTAAACAAATTAGGATGAGGTCCATGAACTAAACCCTTACATGGTAGTCTGTCCATCCCACCGTTTTTATTGGGGTTCCCCATGACCTCCATCAGCCACACAAGTCGTGGGACCATAAAGTCCACCATGTAAAAGTCATGTTGCGTCCAGTGTTCTCAGGTTAAATTAACACTGAACTCTCTAATTAACGGTGCTGTTGACATGGTCCTAAAGTCAGCAGGATTTTCCCAGCTCCTCAGCAAACAGTCGGTCTTTATGGCGGCGCTGCAGACCTCCGCAGTGTGGAGGATGTCCCCCAGGCTCCCTGCGAGCACGTACAGCGCACATGACGCAGATTTACCATCCAGAGACATACTGGTCTTGTTTAGCGTTAGCTGAGCGGTTATGGTTCCTACACAGCAGCCCTGTTTCTGATTATCCCCCGTGTTTATGGGGGATTCATGCACCCTGGCAGAGCGGCCTGGAGTTGATTTCTCCCCTTTTTTGGTCTCGTTGGGTTTTAATTGTTGCAGATTCTCTCAGTAGCTTGAATAGGTCATTGTGGGAAAAGCAGGGAGCTGCTGGATCTGTTTTTTACGAGAGGGAAGTTGAAAATTTGTCCAGGCAACATAAACGAAGCATATATTATAGCATGTTTCACACAAGAGGCCACTGAAAACAAATACGGCTTCTGTTAATGAAAAATGATGCCAGGAGGAAAAAAAGACCATCAGTATGTGTCTAAACAGGGAAAATAGACATTAAACACTCATTAAAATCACATTATAAAAAGGTTCTGAACTTCATTATAACTAATTTGAAAAAACCAAGACAAACAAGGCACATTTGAACCACAAGGCCTTAAAGCCCTGCTTCAATGTTATGTTTTTTTTGTGTTATTATCCAAATGCACACATAAGAGACCAAATAGAAACACAGACACATTTTATCATCATCACAGTTCAAATAAAAGTCTTTTTAAAGCTCCAGTGAGGAACTTTTGGTTTGTGCCAGCTTTGGCGCCCCCTGTGGACAAAACAGTCATTGCGTATCATGTCCTTTACAAGCTTAAGTACCATCTTTTGACAAAAACTTCCTTCCTGCTGACTTTTGACAGTCAAATGTCTAATTTACTGGATGTATTTTACTTGTCAATTGTAAAAACATGGCTGACATCTACCCTCTCACACTGATTTTAGACATTAAACATTGGGATATAAAAGTCATCTATTGCTCTGCTGATGAACTTATTTGCTGTGAGATGTCATAAAAAGGCATAAATATAAATTTCAGTCTATTTCACAAATGTCAAAAAACTCCTTATAGGAGCTTTAAAAATGTTTTCATTAACATTGCTATCTATCTGTTTTAAAGGGGACACAGCTGCAGAGTGATAGGTTGATGTTAAAGGCCTCAACAAGGAGAATCATGAAGAAACACACGATAGGGAGTCAATTATGAATACATTTTTTGGACTTTTTGGGAGTTTATTTAGAGAATTTTAACAGTGGATAGAGGAGGAAACAGAGAGATGGGAATAATCTGCCAACTTTGAGGACAGTGGGGCATGAGACTGAACCGCTTAGGTAGACCACCACCCCAGAGCGCTGAGTTACTGTTTGTTTTTAAAATGAATTATCTTTTTGGCACTAGCATTAACTGATCCAACTCCTTTTAATTAAACTATTTATTCACATAGATAAGTTGAACTCAGCGTAATAACATAAAAACTTAAACCTTTTAAACCAAAGATAGATTAAAGCCAAATGTCCCTTTTAAATAATAAACACAAAATTTTTCCTCTGTATTTTTTCAGACGATGGCCAAAGTGATCACCTCCATGCTCAAGTTTTCTCCTGAGCAAGCGCAAAAGGTCCTGGAGAAAGAAGACTCAAAAGCTGTTGTAAGTTAATGTTTTTCTGCTCTGCACTTAAATAATATTTATCATTAAATATTAACGTTGATGTCCTGTGTGTCTCCTCAGCCTTGGTTACGATGAGTGTTGGATGAATTCGGGTATTTTCGATGAAAATCTGCTGCTGCTGCTACTGCTGAAGGGGAAGACTGCCATGGACTCATTACGCCCTTCTCTCTCTGCATTTCTTGTCATTTTATGCTTGTGTGTGGGTGAGTGTTTGTTTGTGTTGAAGCACCAATGGGGCATAATTGTGGTGTGTGTGTGTGTGGTGCAGTATGTGTGACCATATCTAAAGGTATGAGGGAATTAGAGAAAATCTTCCATCAATCCTCTCTCCTCCTGTTTGTTAATTTATACGTTTTAGATTAAGTTAAATCGTTCCCTTTCATGTAGTCCACGCTGATAAGGATCGGCTTGTGCAATAAAATGACCCCGTTATCTTGTGTTGATGCTGACAGGTCAGTTGATTTAAAGGTTTCTGTGTCGTGTTGTTCGTCTGAATCACTTCCTGTGTAAAACTGTAAACGACCCTTTAACTGTGCACTCGCACCACATTAACATGTACCGGCCTCTGGACCTTGTTTGTGTAACACAGCTTTTCTATGCTTTATATTTGTCACTGATGCTGACATAGAAACACACAGAAATGAAAAAAAAACACACAAACTGTAAATTGTATGATGGTAATTAAACTGTATTATAAGGCACTATATGACTTGCTACATTTTCAGAATAACAGATTAAATCTTATTTACAGAACAGCCTTTGTCACTCTCTTTTCCTGGTTGTCACTCACTGTCCTGGTCTTTGGTGTTGGTGTTGGGTCACATTTCTGATCTCACTGTCTGGTTTCCTCTGATTTAACTCATCTAAGAAAGGATAAACTTTGATAAAATCCTGTTTAAAGGGACTGAGAAAGAGGAATGTGGACATCAATAGTCATCATCGCTTTAAAGACCCTGTTGTTGGGTCTGATAGCTCAGCTGGGGTGACCTTTGTTTGACCTTTTTCTGTCCTCAGCCACAGATGAAAAAGACTTCTCGGTCCACAAAACACAATGCAATTATTATGTTATTTTAAAGCTGTACAATACAAACAGTTTTATAATAGTTGTTAACATTTGAAAAGTTCACAAATGAAATGTACAAACCCTATTTTTAGAGCTAATCCTCGAGTTTCAGTCCTTTTTTTGAAGCCTTAAACAAGACCTTGTTCTTTAAAGCTCCCATGAGGAGTTTCTGATGTTTATGAAAGTGACTCGAATTCATGGCAATGCCCTCTAATGATATATGAAAGCAAACAAAACTTTAATCAAGACTCAAGATTTTTGGATCCTTATTGTCTAAAGACACGGTCCTGTTTTTTTACAACTTTTACCTATAATATTCACAATGAATTTGATTGTCAGCAGGATGAGATTTGTTGTTATAAATAACTACTTTAAAAATGTTGTGGACCTGTTAAGCAAGACTTCTTATTTCCCAAAACTGACAGACCAAAAGTTCCTTATAATTTGTCTAAAATATGCAAATATAACAGAGTAAGATACTTAAGAGCAGAAGTCAGGCTTAACTTGAGCTCAACAGATGAAAAACAGGAGAAAATTACAAAACTTCTTTATGCTTAAAAGTACATGTGCACCATATGTTAAGCTCAGCCTTAATGTTAAAATTAAAAGATGTGTTTTATTTCTTGATCTTCAGTTAAATACTTTTAAAAACTTGTTTATTTCTACTATTTATTTTGACCCTGAGTCTTAATAAACTCCCAAAATATTCAAACTGAAAACAGCTAAACAATCTTGTGACTTAAACTGAGAGGCAGAAACTCAATGAGGCTTTTATTGTGTAGAACTTCTTAAATAGATACATTTTTCTTACGGTTGAATTTCACATAAAACTCAATATCTCATTTATTTTATAGTGTATTATTAATAGTTCAATAAAACTTGTCCTGATGTGAAAATGGAGACCTTTGTGTGACCACAGTCAGTGGGGAACGATAGGTGGCAGCAGTGCGCACTCATCCCTCTGTTTAAGTGAATGGAGCCCCCAAAGCCCACGGGTGAAATGTGATTCTTTGCGCCTCAAAACCATCCGCGTCTCTCCATGACCGCGTTAAAGCGTCACTTATGCAGAAAAAAAAACTCTGGTTCCGGTTTGACTTTTTCAGATTAAACCCCTCCTCTTTATCGAAACTTCCACTGAACTTTTTCTACATAGAGATACTTTTATTTTGTGGGGGAAACTCCCCTTTTTCCGGTTCTAGTCCGACTCGCTCTGGTTGTCTTAACTCTCCTGACCACATTTATCTCCACGACTGGTGCTCCCGCGAGCAACAACTTAGTGAGATTGACACAGTATGGAGAGAAGCTGACGCACCGTTATTTACCGGACCGTTAACTCTCCTCCTCGAGCCTCTCCTCGAGCCATCACAGTTTTCATGCCGCGCGAGATCAGGAGAAAACAAGCGAAGAGTTTTGGAAGAGTTTGAAGAGCCGTCAGCTCCTCTTTACTGCCTTTTCCCCTCTTTTTTGGACACTTTTACTGCGTTATTACGCATGACGCGCAAAGGGATGGATCCTCTTTGGAGACACAAAACGGGAGTTCAACGTGTGTTTTACATTTATCTTTCTATTTCAGTGGCTTTTTCTTACAATATAGACTTTGAACATCCTTTAGTGTTCCGCGGACCAAACTCTAGTTTTTTTGGCTACTCTGTGCTGGAGCATTATCATGACAACACACGCTGGTGAGTCCGATCATGTAATGTTCCTGCGACTGCTGTGTGATGCAATGAGTTTGTACTTTTGAAATGTCAAAGTTTCTCCCAAAGCCAGTGAATGTGAAATAATGTAAGGAGAGTTTTCCTCTGTTTGGGCAGCAGCTTTTTCTTCTGATGATGGATTTTTCTTTTCGGTGATTCTGTAAGCTGTTCTGTGGGTGAATCCCATCCTCTCCCCTCTTCTGGTGTCTGCAGGGTCATAGTCGGGGCTCCGAGGGCAAACTCTACCTACAGTAGCTCTGTGCACTCTCCTGGAGCTGTGTATAAGTGTCGAGTTCACAGCAACCCGGAGCGCCGCTGCACAGAGATGGACCTGGGACGAGGTCAGTCACTGCCTCCTGCCTGCAGCATGAATATAAAAGCGCATAAGGACATTTATTATAGGGGGAGTTTCTATGCAGTCAAACACGACCTGAAAGGAGCATAAATACACACTCATGTCACAGACACACACTCATGCACACACTGGGCTTTCCTGCAGCTTTTCCTTGTCCTCTCTCAGCATAAACTCCCCCAAGCATCTGTTTTGTTTTATCCGAATAATGCAGCTTTATTCTGCTCTTAAACAGCGCTGAAGTTGTTCTTTCACTTCTCAACCTGTCCAGTGAGGACATGTTAAAGAAAAGAGGGTTCTGTGCGCACAGGTCCATAAATATTATGATACATATGATTTATGCTCTTGCTAATATTTTCCAAGCACGTGAGCCAAAGAGTTGAGCTCTGAACCCCCCCCTGAACTGAACCCTCGGCTCTGTTCTGGTGGTCAGGAGAAAGCCGGGGTGCACGCATGGCTTTAATATTAACCCTGAGCTCAGTCAATGTGTCACCAGAGAATAAACATGTGTGATCACAGGGAGCGTGTCCGGCCTGCTGCTCAGTGAGGGGGCTGGATGTACAACACACTGACACTCAGAAACACTCACTGATACATGCCATTGTGCTGAATCGACCGTCTTCAGGGAAAACTTTGGAGAAAACTAAAAGAAAAAGTGATGACTAAGCCAAGGTTTTACTTTTTCATGGTAACTTTTGTTTCTTCAACCCCTTCATCATGAATACTCATGTCGACTTCCACTGGATTGATGTTTCTGATCTGTTAACGGCATTATAAAACAGTTTTAGATGTAGTGAGGTATAGAATACGTTATTTAGCTAATTTCTACTCATGCACTTTTGACTTATGCAAACATTTCTAGTCTTGGATTGGAGAAAGTTAAAAAAGGTATATTCAGTTGTTTTTCAGTATTTAATAGGTGCAGAGCATGCCAATATAAAAGAACAGGATGTGAACATGCTGAAGTTTGCAAGAATGGAAATTTACATTTAAAGTCCTAGCTACAGCAGGTCACATTACGAATGAAAATGCATGGATGGAAGAGGTCTAATCCCAAGGTCTGATCAACAAACTGCACACCTCTTCGTGTGGAAGAGACTTGGATATTTCAAGTATCATTCTGATGCATTGATTCCCCAAATTTTGTTGCATTAAATGTAAGAACTTTACAGATCTAGCAAGAGGCATTCAGAAGTTAAAGACGTCTCTATAGAAGTTTAAGCTCCCTGAATGTCTGCAGGAAAGTTCTTGCTGTTCTTGCAAAATAATAATAGATAGGGACAATGTAAATGATATAGTACCACTTATATCTGTAACAATAAACCAACAGTAAGTGTTTTGCATGAGTAGATAAAAGCTTTTACTATTTCCCAGCTCTGGTTTCTGGCACTATTTTGCTTCATGATAAGACTGCAAAAAAAAAAAAATTACTTCTGCAGATTTTGGAAAGTATTAAAAATCAGTTTAGGTACAAGAATTTTATGAAATGATCATAACTGAGCAAATTTGAACTGGTTTGTTGATTTTAAAAAGATGCATCAGGCTCAACACTGTGACACAAAAAGACATATGTGCAGAAATTATTGCATGCAGATGACACTGTACAGGTTCCTCCATGCTTGCTGAGTAAACACCAGCATCTTCGTTGAGCAAAATGTCTTCTTAGCAAACATGCATGCATAAATTAGTGCGCAATGATGGACTAATTTTATGGATTATCCCTTTATTTGCATGACATCCTTTCCAATGAGGAATCCTAATAACTGATCATCAAACATTCAGTCACTCACTCACTCAGAAAACATGAAAATAATCAGCTTTCTTGGAAGCATTTGTGTTATTTTTCATACATTAGACTCTTATTTTTCTTATTTTGTTCACAACAGCGCTGAACTCTGATACCAACTCTGAGAAAATTAATGTTGATGCGCTTTGTGAAATTTCACACTGGCTGTTTTTCTTGGAGTAAAGTCCTTACAGTGATGACAGCCGCTTGGTAACAGAAGAGGTATTACGAAACACTCCTAATAACCCCAGACTGTTTCCTGCTCTGATGTTTGATTTACATTTTTTTATTTTTGTCCACTGTGGACGGAGTAGAAATCACCTGCACATTCAGCAGAGAGTACGAACAAACCTCAGGACTCAATAAGCAGACAATAGCTGATGGGTAACATGCTGTTTTCTCTCGAAGACTTCCTCCCTCGTGATGAGTCAACGTCTATAAACTGCTCTCATTGTCTCGTAGGAAACAGGCCGAGGGAGACATGCGGGAAGACGTGTCAGGGAGACAGAGACGACGAGTGGATGGGGGTCAGCCTGGCCCGACAGACCAAAGCTGACGGCAAAATCCTGGTGAGTTTGGAGACAAAATGTAGCTCCGCCAAATTGTTTAATTCAAACCATGTAGGCTCATAAAAAACAGATGATACAGACATCATTGTTATACGTCTAACATGAACCACACAGTTAAACCACGGCTGGTCTCGGGATTATAACCCTCCTCTGACTAAAAAGGCTCTGTTTAAAAACGTTAAGCTTTTAGTAACAAATGGGAACAAACAGAAACACTTAGTCAATCAGTCACTGTTGGTTACTAGATGTGGTGTCTGGCAGTTTTAGGAGATGGGAAAAGCCTCACTGCTTGTCCAGTTGGTTGTACATTAGTTTGACTCATACCTGAGACCTTGAGTCTTTTACCCTTTAAAACAAACAGATCTGCTCATGAAATCAATAAAACAGTGAGACAAAGAAGTTTTAGGTTAATGAATGTTCACTGCTCCTCTGCAGATACTCAGCTAACATCAGCCTGGCTTGTCTCTAAAGCCCTTTAACATTCGCACTCCTGGAAGTTTCTGGAAATTTTCAGGACAGTCTGCTTTGAAAACGTTTAAAGTTGCTTATTGACACAAGTTGCTAATTTCCCTGCAGATGTAGGAGAGTTGAGAGTTTAGAGTCTAAGGAGGTAAGACATGGATGCTGCAGAGGTTATGTTGTGCTGTTTACATGACATCCAAGATAGCTAAGGGAGTAGACTGTGGAGGAGGACGGGAATCAGACCACTGATCACAGCAGAAAGGAAGGGTGCTTCTTGTCATGTTAAGTGTATTTGAACATATTCACAGTAGAGAGTAAAGAGTGGAAAAGACATGCAGATGTGCAAAGAAAGTTTTATGAACATAAACATTGCCACCCTCTCCTAAATACCTGCGAGGGTTTCCCAGATTTTAACCTGCTGCATACATCACAACTCCAAGTGAAAATCTTGCAAAGGTGTCTGCAGGACGAAGTCTGAGGTGAAAAAAAGGCTCTGACTTTAGTATTTACAGTTTGCAAAGTTTAATAAATGTGGAGCCAAATGATCCATATTGGGTTCTTTCTCTTCTTAACAAAGCAGGTAAATAAAACCAGTTAAAACACTGACGTTAAAATGATGTCTCAGGTTAAAAACTTGGGTTCGTCTGGTGGGTAGAGCTTTAGCAGAGCTGTAACTAAGGTCTATGTAGCTGATGCAGGGCTGCAGGATATTAAAAAGAAAACTTGTATTGGATTTTTTTTCTCCTTTCTGCAACATAAATAGAGATATCGAAATACAGTCTTTATGCCAGATAAAGGCAGCTTGATTTAAGTGCTTAGACACAATTGTGAAAATATCAATTGATCACTTTCAACATAAACTTTACTAATAAAAGCTCATGACTTGCACACACATGTAATCTATGATTTCAGCAAAATTTAAATCTTGTTAAATCAGTTCAAACTCAGTCATTATCGTAACTTTTAATTGCACTAAAAGTCATCCTCTTCTTCTGCTTTCTGCAGGGATACTCGCCCACAGTAAACGCTCAGTGGTTTGGTTAGTTTAGCAGTCTGCACGTGTGTTTCCCCAACGTTAACAAGCACAGGGAGGAGCAGGACAACACCATGTCAGAATATCTGTCTCCCTTAATTAAGCCTTTTCTGGTTATCTGTGATCGTAGCAGTGTGGCGACACGTGTGCATGTTTACATCCTGCAGTTACGCAAGGCTTGATTACCTCTGAGTCTCTAGATTCATCTTTATTACAGAGAAAATGAAGAGAGCATGACGTGTTTAAGGTCACATGATTAACAACCAACGTCCTGTGGTGAGATCTTACCAGATACCATGCACAATATTTCAATGAAGTATGATCTTATCTTATTTTGAGGACTGGAGTTAAGACACTTTGCAATTTGAACAGCATCTTAAAATGATGTTTTCTTCATATGCAAGCAGAAGACTCCAGACTGTTTTCTCTCTGTTTGCTGGTCGTAGTCTTTTTGGTTCATCCATACTGACCAAATTGTCCAAGTTTTGCCATTTTAACATAAATATCATCACGTATATCAAGTTGTTTTTTGCCCAACCCTTCTTTCGAACAATAACTGCACTTAAATGACGTCTTAAGCGAAAAGCTGCAGAAACAGCTGAAGTCAGACACTTTTGGAAAGTGCCTGGTTGTTACATAACAGTGTGAAACATTTACCTCGTGTTTGGAGCTGGACGAGTCAGTGGAACAGAGTTTGTCAAGAGCAGATTGTTGTTTATAAAAATCAGGAGAGGGATTTGGAGAAGTGGACTAACTGGTGGTGTTAGTCCCAGAGGTGCTGTGCTGGCTGTTTGCTCAGGGATCAGAGGGCAGCTGGCAGAGTTTGTTTAGGCTGCAGACCCTCTGCGGTGGTCCCATCCAAGGCTGGCCTTTCATTAAACGTGAACCCCTGTCTCCTGTGCGGTGGGTAATGACTGGAACCGGCCGCCTTCGGGACGGTTTGGAGGCGTCTGCTGGGCTGTAACGCTCATGACAGGTGTGAGTGTGTACGAATACCTGCTGCTGATTGACCTCCTCCTCTGGGAGTCAAAAAAATCACAAGAATTCCTCCTCCTGCAGACGTCCAAATAACTGTTCGGCCTGATAAAACCTCCGGTCCTTTCAAAGTGTTTGTCTTTTGTTCGTTTTTTATACCTAGAGGAATGTACTGGCATGGATTTCAAACCATTACCCTTGGCTTTCCTCGTCCGTCAGGCGGTCAAAATGTGAAAACCTCTTGGAGTTGTCATTTTTGGGGATTTGAGGGTAAAGTTGTACAACAACAAGCTTTCAACTCGGGTCCAGATGGGGTTATTATGATAAAATAAAAGTGGTGACTCTGCACAGCCACGTGTTGCTGTGCCTGTTTTTTCTTTATCTCATCTGAATGGACTCACGTTTCTGTGGAGGGCGGAGGAAAACGGCTGCTTGGCAGATGTGTACAGCGGTGATTTCATCTGCGCTCTCAGTGAGGGTCTTGTTTGTAACCAGCGAGCCCTTAAACCGAGCAAGAACATGACAACACAGTCCCCTTAGAAACCATACAAGCTTTTTTTCTGCTTTGACACAAGACCTCCCTTTGCTTCGTTTACATCAGCTGAACCAGTTTTTTTTTTTCCTACAAATCTGCTTCTTCTTAAGACGGAGAATTTATGCTGGTTTTACTGCTACTGCTGGCCAAGCTGTCAGCTCAGATACAAGTGTTTCTTGACTTATTCTTCGGCTTCAGAGACTCAGAGGAGGCAGAAGTACAGAGATTTGTGCAAACAATGACTCTGATTAAAGCAGAAGTTCTGACTCAGCGTCTTTGTTGGTGAAAAAGTACATGATGTGAAATGTTGTTCAGATAAAAAACAGCCCTCTGGAAAACATTTCTGCAAACTTTGCATCATGTTTGTTGATCAGAAGCTGGAGCATCGTACACTTAGAGAATCAAAACATCACTGATGTGAATCCAGATCCATCAGCCGTGTTATTTTTGATTGATTGTACTTGTTTCTGCTCGCATGTGTGTCGATCAGGGGAAGACCGATCATCCCCATATCTCAGTGAGATCTCAACCAAAAAGCCACTCTATAGCCACAAGTAATGTTCAGAACAGCACCTAACTTCATCAGCAGGACATATAGGGTCCTAGCCATAGTACTAGCCTTCAAACATCTTTTTAACTTTGCTTGGTTTCTTAAGAAAAGAGACCAAACACAACTCACCCTCTCTCTTCCAGCAGCCGCTTGTTTGTGTGAGAACCCTGACGAGTCGATCACCGAGTGCAGCAGATCATTTCCTTGAAATAATAATCATAATAATAATCATTTTGCACTGCAGATGTGGTAGTTCATCTGCCTCAGAGGATCCTGCCTCTCGGTCTGATTGCATCTCCATGAAGTAATAATCATAAATGTTCTTCCTTGAGCTGCGAAACTCCGCTGCACTCTGTGATTGAAAGAAATCAGGCAAAGCTAAAAAGATGTTTGATGGCTAGTGCTATGGCTCGGACCCTATATGTACTGTTGATGAAGTTAGGTGCTGTTCTGAGCATTATATGTGGCTATAGGGTGGCCTTTTGAGGTTTGCGCGCGGAGACGTAGACCACTGTGTATTGCTATCGTGCGGCCGTTGCTGAAGTTGGTATAACTAGAGAAGCAAGCGGTCGGCAACATTCATCTCTCAAGGGGGTTTAAGTTCTATATCTAATTTTGAGGGTCCCACACATGTATGAGATCCAGCCTGACTGTGAGCAGGACTTTAAACTCACTTAAAAATGTAAAATCAAACTTTGCTTGACTTTTATATCACAAACTCATGGGGGGGTTAACCAATTATTGAGCTTGGCTGGTTATATTCGTGATTCTGTTTATGCACAAGTGCTGTTCCCCCCAAAACGAGGTCATTTTTCTCTCTTTTTTCAGTCAAATGTATCAGTTTGCTGCAAATCTTGCATTATTCACTTAACACTTTGACACAGAAAGTATGGGAGCTAATTCATGCATTAAAAAACTGTGCAGAAATAACCAATCTTGCAAGAGCTTTGAGAACAGATTTCACATACACTTAACTTTCAGCTCACAGTCTGCAGAGCTATCATATCCATTTAGTTTGGCTGTGTATGTGTGTGTGTGTGTGTGCGTGTGTGTTGAGGAGGGGGGAACATGGGGGAGTTAAACATTGCGAGGGGAAATGAAGTGAACTCTGGCTGCACAGAGGCATCCAGCTCTGTCCCCGCAGCCACAGGAGCCCCGCCACCATCCCCTCTGGGTACCAAATGATTACCACATTTACACATTTATGTGTGCAGAGCTTGAAATCCCGTCTATATTATCCTGTTAGCTCACTGATCTGGGGAATGTTGTATTTTGAAAAACACAGAAGCCAAATATTGTTTTGAATTACTCCCTGTCAGTTTCAGGGAGTGCTTCTCAGAGAGTGGGAGTTTGTTCTCCGGCTTTTGATCCACTTTTTTGTTTTACCGTCTGGCTCCTCTGGCTGAGCAGAGGAGCTGCTCTGAAATTAAAACTTTAAAAACACAAACGTTGATGTGAATTTCATCTCGAGGAACATTAACGGCTCTGAGGAGACACAGATGAGAAAGTCACACCACAGACTTTGGCTCTTCTGGTCAGAGTTATGGGTGGGTTTGATTCCCCCCTCTCATTGACGACCATTTGACAGCCGCAGAGACGTGCTGACTCCAGTCCAGTGAGGACGGGGCTTAAATAATCACAGCGGTGGTGGAGAAACGGCTGACTGGAGTCTGAAGTGTTTGTGTTGACTAAATAAGCATCTCTCTGAACTTGTTTTCCGTTCATGTGTCTTTTGCAGGCTTGTGCTCATCGCTGGAAAAATGTCTATTACAACAAGGAGCACATCCTTCCTCATGGTTACTGCTCCATTATCCCCCCCACTCTGCAGGGAGGGACCAAGCCACTCATCCCCTGTTATGAAGGTACAGTGAAGAGATCGTCATACTCAAGACTTTTGGTTTAGTTTGCTAACCTTCCATAGAGTCTACAGTACAGATTTAACACTTACTGGTTATCAAATTGGTAGACTAGATCCAGGTTTTCATTGCCTACACTGGTGCCATGATGGCTGGTGAGTTCTTGAGTTGATGTTTGGCAGAAATCTTGTTTGTCCTGAATGAAAATGAGTTAAAAAGTTTGTTGTCACAGCAAAAGGAAAACAATGTTAATCAAATTACATCATGACAAACTGCCTCACCATTTTGTTCACATCCTGCAGAGCTCTGCAGCAGAAAATTCAGATATTCGGCTGGATTTGATTAAATTTTCTGAACAGATTTCAAGTTGATTCGGGTCAATTGAGAAGAAGAGAATCAGCGCTTAGACACAAGAACACAGGCAACCTGAAGGAGTGATTGGAAAAACAGTTCGTTTGACTGTACTGAATCTTTAGAATCTGTTCATTGAAATGATTCGTTCAAAAGATTCGTTCACTGAATCAGTTAGTGCTTCAGGGCCCCGTCTTGCCGGTGCAGTACACGAGTGAGTGACACAGCAGCGATGATCGAGAGTTCGTTCATTGAACGAGCCACTCCCCTCCCCTGAAAAACTCACCTCTTTGTGTGCCACCGACGTTCGCATCACTACGCAAGTGAAACAACACAACAGCAAGCAGCATGCCTGCTAAACGAGCGCGAGTCGTCATTCTTTTATATCACGGAAAAGTGGAGAGACTCACAGTAAACAAACCCTGTGCCCCTTACTCCTCTGCCCACCTCAAGTCGTTCAGAAGTTGTTCGTTTCGTTCACAGTCTGACTAATACATGTCGTTCATTCGCTGTGAGCAAATCACGAGACTCCGCCCATCAGCTCGCTTGCTGGCTGTGTGCCGTTTACCAAAAAGTCAAAGGCAGCAGTTCCACTTCCGATAGGCATGCCAGTGATTTCATTCACGTTGTTCACTCAGCAGTTCTGTTCAGGCAATCACTAACCTGAAGGTGACATGAAGTTTGTATGAAGGTTTTCTTGTGCTGCAGGTGCAGAGAAGATCCTGGTACCAGCTTTGTCCTTGTTTTTCCCAAATGTTTCTAAACAAGACTGACGTGTGAAGACTCTTTGCATGTGTGAATAGCAGTTATTATTAAACATGAGTTGTATTTAACACTGTGTGCTGCAGCTGCATCCTGCACGCTACAGATGACCTTGAGGTGAGAGGTTATCATGCAACATCAACTATAAGCTGTCAGCTCCTTTTATCTACAGCAAAAACAGGCCTGCATACCTGCTCCTTCAAAATAAGATGAACTGAAAAGGATGTCAAAGACCTCAAATAGGAGTATTTTGGATCTCAGGGGCAAAAGGGCAGATGCTCAAGTGCTCTGAGCTCCCTCCTCTGCACGTGCCCGGTTATGCAAACAACAGAGAGCTGCAGCCTCAATATGGCCCCCCATGCTTTTTGACACTTTTTACCTCTAGTAAAGAAAAATCAAGTCATTACTCAGCCTGTAACATGATGATGCTGCAGGAAAAGAAAGAGAGCTTTTGCTGTTTTTATGTAAGATCCAGTTGTGTTATATTAGTCTAAAAAAGAAGTAAAATCCTCACTCTCTCACCTCCACTCATCTGGTGAAGTGTTTCTACATGTAAGCTGCAGGTTTAGTCTGTTTATTCTCTCCTGCTTTAGTTCAGTTTTTTCATGGCATGTGAGCTCTGCGGCCAGCACCCGGTCCTCACATCTGCTCCTGGACCCTCTTTGGTGTTCTGGCACCGAGAACAGTAGCAGGAAAGACTTGAAGTGTGATCTCGCTTCCTCTGTCCAACAGGAGCGCTTTGGAGCCAGCTCCCTCTTCTGAAGGGCACGCAGGTTGTTAAGCTGAATATATACGAGCGTTTTTCTGAAGCGGGTGGAAAATTTGCGCACAAAGACGATGTTATTGCTTCCCTTTCTTTTTTACTGAAACAGATTTTGATTTTGTTTTACAGAAATCAGATCCTCTGAAGGAAGGATTTGTTTGGAAGGTAGAGACATAGAATTCGTCTTTTGTTATGATAGCGGTTAATCAGATCCATACAGGCTGCAGGTTGTTTTTCTTTGCACAACCTTTACAACTCTAAAAATCAGATCCCATTAAGAAGCTAATGTGCAGTGAAATATTTCATTTGACTCACGCTCGTGTTTTGATATGTGACTCTGAGCGATTCATCAAAGACTGCTTTACACCCTGATTGTGCTCCCAGGTCAGGACTTCACTTCCTTCCGTAACTCTGCTCTGGAGAAGTCAGGCCCTCTTTGCATTTACAGAGCATTCTGCACAAATCCAAGCTCAATATTTTTGTAACCTGAGAGCGTTTTGTCCCCCCTCCTCCAAAAGAAAGTGGTCTCCTTGTTGAATGTGGCATGGTACCCCCTTCTTCTCCTCCTCTCCTCAGTCTGCTTTCTGCCCCCAGACTCCTGGTGGATGGGACCGGGACTTTGACGAGCTCCATATGGAATGCAGGAAAAACTCCAGTAAATGCTGGCTCAGGCACACAGTGAAATAATTTGTGGTTTGTTTTTTCTTGCAGACTATAAGCAGAAGTACGGGGAAGAGCACGGCTCGTGCCAAGCTGGGATTGCGGGGGTTTTTACGGAGGTCAGTAACAGTGCTTGTTCATCGTCTTAATCCATGTAATTCTTTCTTTTCTGTGAGTTTAACGCACACAAAGCTGTTTGTTGTCAGAAATGTTTTTATTAAATCAGTCTGCAGAATCAGAGACATCTGTGAAATCACTCTGGTTCTGTCTCGCTTTTACCTGACTTATTTCTTTACTATCAATCCTTTTATCTTTGATTAAAATGATCAAGAACAGCTAATAGAGCAATTAAAAAAGACAATTAAAGCTCCTGTAAGGGGTTTTTGATTAGTTATGAATCAGGATCAAATGAGCTGTGATTCATCAGAGGAAAATTAGACCAACAATAACCCTCCTATGTTGTAATTTCTATGATGTAAGGGAGGAGGTTTTGGTCCAATAACACCACTTTCTTAAGGAAGAGACAAAATCAGCAAGATTAAAAGGTTATGACTTTGTCTGCAGGGGGCGCCAAAATCAACGCAGACAGAAATCTCCTAATAGGAGCTTTAAACCCTGATCAGGTCATATATATTCTGAAACAAGTGTGACTGAATGAATGTGTTGACCTGATCTGGACTTCTTGTTTGGGCCTGAGCGACTAATGATTGCAGATTTTCAGGTTTTAAGGTGCCCCCACAAAACTTCCCATTTTTGCACACATGTCAAACCAGGTGAGAAATACAGTATTTTGTCGCTTTTGTGGAAAAATGGCTCCAATTTACCAACTCAGCCTCACCACATGGTTCGACTTGCATGATTTTTGCAGGGCTTATGTATCGTGCTAAGACCTACAAAAAAATCCTCTTGCTCCTAAACTCTAAACCCAATCGCATGTCTTTTGTTTTAATCTTGATTTTGATTATCTGATTTGCAGGCTGCATATTTGTATGGACTCAATTTGTGACTTTCTTTATTTAGCTTTTGTCTTGTAAAAATCACCTTCATGCTCCTTCTATATGTCAAAAGTTGATTCAATTAGGATCTGCAGGGATTTTTTTGCCTGCTTGTTCCCACCTGAAACCACCTGATCCTGTAAGAGTCCTCAGGGGGAACCACCAAATTAGCACAACCTCAAAGTTCCTCACAGGAGCTTTAAAGAGACATTTATCTCTAACAGTTACGCTTATTTATCTTATCAATTTCCTCTTTCAGCCGACTGATTATCGTAAAACTGTGATCAGTGTCGACATTCGACATCCTTTATTTCCGAAACAATCTCTCTCTCTCTTAGATTCAGAGGACAGTTAACAGAGACTTTACATGTGAGTCTGAAGGGGATTTTTGCTCCCCACAAGTATCTAAAGATGTCAAACAGTGTGGAAAATCTGATTTCTCCCCTCAGATATACATGAGTATCTGTATCAAAGTCGCTGGCGCTCTGCTGACTATCTGCTGATAACAGTTAGCGTATGTTTCCACGGGCTGATAGCGGAGGAAAAGCTGCGGCGGCCTCACTTCACCTCTGGTGTGGTTCCCCCAGATAAAGTCTTTGAGAAAATACCAGCTTCCTTTTCCTCTATGGTAAAGATGTGCCACTGTTTTTCTGCGAACATATGACATCATCCCTAGCTGCCCAATACCGCCATGTATCTTAGATATCTTTGAGTTTCCCACGTGTTCGCCTGGAGGAGAGATAAAGCTGGTGTACTGAGGACAAGTTCTCGATTTAAAGCGTAAATACGTTTTAGGAGAAATTAAGTTTGACAGATAAAATGTGAACACTAGGAACACTTTTTACATCGAACCTTTTGGGAGACTGTATAACTCTTTCCCGATGTTCCCCATGAGCAGCGTAATCTGCACGGGTCCTCTTAAAGGCTCCAATTTCAGTCACGCTCACTTACAGATACATACAGTAAAGTCCTGTAGACGGTGAGTGACTTTAAAATGTGTCCTCTGGGCTCAGCTGGGCTTTCAGGGTGAAATGTTTCTCACCGGTGAGAAAAACTGGAGAGGATAGTTCTCATCACTGAAGGACTTGGCTGTAATCTCGGTCTAATGCTGATCTGAAGTCTTTCTATGACGGCTGCAAACACAAATAACCAACAGAGAAGTTGTAAAAATGAATTTTAGTTGTTAAATTGATCGTCATGTCTTAAATACACTAAAATGAATTCCTCTGTCTGTCTCTAAATCTACCGGCTGTTGTCTGATGATAAATTAAGCCTCTGTGGACTCATTCGAGGGCTGAGTTATTTAAATATGCAATCAAGACTCTTTTTCTGAACTTTGGTCAATAAAACTTCTCAAGAAAGCATTCAACATGAGTTTTAACATCTACGAGCAGATGTTATTTGTACTTTAAGACAAAAAGGCTAAACTAGAATTTAATGACGGGGACACACTTACGAGGGTTGTCCCGATCCAATATTGATATCGGATATTGGTCCAGTATTGATATCAGATATCAACAAAAATACAAGCAGTCCATTCCAGAATCTGCTCCGGCACCTCCATCTAGCAGCGTTCAGATCCAGCAGAGCCCATGAAATCACAACAACAGTGTGTACTAAGGTACTAACAAAGAAGCAGGGAGTAGGAGTGATGTCGGCCGTATAGCAGTATTTTTTTGTTTAAGTTCGAAAAAGACGTAGCAGCTGAGTGCAAAACTTGTCATGCGCAAGTTTGTGCCAATATCGGATCAATATAGGTATTGTATCGGAAGTCAAAAAGTTGTATTGGGACACCTCTAAAGTTTACATAAAACTTAACACTTTCTTTAACCCTGAAGCTGAAACATTTCAGAGTTTCTGGTCGTTATCGATCCAAAAACCAGCAGCGCCTCTCACTTCACTCTTTCCCCGCCATTGATGAGATATCCCATCAATCCTTGTTTTAACTATAAAATGACGGGTGGTGCTGAGATGTAGCCTACCTTGTGGAGCAATCAACAAGTGATGGGGAGGAGACGGGTGCAGGTGGAGGCATACTGCTGAAATACTGCTGATTCAGCAAAAAATCTGACTCAGACCATGGGTTGCCATGGAGACTACACCTTAGCTTGTTGATAGTTATATTACTTTTCATATGAAACGAAGCAGTGATTCAGTAATGTAACAACTTAAACTGAGCCGCCATTGTCCTTAGGGAGCTGCTCTAAAAATGTGGGTATGATACTCTTTAAGTTATTGTTGTTGAATGTCATCATATCAGAGAGGAACAATAATGTAAGTTTGTAATGTAAGCAAAAATACTTATTTTCTTAGAAAAACACCCATTTCTCAGCTTTTTGCCTGAATTGTTGTGATTTTGAGGAAAACAATCTTTTTTAAAATACTGATCAAAGACAAAAACACGTTAGAATCAAATTACTGAAGCTTTTTACTTTTCTCTGATACCTTTATTAAAAACATATACATCAGACAAAAATATTATAAGAGTGTGAAAGTTCACTTGATTTTGGGGAAAGAGTTAACTTTGTGTTTCAGTTTGTGATGCTTCGTGTCTGTTTTCTTCTATTTGGTTGATGTCAAATTTTTAATTTTTTCGTGATTTTTACATTAGATGAGATTTTTGCCACATTGTCTACAGAAAAAGGTGAAATCACAAGCTCTATGAAAGTGCTGGACTCTTTTTGGTGGATTAGTTTGATTTGAGGTCGTCCCTGGTGTCACGCTGTTTAGAATAAATTCCCAATATTATGACACTTTGACCAAATAACACAGCTGAAAGAAAGACGAGTCATTTATCTGATTGAAGTTTATTCAGCCAAAAACTAACAGACGTCTGAGGATGTCAGTGTAGATCTGTGAAAACACTCGAACCCCAGCCTCTCCTTTGAAGAATGTGAAGAATTCAAAGTAAAGACGTCTGACTGTTAGACCTTATCCTTGTCTGAACTGCGGAGCGTGCGCCTGGTGGTGCCCAGATGTTTGACACCGCGGCACAGGAGAGCAGGACTGCTGAGTAAGGTCCTCAGTCTGTTGTTGGGTTTGTTTGAGTTCTCAGTGGTGTCTAAACATCCTCTGACACAGATAAGATCAACATGGAGAAACCAGGAAGAGAGGAGCTGACCTGTTCCTGGTCCTCTATGCTCAGAAAGCTGTGAAGGACTCATTTCACAGCTGTCATTCACGCTCTGAATTCCTCGTCACTTCGGTCTCGGCTGGCACACCGTCTGGAAGCGCGGTTAAGAGCAGATAGCACAAACCAGGCTGTGGCTGCTGGTTAACCAAACGCTCACCCAGACGTGTTTCTCTTCTTCTGTCAGCAGCAGACAAAGGACCAATCAAATCAGAGAAGGTTACAGGAAATTCAACTTTTGGGACATTATTTTATAGCATTATTTCTACAAGTATATTGTGAGAATCCCAGACCAGTAACATGTGGGTTTTAGAAATTAGACTGTTTTATTTTTCTTCTAAAGTGTTCATTCTGGATCCTAAGAATGATGTCTAGAATGTCTAAAAATTAAGAGCCCTTACTTATGGACGGCAGACTTTCAAGGATATCTGAGATCATAACAGAAATCATAATAACTGCTGCAGGGAAAAGCCTCAGCCAGGATCCAGTCCAGGAACTTTCTTTGGGGTGAAGCAATCAATGTTGGGCAAGTTTACACTAAGAATAAACAAACTCAAAGTTCGTTTCACACAAACTACTTCACCTTCACAGTTCTATTTTTTATTTTTTAGAGCCTCCTAAACTTCGATCCCTAAACCTCGGTCACTGATATTTCCTAGACCAAAGAGATGATCAAATTTAACCGTAGAGTTGTAGATAGATATTAAGTTTAAAGGCAAAGAAAATCCCAATTCAGAGGAAAAAACTTGAAACACAGAAACACGCCCACAACTAGGAAATCATTTGTCCAAAGGGTCCAACTTAAACACAGATACTCAGGGAAAATCTGCTTAAAAATCATACTTGAGGATGCCGTTGAGATTGTCTTGAAATAAAAAGGCTCAGATAAAGACACTCTGAATAAAACATCACAAAAAAACGACTTGTTCTCTATTCTCAAAAAGCTTCACCTCTCTGAAAACCGCACATTTTTAATCCTGTTAAAATCTGCCCTGATTTGTTCTTGAAACTTCTTCAAATGTGCACGGCTAGCTACATTTGATAGAAAGTAGAAGTGAGAATATGCAGGTGCCGTAAAGTCAACCCTGAAAACCTCTTGGAGGTTTAGTGCGTTCATGCGTTCACAACAATGGAGGCAACATCACCACCGTGGAGCCATGTGTGTCAGGATTTGCAAAAACATAAGTCTGCTCAGCATCCTGGCACCCAAACATGCTAAACAAGTCCAGCTAAACAGAAACAGCACAAGACGCCCACTCTTGACGTCAAAACTCCGGCTTTTGTTTGCAGACGGATGTTTTTATCCAGAATCCCTCTAATTACAAACCTGTCAGTACAGACGTGTCCCACACATTTAAGAGATTTAGCTTTGGTTGTGAGCAGAATTTTGGTCACTTTAGGATGTAAAAGCAAAACTTTGGTTGCCTATCATATTTATCTTTTATTATTGATAGTTAAAACAGTTTTGATAACAGGATGTCATCAAGCTTTTTTCTCAAAACTTTTGAAACTTTATCCACTTGCACTAAAAAGCCTTTTGTTTTCCATTTTCAGGAGCTGGTGGTGATGGGGGCACCAGGGTCCTACTACTGGACCGGGACGATAAAGGTGTACAACCTGACGTCTGAGACCTTCTCCAGCCCGAACAAAGATGACATCGACTCCCACAGATACAGCTACCTGGGTGAGAACCTCGAACAGAGCAGGCTGTTGTGTGTTTTGTGTGCACAAAGAAAGAATCAGCAGCTGATCTCTTTGTGTGTTTCAGGCTACGCTGTGACCGCCGGACACTTCTCCTCTCCTAATGTGATAGACATCGCTGCAGGGGCGCCCCAGCACAGCGGCAGCGGAAAAGTAGGAATCTCCATCTTTTTCTGTCTTGTTCCCGACTGTTGAATTGAAGTTGTTTTTTTTCTCGCTGCAGTGATTTGTTTTTCTCCTGCACAGGTTTATATTTTCAAAATCGATGGCACGTCTTTGGTGAAGAGTTTTCAGGCCTCAGGGAAAATGGTATGAGCTCGGATGTGGTTCTGTATTCTTCACTGCACATACTTTACACCGCAGCTGTTGTTTTACTATACTTTTTCATTACTTTTAACCTAATCGGCCTCGGGGTTCATGTGGTTTTCTCTTTTGATGCATCGCAGACATGCTACTCTAATTGTTTTGTTGTCAGAAATGTAATGTTTATGTCTGTGCGAGAGCGATTTAAAGAAGCCAGAGAGGTAGCTAATGCTTTCCAGTGATGGCAGCTTTAACACACAAGTTGTGGAAATAGTCCTTTTAAAGTTGGTGCAGATTTAATGTGAGCAGAGCGTGAATCGTGTGTCATTGCTGTGAAGTGAAGAAGTGTCTGTGATCTGACCCCTCGCTCTGTGGCTCGGCTTGGTTCCAGATGGGCTCTTACTTTGGCTCCTCATTGTGTGCAGTTGATCTGAACCAGGACGGCCTGTCGGACCTGCTGGTAGGGGCTCCCATGCACAGCCAGCTCCGGGACGAGGGCCAGGTGTCTGTGTACATCAGCAGGGGCAATGTGAGTGTGTCTGCGGGAACGTACAGACTGAATCTATACTGTTATTATGTCTTCAGCGTCGATCCTGAGCTCGATTACTCCATGTTTGATTTCCTTCTGACCGTGTTTGTTTTCATGATTACAGAATAAAACTGCAGAGCATAGTGGGAGTGGGACAGATTATTTGATTGAAGCTTCTGTTTGTACTTTTTATGTTTATGAGTTATTGCAGGGAGGAAGTAGACTGCATGTTTGGTGGTTTAATGGCCTGGATTGAAGCCAGCTCACCGCAACCAAAGCCCAAGAATTTTATCAGAGAAAAGAAGCAATCATTTAAAAACCCTCTCTTTTTTCTTCTGCCAGCTCCAGATATGAATCTCATCCTTTCTTTTTTCAGGGTGTGATGGAGGACGGAGGGGTTTTGAGTGGTGACAACGCTTTCAATGCACACTTTGGGGAGTGCATCACAGCGATAGGAGACGTAGACGACGATGGATTTCAGGGTCAGTAGAAGTCGTGTGCAGTTGATTTAGCAGATTTTGCAGATTTTACATGCACCAACCTTCACTTACTCAACTTTTCTGAAGCTTTTCACTATTTTACAAGAACTGCAGATGGAGATGAAAGTCGCTGAATTGTTGAATAAGGTATAATGCATAATTAAAGTCCTGAACAGGACTAAAGGTTGATGACTGAAAACAATGTTTTTGCCAGATGGTGGTTTGATCCTTATCTGTTGTGTGTGATCAGGTTTTCTCTGATGTTGCATTTGCTGTCAAGAATTAAATATAGTCAATAAGGTAAAGATGTTCCCAGGAAAAAAAGGTCTTTCCATTCACATTGGCTAAAGGTTTTCAGCTATTGTGCATTGTTATTTACCTCGTATTCATCTTGTATATGAACATTGTGAAAAACCGAGACAAATCTGAGTTCGTTTTCTGCCTGATTTCTGGTTTAAAAAAAAAAAAAAGTGTTATTAGGCTTAATTAAAACCACAGTTTCTTTTCAAATTCAGAAAAAATTGCTTTTTTAAGAGACTACCTGAAAATCTTGTTTGTCAGGAGCTTTTCAAGATTCTTGATACAAGAGATAAAAAATGAAAAAGAACATCACATTTCATCACATTTTTTTATACTCATTATATTCAGTTCAAGTTTTCTTTTTGGCGTGTTTTATTTTGAAAGAAGACGTTCTTCTGTAGTTGTTAAGTAACTGCGGCTTAAATTAAACCTAAAAAGAAACTGATACTAGAAAGACGACAAAAACACTCGATTGGATTAGAGAATTTTTTTAAGACAGTAGATGCATAACCAGTGTTTTGGACAAACTTTATTTTACTGATAAACACTTAAAATATTCTTGTTAAAAGGTCCCAGATTCCTGAGTCCAGAGCTGTTGGTTCAGGACTATAACAAGTTACAATTTCAGCTAAGTTTTGTTGGGTTTTGCCTTCACTTACACATTTTGCACTGGTTTCATTTGCCATGCACCTGATTTTGTATCCTCAGAAAAATGGACTGAGTTTGGGGTTTAGTGCCTTGCCCAAAGACACTTTAGTAATGCGGCTATGTGAGAGCTGGGATCAGGCACTATGACCAGAGTCCAAAGACATGCTCATCAGGTCAACTGTTATTTCTGAAAGGCCCGTAGTTTTGAGTTTGTCTGGTGAACTGTCTCTGTACTGTGTGATAGATGGGCCAATTGTCTGGGTCTATCCTGCCTAACACCCAGTGACAGCTGGGATCAGCTCCAGCGCTCTCAGCCTGGTGTAGATCATAGATGGTGGGATTTTGGTGTCAAACTCTCAGCTACATCATCTCCACACCATGCACCTGCAGGATCCAGCTGGAGGTTTAAGATTTTATGACAACACGTCTCAAATTCTGCATGAAAAACAAGTCTGTGAGGAACGGCGTGGTCTGACTGGACTGAATAAACTTCAAATTTTCTGGGTTTTAATGCAGAACTCTATCAAAGTTGTTTTGCAAGAAAATGCAAAGGCCTCTGTCTTTCACATCAAGTGGATTTGATGTAGCACGATGCATGGTGGTAGTAAACAGTCTGCAGGGGGCAGCTGCAATCTTACTTAGGAAGGTCATAGTTGGGAAAAACCTGATTAGGTGGATCAAAAATAAAAACAATGATGTAATACCTGGACCTTAAAGCCTGCCATCTCTTATTAAAGCGTCTAATTTTGATGCTAAAGTTTTATTTTGTTGTGATTGTTCAAGTTTAGTCTCCATGTCATGCACCAAGAGTAGCAGATGTTTTAAATCCGATCAGCATCTGCGGCACAAAACAAACAACAGTTTTTATTTAAGACTCAGACGCAACAAGGTCTCTGAATTTAGCAAAAAGGAAACGGTCATAAAATTTAAAACTATTGTCCCTAAACCACTAAAACATGTCTGAGCATGCATTTGGAAGGTCACAGCTCAGACGGCGGTCATGTCTGCATTCAGAAGTCCTGTGATGACTCCTCAGGGGTCTGTGAATCTATATCCCAGACAATGGCGACCCCTTTTCTATAGTTTTTAAGCACTTTTAGTGTGACTTTGTCCTGTAAACATGCAGCAAAACCATTTCCTCTGTCGTCTGGTCTGTTATTAAGTCCCACAGTTTATATTCCTCTGGAGTAAAGGTTGTCTGTTGGAGGGACTCAAGAGGTGCAACGAAACCCTTCATTTCACACACACTTTGTTTCGATTACCCTGCGGTGAGAGGAGATCTACAGAAAATATTGCCCTCTCTCGCCCTCGCTCAAGACTCAAACCATATTATCCACACGCACACACAGACATACGTCCACACTGTCTGTTTTCCTGGCGCTCACACGGCTCTCCTCCGAGGCCTCAAGTTGGCGTCCGCCTCAAACTCAAGACTGGGAGCTGCTGCTTGGTTTCATCTATGTGGGAGATACGCCTCAAGGCCTGCAGCCTGGCACATGTTTGTGTGTTTTTGTGTGTGTGTGTGGAGAAAGATGGCAGCTGGAGAGCATAACTCATCCTGCAACTCGTCACTCTCAGAGCCAGACTGAAGATCTGTGATTTACAGCCAAACTGCTGCCATTTAATTTGAAAGAAACACTGTAGAAATCAGGAAACACATTTGGTTTCACTGAGAGGTTGCTTGTTTTATTCTGCGTTTTTTATAATGAGTTAATTATTAGAAAACACACGGCCATTCTTGTTGCTGGTTCTGCTGTGGTATGTGCGCCACATGACCTGGAGGTGTTTTGGTTTATAAAAAGAACGTTTATATATGGACTCGCGGTGGAAATGGGATAAGGAGACGTTGTTTCAGTGCTCTTGCCAGGACTTTATAGTCTTGTTTCCACTCTCTCAGAGGTTGCACAAGTTTTACAGCCACTAACAACACTTAATTGTCTATTAGGAGTCTTACTGTAACTGCTTGTTTCCCAGGCGCTGTCCAGCTGGAAGTAAACAGGAGGCATTCACAAAAGCACAAATGGACATTAATGCACATTTAAACAACTTTTTTTATTTATTAACGCTCTTTGTGCTTTCGTTGTCTCCTCAGATGTGGCCATAGGAGCACCTAAAGAGGATGACTATGCAGGAGCGGTTTATATCTACCACGGGGATGCAGCAGGAATCATCAGCAAATACTCCATGGTATGAACTCTCAGCTCCTCGTGTCACATTGTTTTGTTTTTTCACCGTTAGCGAAGGGAGATCATCTTCTCCCTCCTTGAAGATATAATATTTCTCCGAAGCTTCACCAACACGTGCTGAACTTTGATGAAAACCATGTGTTCACCTTGCATACTGAGGTAGCTGAGTAATGTGCGGTAAAGTCGCAGGTGGTGATGTAGCCTCGGGAGTGCGCAGCAGACCCACGTAGCTTTAAATCAGGCACCAGCAGCTCTTCATGGGAAAGGATTTCAGTGTTAAAGAAGACCACATGAGACCTGATGAACTGGTTTGGAAAAGCATTATAGCTGTTACTGAAATCATGTTTGAATGTAGAGACGGGGGTGTGATTCACATGCAGTCTCACAAGTGTTCGGTGATCATGTGTTCATTCAAAAAAAAGCTCATTCTTATTATAAGTTAGCTGTTTCAGTTCATAACTTAGAAAAATAACAAAATATTAAAGACACATTCAAGAAAAACAAAGTCTGAGATTATGGAAATAAAGTTCTTATACATTATTGATTGGAAGAAACTGAGTCCAGTCAGCAGACAGGCAGGCTTGTAGTACTAAAACTTTTTCTTATGATATAATCAACTTTATTCTTGTGAATTCTCAAGGTCAAAGAAAATAATTACAGGAAGGAGATTTAAGTCGAAATTTCGAGTTTAAAAATTGGAATTTTGAGATTAAAGACAAATTTTAAGATTACAAAATGTCAAAATTTGGAGATTAAAAAAATGTAAATGTTTCTTTTTTCATATCATTTCGATTTTTTTAATCTCTAATTTTTTAAATTTCGACTTTAATCTCGAAATGGAAATTTAAAAAATCTCCCTCCTGTTTTTATTTTTTTCTCTTCTTGTGGCCCTAATCCTCTTTCATACATATTTGTTTTTGCACAGTGTACAAAAAAATGGAAATATTTAGCTTAATGTAGCTGTTAGATTCTAGACTGAAATGCTCCCATGCTCACCCCTAACATTGGTGAAGCAATGGTGGCCTTCAAGAACAAGACACTTGATCGTCCATTTGTTAAGTTTTTGCCATCAAAAACCTCGTCTTTTATAAACAACCATCATTTCGTACTCCTCATAATTATCATGTCTGTTAGTAGTTTGTCCATTCTTTGCTCCTGTAGAAAGCAAGATGGTGGAGAAGAATTTGCTCTTGTGTACTGTAGATATATAAAAAAGCAGGTCTATGTTGATATGCATTGTGGTGCAGTGGTTAGCAAATACTAATTTGATTGCATTTCTACCATGCACTGTACCTTTAAGACTTAATTCTCAAACAGCTGCACACTTCCCAAAGCTATAAAAAGTCTATTTTCTTCTAATGGGCACAAATTCTTTCAATTTGTTGTGTACTTCTTTGTCTGTGCAGATATGTTGGTGTAGGAACAAAAATCTGTGGTTTTATAAGGGGTTGTGTGTTAAAAACAGTTTCTGGCAAGCAGATGTGATGACTCTTCATCTTCATGTTGACCTCCCGCTCAAACCAGACCTCTGCTCTTTTACCCTGTTTGTGTTTGTAGGTGTTTTATTTGATTCAGTAGAGCCAGGCTACCAATTCTGTTCATTTTATGGTCCCAGTGCTGAGCTGAGCTAACCATCTCCTGGTTCGATGTTCATGATTTTCTGGAGAACCTTTGTGTGAAAGACCAAACTAACCAATTAACTAAAATCTTATAAATATGCAAACCAAAGCTGGTCCTGACAGGAAAAACAAATGCAGCAAACCACACAATGTTCCCTCTTTGTTCTGTATTGGCTGGTGTGTTATTTAAAGGCTGGTTTCATCTGTTTCAGAAACTTTCTGGACGCAGCGTTAGCCCTGGTCTGCAGATGTTTGGCCAGTCAATCTCGGGGGATGTGGACATGGATGGCAACGGATACACAGGTATGAGATAAAGGTTTAAAAGGACAGCTTATCAGGAACATCAAACGGGAAGGACTGAGATGGACTGTTCATCAGCCTCATGGTTGCAGGCCGTCTTTCTCTCTCTGCAGAGACTCGTGATAGAGGCATCTTGTTTACTGCATTCCTCAGCTGACATTCAGATACAGCCTGCATGACTGTTTATGTCCTCTGTGCATTGTTTTGGATTTGCAGGTGTCAAGAGCTTCAAGCAGATGTCACATAACTGTCCTGCTGAATTCGCTTTATTTCTGTCTTTATCGCAGATGTCACAATCGGAGCTTTCATGTCAGACAGCGTGGTGCTGCTGAGGTGAGTGGCTGACTCAGTAATTTGTGACCCTGCAGGATTTCTTTGCCTCCTCTGCCCGGTCTTGATCTCTGGTTTCTCCCACTCTGTGTTCCTGTGTTGGTTAATGTGGTTGCAGGACCAGGCCTGTCATTACGGTGGACGTCTCCATCTTCCTGCCCGTCTCCATCAACATTACAGTGCCGCAGTGCCACGAGGGCCAACACAACCAGAACTGCTTCAATGTCACCGTGTGCATGCGCTTCAGAGGGAAACAGCTCCCCGGACAGATAAGTGAGGAAAACTACCAAACAGAAGTCTTTAAACTCTCATTTTGGATCATAAACTAGATCATGAGTTCTCCTTTGAGGAATAATCTGACATTGACTTTGAAGATTTCTCGCACACAGGTAGAAGTTTGAACCATGTTGTCTGTGTTTTAATATGGAGCCAAATCCAGGAGCAGTTAGCTTAGCTTAGCATCAAGACATGAAAACAAGGAGAGAAAGTTCGACGCTCTGCAAAATTAAAACAAACACCTGCTCTGACCTCTAAATCCTAGAGATTAACAGTAAAGTTAAATTAATGCTCCAAGTTTGGTGAATTGAACTTGACTGATAGTTGTTTTTTTTTCACCGGCTCTTCTCTCAGCCCAGCGAGTGGAAGATTTTACTCATAAAAAACAGATTTATCAAGATTTTCCAAACACTGACTGTGAGCTGAACAATCAGACCATATTTTCTGTTGAGATAACGGCAGCTCAGCTGGCAGCCCCCAAAGCCCCACCAACAACAAATATCTACGGGACATTAAAACATTTCCAACACATTTATACTACGATAAGAGACAGGACAGTGGAAAGAGTGAGTGAGTGATGACTGGGCTGAAAAAGAGACATGTTTTGGTGTCTGTGTTCGTTATTTCTTCCCAGAGAATGTCTGGGACTTGTTCATTTTAGTCAGCCAGTGATCTAGAGCTAATAGCAGCTCGGTTTGCAGCCCCCACAGTCCCCCTAAATACTTAAAATAAGCTGTACATTACCATCCAAGTACTTTCAAGCTAAATCACTGCTTCTTTAATATTTCTTCCCAGGGAATATCAGGAAGTCAGTGATTTAAGTTAACCAGTGGTTCAGGGTTACCAGCGGCTCAGTTCGCAGCTCCCAAAGTACCTGCAAACACCAACAGTCGATAGGATAGTACCAGGCAAATATGTAAAAATGTTTTAAGTCAAGCCAATTAATAATTCAGTGATATGACAAAATGAGAGATTTCAGTCAGATAGACGTAGGTGGCAACTCAGCTCACGGCCCCCAGAGATCTTTAAGCTCCACTGTGAATTATTAGGACACAAACAAAATGAATCTGTATTTACCAACGAGAATGATCTTTAATAAAAGAGTTTTTAATCAGCCAGAAGTTTATGGAAGCTCAGCTCACAGCCCCCAGAGATCTTTTATTTTTAATTTAAGCTCTAATATATAATGATTAGGCCATAGACAAAGAAAAGCTGTATTCACCAATGAGAACAATGTATTAATAAGAGAGACTTCGCTCAGCCAGAAGTTTGTGGCAGCTCAGCTCACAGCCCCCAAAGTTTTCAAAAGGCTCTGAAAATTACTCTGCTTGGTCTGTGTTTTCACATGTTTTAATTTGGATAATTTGACCACCAGCTGAGAAAGCTTACTGTATATTTACCCTAAAACAAGATGAACATGAGGCACCAGTTTGGTGTGGTCGTTAGTGCGAGCAGAGGCTACAGTTCCTCATCAGCCTGGGCGAATGATCAGTTTCCCGAACATGTCATTCCCAACCCTCTCTGCACTTTTTCTCTCACTCACGAGCCGTCCAGGCCAAAAAAAAAGGCAAAAAATCCCCAAAAGTAAAAGAAACCAGCTGGACATTCAGCAACAATTAGGCAGCAGCTCAGCTTGTAGACCCCTCTGCATTCTTATGCTCACTGAATAAGACTTTTTTTTTCATCAAACTGATTTATTCTGTGTTTTTTATTGATGTTAAATCACAGAGTCTGCTTCTTGTAAAATCCTTGTGGACTGTAAACACATGAACCCAAAGTCTTCTTGACTGATTGTTGGAGTTGTTGACTCTAAGAGGGCGATCCGACTTGTTCCAGTTACGTGCTGCATTTCTCGGCGACCTGCATCCAGGCACAGTGCACTTAGAAAGTCATACATTTCAGCTGTCAGTTTGTGTTTTGGGGAATCCGCATTCATACTACTTGAACCTTTAGTCAGTTAAAGTGGGTAAATTTGTAAATATGATCCTGCTGAGCAATTCTCCCCGAGTTTGGAGACAGTCAGTGTGGTTAGCCTTCGGGCTCAGAGTCGGCGCGTTTGGCCGGCGTTTTACTCTTCAGCTTTTGCTAACCGGCTGGAGGGCGCGGTGCCTGTTGAGTGGTGAGGTGCGGTCCTGTTCCAGTGTTTGGGTGTGGTTACTCGCAGCCCTCCACCCCCCAGGGAACCAGGAGCCCTGTTGTTACATAATGACTGTGTCCTGGCTCTCAGGAATAAAGCCTCTCTGTTTGGCTGTCTGGAGAACATCGTGGAAAGAGCAGCAGCATGTGTTTGGTGACTCCTTTAATGAAACCTTCCTTTGCCTCCTCTGGAGTGAGCTCATGGCGTTCCTGCTGTCGGAGGGAGGAAACAGAGAGGCTTTGGTCCAAGTGGGGTGTGTTCACCACCCTTCCCACTGTTTTACCAGTGTGACACCCTCCTGAGGCAATTACTACAGACTGAGGCTGATTCATCCAGAGGGGTGGATTTGAAAATGGACAGAAGCCCATGTATGGTTTTTCCTGGAAGTGTCGGTAATGTTTGACATCATGCTCTTGATTTTTAAGTCAGAAAAGACTTGGAGCAGCTCTCAGTGTCTGAATGTCTCGTCTGAGCCCAGGGGTGGAACCAACGGGAATGTTTTTATTGAAATGTCTTCTTTCACAGAAATACTACGCCTGGCCCGACAGCAGGAACATTAATTTCCTTTTTTAGTTAATCTTAGTCTGTTTGTTTTTTTCCCCATTCTACCTGTCAGTAGCTGGTTTTAATAAATCGCTTTAACTCTGGAGATTTTCTTCATGTTTTCACTGGCTTATGAGTGAAAAATTACACCGAATTATTTCACTGAATCTACTGTCATTTGTGCAGTTTGTACACAAACATCCGAACACAAAGAGCTCTTGTTAAGTTAAAGTGATATCAGATGATTCGACCATTAAGTGTTCCCATCCTCCCTCTGACTAACACTCATTCATAAGTGATAATTGATCTCTTCCCCATGTTTTGATGGCAATCACGGGCAAACCAAACCCTGCATACTTCAAGAGTTTCTCAGGCTTATCTAAGAAGTCAAATAACCACCGCTGTCAGCTAGTGTTAAGTCTGACAGTGTTTGTCTTTCTTGTCAGATCTGCTGTATAACCTGACAGCTGATGTGGATAAGCGTTTGAAGAGCCAGCCTTCCAGGATCTACTTCACCCAGAGTGGATCCCAGATCAGCCAGATGAGCCAGCAGCTCAGCCTGGACATCAACCGGGAGGAGTGCCAGCGCTTCACCGCCTATGTGAAGGTAAGGCTGGATTTTCTGGTCTTAGCGTTGGCCGGCTGTGTTTGTGTTTGTGTTGGGTTGTCCATGTGCTTCTTGTGTCCTCAGCTGATCTTTCTCATGACCTTGATCGCTCTCGCTCCGCAGTGTTGACGTGTGATAGGAGTTATTTGCTTGTGTGGTTTGTTTTCGGTTGGAGCATCAGAGTCCATATTCTTCCAGCTAAAATGTTGACAGAGTTGGGAGATCATTCGGTCCCCTCTCGGTTCCAAATTCTCTGGCACGGTGTTAGATGTGGATTTCATAACTCCCTATAACGAGCAATGGTTTGATCTATGGTTTGTATGTGTGCACATATATCCCTCTAATTATCAAAGATAATTTCACAAACCTTCATTCTTTGGGTTCATTTAAAAACCTTCAAGAATCACAGACGGTAAAACTCCAAATCAACATGATGATGGAATTTTCCAGGAAGGACTATCATCCTTTCCAGTAAAAATAACCCCAGAAGAGCTCGGTCAACTAATTATTTTTCAACATCTCTGTGAAGACAAATACGGATGATTTAATGTGAGTGATTAACTTTTGTAAAATCAGCTCTATTAGTGCACTTTTAGAAATGTTTTGGAAGTCATGGAAGCCTTATCCTCTGCTCCAAAATAGAAGGAGGACCACATGACTTGTTATCAGTGCACAGCTCAAAAACAAACACCCATGCAGTTACGGGGATGTGTGGGAGCGCATGGCATTGGAGGATAACACATCCATGGGGAAACATGTGCTGCCATCCAAACAATGACTTTCTCAGGGAAGAGTTTCTTATTTCAGCAAGACAATGACAAACCACAACAGTATGGCTCTGTAGTAGAAGAGTCCACATGCTAGTTTGGCCTTCCTGCAGTCTGTTTTGTCACCAGTTTGGTGCATCATCACACAAAAATGACGACAAATGAGGCTCTGAACTGTTGAGCAGCAAAACTTTCTATTCTTTCAAAACTCCAGAAACTGGTTTTCTTGGTCCCCGAACAGTTTTGTTTAAAAAAAGAGCAAACATGCCTCAGTCCAACCTTTTTTGACATGTTTCTAATGTCGTCAAATTTAAAATGAGCATATATCTTTGAAAATGAAGGTTCAGTCTCAGTATTTGATATGTTGTCTTAAGACTAGGTTCTGTTACATTTGGGGTTTAAATGATTTGCAACCTATAAAGTTCTGTTCGATCAAAATCCAAGTGTGTAGTCCATAGAAAATAAAGTGCATGATCAGTTAGAATGAGAGAGGTCACATATCTCTCCAAGGTTTAAGAGCAGTGGCGGCTGTAGCTGAGACGTCTGTATTAAAAGACCAAAGCTGGAAAGCTCTGAGTGTCTCCCTGCTGGCTGAGGTCAAAGGTAAGAGTCAGGCGCTTGAAACCATGCTGCTCAAGAGTGCGTCTGCAGAACCGGACAGGAAACAGAGTCTCCATTGTCGCTGCATAGTCCTTCTGTTGTGTCCCTCTGTGATTTGGCCGTGTACCCTCAGAGAGAGTCCTCGTCCTGAGGGCAACGTCCTCCTGTAACACGGAGGCCCACAGCGGGCCGGTAAATTTCACAGGCATTCTTAACTGTGCTCTCCAGGCGCTTTCACTGTGGGAGGCTGAGCTGCTGACTGAGGGGGGCTGTCATTACCACGCCTGCCTCTCCTCCTTCAAGCAGTCAGACTATAATGAGAATATATCACACAGAGCAGGTTAGGCAATAACCTCCTTTACTGATCACAAAACATACACGTTACCTCCTTCACTGGAGTCTGGTGTGTGTTTATTCTGCTCTTTAGTAAAACCTGGGTGGAAAAATCTAACATTTAAAAAGTAATTCTCACTTTCCTCTGTCTGAGTTTCAGCCCACAGCGCTCTAACACACAGTTTAGTCATGCAAAGTAGAGTCTATGTCAATCTGACATTTCAACACTTGAACCAAACATCCTCAGGTTGGTGGGTGGGCGAGTGAATTATCACTCAGATGTGGTTCTTTGCTGCCAAGTGTCTGTGGCACACTTACGCTCTGAGTGCCATCCATTGAGCCAAAAGTTACCTCAAGGATGAGCGATATTTTGCAGTCCATTTGTTTTTTTTTCAGACATTAATGCCGCGGGGTAAAGTTACACTTTGATGCTGGGATAGTTCGGGAACATTTGGAATATTTTCAGTGATACTTTTATTTTCCTTCATGCTTAGAATAAGAGAAAGCAAAACCAGTCCAAAGTCTGTCCGTTCATGTCAGCGGTTAACTTTATATAGACAAAACTAAGCAGGTGTTTTGGTCTGATACTTGTAAAAAAAATGTTGAGGTAGATTTAGAATAAATAAATAAAAGTCTCTCAAGATATTATAAACCAAAACAAGAACTAGATAATTTATGAGTCACACAATCTTCTGACAATGGGGTTAGCAAAATGTACTAGTTGGTTTCTTTGAGTTTTAGATGTTTAGTCTTATTGAATGTATAAAACTGAGATCTCAGCTAACTAATTTAGTTGTTGGAGCATTATTCATCACTTTAGCAGAGTGAGCCAACTTGGAAGTGCCAACTTTATTCTGCGTTTCAATTGTATACAAAGGTGAACTAGACATGATAATTAATTACTGATTTTTAAAGGAACATTGTCTTACTAAAAAACAAGGATAGAGTCTGGGACATCTGGCTTAGTTTAGACCATACAGTCATGGCAGGAGGGAATCTACAGCTTGTATTTTTCATTACATTTAAAAGAAACTGAAGTTGACATAATGTGCAGTATTAGAGTCCTGTTTGTTGGTGAATTTTGTTCTCTTAGGAAAAACTGAGCAAGTTGTCGCCTCTCGTCTTGGTGCTGGTTTTGTATTTGAATAAAATTATGAGTGTTGTATCAATCTTGTTGTCTTATTCTGAGCAAAAGACGTAAAACTGAAGAGCATAGAAAAGCATAGAAACCTTCTTTGACTCTCAGTGTATGTACGTATGCAGATGACATAATTATTTTTTCTTAATTATGGACTTCGGTGGATAAAGTTTCATTTTTCTCGAGCCTGGAGTGTTTGGGTTATAGTATTTGGATTAACTTTACAGTGATTTTTTGGGCTTGAAGCTGCGGTGGGATCCTAATACTGAGAAGCCACACATGAAGTTGGAGGTGTGGCACCTGAAATCACAACATTTCTCCTCTGTTTACAAGCTGAATGATCTCAGACATGGCTGAAAAGTAAAGGGACAAAGGTAATGACCCAGCGTGATAGCTGTCAGCCCTGAGTCTCATCATCAAACACCTCTGACCTGGAAAGCAGAATCACCATAATCAGAGCTGATCTGGCTCTGCTTTAAAGAGGGTCTAGTCCGCCTGACCAATGGCATCGTTTATCTTCCTCATGTGTCTGCCCACATGAGCCAGTCCTCCTTTTCTCCCTGAAGAGGTATGCTAATGGAAACCAGCTGGTTTCTCCACTGCATCCTCATGGGAGGTTGCGCCCCCGCCCCACCCTTCACTCAGCTCCAACATGCAGTGAAAACGCAGCAGAGGCTCACGTCACAGCAGGGTGTCTGGGCTGCTGTTGTGTCAACTGGAGCTGCACGCTGGCGCTGCTGATGGAAAACCCTCACGTCAGGGTTGATTGCTGGAGCCCTGATGCATGAGGGCCGGTGGAAGCAGGCCATGTGCTATTCTGAGCCACTCTCACGTTCGTAACTCCTCTGACCATTTGTCGACCCCATTTGTTGTCGTTTCAAATAATAAAACCACTTTTAAAGGATCTCAGTGTGCGGATAAACTCCACAAAGCGCAAGTTGTTTCTGCTCATCATAATGCAAATGCAGCAACGAGAGCAGAGCGGGCACGCTCAATTTTCACCATCTGAAATCAAGTAGAAGCTTGATCTGCAGCCATTCAGTAAATCACGCAGCGCTGAGGGAACAGGAGTTATCCAGAGAGCGTACAGTACAGAAGCTAATGGTTCACATTTAAAGAAAAAACTCACAAGCTTAATTCCTTCTCAAATTATGCAAGTGCCTCTTGTTGATCATTTAAAACATGTTTTCTTTGGCAGTGACCTGCAGCATACCAGCCTCCAGATGGTCTTTGTTTGGTTATTTTTAGCTAAATAAACTCCTCGTAGGCTTTTGACTTAAGTTGTACCTCACAGTCTGAAAGTAAAAACAGTTCCGAGCAGCGATGACTGATAAATTATCTGGGTCCAGATGACCAGAGGGGCTTTTCAATGACTCATTTCCCAAAACTACCACGACTTTGAGGAGAAATCTTTCACTTTGAGCTGTAGTGTTGTAGTGCATGATTGTACTCTCAGGTATGGCACAGTTTCAGCTCACTGTTAGTCACAGTAAAATGAAATCGCTGGAAGGTTTTGAATGTTATTCATGTTCGACTGGATGCCTCGGAAATGAAGCTTTATTATCGTGGGATCACAGATGGAAAATCTCTCTGCAGGGTGGGCACGGAAACCTGACGAGCTGCCAGTGCAGCGAAGGAAACTTGATTAGATTAATGCAGACGGCTTTGTTTAAATCTCAAACTCATTTGATAGCAAATAAACTCAATAACTTTAACAGTCATGGCTAATTCTTACCTGGAAGAAGTGCAAACAGGCAAGTGAGCAAGAGATTGTTCAATAGTTTGACTTTTTGAATCTTTTTTAACGTATTTTACATCGAAGTATCTGCATCCAGTATATATGAATTTATGAATGCAACATGCTGAAGGGCTGGGCGATAAATCAAAAATTTAACGAAACAGAAATTTACCTCGTAATTTTGTCCATATTGGTATATTCTGTGTCAAATAAAAGTTAGTTTTAGAGGTGAATTGCTCAATATATCGGGATATTGATTTGAGGCTGTATCACCCAGCCCTAACATGCTGTGCAAAACACCACAGAGACCAAGCGAAAGGAAACGTCATAACCTCTAAATCATGCTATATTACAATGTTTATGTCTTTCTTCGTGCCATGTGCTGAGTGGAGGCCATCAGTGCCCATAGATTTAACTAAAAACAGGTGTAGTGTGGAGGCATACATCTCACTATAAACTCGAAAGTTAATTTTTCATCCTGTGAAGCACTGTTTAGGCGCAGGCTGGCTTTTACAGCTCACTTAGCTTTGATTTATGACTCCTCTCGTTGAAAACGTTGTAAGTATTCATTTGTTAACTGTTCTGCACTTCTTCCCTGATCACATCATACGGCGTGTTTACATCTCGAGCCATTCATCCATCGTCATGTACACGTTTTTTTTACTCGCAGCACGTGAGGCTTGAACTCACGCCAAGAGTCCGCTCCATTTGTGGTCATGGATGGTATTGTGTGGCTGCGTAGACGCATCACAGTCTCCAAGGAGGAGCTAAAATAAGCAGCTAAAGCCCTGCCTGTAACAGTTGTCTGTTTAATTTAGCTCGTAAAGTATCCCGCTCACTTTCCCCCCTCCTCTCTCCTCTGGCCTATATTCCACTGAGTATGTGGCCTATATCTCGTGTCCCCTAAAACATTTGCCGCCGTGCACTACTGGAGTATTTAAAGCTCCATCAAACTACACCAATGAATGCTGTGTTTATTAGTGCATGTGTAGGATGAACATCTATCTGTCAAAGCTTAATGCATGGAGGTCTTCACCAGCCCCAAATGACCGAATGGAAAAACTAAAGACACGTTGGATTTGAGGGATACAGCGTGTGAGATTTTCAGAGTGGGTAGACGATCTGGGGATACATGAAGTCGCATTAGTTATCCGGTTCTCTATAGCATCTGCTCAGTAATTCAATCATGTGGAGGTAATTGTTTTACCTACATGTATGTCTGCTTCTTAGCAACTGACTGTACCTAATCTCATATAGCCAAACGAATCATCCCCATACTGTTGTGGAAACATAAAACAGTTTACTGTAGAACCTTTGAATTTAGCCTTGCCTATCTACCTAACATTTTAGTTTGGCTGCTTTTCCATTAATATAGTTATACACAGCTTATGGGTGTTACTTTTTACACAGCTGTGTAGTCATGTTTCATCCCAGTAGTTGTGCTTTTATAGAAAACGCCTAAAGCTAGCCGTTATCTCCCCTTAATAGCTTTATGAGACCTAACAGTTGAGATACAAACCTTACAAAGGAGTCATCAGTGGCGTGGCGAGCACAAACAGCCATGTTGTGGCTGTTGTCGTCACGGTAACGTAAAAGTGTCCACCATAGCTTTGATTTCCACTCCACAAACAAAGGAACACTTAAGAGAAACTTTCCAGGATGTGCTGAATTAAAGTGCAGAGTCGAGGAAAAAGCCAAGCAGGGGTGGGCAGGTCTTTGACAGAGCTGACAGGTGGGCTCGTCTGTTAACATCGCTTTAATGATGGGATGGGACAACCTAAAACAAGGTTGGGGCCAAGTCTTCCTATGTTCTCAGAGAAGCCAGAAGACTCGTTCATGTATCTGATGTTAGGAAGCTCTGGTAAGATTGAGTGTGGACTTCCAACGGCATAATAGGTCTTCATTACAGAGACTATATACGTGTCTTTCCAGATTTAAGTCCTCTCTTATAAGAAGACCGATGCTGTTTCTCTCGATGGCAGCTTCTGTTTTTGCTCTTTGACCTTATCTCTATACTTTTTTCGGCTCTCTGCTTCCTTTGCGCATCATGAAAAGGAGACCCTGCTCTTGCAGCTTATACCGGCTTAGCTTGCGGCAATCTGCTGCTGGAGGATTAAGGTCTGAGGGACCTGGTCTCTTTAGATGTTTTGAAACATAGTCTGGAGGCTTTTAAGGAAGATGCAACAGGCTCCAGATGCTTTGATTGATGACTTTCTGTTTAGTGATTCAGGATGTGTTGACCGGTGTTTGTTATGTGCCGTACTTAAGTTGATTGACAACTTCTCAAACAGTTTTGGAGCTTTGTTTTGCACTCCCGAAGAATTCAAAGCATTTGCAAAACACTCATTGACACTTTCTCTTTGACCTTAGTTCACTTCCAAAAGTAAAACAGGAAACCTCGGAGGGTATGTCAGGGCAGGAGTTCCTGTTGTTGCATCCCAAATATCCTCCAGAAAGACAAAGTCCCGGAGCCTCCACGCCGTCTGGCACGTGGAAACCCAGAGCTGGGACGCTGCCACACTGCCTGCTTTGTTTGCCCCTTTACAGTTCAACAGAAACGTGCAATTCCCCTGACACTGTTCCCCTGGTTTCATTTACCTCGGGCCAACAGAGCTGATACAATGAAAGTATATAGCAGGAAGTTAATCAAACCCAGCTGTCCCCTATTACACATGGCAGCCTGTCAGCCTCCAATTCTAAAGAATTTTAAGCGTAAGAAAGTAAAAATACTCCTGAGCGGAGCGCCTCGACTATAAATCGAGTGGAAAATATTGTAGACACCACCATATATGTGTAACTTAAGGTTAAAGTGCAAGCTTTGTCTGCAAGTATTAGTGTTAATAGCATTTACTGGAAGCTAAAGACGAGCCATTCAGGCTAAATTTAGCTCAGGGTAATATTTTGGTCAGGATTTCCCTACATGGTTGTGCCAGAGTGAACATTAAACAGTTCTTCTCCGGGCTTGTTTTGGGAGTGAGCCCTCTGCAGACTTCTGTGACGACAAAAAGTGCAATTTCTCATGAAGTGCCTCTCATTGGTGCAAATAAACTCTGCGCTCGTTGCCGTAGTAAATCCATCATTGTTACCCGTGTCAAGATAGACCAAAGGTCGGGGCGGATTTTGATGAGTTGTTGATTTTGGCCGCAAAGCATGCTGGGCAAAATGTTTCCGCTGTCTTTTGGCCGCTGCGCTGCCACACGATGCCACCGCAAGGCAACGTAATGGGTGGCCAAGTCTGACCACAATGAAAGAGTCTCTCCTGCCATGTTTCCCACTTCCACTCCAGAGGAAACATACATGCATGTGTGTGTGTGTGTCTGCAGTCTGAATGTGTTGAAACCGAATGTCATAAGTGCTGCCTGTGACGGGGCCGCTGCACACCAGGAAAAGACTGTGATTACTTCATCACTTGGCCTCGTTATCAGGCTTCCTTAACCCATAAAAACAGAGGGAGGTTTTTACACAATCCTGTTCAACTCAGCGTAAATTAAAAACTATAACGGCTCATGTCTTTGTTCTTTGGAAGGCTTTGTTCGGTCTTTGGCATGAAGACGCTGCTCTTACTTTGAAAATACCATTGTGTTTTCTGCCTGTTGTAAACAGACCTGGAAGACTTTAGAGTTTTGAATCTGAATCATCCGAGAATCTGAGACTCTACTGTCAGTTAACGTGCAAATTTAGGTGATGCATTCAAAGAGGCAAAGCCAAGGGGTGTCCAGGGTCAGAAACGATCCAGATATATCGCCTAATTGAGCTTTAACTTTCCTGTGATTATAAACATACAGACTGATTTCCTGTTTGTTCATCAGGCTGAATGTACAACACAAAACCACAGCGGTTGTTATGTAGTCCAGACAATCTTACAGAAAGCATTTAAAGCTGCTGTGCAGAACTTTTTGATTGTGTTTGTTTTTTGTGCCACCTGTCGCTGATGATCTTCAACTAAATTTTAAAACTGTTTCACGACCTGAAAACTTCGTATAGAAACTTTAAAGACTCTTAAAGACGAAAACACGTGAGTAAAACTTCCAATAAGCACCATATTTCTTCTGCAAATGTCTTGAAATACCTTTGCAAACTTATCATCACAATATCAAGGTCCAAAAATGGAAAACTCATGCAGGGTTGATGCATAACTTCTGCATAAGCTCGCTTGGTTGGTTTGTGCATGATTAAATTTAGGAGTGTTTAGAACACTTTTAATGCTTTTGTCAGTTATTATTGTTTACAAATATAATCTTTTCTCAGATTTGAAAAGGTTTTGAAGATACTCAAGAAACGTCATCACATCACATTTCAGAGGGTTAACAACCTGATGGCAACCCTGTTATCACTTCCCTCTACTTGACCCATTTGTTGATATGAGTGATTATTCCTGTGAGGGTGGCGTCAACTTGAAATTCTGCTTCCTGCAAAAACAGGCGAGATCTGCCTTGAAGGAAGAGGAACCAGAACATACACGCAAGACTTTTGTTTACGTCCTGCGCAGACTGTAACCAGACTTCATTAGGAGGATTTGATGGATCTGTGCGAGCGTTTTGCAGCTTTATCAGAGCCGTGTCTAAAAACAATGGACCCAACAATAACAGTGAGGCTAAAGCGTCCCAGATTTTGAGCGCAGTGACGAAACCAGCCGCAGGAAGCATCTGGAGAGCTGCTCTGTCACCAGGATGGAGTGGACTCAAACAGACACACAAACACACCAGACTTCATTTAAAAAAACGGCATTTTAAGCTGCAGCTTTATGATATTATTGCTTATGGTTCTGCAAAGGTTTCTAATGAATGCATGTTAACACCGTGCTGCATTGTTAAAACTGTTGTTACAGGATGCAGAAATCTGCAGCTGGCTTCATAACTTTGATGGAAAGAACTTATTTTTTGTGGGGAATGTGCTTCTGCAATTAATTACATAAGATTTCAGATAACGAGCTTCCTGTTTATGCTCGGAGACGGGTTATCTTGATGTTGAAGGGATTTCATCTCTCAAAGGCAGGAAGTCTTCAGATGCTTGTTGTTCTTTCTTAACAGCAACAAAATCAGAAATAGAAATATGATGTTTATAGTCAAAGAAGTTTATGACAACCATCCCACCAAAAGATCAGCTGGAGTCGGTGTGAAATGTACAAGAAGATTCGCACCGTAAATTTATAAAGCAGAGCAGCTTTTGGCTCTAAGACATTACAATCATTAAATCTTTGAGAAAATTCACTTTTTCTTATTTTCTGAACAGAATTTAATAGCAAGAGTAAGTAGCACTAACTCAGTATATTTACATGCACAGTTAAGATTAGCTACGGTTAAAGCTTGAGTAGGTGAGTTTAAGTGTACTACTGTCTTTAAACAGCTGGAGCAACATGTTAGCAAGAGGCTAACAGGATGTACGTCAAATATTGAAAACAGTCACTTTTACAGCTCTTTACCGTTTTTACGCTGGGAAAGGACTTATGAGTTTATGTGATTTTAAAAAGATCGGTTTCAGACGGACTAATACAATTTGACTTGAGCAGAAGTTGGAAGTAAAGTTTTTTGTACTTATTTAAACATTTTCTCCCTCTTTTTCTTTTTTTTTTGTTGGCTTTTCTTCTTTTCTTTGTTCCTTGATCAATTCCTCCTCTTTTTCTTCTTTTTTGTTGTTGTGTTATCCTAAAGTTCTTGTCATTTTTCTTCTTCTTGTCCCTCTATGTTCTTGTCTTATAGTGGTTGACCGATAACAGTTTTTTAAATGCTGATCACTAAAGAGGAGGTCAAGATTTAACCCCAGTATCTTGTTGGTTTTTTGGATTTAATAAATTATAAAATTTATTGATAATAATCTGATACACATGATATTTATCAACTGTTATGTGGAACTAACAATAACGAGGAAGTTAGTGTTGCTCTAAAGCAGTAACTCTGACCAGGCTGCCTGCAGTGTATGCAGATGTTCCTCTATTCGTTTGATCCTAATGTTCTTGTTTTTGTACTTACAGTTGTTTCACTATTTTCAGTTCCTCTTTTTCTTCTTGTTGTTCCACTTTTTCTCCCTATTCTCTCACGTTTTCTTGTTTTTCCTCTTTTTGTTTCTTGAATTTCTCCTATTCCAGTTTCACTCTGTCCTGTTTATCCTTGTTTTCTCTCATTGTTAAAAGCAGCTGTACGAGTCTGATATCCATTATCACCTTAATCTGCCTGTATCGTGGACTCAGAGGTGACTAAAGCCACCTTGTTTCTATTTGATCCTCCATCTTCAGGCCTCATATCTGCTTCCATAAAAGGACCTCATCTGGATTCTTCTCCTTTTTCCGGCTCCGTCCGGGTTTGTTTTGCTTCTTCGGGGAGCCATGCATGTGTCCTGGCTGTGACTCCATACTGAGTCAGTCTGGTTACAATAGAGCCCTGTGAGGGGTCAAAGGTAAATGATGATGGGGGCTTTAGGTTGGGAATTCAGGGAATGAAGGGGGTTTAAATCCTGAAAACCTCTTTGACTAATTTCCCTTCAGTTCTGCTCCTGCTGCTGCTGCTGAATTTATTTCCAGGGTAACTTTACAGCTTTGGGGTTATTAAGAACCGTGAAATCCTTGCAAATGAGACTTAACTATGACGCTGAAAATAGCAGCAAAACAAAGAACACGCTGAGAGTCTCACAATGAGAGGAGTAACTGAGATTTGAGGGAACACATCTGTGTATTTATAGGTGTCTGGCACAGTTTCAGCTGCAGATATTACCCTGATTCAGCTATAGTTAGCTTTGGCGCTAAATCAAGTTGTTGTTGATGGAATGCAGTAAAAATAACACGCTGATGAATTTGGTGTGTTTGAGCAGTAAACCTATTCCATCTGCAGAGTTCCAGCGGGGAAGTGAGGCACCTTTTCTCTCCTCCTTTTATAAATCCCAGCTGTGGTTTTAACTGTCCAGAGGTCAAATGTTGAATGCCTTCTTCATGATGCATGCGAGGCCGTAAAAGTTTCCTGTAATTTGTGTTTACGTGAGCACTGTTTTAAAAAGCTGTAAATTTAATCCGCTCAGATTCTGCAGGGAGAAGGAGATGTATATCTGCTTATCTGCACCTCTGGGATCTTTACCGAGGAGAGTCGTTTTACCTAGAGTCTAACGTGAAGAGGTGTGTGCTTTAGTTTTCTGACCCGGAGGGGAAACAGTGGACTTGACAAGGATTTTAAACATCGCAGCATGTGCAAATGAATCTTCCTGTGTACACGCTGCGTCTACAACGCTGTTTCTGTTTATTGGTGTTTGTTCGTGATGCGGCCTCATGCGTGTCGGCGCAGATGGTCCACGTTTCCTGTCAGTTAAGTGATGTCCCTCTCCTGTTTTTGGCCAGGAGGAAACATGTGATTGCTCATAGGAGATGTTACAAAACAGCAAACGCATCAAGCAGCACTCAGCCTCTCTGAGGGTTTGGATTTCGTAGATTTATGTTTTTGCCGAGAAAAGCAGGCCAAAACCTGACTCAGAGGCCGGGGTTCAGAAAAACAGCTGATCATTTATTCTTATCTATTTTTATCCATTTTCTCTGCACTGTGGGGTTTTTATCTCCTTGAAATACACTTAAAAAGTGGGATTGTCTTTGAGTAATGAAGCCTTCTCATTTTTTTTATCCAGCTTAACACCGTTGTATTTACAATACTTGCTCTAAAGCTGTAAAATCCACTCATTTCGTGAGACCTTCAGTAAACAGTTTGTTTCTATGACATCCAGGGGCTTTTCTGTTACCATATGAATATATGTTCTGAGAGATTAAGGTAAACTGTGAAGGTTTAGGTATAAATTTAAGTGAAAGAGTTTCATTTCTGTAGTCAGCACACTTAAGTTTACAGAGAACGACACTTTTTTATTGGTTTGTTGGCCGGTCTGAGGCTGTCTGCAATCAGCTGACCTGGAGATATCCAGTTTTGAATGAGGGTTGACCAAGAAACATATATCACAGTCTGTTTTTAGTATAAAAGTACCTAAAAAGACTGGGCTGCCGCTGACCTATCATGCATCTGATGTACAATGGCTATGCCCCGCTCTCTCTCCCGCTCTCCCTGTTTCCCACTCTGTTTACTATCCTGTCCTCTCCAAATTAAGGCAAAAAGCCCCAAAATAACAAAATAAGAGAAGAAATACAAAAGATAGAGCTGTTTTGAAAGGACTAATCTTATTCTAGTGACAATAATCTGTTACTAGTAATCTAACCTACACACCTGATCAGTTAAAGCTCTTATAAGGAAGTTTTCCACATTTAGGAAATAGACTGAATCTTGTACTAATTCTTTTCCATGGTATCCAAAGGCAAACAACACCATCAGTGCCTAGATTGACAATTTTAATCTTGTAGTTTGACTTTGTACATGAACATGTTAGTGATTTTTGCATAAACAAAAGTTAAAAACAGTTAAATATTTATAGGAAAGATTGAACAAAAGTTTAAAAAAGTCAAATATTTATGGGAAAGGTTATTTTTGGAAATCTGTTTGTGTTGTACTTCTGGATTTTTCTGCTTTATTTTGTTAACTTAGTACTTAAATATGTTGAAGTTAAGGGCAGTTTTATGTCTCGCTGAGGTTGATAGGGTTCTCAGTTTCCTAGAGCAAGTAAAGGGAACAGTCGGGCCAACCCCATACTAAATAAGCTGGGCATGAACAACAGCCATGAAGAGAACCCCCATAGATCCTCATGTTGGTCTTCTATTCTATCTGCTTTGCCTGGAGTAGCTCTCAGTAAGAATAAAAGTGCAGGTTTTGTCTTAAAGATAATATAAGATAAACTCTGAAACCTTTGATACTCTCATTGAGATGCCTGTCTGAGCTGAAGGGTGTTTTAATACACACCAGGTTGTTGGGGGGGTGCTTTGTATCATTTATCAGCTTGGTGTTCGTATCTGGACGGACATCTGAGAATCAGGAGAATCAGATCTGACATTAGTCTGCAGTCAGGCTGAAATATTTTCCAGTGGTGGAGTAAACATGGCTCATGCTGAATGGCAACAGATTTCAAAGACACACAGCTTGTATGAGTGGTAGTCTGAAACATTCGGGTTTGGACAGACTGACGGTATTCAAACCAAAGGACTTTTTTTTCTTATGCAAAACCAGGTTTCAGTCAGTCGCAGTGATTCATGAGCAAAGATAGGAATTCATGAGCTTTATTACCATAACTGCTCGACTCAGACAGTGAAGCCCGGCCTCTGATTGGTCCTTCAAATCTCAGGTGATTGTAGACACAGCTTCTTAGTGGTCAACAAACCATAATAAAGATGGCAGCCCTCCATTAGCATAGTCAGCTACCAGCTGTGTATCACTTAATTAAGACATAAATCTCCACAAATTAGCTTGTTTTCAAGGGATTGGATCATGATAGTCCCTGGAAATACACTGATCTGCTCTGGACTTTGGATGCCACAGAAACAGAGGAAGTTTGTTTCCAGATAAGCTGCTTGTTTGACAAAGATTTAACCTGTTAAAGTAAAAAACAAAAACAATCAGATATCAATCAAAGCTTGATCAGCCAAGCATCCACAACCTTAAAAATACCAAAACGCCTCTTTTACACAAGGTCTCCAAGATCCAGATCTTTGTAGATTCTTAATGAGAGCCTCAACTTTAACACGGTTGGTGCGTTTTTCAATATTTCAAGCCAAATTTCCAGGTCCTTGAAAACCATGACACCTGAGGGATTCAGGAATAGACAGATGATTTCCACAGACACAATGAAGTCCACTCTCTGGCTGAAACAACTGAATGTCACTCCGTCTAACTCCTACTCAGTTTGACATTTTCAACATCTGCTAACCTATTCTGAGTGAGCAGCTGGTTTAGTTTGACCTGAAGTCAATCAGAAAGAAGTTTGTACCTTTAAACCTTCAGTAATTGTCTCACTTTTTTCAACGACAGGCGGAGATAAGCTGCTTAAGTGCACGTGTGCCATATGCTGCAGACATTAATGTAAATAGTTTCGATTTTAAGTTGTCTCTTTGTGCCCCAGCGTACACGCTCAACCTCAACCCCTGACAGGCTGAATCCATTCTTCACTCCACTAAAAAGCTTTTTCCATCCGAACTAAGACTCCCTGGCGTTTAGCCCTTGAATGAAATGGCCTCAACCTGCAAGTCATCCAAACATGTATTGTCCTAATAAGGAGCTCTGTGTGTGCGCCCCACTCAGGAGTTAATAAAGACTTCCCATGAGCGAGCTCAGGCTATGTGCTTTTCAGGGAGAATGGTTTGGCTGAGAGAAGAGCTTTTGAGCCCTGCAGCCAAGCGTGGCGCGTTAAAACTGGAGATCAGAGCCTTTCGCTGCCTGACGTCATACTCCCTGCACCCACCGTGGAGGAGCTGCTCTTGAAGTGTGGAGGGAAAGCTTGGTGTGTTTCCATCGTGTTGATCTAATTAACGTGTGAGAATAGGAGCGTTAAACTCCTCATGGGAATAGAAAAAAGTTTGGGGTACTGAATTGGGTTCACAGAAGTCAAGTTTACAAGTTACACAATCACTTTAACTAAGATATATTTACACAATTCGAGTTTTTGACAATAACCGAATGTAAAGATGGATGACGTAACTCCAGATCTTCTCATTGTACAAAAATGAAGCCTTGATACCCTTTGTAAGGGGCAGAGGAGTCTTGCGTTCGTTGTGGAGAGTCTGCACAGAAGGGTCCAGCTGGTGGGGTCACCATATTGATATTCTGCCTTCTTGTGCTGACCGAAACAGATATTTAACTTCGCCAAAATTTAAATGACTATTTAACAAAGCGGATATCTCCAATACGTTTTCTAAATCTGTTAAAAATCTATTTCGAACATGTTACTGGCCAACAAGAAGAACTTCTTTTAACGGGCAGAAACCTCAAGCAGGACCAGACTCATGTTTGACAGTCATCTGCTGCTGCTTTGGGTTTAGAGATAGGAGGAAGAGAAAGATGGACACAGGACTTTGTTGCAACAGTGGAGGAGGCTTCCTGAGAGCTGAGGCACCTTAAAGAGACAGCAGCCGAAATGAAGCCTGTCAGAGAGGCTGTTATCAATATTTTTAAAGGCACTAAAGCAGAGATAGATGAAGAATTTTTGAGCTAATAATTGTTCAGAGCTGCCAGAGGGATCAACTAAAGCCCAAAAGTAAGCATGATACCTTCACTTTTATTAAAATGAACAGTTAGGCATAAAATAGCATGATAAAAGCTTACTATAACTGTAGAGAGCATCTTTGAAAATAGAGTATTTTTTTTAAGTGTATTCAGCATTTTAAGTTTGACCTATGTCCCATCTGTTTACATGGAGAGTGCAGCCTATATGGCCAATGTTTTGGTGTCACTTTTTGGAAGCTGTCATGTATGCATGCGTCCACCATGTGTAAGCACTTAGTAACAGTTTAAAGGAAAAAGAAAACTTTCTTCTGACAGGTAGAAACCTCAAATGAAACCAGACTCATTGGTGGACGGCCATCTGCAACGACCCATCGAGCTGAGAAAGAGGGACAGAGGGAGAGGCATAGAAAATGATATAAATATATCGAAAGAGATTTACATGAAGGAGGAAGACAGGATGTTATAGCAGGACTTATTCTCCACCGTAGCTAATAAATGGGTCCTGAGTGTGAACATAAACACTGGAATTGTATATTGGCAGGAACCTCGCTCCTCAGAGAGAGGTGAAGGTTTGATTCCCAGTTGTTTTTTCTGAAAACAAACAGAGTGGTAAGCTGTCCTCCATCCTGTGTTGCTGGCCAAATGAATGAGCATTGAGGGAGGAAGAGTTTGTATCCAGAGTATTGTAAAGAATCACAGAGCTGAGGCATGTAGACTTTTCACCCTTTCTTTGACAATATGCAGATTCTGAAGTTTGGCCGGAAACGTTGGAAAACATTCGCGTCCTGCTGAGTTTGCTTGGCCCAACTGGAATCATTAATAAGTAATTTTCTCAGTGTAAGGATATCCAAGCAGGAAATTTACCTCTTTGTTTGGCAGCATTTTTTCTTTCTCTGAGGATACAGTAAAAAAACAAATTCATCTTGTTTCAAGCCACCAAAGTGAAATCTCAGACTTTGTCACCTCTCTCTCTGAAACAGATACTCAAACATCTTCTTCATGAGTGTTTAAAGAATTAAGTTGAGCTTATTTGAATGTTGAGTTACCTTTTAAAATCAGACATTATGAACAAAAATACAAAATTTTTAGATTTGTTAATATTGGGGATGAAAGTAGACATGATTAGTGTAGATAACCCTCTTGGATTTGGGGTCGCTCTTAATGTTTTAGTCAAAAAAGTTAGGCTCCGCCCCTTCTGTTAATAGATATACATAATATTTTGCCCATGTGCTCAACTTTAAGTCTTATTTGTGGTGTAAACTTGTTCTTACTTGACTACATGTGAAAGACTCCTACTCTGCATTTGGATCCGCTACATTTCTTTGACCAGAAGTATCTACACTTTGAAAGTAGTGCAGTCATGTGCTTTGTCCACTGCTGGTTATTATACGCATAATAAGGGTGTAAGCTGGGCTGGATTAGTGTGACAGTCTGATAGTGGTCCTGCACTTCAGAGTGACATCTGCGGTTAGGAACCAACTGATACCGTTGGAGGACAAGTGGTGTACTGGTGGCATACCACTGAGGGGACCAGCACAGGCTGTTGGCACCCAATTGGCATACCGTCGCCAGCTCACATGAAGAGATGCATGGTGTAGCATATGTGGATCACTTTTGGGTTTTGCTGTTACTCCTTAATTCAATCAGATTACTTTGAAGCATCCAGACCCTGCTGCGGATTTGAAGGATTTATTTTACGATTTTAAAAGTTCAACATGTTCTTCACATCGTAGATAAAAACAGAGATATATTTTTGATGATTTTTTTATCAAGATCCAGGTCATTAAAACAGCTACATGAGCTTTAAAGGAAAGTTTGCTGGTTGTGTAAGCTCGTGGCTGGACCTGTAAGCACATTTTCTTTCCAGTAAGATTGTGAACTGTAGCCTCATTACCAAAGAAAAGGGGCCCTTAATGAAAACCATGGAGAGATATGTTTGTGAAGTAACTTTGAATCAGCAGGTCTTACTCTGAATCAGCGTGAGTGTACTTTATCGGTCATTGAATCAGAAACTTCTTACATCATCTCCGTAAATCAACATAAATTCAGTTGATCTTCAAATAACCTGAATTACAGAAATACTCTGACTGATCTGACCCTTGACCTTTGCTTTTGAACAGGGATTAACACAGACGGAGCCTTTGAGTTAGAAAACGACCTGCCATTATGTTCTCCAGCATCTAAGGAACAGTTGTTGGGTTTCTTTCCATAAAATAAAGGTAGCAGGCTGTTAACACTCGCTGTAGTCCGTGCAGCTGCAGCTCAGGATCTCTCTGTTCCACAAATAGAGGAATCAAAAGCTGGATCGGGAGTGGGAAAGTGACCGGACCAAGGGTGTGGTGGACCCGGGTGTGGCGATTGGCAGCGTTGATTAAGGGATAGTAAAAGCCGAGGTGAAGTGTTACTCAACAGCCTCCAGCACTTGTATTATGATTGTGAGCCTTGGGAGCTCTCCAGTTCATTAGCAGTGTGTAGCCCTGTGTTTCAAGAAGAAAGAGATCCTCTATGAGCACAATAATAAACAGTCTGTTACAAAAGAGGCGGAAATCCAGCCACAGCAAACTGCTCTAATGGAAAGATTATGCCTATTTACTCGTGCATAAAAGTCACTCTTTGAGCAAGAGTACCATTTTTTGGCCGGTCATTATGTCCTCCGGTCTTCCTGAGGCTTGTGAAAAAGTGAGATAAGCTGTGGGAGTTTGGGGGCTGGAGACCCGGGCAGTTGATTCCCAGGGGGTCAGTTCACGCAGAGGCCAGTAGACAAGGGCCATTTCAGGCTTTCTGCTTTAACGGCTGCTGAGGCTGAAGGCCGAAGGCTGTGCCGGTGTCTGACACCGAACATAACCACTGACTATACGACATTGTGTCATGTTACCTCCCAGCTGAGCCGACAAACTGCTGGAACAACACTGTCTCTATAAGTCCAATGAGGCGTGGAGAGCGGGGAAGTGATGGATGTGGGGTCGACCTCTTGTGTCAGTGTCACTCAGCCTCATTATCAACCCGTGTTACACTGTTAGTGGGAAATTCATGTGGTCATCTCAGACCTCTGATGTTGCCCAAAAATATTCTATTTGTTAAAATATGGTATGATAGGGTGTGAAGTGATGATATAATTAGATACAATTACAATATGATACCATGGAATTTGATAGGATACGATGTGATATGATACTACTCAAAACAACACAATATGATACTATATAAGAAATCTAATGATACCATTCAACACCACAAGGTTAGGAAAGATATAATACGACACACTACATTACAATATCATATGAATCAATTATACAAAAGGAAATTATGTCATATTGTATGATATATGACACGATATGATACATATAATACCTCATGAAACAATATGATACAAAACAAAACAAACAGTACAATATTATACCATACAGCACAAGCTGATATGATATTGTTGTCAGATATGATATGATACAGTAATATGAGATACATAAGCTACGACACAATATGATACACTACAATATGATCTTATACAATACTATAAGATGCATTAGTTTTATTTCAATATGATATGATATGAAATGATTTGATGTGATATGATATGATACATGTGATATGTTAGGGTTACTGTGGGATACTATATTATACTATAAATATGTTGTGATATGATACAATTTAATGATATGAAACAATATGATAGGAAACTTTACGGAACTTAACGATATGAAACAATATGATACAATACGATACATTATGATACAATACGATACAATACGATACAATGTAATACAATACGATGCAATACGATACAATATGATACAATACACTATAATACAATACAGTACAATATGATACAATACAAAATAACATGATACAACACGATATGATAAGATATCAAAGGGTTTGATTTTATACAGTGTGATAAAATATGGTACAATACGCTTCATTCTGATAATGCACATTGGTATGAAAGGATACATTATGATATGACATAATACAGTAGGATTAGATACCATGCCATACCATTACCATACAATGCACTTGATTGTACCTATAAGGGAGATTGTTTTACACACTAGCGCTGTACTCATTTGGCTTCCTCAGCAGTATTAGTATCAACAGTAAATAACAATTTACTAAAGGTAAAGGCTCAGTTTGTTGAGAGGACTGTTTGCAAATGTAAGAGTTCCTCAGATGTAACTTAGGTGTGAGGTTAAAAAGGATAAACTACTTCCATAATACATTCGTCATTTAAGGGTCAGGTGAATGGTTGACTGGCCCATTTGCAAGACTCTGATGCCCATTTGTTGAATATGTGACCAAGCCTGATTTATATTAATGTGTAGTATTGTCTTTGCCAACATGGTAACAGTATGTTGTTAGCATATACAGCTGTAGAAACATACACACATCGTCTATTTTCTCAGTCTGTTATGATACTAAGTTGTTTGTCTTTATGGTTATGGACTTTTTTTTGTTTTGTTTCATTTTGTTTTTAGTTTTTTGGACAATAAACTGCAGTTTTATAGATAACAGTTAAATCAGTGAAAAATCCCCCAAACCTGTTTCTAACTTAGCGACCAGGTCTTTATCTGAGTGCAGCACAGTTTCCCAAACGACCCCCCTGTTTTTGTCTGTTCACGTCCTGCACTAACACTCCCCCCTTCCTGCTATAACTCTCTCACTGTTGATGAGCTGGGTGGATTCACCGCCGGTGATGCCGCTAATGGGATGGCTCTGTGCCCGTCTGAGGAAGGAGGATGGGTGGGCGGACGACGGGAAATGATATGATAACGAACAAAAAGAGAGAAAGAGCGAAAGAACGAGTGGACAGAGCAACCTCAGGAAAACCTTTGTGTTTATGTAGCCGGGTTGTCTCCATGGTGGTAGATTCAGTCAGGCAAAGGGACACATGTTGCCTATGGAGCTCATCTGTGTTTTTGCTTTTAAACACAAAGTCCAGAGCCTGGCCCACCAAAAGGTCTTCAAAGAGCTGACAAGATGAAAAAGAGACATCAGTATCTGCTTTTCCCATGTACGTCTTTCAGCGCCGTTGTTTAATGACGATACAGGGTTTGATCACTTTTAGCTCTCTGTTTTCTGTCTGTCTGTCTGCATTGTTTCCAAACTCCATGCCAAGTCAAACACTTCTTTTGTGGTCCTGCATGAGCTGCCAACAATATCTCTTAGAGTTAGTGCCAGCAGGATGAAAAAAAAGTCAATATTTTTGCTCCAGTGAGAACTTAGTGGTGTCCCTGCTTTTATTACTTTCAGCAAGATGATGAGAGCTTTGTCAAACATCTATAAACCAATTTGGTGGTTTCTCAGTATCCTTACATCTGTGTTTAACCCTGTGGATCTGTGGCGCAGCGTTTGCTGTGAAAACATGGTGTGCAGACGGTATGAAGTTCTGATTATCTGCAGAGCAATCAGTCTTAGCACCAGGCCTCAATTGCACAAAGATGTTCAATTGCAGTAATCACCCCGACTGTTACATGGCGTTTATTTTTGAGGTTGAAATTATCTCAGTGTCTGTGGTTTGACAGATTCCCCGCTTTAATCTGGTTGTTTTTTTCTCTCCGCAGAAAGATGTCAAGGAGGTGTTCACGCCAATCATATTCGAGGTGGCGTACAGTCTGGGGAAGCATGTGGTGGCGGGGCATCAGGAGAGGGACATGCCGGCGCTTACGCCAGTGCTGCGATGGAGGAAGGGAAACAAGATCGCTGTGAGGAATGAGGTAAACTGCAAATCAATTTTTATTTATAAGCTTTAATTAGTAGAAAGATAGATCTGAAGACTTTACAACAAGGGCAGAGGTCTGAAAGTTCAACAAACTCTGGGTATCTTTTGGTTTGATGGCTTCACTGAGAGTTTTTGATGATCATTTTTACAAACTAAGAGAAAACTGTGTGGCTGAAAAAAACATAAGTAAGACTGAAATCAGCTGTTATTGCAAAATGTAAAAACTGTCAAAGAGAAAAAGATGCCAAGAGTAAGGGTGCAAATCAAGACTTAGATTATCCTATTTATGTACGATAGATTTAACTCCTGTTTTATGAAGGATTAGGACCACACCATGGGAATAAAATAATGAGCATTCAGTAAAAAAGTTGTAGATATAATGAGGAAAAAGTCATGATATTATAAGAGTAAAGTCATAGTACATACACTCACAATATTTTAAGATTTAGATTGTAATAAAACAAGAAAAAAGTTGTAGTGAAGTCGTAAATATGAGAATAGAGTTTGAATAGTGTGAGATCAAAGTCTTGAGAATAAAATAATTGAATGAGAATAAAACTAACTTTATGAGGAAAAAAACTTGTTATGACAGCCCGCGGTTATAAAGGCTAAAAGAGCAGATAAAGAGTAATAGAGGAGGAGCAGCCAGCTGTCAGCATTAAAATGAGGCTTAGGACAAACACCATCAATTCATAATCCAGATATTTATGACACTGCAGTGTAGATCATTTGCTAAAATGATAAAAATCCCATTAGTTTTTTAAATTTATCTGGAAGTTAAACTTCACAAGATACTCCATGTTCCTAAGTTTGATTTAGGAGGCTGCAGGCTGCTCTTCTGCTCCACTAACAGCCTAAAAGTGTGACTTTCTTTATCATAAATCGACAGTTTTATTATGACTTTTCTCCAAATTAATTCTTATAATAATACGATATTTAGGACTCTATTCTTGAGGTATTGATTTTTATTTCTCAGTGTAGCCCTACACTGCCTGACACTGGTTTGTTGACCCTGTATATGATTGTGTACATTTATGTTCAAAACTGATTAATCCAGCTGAAGCCCCTATGGTAACAAATGAGGGTTATAGTTTTATATGCCACCGATTTTAACATCATTACAGGCCATAAAGTAATCCTAAGTAAGTGTAGAGAGTGGCTGTAATTCACAATTCATCCTGACATGTCATCAAGTTTTGATAAAATCTGATGCACTGATTATGTGGAGAATTTTTATCAGTCGTGAAATTTAAGAGAAAAGAAATCCTGAAGGGGCATAAAGAGAAAAGCTCTTATTTCTCTACCTTAGATGGATGTTTTTGATTATTTATTTTTTTCTTATTTGATGATTTTGATAAATAAAAGTTACCTTGTGGTCAGACCTTGTAGTAAGACGCAGTCATATCCTGCACTTTAAGGACTTATTCTGTGATTAATTAATAGTAGAAAAACACAAAATTATTCAGACCCTGATACAGTTCCGCTCCTCAGCTGCTCATCAGGACCAGGATCATGTCTTACCCTGGATCTCAGAAGGAATGCAGGAAAGAGCTCAAATTGAGGTTATAATGATTTGGTGTTGGTTACCAGTTTATTATTGTCTGTGTTAGCTTTTCTTGACAGGAATCCAAAAAGACTGATTCGTTTATTTTCTTTGCAACCACCTCTAACCTGCCCCACATGTGTTCCTGCGGCGTCTACGCTTCATGAGAAAAATGGAGGATTTGCGTCTCTCAGCACCTACAGAATCCATTAATCTGAAAGTCACTGTCCTTACACCGAGCTGTTCTGCTTGACTTAAGTTTCCTCAAACCAAAGACCATCCTCTGACTGATCAAAGAGGGGGGATCAGATGGACTTGATGGATGATAATCGTCTAGATCTCTCCTCCAACGACACAACACTGCCCTCTAGTCTGAGTTTGGAGTCAGTATGTTGATTTAAGGGACAGCATGAGGTCATATGAACTGTGTACTTCACTCTTTCCTCTGCAGACCTGGTTTGAGAAGAACTGCCTGTCAGACGACTGCGCGGCGGACCTGAGGCTTCATGGGAAATTGCTGCTCTCTGGGTAAACACCTCCTGCTTCACACTTTACATTAACTCTCTGTCTCTGCAGAGAGGAGGAAGCCAGCTGACGTCATAGGCCGTGTGGGTGTGGGTGGTGGAACCATGACGCATGCTTGGAGGATATCCATATGTTTTTCCATACTTAGGGAGTTCCCTCTCTTTTTTATTGTGTATCTCTCTGTGCATTTCAAGACAAAACAGGACCATCCTAGTAACGAATATTTTTATCTTTCGACCACAGGAGCGAGACTTTGTCATAACAGTATTTTAATCAGTTCCCCGACAATAGTTAAAGAGGCAAACTGAGCTGAAGGAAGAGTCTCAAAGCAAACTTTAGTCGGTTTTTCTAACGTCAAGTTCAGCTGATTGAAAACTGTCTAAATAAGCTCATTTATGCCACCCTTACATACCAAAGAAGTGCCTTTTTTAACTGTGTTTTACCTCAGAAAAGGAGAGTGAAAACTTTATTTATATCAACTAACACTGCAACAGTGGTGAAGAAAAACAAAGTCGGAGGCAGTGCTGCAGACCAGAGTCTTGGACACCATTTAAATACTTCATAACTTTTAGGAGTGTAAAGTTTGACATTATGTTTCATGCTTTGTACAGTTTTTTGTTTTAACTACTGGCTGCAACATTTGGTCAGTATACATGAGCATGCAGAGGAAGCACAGAGCATAAGTGAGCCTGCATGTCATCTTTCATCCACTGTCCTGTCTTCTGAATAAAGACACTAAAAAGCCCAAAAGTCAAAAATCAGTCAATCAAAGTACAATAATGATATATTTTTATCTTAGTTGACTGTTCACATACTACAGCGTTATTGTTAGAGTTGTTTTTTCTTCGGATTAGCTAAATCACACGGTAGAGTTGACTCCGTCTGCAGAGATTGATCGCCCATCTTCTGTTCTGGTTCTCCTGCTGGTTTATCAACAAAGAGCCTGAGCTGACCTGGAACTCCTTTTATTACCTCATACAGCCCCACTCCATTAAAACCAGACTATCTATTAATAGATCAACACTGAAGTACTTGAAGATAAGCTGTACCGTATCCAACCATTAAGAAAACAAGATTTTTTTTTCAATTGTGTGCTGTTTTGTTCCTAACAGGACACCATAGTCGAGCTACTACAGCTCCTCCCTTCTTCCTGTTAGCTGAAAAATAATGACACCAAAAAGTCCCAGATGGTCCAATTTTTAAGTCAAAATTTTTATTCACTCAGTGACGTACTCTGAGTTTGAGATATCACCTACAAGTGAAGCACAGTCCTGCTTATATTTCTTCCTGTGTAATAGTATTATCCTTCAAAATAGAAAAAAACATGTATTTGGCAGATTAGGCACTATGAGACCACCTCCACCTCTACTTCGTCATGGTTTCAGATTACACTGGTGTAGCAGGGCAGAATCTTTCTTCAGTAATAATCATCTTTTTCTTTCTGTCTCTTCAGGCTGCACACCGGTCACCATTTGGCCCTCGGAGGAGTGAGGAACGTCTCTTTGAATCTCACCATCTCTAACACCGGAGACGACGCCTACGACACCAACATCTACTTGAACTTCTCCAGAGAAGTTTTCTACATCAACTTCTGGCAGAGGGTTCGTTCCTCTCCTCTCCTCTCTTTTAAAGCACCTGCTGTTTATTTACCCGAGCGCTCCTGTTTATTTCTGAAGCGCACTGATGATGTGAATCACCGACATGACACTTGGAGCCAAATTTAACACATGACGTATCAGACGAATATTATCCGATTTCCACTTAGAGGTGCATTTTTTTATGTGTAACAGTTTATTTAAAAAGGCGGGGGAAGATTGAATATCAAGAGCGCAGTCTAAACAGTGAAGCGCACAAAAAAGAGAGACCTGCAGGAGGACGTTTGTGCTTCAAACTGAGATGAAGAGCAGGAGCTGTCTGGTCTCATAGGTCAGCTCGTCTGGCTCCTGTGAACTGTGTGTACAAGATTAAACCAGAACACACACTTATTTTCCCCCAAGCTTGACTTAATTGGCGTTCAAATCACATTATTAGGGTCAAAAACGGTCTTGATAACCTTGTATAATTGCCTCGTAAAGTGACTAGTGCGTCTGACCTTCATGGGGATACTGATCCGGGACCAGCTTTGGTGATCTTGGTGCCAAACGACAGTGCAGAAAGTCAGTGAGGTCTGTTTTTAAAGATCACTCGGGCAGTTTATAAAGGAGGAAGGTGTCAGAAATGACGTGGAAAGACTTTGGGTCAAACCAGAGCCTATATCGACGTCTGCAGCCTCAGTATGTGGGGCTAAACCAGCGCTCTGATTTTACACTTCTTACTCAACATGATGTTTGGGGCCTAATTTAGAAAGTTCGAGGTCTTAAATCAGTGATCCTCAGAGTATAGTGACCACCTTTGTTACCTTTTGCTCTCATCTTTGCACTCTTTGAACCTTTACAAAAACTATTTCAGCTTCCGTCACTGTTAAAGAAATATCTACCCACTACCATCCCACAGTAAACCCGAGAGTCTTCCTCACGCCGAGTCCACGCTGTACAGTATGCAAATGGATTTCACAGCCGCCACCTCTGCCTCTGCTCGCATCAGTCGGCTGCATTCTTGCAAAGAGGCCACTCACGGTCCAGAAACACTCCACATTAGATACCAGACTGCCCTCCTTCTGCAGCTGCTCTGATGCCAGAGGGGACAGCATCCATCATGAAGGATTTCCCCTCATATCTGACCCCCTCATGTTTATCCTCCAGCTGTGTCATGCATCCTGTGATGGATAAGAGCGTCTCTGTAAGGCGCACAACCTGTGACATGATCTCGACCCCCAACAAAGCTGAAATTGAATTTAAAAAGAACACATGCTGCAGGCAAATATTAGGAAAACAGTGTTTCAGTTTGAGTTTTGAGGCTAATCTAATGAGCTAAGAAAGGATCAGGTTACCAGCTGCTGCAGCAGAACCTGGTAAGTCAGGGTGGCCTGCTGCACAAAGAGAGCAGGAAGTGAACAGTATCAAGAGATGATAGGGAGGCCACGCAGCAGATTTACTCTCAGAAAGATTTCTAATTACTCCTGAAGAAGTCCGAGGTGATGAAGTGACCCCTTTTTGCAGAGTGAAGGTCGGCTCTGAAGCCCCTCCCTGGAGGCTTTTCCTCCAGTGAGCGAGCGAAGCGTGAACCCGTACTCCCCTCTCAGTGAAGAGCGGGCCGTGTTATCATGCTGTTGTTCTTGCAATACAAGCTGTCAGGAAGATGATTAAGTTTCAGGAGTGAAGTCTTCGCTCCTTTGGGACTTTAAGACTGCAGCACCAGCTTCTGTGTTTTCTTTTTTTAAATTTCTGAAATATTTGAGTCATCAGGTCTTTGTTATTTTATCCTGAAAGGGCAGAAGTAATGAGGGATTGACACCTTTACTTTAATACATTAATCCCTATTGTTACAGCCACTGAACGGTGTCTTACATCAGAACACACGGTTTTAAAATAATGAGCTTCAAGTATGTGGAGTAGGTGGAGTGAATGCAAATCTTACTACAGCTCAGCATAACTGTACTAACAAATCGTAAACTTCTAACTACAAATGAAACTTTCTTGTCCATCAGCTTTAGTTTTAGAACAAAAAGTCTGTGTGCAAATTAAATACTTTTTATTTGTTAATCCGAAAGTTTTGATGGTCACTAAAGCAGTGCCCAATTCCCCCAATACGACAAAAGTCAGCAAAGGCCTGATAATCGGATGGTTCTGTCGGTGTGAGTTATCTATACTGTGTTTTTTTACCCCCTTCGATCTGCGCAGAAAACAAGCTAATGCGGTGAATGTACTAGGAAGCTAAGAAGCTAGCAACAGGTGGCTCTCATAGTCCACCTTGTTTGTTTACTCCTTTGTTTGACAGAAGATTTCTAGTTCCTTGTGTCACTAGAAAATGTTGTAATCAGCCAAAGAAATTCTAGGTCGACTAAAAACCTGAAATTTTCAACCAAAAATCGACTAAGCCGGGTGCTCTGAAAACAGCCCCATTAGCACTTTGTACATTCCTTTGATTTGCTTAAGAGTTTAGATCTGAATTAGTACTTATTTTAAATTACTTTAAATGTAAGTATAAACACTTTTTTATTGCATTCTGGGTTGTTTGGCTCTTGAACGTGTCCTTTTTGATCTAATGATAATCAGGCGTTTAACTGAACCTGCTTAATCTGTGTGGTTTCTGCACACCTGAGGGTGAGAAAGGCCAAGATTTGGTGAACAAAGATTAATACTCACCATTTCTGCATTTCTGTTATTAACAGTGGCTTAAGTAGTTAATCCTCTGCTGTCATTTATTTTATCATTACAAACCAGAGCATTGCGGACTATTGTCAGAGGTCTACATGCTGGTGGTCAAACTTCTGTGGATCAGAGGGTGAATGTGTGTGGAGATCACGTCATACAGGGCAGGAAGGGATACATCTGCAGAGTAGCAGGAGCTCAGGAAACCGTTCCAAATATTCCATTAGCTGGTGAAATTCTTGGTCTTCTTCCTCAGAAAAATGTGAGTCATCAAGCGCTGTAAAATTCAGAGATTTCATCATTAGCTGCTTTAGTTTGGCCCGTCCATGGTGAACCTTCTGCAGGTCCTGAATCTGTGGTACTATAACTCCTTTTTTAATCATTACTAATGCGAACTGCAGCCTCTGCCTCTTCTAGTACTTCATGCATCTTCGCTGCAATAACTGTAAGATTTTCATATTAAAACTTGAGACTCTTTTGCCCCTCTTTGAATACTTGCAGCACATGTTTTGCACATTGTGATCCTGCGATCCTCTTCTGAAACAGAGGGAAACGTGATACCAAAGAAGTTAGTCTCTTGTCAGGCTGTTGATTCACTTTTCCTTCTCTTCTATGTGCAATGGGGGATCCTCATACCGCCCTACTGTGTCAGGATGTGGACTTTTCCAGCATTGATAAATGGACTCACAAAATCATGTTAATGTAATGCACCATTTTCCAGTCTTTCATAGACTTTACGGTAACTCTTAGGGTATGTAACTTTTTAATTTTGGTGCTTTGTGATTAAAATTTACCCAAAATGTTAAATTAAATGTAGAAATAACACATTTGTTTCCTGAACACATGATCCAAACAATCCCTAGAGGGATGATTTAAGTATTATAAGCTTATAAACGTACTCTTACTTTCGTCTTGTGCCACTTATTTCTGGTGATTTAACTGCTGGAATAAACGAGCACTGTGGTTAAAAACCCACAAATTGGGAATGAATCTGAAAAATGTGTGAAGTTGTGAAACTCAGTGGACCTTCAAACCTCGAGCACACAAATCACTGATTTTCTTGGCTGTGAAGAGCAGCTCTACACATGAGAGTCGGAGGTAGATCTTGCTGCTCATACCTGCCGAAAGCATAAAGTAGGTGATGACACCGAGTTGGAAAAGGTAACTCGAAATTAAACCAGATCTGAAATAGTGAGGTGGATGGAGACGCTTTAAGATATGCAGAGCATGCAGAGAGTTGGCCTCCTGTGTGTTGTCATACACACTGATGTACGACCTCTGTAGATTCTTCAGCTGACACTAACACAATGTAAACAATCCCTGTGATGCTTAATGGACCTGCCATTTGTGGAAACCAGCGTGTGTTGGTTTCTGTTCGAGAGAGAGACAAGAGAAAGTGCTGAACAAACAGACTTTTGTCGTCCTTCTCTCTCGCTCTGCTCTCTCTCAGGGATTGCCAGGTGGATGATGGGTAAACAGGCCCACTTCCCAAATCCTGCCCAGTCCCATGGGACAGGCGGTGTTTGCACAGCAGCACAGAGGAATACAGGAAATAGAGGAAATTCCATCATCGCCAGTTGCGCTCGGGTCCCCACCTCCTCTTACTTTAGTCTGCATGCGAGGGGCAGCGCTGCTTATTTTAGCTGACTTAATGAAGATTGAGGGCATGACCACACCCTGGACTTACACTGGGAATCTGCTGAATAAGGGAAATGGGAGCGTGCATGATACCACCTTTAAATATGTCAACGCTGGCACCTCTTTCCTTATCTCTTTTGGATAAACCTCAAGTCGGTCTGCAGCTCATGCACGTGAACAGGTGGGATGACTTGGATTAATTCCCCGATGAATATTTTAAGAGTCTCTTTCCCTTTTCTTTTTTTTTTTTATCACTGGAGCATCTCTGCCCTCCTTCTGGCTCGCAGCAGAAACAGCTCAGCTGACAGCCTCCCAGTGAACTCTCGCTTAAAGAATTCGTACTCCTCGTCGGGTCAGGGCCGCAGTGTTTACACAGCACAGCCGGAGAAGCTCCATATTGTTTAGACAAGCTTCCAAACACACAGCCTGGAGGCTGGCCAATTACCCACCCGCTAAGATGTATGCGAGCCATCGAGGCTTTGTGCGTTCTTCTTTTAACCTAATTTACAACTTCAATAAGAAGTTTGAGCCTCTTCTTTTACGTACAGCGGCTTTTTCCTGACAGTAAACTTTGATCATGGGATAAACATTAGCGGGATGGATGGTTCCCTGCATCCTGTCACTGTGTCTTCATCTCTTTGTCTCCAGTCTGTCTGTCTTTATCGGCCTCCTCTTACTCTCTGTCTATCTTTCTTTTTGCAGGAAGAAAAGGGCATTTCCTGTGGACTTGTTGATTTGGACTTCCTCAAATGCAGCGTGGGATTTCCCTTCATGAGAGCGCAGACTAAGGTAACTCAAACTAAGACAGAACCCACTCCATGACGTCAAAACTGCCCAGAGAACAAATGTGAATCTTATTTTGAAAGCAACATTATAACAGCAAAATAATTAATGAGGCTAAAGAGGATCATTTGCACCATTGCAGCACATGTTTCCTTGTTCTTCTTATTAGAAAATAAAGATTCACAGTTAAAATCTCTCTGTGTTTCTGTTTTCAGTATCATTTTGCAGTGATCTTTGATACCAGTCAGCTCTCAGGAGAAAACGACACTCTTCAGTTTTTAGTTCAAGCTAAAAGGTAAGTTTTAAGAGACTAAAACTCCACTGCATGCATACCAACAGCTTTTTATGGTAGAAGTGGAAATCCCTGTGAATAAATGAGCTGGTTTGACTCCATAAATGTGCCAAACTTTGGCATTTGGAGGCTGTAACCTTGAATGTTAACTTCTCTATTTTTCCTTGTTTGTATCAGCGCCAATCCTGAGCACAAACTCTCCGACAACTATCTGGATCTGTCCATCCCTCTGGTTCACGAGACTGACACGACGATCACGGGGTAAGACCGAGAAAAACATCTACACCAAGTAATGTATAGAACTTTAGGCTGCCTGTGCTCATAGGCGTGGAATATTGACTTGAACCAGCTGCCCATCTGTTGGTCTCAGGAGGAGAGGGAGTGTTTTTGTCAGTATGGAGCTTGTCAACTTGAAAGGCCTTATCTCTGAGCGCTTTATCACAGCGCTGCTTCACAGGGAGCGAAGAGGAAAAGACGTAAAACAGGCCAAATCTGCCAGAACTCTGACATCTGATAAAGCCGCTGCGGCTGCTGTCTTAAATTTAAAGGAGGCTTCAGAGCAAAGCTGGACCAGAGGTGGCAAAGGGACAAGAATTCTTTACTAAAGTCAAAGTGCAAATATTTGATAAAGTGAAGAAACACAGCTGATATAAAAGAAGCTCTTTCTAAAAATACTTCTCCAGATGTTTCAGCAAAAAGCTAACTGGACTTTCAGTTGTAGTTTGACGACGATAAATAAACTTGTCATCATTAACTTTGTGCAGCTAGTGAATAAAACGTCCTTCCTGTAGGAAATTAGAGGGATCGCTTCATTGAGTAACTACTTGTTTTGTCTGCAAAGTTGACCACGTTTTTCATAGTTAATGTCGCAGGCTCTTCCCGATATCCTTCACATCCTTCTCAGGAAATTCAGTTTCATAGCAGGAAACTGAAAAAGTAGAAACTCATCCACTTCCTGTAACAGCTTGAATTAAAACATGACTTCATTGTGGGAAGACGCCAGCCCAGTAATGGTGATTATTTGACTACTGTTTAGTCTTCAGATCAGGCTTTTTATTAACCTGTAGACCTCTTAAAATGAGCTAGACCAGTATGAGACTGACAAGATTAACAGGACCAGGTTGAGCTTGTCTGCGTTGTCACATTTATCAGTCCCTTAAACGCCCCGTATCCCGTATCACTTTCTGCTCAGTGTTAACTTCGACAAGTTTGGAGACTCTGTAGCGAACATTGATTGTGTCCGTCACACATCATGCTTTTTGTCTGCTGTCAGCGTCAAATTAAGCGGACGTCTTTCCTCGTGTTTGTGTGATAACAGCTCCCCAGTGTCTGATTAGATATATTTTACTACAACAGTCTGTTATCTGAGAAATAACAGACCTTTGCTATGAAACTTGTCCTCTTCTTAGTGGTCAGTTTCCCCTTTCTTTTCTCATCCCTGATGCTTTTTCTTACATGGCCATGTTAAGTCTTTATGCACTAAAGAGTCTACTCACTTTTGCTGTTGTCTGCAGTGTGGTGATGCCGAGCTCCTTCGTGTACGGAAACTCCATCGATGCGTCTCGCTTCGTCCAGTTGGAGGACATGGAGTGCAACTTTCAGCCTCTTAATCTCACATTCCAGGTACTGCTGACTCTGCAAATATTGGTGTTTTTTTAGTGTTTTCACTCGTTCTTGTTCATGATAACTTTCCTTTTTTTGTGTGTTTGACTCTTCCCTTGTTTTTGTGTGATGTGGTTCCAGGCCATAAACAAGGGGCCCAGCAGGCTGCCTGGCTCCACGGTGGACATCAGGATACCTAACCGTCTGGCTGGCAGCGGAGCCGACATGTTCCACATCATGGAAACACAGGTGGATGCCAACAACAGTGTATTTCACATTATTTATCCAGGTCGAATCATTATTTATTAGTTTATTCACCTGCGGGCAGACACAGTTTTAGGCTCATTTATCCAACTCGTGTCTGTCTGCCCTACTTTTCTTGGATCCACAGCTGCCCGTGTTCACCACAACAGACACTTTTATGTACATTTACACCGCCCCCGACGGTCAAACAAACTATCTGATGAAACAGTCAAAGTTGGCTGCAAATTACAGAAGTCAGCAGAAAGTGCCCAGAAACTCAGAATCAGCAGCTACGAGATCAACTTTATCAGCCTCATGAAACAAATACAGTTTAGAGGACCAATGTTGCTGAGGGACGGTATTACAGTGCTGGTATAACTAGGGTGATGGTGCTTCATTGATAAACAGTAATAATTAATCTTCCTTCTTTTATGTTGGCTAATCTTATCTGAAAGTTTCATTGGTATGATCCAGAAGATTCACACAAATCCATTTGTTGCTAATACTTTGTTGCTAATGTCTCTAAAACTCTGCAGCTACTAACGATATTGTTTCTACACATGGAAATCAACTACAAGTAAAGGCAGGAGACAAACAGCTCACCCTGGCCTGACTGGAGTATTTTTGTACGGTGGCCCTGAAGGTCAACTTCACAAATATTTAATGAAACTTAAAATCATTTGACTAAAACACAAAACCTATTCCATTATAAAAGTATTTCACTAAAATGTGAAAATATTTAACTGTAGGGGAAACATATTTATCTAAACTGCAAAAATATTTTAATAAATGAAAAATATTTACCTAGAACACTCAAACATTTTACTGATTCACAGGAAAAAGTTACTATGATGAAAAACCAAAACAAAATATAAAAACATTTTGAGTAAATGCAAGATATTTCCCTTAAAACAACAATATGTAATGAAAATGCAAAACATATTTTCCTGTAATGTAAATGTTTTTTACTAAAACACCAAAAATTTGCACTAAATTGGAAAAAAATAAAACTTTTCTGTCACGAAACATAAAATTATTTGATGAAATATAAAAAAAAATGCAAAACAAAAAAAAAAATCACATAGTGTACAAAATGTGACAAATTATTTGCGATTTATGAAACATGTCTATAAATTTATTCTCTAGTCATGAAAAATTTATTCTCTTGGCCTTCAGGTCTTCCGTATTTGTCTGTGTTGATGTTGAAAGTGTTGCATGTTAAACCTCCCTCTTTAATGCTCAGTATTGGTTATACAGAACAAGGTTTACAGTGTAAGAAGATCCCGGACTCCTGCACTGATGGGTCACAGTAAAGAATTTCATTGTACTCTGAAAATCTCCCGTCAGGGTTAGTCTCGGTGTGCAGAAAGCTGCTAAAGCAGGGCTTTTGTTATAGTGTGGACCATTTGCTTAGTGTGAGGCACCAGCGGTCTGGTCAAAATGGAAACGACACTGTTGACGTTGCTACTGAAGCTAGCCTGCCATTTTGTTTCATAATATTGTGCATTTAGATAACGAAACACAATACTCCCACTGGGCTTAAATGTTTTCTTAACCCCTGCGTTGCCCCTTTCATATAGGTAGATTGTGGGGGAGCTCAGCCTGTTAATTGTATTTTCTGTGAATGGGGCAGACGGAGGAGACTGTATCCCACCCTCCTTGAGCCCATCTGGAATCACTTTCAGGGGATCAGACAGCTTGCACGAAATGGGAATGGGACACCTGTAGAGCTGGCTACTGCTGCGTACCATCTCCAGCCTGGAAACACACATCATAAATGCTGCTAAATCCAGCCAGTGGCACACAGGACAGTCACACACTTTTATTTTACAGCCAGATAAACTTACACTTTATACAGACCTCCATTTGTCCCAACATGACTCAGAAGTACCCCATCGTTGCTCCATATATCCAACCTTTATTTTCACTGTAAGTGCGCCGCTCTCGTGAGACACTTCACCAGGTTAAACTTAGCGCAGAGCATGAATCTGCACAACAGCTTTGGCAGCAGATATACAGGACATGAGAAAGCACAGCAATAAAAGCTCAGACATGCTGGGTGGCAACAGCACAGACAATGAAGAAGGCCGGAGGAGATTTCCACCTCAGGAGCTCCAGGCTGGACCAGGCTGCAGAGGGGAAAAGGGGAAGTGCTCCCCAGGGGGTGGGCTATAAAACAGACACCTCTAAATCACTCCATATGGGAAATCAGAACGGGAGGGGTGCCAGCTTCTGGTTCCTGTGGGCTCTGGGGACTCAACACAATGGTGGGATAAGGCCAGTTTAGGTAACAAAAGTGCTTACATTCACTTTTTTAGACTATAAAACCCAAATATATCATATGGATTGGGTTGGTTTATTTTGTGTGGAGTTTTGATGCACTATATTAGTACTATCCATAATTGGTTGTTGGATAGACCATTGGCCAAGGCTTTCCCTCTCATCAGTGTTATGATCACCGTCCAGCTCTAGAGTTGGAGCTGAGGGACTATGTCAACTTTCCCATGTGGATGTCATTTCAAGAACATCAAATCAAGTATTAGATACAGTAGAGAACATTAGATGACTATAGAGTAGTTTCCTTTTTGACCCTTCTGTCCACTTCCACAGACTGTTTCCTTTCATACGGACTCATCATTATGATACTCGCCATACTTCAAAAATGCTTCTGATCCCAAATCTAGGTCCTGTGCTTACAGAGTCTGAGTTTTTATGCGTAACCTGTGTGTAGAAACTGGGTGCATGCATATGAATATGCATGAAAATTAATAATGGAGTTCCTCAGGGGTCAATACTAGGCCCACAGATGTGTATTCTGCATATAAAACGTACTATGTAACCACCTTATGTATATTTTCAGTAGGTACAGTGTTGTTATAACTAAAAAAAAAGTTGGATTATCCTTTTACAAACAGTATACCTGGCTGTTTAGAAGTGTTAATAATTAAGTTAAATGTTTTTTATCTTAGCTGTTTCATCGTTGATCCTATTCTAGGTATTCTAGTTTAGTCGTTAACTTACTCTAGCCTGTTTAACATAAAGTTATCTATCAGTTTAACTACCAATCTTTGAGACGATGAGATGATAGACTTTTGATCCTTTCCAAATATTTTTATTTTAAACCTCTCTGTTATACTTATGACTTCATGTCTGTCCATTGGAAGTGATTTGGTCAGATATCTCAGCCAAAACAATTCAGTTTTTCTCTACCTCTGTCCTGTTTTAGGTGGCTGACGGCCGAGGGAACTGCACCCCTCACAGGAACCCGACACCCTGCACCATCCCCCAGGACAGAGAGAGCATCTTCCACTCCATATTTGCCTTCTTCACCAAGTCAGGACGCAAAGTCTTGGTAAATACGCCGCGCTCACGTTGCACTATGACATTTCAGAGGTCACTGACAGTCACCCCCCTGTGAGGGTTCTTGTTTTTCTTTCTCTCTCAGCCAGTTTAACATCTGTTTATCACACATTACACTTTCTCCCACGCACTTTCTACAACGCTCTGTTTCTTCTTCTGTTTTGAAAAGGATTGTGACCGTCCTGGAAGAGCCTGTATGACCATCTCCTGCAGTCTTGGTCCACAGTTAAAAGAAGAAGCTTTAAGCATAGATATAAAACTTCTACTCAACACTGAAATACTTAAAAGAGTAAGAAAATATTTCATATGCTTGATAATTAAATTGCAGGTCATCGGGGATTTTAGTGGCGGAAGTAATTCTCTATGTCTTACCTTACAGGATAGCTCCTCTGTGATCCAGTTTGTGACGAGGGGGAGCGTACAAGTAAACGATAGAGCTGTGGAGGTGCCACATGGTCTACCAGAGGACCTATCTGTGAGTGCATCATGAACTTTCACCTCCTCTTGTTCGTATAGTATTTGCAATACTTGAACAAGGTACATAAGGACAGCTTATTGCATGAAAATTATCACACCAAACACCACAAAGAGGTGATATCCAGCAGCTTTAAATGGAGGGGTTTGTTGAAACGTTTTTCTGAGTGTCATTTTTACACCAAATGCAGGTCAGTTGGCTTTGTGCAAAGTTCAGTTACAGTTAGTATTAAAGTCTTTAAAAATCAAACCTTTGTGGGAGTGTGAAAAAATGCAGTTCCTTATGTGTCCACTTGGGGCTGAGAGTAAAAGCGAAGGAATCCTCATTAACACCCATGTTAAAATCTGATTCTTAAGTCAGGCAGAAATTCGCATTATTAGGGTCTTGACATGGTGGGTGTTAAGTAGTTGTTAGTTAGGGCCTGCCATAACTCACATGCTAAACTTGCTAAATTTGCAAGATAAATAGTAATATTCTCATTACATTTTGCAGAACTTGCCAGATAAATTGAACTTTCCGATTCAAAAGCCGCAAAAGTCATAGTCTTAACTGTACAAATTAAAATTTCACTGCTTAATTCATGAAGTAATCTGCAGAGGATTCACTGAAACTGAGAGGCCGCTCTGTCTGGAGTTGGCATTTGAGCTACAAGAATCTTCAGTCCAAGCGTTCTGGTCCAAGGACAGGGTACTCGTGGCTCTGCTTGCAAAAATAAATTAATAAGCACATATATGTTTATATTTAATCTTTTGATGCACAATCCAGCATGCTGTGGTTTGACCTCCTTGGCAAACCAGTGTGAGCCCAGAGAACAGCTGGGGATTGTGGGTATACTGTACGGTGGTGGCACTTCTGTTGGCTTGTTTTTGGGGGTCCTCAGCTGTTCTCAAGGACAGCCCCCTCCCAGCCTCTGCTGTTCGCTGAGTGATTGAATGGCCCAGCAGATCAGACGTGATGATTATATGGAGCGCTCAGCACGCTCGCTGTGGGATCTCTCCAGTGATTAGGGTGCTGACCGGGCTGAAGACCTGCTGACCCTGATCTCCGGAGTCAGTGCTCGGAAAATTCAGAGCTGCCATGAATATGTCCATACCAGGCAGCTCTTTCAGCACTTTATGAGGGGGCTCATTCCTGGGACTCTGACACCCCCTCGGTTTGATAAACACGGCAACCTTTTCCCTCAGGAGTCCTGCTGGATTGAGTACACACCACAAAGTTTAATCTGTGGTTCCTAGTTGGATTTCTCACAGCAAGACTAGCACACTTGTAATCCTCTGAGACGTGTTAACATGAAATCCCAACCAGAGGAAAAGTCAGGAAGCTGTTAAATCTGACAAACTCTGGAGATCTGATGCAAACACACTTTCCTCAAGTGTGGGGATATAAAGAATTCTTTTCCTTGATGAAATATATATATGAACATTTTCTATTTTTGCAAGATGTTCAAGTAGAGTTTCTTGGAGGAGTGATGAAACGTGAAAGAGAAGCTAGCAGACAGTTTTTCTTAATGAGATGTGGTCTCTCAAACCACGCTGCTATGGACTGTAAATGATTAAAAAGATGTGTAAAAGTTATCAAATAATTTTCCCAGACTCACAAGAGACTTCATTAGTTGCATATATATGAAGCTGTGAGACATAATTGAGGTATGCAGCTGTGTTCAAACTGAAAAGAATAGGACCAAGAATAGATCCCTGTGGGACTCCAAATTTAATCCTCAGAAAGGATGCTCTTTAGTCATTTATGACAACTTATTGTTTACGGACAGTTAAAAAAGATTCAAACTAATGTGTTTACTGTCTATCTTCAGTTTTCTAATCTAATTAAGGCAAAAACCATCCAAAGAATAACTTAAATGACCCCAAAGAAAACTGTGTTTCTTAATCGTTTGCATGGCCCTGTTTTTCTGTTTTTATGCACCAATCCCCTCCTCAAATGATCAAACTAAGAAACTTAAACTTTACCCTCACCTACGAGACCAGACTTTTTAGATCTGAATTGAATGGACTCCACATTCCATCACACATTCCCAGAATTAACTGATTGCTCCCGTTAAATTGGGAAACTTAAAGTCAAGAGAGCAACGACCAGCAGAGCTTTCATCTCCTCTGTACACGCCATCGCCTCGGCATGCAGAACGACAGTCAGATTCCAGAGCCCCGAGTATGTTTAGGGGGGTTAGTGTTAATGTGGGAAACTATTCAACAGAGATTAATCTGCACTTGTCCGCTCGCTTTTGTCTGGACCCACAGTTGGTGTTTCGTGCCGCATTTGTGTTCATTCCAACGCTGAAGCGGTGGAGTTCCTCCGTCAGTTTAGAAACTGTCCCACCATTGTTTGTGGAAAGACATTATCTGATTATTTGACCTTTGGGAGATTACATTTTATTTGTCTTTGTTTGCAACCTTCAGTAAATAAATTGATTTATTTAAAATGTGCAACTGCATCGTCTCCATGTAAGGCATAAATTCTGACATTAAAGCTGAGAGTTTATAGAGCAAACAAAACAGAAAATGTTTGAGGGCAAAACTCTCCTCACCGCAGTGAACTGTCGTAAAAGTTGCTCCTGTCCCATTCCTGTTTGTTGCAAATTTAGAGTACAAAAGTAACCTCAAGCTGGTGCAAAGTAATACAATCACCTACCTCAGTCAAACTGCTGCAAACTCAGATTAAATCAATTAAAGCAATCAAAGTAATTGTGTTGGAAATGGCTCGTGCACAGAAGTATCAAATAGTTTCAAAAGAGCCAAGTAGACCAAATAAGAGTAAATGCTAAAAAAACAAATAAAACCAAAATAGGGTTTCTGTAATTGATTTTAAATAACTGTGTTTACTCAATAATAAATAAAGCATCAGCCTCCAGATGTTCTCTCCCAGTTTAGTAGTGGGTTATGTTGAAGGTTGTGTTGAGGGATTGAGGGTTTGCAGTCGGTGACAGATTATCCAGCAGGTCAGTGTTCACTCATGTCATGGGAAACATCCAAAATAGCTCTTATTTATTGGAGAACAAAGCTATTTTTTTACTAGATGCCAAGCCTCCCATGCACTTCAAGATAAGTTTTGGATGTGGCCTCATTCTGGTCTCTGGGGAATCTGTTTGAAGGCGTGAAGAGGGAGTAGATGATGGACTATTTTAAATTGCACTGACGTTATAGGGTGAATATTTGTTGGAGTAAAAGACTGTGAACATCCTGTTTACTGACTCTGATAGTCAGACCTATTAAAGGTTCAGTGTGTAGAAGTTTGAGTGAGATTTAGACGTAAACGCTCCATGGCTCACCTCTCAAAGCTATGGTGGCCTTTGAGGAAAAAAAGCTCTGTCTGTCTATTTGTCATCAAACTGTTGCATATTCATCCACAACATTTGATACCTTTTCATCTAATTGGTGGATCTTAAAAGTACAACTTCTCATGTGACTGAAAACTTGTTTACAGTTTAAGTTGTGGGCCCTGGCTGCTGCATGTGGGTCAAAGGTCATTGTACCCACCATGACCTGATCTGTGTCAACTTTCCCTGATGAGCGGATGTTGTTTCAAACATGACAGTGTTTGCGAAACAAGCTTAAATCTGCATTTATTTAAACTTTTTGGTTTCATTTACGTGTTTTCTGACATAAAATCAAATATCACCGTCCTCATGAGTGTTTTAAAATCTGAGAACAGCCAAAATCAGACATGTCCTGGTTGTTATTCTTGCACTTCATTGCATCATTATTGAGCAGAACATGACTTAATGATCACTTTGGTGTGTCCCTGTGAGTGTGTGTGTTGTGTGTTGGAGCGTGACTCACTCACTGACCAAAGTGTTGTTTGGTTTCAGCTGGTGTTCGAGGCGCTCCACAGCCAAGAGCCCAGGGGTTACGTCGTTGGTTGGATCATCGCCATCAGTCTGCTGGTGGGAATCCTCATCTTTCTGCTGTTAGCTGTGCTGCTCTGGAAGGTAAACACAAGAACGCAGAAACAAAGAACTTTCTGCTCTGAAACAAAGACACTGGACTTCTGAGGAGTTTCATTTTCTATTAGTACTTGGTGAATGGGGAATAGGTGGTTATGCAAATGAGAATTCAGAGGAGGGGTCATCTCTTATCCTATCCTATCACAAGCTGCAACAAAATATTGATTCAGATATGATTTTTTAATCTCTACAGCTAAAACAATCCTCTAATGCAACAGGTCTCTTTGCAGTTGGGTTTCAAGACTTTCTATTTTTCTTCTGGATCCCTATAGTTTAAGTAACTCGGTACAGATCTGATGCTCTCACACTCAGGATTGCAGGACACTTGATAACTGCCTTTATTTCCCCGCTCTCCTGACCAGCCTGAGACGGGAACTTAATTTTTGCCACTGACGACAGGCAGAGGGGTTGGAGAGTTGTCTCAAGCGTATCAGTTGCTGAGAGGTAGTCGCCATTGTTCTGGGATTTTGATTAATTAGAATCAGGTGTTAATAAAAGTCCATAAAGACTGTTAGAGGTGAGAAAATGCATACATTAGGTGGAGGTACAGATAGTAAATAAAAATGTCTAAACGGCTCTGAAATGGTAAAATTCAGTTTTCTCACCACTTTGCTGAATTAATGAAAATATCTGATTGTTTGCTCACAGTATAGGAGTAAAATTTGAAGTCAAATCTGTAAGACTCCGGACTTAAAAACCTTATGTTATAAAAAATATGCATATAATTAAATTATTGATTATTAACATTGCTGTATTGCGCTAATCGTTTTTGCTGTAATTTATGATTTTATGCCCAGAATAAAATGACTCCTCTCTGCTGATTGAGGTTGAAATTGGTGTTGATGTCAGGAAAACAGCAGTAAGGGTGCTCGATACAAATCAATAACTCTTCTAAAATGTATTTAAAGGATGTTGAAAATGCAGTTCAAAGTTCAGTTGTTTGTGTTAAAATGTAGGGGGATAAATGTAAAACATTTTCATAAAAATAAACGCTAAATTGAGGTTATTATACCTGAAAACTTCACTTTGGTAAAGCATCAGATTAAGCGCAGTATGTTTTACAAAAACAGCTGGAAAGAAGGGGGACATTTGGGGGTGAAGTTTTTTCTTTGGGCCTCCAAACAACCATGAAAAGAACAAATCACAGCCTGGACAGTAATTCCCTCTGAACCTCTAACATGAAAGACGAATCTTAAAGGGAAACAGCAACTTCACCGATGTCCAGGCTCAGACCAGGTAGCACAAAGCTCATTTTCCTCTTTCATTCCCTCACTTTCCATCGTGAATACCACAGCGAAACGCAGGAATGTTGGTCCTGAGATTCTTCCCCATCCTCCCCTCCACTCCCCCCAGCTCCTCGTCGACCCCCAGGTCTTCGGATCCTGCCAAAATAAACCCCTCTTACATGAGCAGCGCATGTCCTGTATTGCTCCTTTCAGGAAATGCCTGAGGAGAGAACAGGTCTGAGTCAATAAACTTGACTTTCAGACTCAGATAAATGAATGAAGTCGTAGTGAGTGAGGCATCATCCCGGTGAGGCCCCTTTGTTTAGATTCACACCGAGAGTCTGCTGCTGCCTCTATCATTCAGATCTCCTCTTTATCATTCCTTACATACACATGTTTAAGGTGAAATTAATGCAAACTTCAGAAACATCTCATATTCCTAAAGAAACAACCTCTCCTGCAGGAGAAATGCTTGATTTGCCTCCATCCATGCTGGTGGCTTTCTGCGGTTTAGCCCATTAACTCAAATTGTGTATGTTTTACATTACCGCTGGCCATCTCTCAAATTATACCTCGCCATGATGTAAATTGATTTCCTGCCTCTCAGACCTCTATTATTTTTAATTTGTTCTTCTGTAGGAATCTGAGGAACATGAACTGGAAGATATTTAATCCAAACTCTGAGTTATTACATGTTAAATGATTGTATTAAATGAACTCTTCTCTATGAGTCAGTTTTATAAATCAGCTGTGTTGGATCGTGTCCGAATGCACCAATAAGCTGCAACAGTCCAATCCAAAGCACTTTATTTATATAGTACATTTAAAAAACAACAAAGTAACCAAAGTGAAATAAAACACGATAATTGGTCGACCTCACAGAGACCGACCTTTAGCGTCCTTGGAAAAATCTACAGCATGCTCTCCTGTCAGTCAAGTCAGCCAAGCCTCTGATTCGCTGATTCTGTAACCTTAGTAACCACCTGTACAGAGGAATCCCTGAACTATTTAGACCAGTTTCTTAAACCAGGCGGTAAGCAGGTTTGGTTTTGCTGTAAGAAAAGGCCATTTTGGCTCAGTGTGTACGTGGTTTCAGTGCTTCTGCAGCCAGACTCAAGTGGGCAATAGAGGAACTGCAGGTATAAGCAGGAGGTGAGGGCATATCGCCCAGCCCTACTGGAGGTTACCGCTTGTCACCAGCACTCTTGACTTCCAATCTACCCTGTGCGAATTGATGCACCATGCTCTGGCGTCCAGCTGTGCTTGTGTCTGCTGCAAAGGACTCTGGGTTGTGGGAGTTGAGGCGGAGCAGAAATGAAAGACAGCACAGCAAGTTGAAGCAGACGTACTGACTAAAACTGAAAATCTGGAATGAGTAGAGACCAAGTCAAATACCCGCCGTTGGACAGACAGAGTTTATCAGTATCTCCAAACTAGATTAAATCAAGGCAAAGAGTCACTGACGGTAAAAATGGCAGTTTAATCTGACGTCTCCTGGATAGCCATCAAAAACGCTCATCAACACAGTTTTTATTGATGAAATGACACTGCAGGGAACCATATTTCAACACCAAAATAGTCCTGTGTTTATTCAACATTCATACAGTTAATCCCTCTTTTTCAAAAACTACAAACCAAGCCAAAAAAGTCCTTCTTTTTGCCTTTTTTTTTGCCAGCAACACTCTCCACCAGAGAGGTAGATCTCTGATAAGTTATGAGCCGATCATATCCGCCAGCTTTGCACAATCATTCTGAAGTAATTCTTGTTTAAAATGCCCCTAGAGATAGAGACCAGCACTAAAACTTTATGATAAGCTGTAAGGATTGGTCAGCAGTAATGTGAGTGCATGCTTGGCTCCTCTATCCAGATCCAATCACTGATACTTCCCTCTAACCGTTCGTATCTTCTTCTCGGTTCTCCAACAGATGGGATTCTTCCGCCGGCGCTACAGAGAGATCATCGAGGCGGAGAAGAACAGGAAGGACAGTGAGGAAAGCTGGGACTGGATGGAAAAGAACCACTGAGACCTGCACCGTGGGGTCCCGGAGGAGCCAATGAGATTAGGGATTGGGTCGGGAAGGATCCAATAGCACGTGGTCTCGCAGCCCAGACGCCAAAGTGGCACCAGGCCCTTCAGTCTTCCATATGTGGAAGAGGAGAATATTCTCCATATTTTTTGGAGACTTGATTGATGTATTATTTTGTGGGTGGGGGTCCAGGAAACAGGCCTCTGAGGTGACAGCGTGGCTTGCCAGAGGACACTTGCTGTGGAATTCAGCTAATCTCAAAGGAGGGAACTCCCAGCCAGCCGAGCGGAGCCGTTGATGGAGACCCACATCCGTACGGGGATGTGGAGACGGCATGAATACTGGTGGACAACAAAACCCTCAGGGCTGTGTTACATAGCAGATTTATTTTTATACATACACTTTAAGCCATATAGTGTCAAACTGGGCTTCCAGGAGAGCTGAGGTTTTGAAGGCCATTATAAACATACTGTATCTACAGTATGTTATCCTAAAAGCACTGATGTTTGATAAGAATGAATGCCTTGGCTCCATAGCCGTACTTTAAATGCCAAAGAAATGTCCTGTATAGTAAATGATGGAGTCGTTTGTATATTCAGTTTTTCCTGGGAGTGAAAGATTGTATCTTTTCTTTACTATTTCCAGCTAAGGGATATCTTTCCTACACATCTGAACCCCGCTCTACCAAAGATAATCAGCCAGGGATTACTCTGAGTTTAAGATCCACATATTAGATCATTTGGAATTGATGCTGCAAGTCCTCCGAGTCCAGAAAAAAGGTGCTCTCTGGAGCAAAAACCACATTTTTTTACATTAAGCATTCCTTTAGTCATGATCCGGCTCTTTTCTTTCATATTTGGTGTAACCTTTTGTTAGATTTCAGCCCTAGTTACATAAGCTTTTAAGAGGCGATGTGTTGTAGAGGAAATGATCTGAAGCTGCTTTTGCAAGGAGCTAATGCTCAGGTATGCTGCTGACTTTTCAGATACACCCCAGAAAAGCTTCAAGATTCAACGGATGATGATCAACTCTGACTCAAATATTACAGGAAATAATTCAGACATGACACCTGAGCATGATTTATGACGAAACCTTTCCAGACTTCACCTATGCCGTGCCCATATTTAATTTTACTGGGATGTCATTAGGCGTTGGGTTTTAGCGGGAAACATGATATACGCTGCTCTCCACGGCCAGATGAAAGTCAGCGATGGGAGTCCACGTTCAGTCATTTACAGGGGCCCGTGGAATGAGTAATGCCCTAAAAATAGGTGGGAATGTGCTGCACTCAATCACTACACATAAACCAGCTCTTTGGGGCTCCTGGGAAAAGCTCATTTTAAGTCAACATGGAGGAATGTCAGCGCGGCAAAAATCTGCCACTATTAAAGTTCACAGCTTTAACAAGAAAGCTGGGCAAGAAATTCAGCAGAAAATAATCACGAGTTTAATATCAGATGTCCCGGAAGTAGTAAAACTTTCACTTTTGTATACATTGAAAGAGTTTTATCACAAATAAATGCAAAAGTGATGCTCCATATGGGCTTTGACGTCACTTAGGAGGTAAATGTTTGCATTAAGATAAGTATTCAGAATGTAAAGATGCTCCTCTGCACTCTAGAGGATTTTGAGTTTAACCCAAATGTGCAATTCCCAAGAACAAAAACTATTTCAGTGCAAAGACACTTTACGGCTCTCTTTGTTCGCTTTGCTCTCTATCGTCCTGTCTGTTTCCTTTATACACTTTATTTTACCATTTAATTCCACTGGCATGACTGCATATACTGTACACCCTCACGTCTTCCCTCTGCATGCCTTAAAGCCGTGCAAACCTTCATGCAGAGAAACCGACACTTGACATTTTTTGGTAAATTCTAACTGTGATGGTTATATTTTGTTTGTCTGATTGTTAATCACACCGTTCTTTGGGGTTTTGTTCTGAGTATACTACTGTCACTGAATATCATTTCCAGTATAGTGTGCTGTATGTTTGATGTTTAAAGTCATGTTGGAGCTGTATATTTATCTGGTGATAAATTTTAGGGTCAGATTTCTTGGCTCGGTTTGTTTTCTGTGAAGTCCAGCGTGTGTGGATTTGTGTTTTGGAGGTGTGTGGTGCTCTCTGCTGGCTGCTGTGGTCCCGATCTGTGGACAAGAGTGAAGAGAGAGAGAGAGAGGAGAGAAAGAGAGTGTGTGTGTGTGTGTGAGAGAGAGAGAGAGAGAGAGAGAGAGAGAAAGAGGAGAGAGAAAGAAGAGAAAGAGAGTGTGTGAGAGAGGCAGAGAGAGGAAGAGAGAGTGAGAGAGATTATTTGCTTTTATTCTTCTTTGGTCTTTACATTTAAATACATCAAATTTGCTTCTCCTGGGGGTTCTTAAAACCTACAATAAAACTGTCTATAAAAGATTAAAGCACAAAATTAGCACACTGTATTAAACATGAATGAATAAAATAAATAAACCCTAAAATTGTAAAAAAAAAAAAATGTCTGTACAGATAAAATTATTTTTAAAAAAGTAAAATAATTCATAAATTAAATAAAAATAATGAAATTTAAAAAATGGAATAAAACTTTAAAATTAAAATATTTTAAACTAATACATTAAATAATCTAAAATCATTAGAATTTAATGAAATTAAACAAATACTATGTTAAAATGTATAAAAATAAATAATAAATAAATCAATAACAAGAATAAGTTAAATTAATTAAATGAGAATAAAATGAAATATAAGATAAGAATAAATAAACCAAAATAGTTTTTTAAAATTATAATACATTACACTAATTAAGTACAATGGCTAAAATTAGTAAAATTTGAATAAATACAATTGAACTAAATTAAACCAGCGAATCATATTAAAATTAATTTCAGTTATTAACTTATTAAGATGAGAATAATTTGAATTGATCAAATAAAATAAATTAAAACTTGCAAATTTTTAAATAATCAATTAATTCAAAGTCCAATTTAATGATTACAACCAATAAATTAGAATTAATCAAATTAGAATAAATAAAAACATTTAATTGACCTTGGACATCCAACAGTTGCAGCTTACATTCCTGTCACCATCTTAACCTTTTTTTTTTTATTAAAAACACAATTCTTTAAACTAATTTTACAACTGGTTCTCCAAGTAGTGAGTTTATACTCTATAATATAATATAAAAGTATCTTACCCTATAAAACTGGTCTTGTTCGTTGTGTTTGGTCACGTGATCCTTGTTGCTATGACACTCTGGAGCCATGCACCTGCTCTGTGTGGATCAATTAATAATTCAAACACCTGCCTCTTTGAACACAGCAGGTTCAACACAGTAAAACAGAAGCGCTCACTGTCTTTCAAACACCAGAGTTATCCTGTTAGATATGTCCTCTTTTCTGGACCACGGGCTGATCAGGACAGCAGCAGTGGAGCAGGTGGTCGCTCCCATTGCAAGTCACCTGTGCTACCTGGTGCTGCTGTGCGACAGTGTCGAGGAACCGGAACAGTTCAGCCAGCTGGAGGAGGCGGCTCGGGCTGTGGCTAAAGCGACAGAGAGCATGGCAGCAGTCATCTCCAGGTAGAAGAACCAAAAACCTTCATGCACAAGCGTTAAAAATCTGTTATGAATGTGTGACAGCACTGCAAACATGACATGCATACTCCACTCTGCACTTCCAGGCATATAGGCGAGACAGAGGATGAAGTCCTACACATGGAGATGTCGTCCTTGTTGGAGTCTGTCACTGTGTCGGGTCAGCATGTGCTGCTGGCTGCACAGAAACTCAGCATCCAGCCCAGTTTAACCGAGCACAGAGAGGAGCTCATCACTGCCACGCAAAACGTCTTCCTCGGAGTTGTCAAAGTAATGTCTTATTTTCTTCTTCTATGGTTACACAGCTGGCAGCAGGTTTTCACTTAACATACAGTCCAACTTAAGATGATAGACTTGTAAAAATAAACAGAGAGGTTGATTTAAAGCACTGACAGGTTCAGATACATCCATCTCCCTCAGCTGCTTCTCCTTTCCTTAAATGGTAATATAACCTATCACCACTCCAAGCTCAACCTCTGCCTGACTTCAATTTTACAACAGAAATATCTCAGCAAGTCATCCGAGATAACCGTCCTAAATAACTGCTACTAGATCTCAACGTCTTTATTTACTGGTTTGCTACTGACTTGTGTCTTATCTGAGCTGTCAGGGCAGTGATTCATGACAGGGGATGAAAATAGCTGTTGCTTATAAACTGAAAAAGGAGCACAGAAGTCGACTTTGTCAAAATGTAATAAATCTCTTCACTGGGAGGCTCTAACATCACATGGTGCGGATCAAATTCTTCTTCTTTTCTCTTCAGTCATGGGAAGCTCTCCTGAAATCTGCACTCCGGGGTATCGCGATGCTGAAATTGTGATTTGTGTGATTTTAACATTATCTGAAAACAATAGATCTGACAGGCTGAGCAGGTCGTAACCTCGGGGCTTACTTTCCAGTTATTGTTAAGGTTCAGGCAGAGATTGCAAAATGATGAGCTCTCTGTTTTTATCCAATCAGGATGAAGTGCAAGTCACTCAAAGACAATACCTGTGTGCCCCCCTGTGAGGACCCTTCTCAGAGAATCATGTTCTTTCACTAATCTAGTTTTGAGTTGGACATTAAGTTTAATCTGTGGTGTAAACATACAACACAAAACCTTTCACAATGTCTGTACCAAAGGCAGTGAAGGTTATTGCAGATTATTGGACTCCTCAGTTTCCACTACTTGTGATCACCCCAGACCTCAAGGGGCAGCTGAAAATCAACATTTTTGAGACAATGATGCTGCACTCTTTGACCTCTATGACCTGATCCATCCTCACCTCAGCAAAGATGCTACACTAACTGCACTAAGTATTTTCCCCTTATTTCAAACAACACCAGATTCACAACCATTGGCGCTAACAACTCCGCACAATAGGAGTCAAATTGTCACCTAGCATTGCCGAGCTCCTACTCTTTAGTGATCATAGCAACTATTCCACCTCTGGATCATCTAGATAGTCTATATCTGTACAGAAATTGTGTAAATATGACTTTGATATCACTATTTTTATATTACTCAGAGGTTAAATTAGTCTGAGGCTGAATTTAGCTCAGTCTTTGCAAATACAAGCTTTGCTTTTATGCACAAAGAGGTATTTTTATCCTGTTATATGAACTCATTTTTTAATTGACTCAACATAAAACTGTTGAGGTTTTAACTTTTCCATTTTGCTTACAGCCAGACTCAGCTCCGCCTTTTCACCTGTGTCTAGACTGTTTGAAAGTTAGGTTGAGTCAGCATTTCCAAAAATGGCAACTGCATTCATTCTGCTTCATTTTCCAACTCTTGAGACTGCTGCTTAGCCTGAACCAGTCCAAAAACTTTAGTTCCAGTAATTTCAACCACTGCAAATATTAGAAATGCAAGTGATTAAACTTTAGGACCTGTCAAATTAGTTTAAAACTTCATATTTTAGCATGTATCTAATGTTTAAAGTCCAGCAGTCGATTGATGGACTGATCATTTTCATTCTGGTCTTTATTGTGTAACCTGATTTGTGTTTCTGTTTGCAGGTCCTCTTGGTGGAGGACGATGCTACAGTGAGGAAAGTAGTATCTGCTGCTGACAGAGTCCTGGAGTCCCTCTCTCAGCTGGGCTCCTCTTCAGACATCAAGTCTCTGCTCAGGTCTTTCCAGGTGTTCTCAGAGGCTCTGCTTCTCCTCAATAATCTCACAGTAGAGAGGGCAAATTCACTACAAGACCCCAGACAAACCGAACAACTTCTTGATTCCTTGGAGACCCTGAGGAAGTGCATCTCCATGCTGCACACGGCCATGTGCACAACCATCAAACACCCCACCAGTGAGCAGGCACAGGAGGCCAAAAGGTACATCCTGGAGAAGGTGCAGAGCACGGTGAATGACATTGTGATGACGCTGAAGAGTGAGTGCCACAGTGGATCACTCGGTCCATGTGGATACTACACAGGGAGGAGAAACTGTCTACTGCAACTCCTTACTGGAGCCTCCATCTCATCAATCCAAGGCAGCGGGTTTGACAGCCTGGTGAGGGATCTTGTTTTTCACTGCATGGTTATCGCAAACTCTTCTCGTAGAGAGTTTCAGCAGAGAGTGGTGGGTCATTGCCGTCTCATCCTGCAGTTTTGGTCGGACATACAGAAGATTTTAAAGTCCTCGGATGATTCTGAGAAGAGTCTTGAGAAGTTTTGTTCTCTTTTAGCGCAGCAAATACAATCGCTGGACAAATCTCTGCAGACTTCTCTTCTGTATCAAGTCTTGGACACATTCCTCATATCCTCTTCTACTCTTGAGGAGCTGTTGAGTGAGACGAAACAGATCATGGATGCAGATTCTTCTTCAAATGTGGATCTGAACTTTACTCAGCCCCTGGTTGAGGATTTCATATCTTCAACCGACAGAATAATCGAAACTGGAAGTTTTGTCTCATCCGTGGCTGTTGATGCGAAGAGTTTGGAGAACGTGGAGAACTCACGAGTTTGTCTTTCGAGACTCAGAGATCAAATCGCGCCTCTCTCACTGGAGCTGGCAGATAACTCGATTCAGACTGTTCAGAAGCTTCACGGAGTGTGTCAAACATGGGAAGAGGAGACGAGTCAGCTCCAGGATGCTCTCAGCGATGTTCTCGATGTGAGGGAGTTCACCAGCGCTGCTATTAATGAGATGGTGAATGATAGACGTGGATGTGATGCCGCCTACAGGGAGCAGAGCTATAAACCGTTTCACGAACACGCCGTGAATCTTCTCTGCCACATGAAGATGGTGATTCAATCGGTGAGGAGGCACCTGGAGAAGAGTGATGATCCAATCTACAGGAATGGCCTCCTGGTCCTGCTAAAACAGGTCCAGTCATCTCAAAACAAAGTGGGGGAATCAGCCAGAGACATGCTTTTAGGCTCCAGTCTGAACGTAGAGGTGTATACCTCTTTCTCAGATCGTGTCTCCACTGCTGTTCAGCATTTCAAAGTGCTCAGAAAAGGTCTGGATGGACAACAGCATCCACATCTCCTGAGTCCCTTGAGAGAAGGGGCAAGACAGCCTGAGATCCCACTGCCCCGTTCCCCCGCCAAAAACAACGACGTACTAAATCTGCCTCACGTGAGAAGAAGCTCTGATTCTCCTGTTTTGGATGTTATAGAAAGGGATTCCCAAGCCGAACACGAGGAAGATCTATCAGACGAGGAAACCATAGAGGCAGAACTGTCTCGTAAATATGACAGAGATGAGTTAAAGGTCCCAGCTGTCTCTGCAGATTCAAAGCTGATCCACAAGGCTCGTGAGTTTGACCTTCTGCCCCTCTTGTATGAGGTTGTGACTGTGACTAAAGGGAAAGATGTGACAGCGCTCAACCAGGCCTGCACCGGAGTCCTGGAGCTGTCAAACTGTTACGCTCAGGCTGCAAAGGAAGCCTCGCTCATTGTCGACGCAGTTGACCGTCAAACTTTGGAGAGTTTCAGAGCCGAGCTGGTGTCACTGACGCCACTTCTTGTCCAGACGGCTCAGGAGACGGCGATGAGCTCAGCGATGAGCACAGAGAGTATCTACAAACACAGCACCATGTTTTCTGATCTGATTAACAACACCAGGAAGGTTTTACTCCCGGTCGCAGGAAACTGGTATCACGCAGTGTTCAATGAGCTGCAAGGAAATCTTCCAACAAACGCAGCCGCTATTTCACAGCAGCTCAATGAAGTGATGGCCTTATGTGCTGATGTGGTCCAGCTCTTAACGTCATCTGATTTAACCTCTCAAAGTGACAGTCAGGAAACATTCAGCGTTTTGCACAACAAGCTGAACAAAGCCCAGAACAACACAAGGTACCTGGTAAAGTTTTCCACCTCCATGGACGGACAGCCGGATCAACTCGAGGGGCTTTGTCTCCTCTGGGGTCTGTCCATCCAGATCCTGCTCAACTCTCTGGATAAGATTTTACGAACGACAACCGCAATGAGCCAGTTTGGCCCCCAGAAGCAGCTTTCGGTGCTGTCCGAGAACTCTTTACGAATCCAAGAGGCGGCGAGGCTCACCAGCCTGAATTGCAGAAGTGCGTTTAAATCCAAACAACTAACCGAAAACCAGGATGAGTTAAAAACGCTAACTGAAGCTTACCTTAAAGCTGCTGAGGAGCTCGACGTGATGCCAAATGTGATGCAACTTGCAAAATCAGAATTATTACAAAGACACCTGTTGATCAAAATTAGAGTGCTTTCTGGTCATTTAAGCAAAGCGAACAAGGATTACGACTCTGTGCTTCAAAGTGTCGCTAGCATCGCTTATTTTGCCGTTGAACACTTCAGGGAGAACAACACAGAGGACACAGAGCAGAAGTTTGAAAAAGCAGCTCAAACTCTTTTTGATAACATCAAACTTGCCACCAAAAGAGTCGAGGACTGCTTGAACTACGTCCGCGACCCACATGCCCGCTCCAATCTGAGGTCCATCAATGACCACCTGTCTTTCCAGATCTCAGACATCATCAGCAGGGCCAGGCTCATGGTAGAGACTCACTACATATGTGACACACTCAGTCTGGATGTACAGATACAATGCTGGTCCGCTAAAGCTCATTACGTAGCAGAAGAGATCAGGAAGCACGATGGGATTCACCAAGAGGCTAAAGACCAGATCAGGGCTGGTTTACAGGGCAGAGCGCCGGAGGAAATCAAAGACGGGGCGGCTAAAGTCAGAGAGGTGGAATTTCCCTCAGATGTGATGATGAGTTTCTCTCAGAAAGACATCACACGAAGTGTAGATGCTGCAGAGCTGAGTGTAAACATGGTGGTTGGGGTCAGAAGTGCTCCTGAAAAAGATGAAGACAAGTGGATGGTATGTAAATCTCTTAAAGCTCAATTATATTTGCTTTAAATTATTTGCAAACTTCATATCTTGCACAGCGTACCAACTATTCTAGAATTAGGCTTATTTGAGCAGCAAGCATAGGGATTAACATTTCTTCTTTATCTTGCAGGATTGTACGTACAAAGAAGCTCCTTCACTCTCCTACACTTCCCTTTTTCTGAAGCAAGAAAGCGATAACTGGGATCCCAAGGACAACCGAATAGTCCAGGTGACCCGAGAGATGGCTGACACCATCTGCTACATGACTCAGTACCTGAAGAATAAAGGTCCAATACCGGTAAGGTCCACTAGAGGGCACTTAATGACTGTGTATAGATATTTTCAGGCAGTTAAATCCACAATTGTACCTTTTATTTTGCAGAATAAAGAGGCTTTTGTCACCGCAGCCAAAGATGTGATCTCAAACTGTCAGTCTGTAACTCAGTTCATCAGAGTCATTGCCAACCACTGCCTGGATAAACAGTGTACAGTTGAACTCTCTCTCATAGTCGAGCAGATTCTTACCATCACCAACCAGCTCAACATCATCTCCAGGTCAGAGGAGTTTATTCAGAATATTTTTGCAGGAATTTATCGATTATAAAAGTCAGTTAATGAAAGTTTATTTCCTTCTTTACTCAGTGTCAATGCTGTAACGCCAGGATGCAAATCTTCAGATGAGATCCTGGTGAAGAACTCACAAAATCTACTCCAGACAGTCCTCCGTGGGGTCCATGCTGCAGAGACAGCCTGTATTACAGTAAATTTTACATCTTTAATCAATTTGATTTTCTAATTTATTTGGAAATTGTTTGATTTTTTTAAGTATGCAAATACAGTTAAGTAGACATAAATACAGGCTCTGTTTTTTTTGTTTTTTTTTGTCATTTGTCATATAATCCTATCAAATTCCATTCCTTTTTACATTTGGCATTGAGTGATAATAAATCAGCTTCATTATATAGACAAACCTTTAAAACACACTTTTCCTCATGTATAAATTTACATCAGTTAACTTAGTCATGGAGGATAAACCTGTTTAAATATGTCACATTAATAAATACATTTGTTTGTCAAAATAAAAGTATTAGTTTACTTTGTATTACTTTGCCTGACAAAGTATAAATATTAGATTAAAATGGTTAAATTGTCATATATTCACATTTGTCATCTAACAAAATATAAAGTTGTCCATATTTTTAAAAACATTGTTATTCACAGATAAATTGAGGTCAAATGTAGAAATATTTTCATTGATTTTTTACTTTTTTTTAACTTTTACTTTTTTAAAAACTTTTATTTACTATTACTTAATTTTGTTTATTTATTTTTTAAAATTTGTTTTCTATTTTCAATTATTTCGGCTTGTAAAAACAAAAATAAAGCAAAATCCCTATCTCCTGGCTCATGTTTTCCCTTCTTCTCGTTCCACACCAACAGTAAAAATGACAAAAATGCTCATAATAATGGCAGCAATGATAAACAGAGTAAATATTTAAGTTTAATATTCAAGAGAAACACCTGCTGAACCCTAAGAGTGTTAAAGACGTTCTGATTTAATGTCCTAGTAGAAGTAAAGGATGAAAACACATCTACAGACTTGAGCTGTTCCATAATGTCAACATCTTAATATTTCTGAGGTTATACCATAAGGTGATCTTTGTGTATTTTACACATCTGATGATTGGTTTTGGGGAACTATCTGCTTCTGTTTTGTGATTCCAGGGTCTGAAGCAGCCCGAGCCAAACTCTGATGGCGCCGAGGCTACAGCTTTGTGTTTCCAGTGGAGAAGGAAGCTGGAGATCCATCGAGCTCAGCAAACCTCCAACCCAGACACCGATGACCTCGGTTTGAGGAAGACCTCATCTCATCCTGTTGCACCCAGTCTTGCTCCACCAGTTAGTTTGACCACAACGCCTTTAAAACACAAGTAACAAGGGCAGCAGATCAGTTATAACTGTATATTTTAGAGTGTAATTATTCACAGGGCCACATGGAGGAGCCAGTGAGCATCTCTGTGGACTGATGTGTTTCCTCTGTGTTAAATTAATGCAAAATAAAATGATACTCGACAAGTAATTCTGAAACAAAAAACCTTATATTTTCTTTATTTTTTCAGATACTCATAATAAAATCACTGAAATGTGACGGGGCAAATATGTTGTTAAAATGCCACACAGTTTTGTAACAACCATGATCACTAAACAGACAAAAAAAACCTCCATTAGTCTTTAAAACACTCAAAAACAGACTGTACAGGTGATACAAAACAGGCGTTTCAAATTTAATTTGTGAAAAAAAAAAAAGGAACAGGCAGATAGCTTGGTTACGGCGAGACAAGGATAAACACAGCTGTCAAATAATACAAGTTTGATGCCGCTTTAACAATATTCAACCTTTGTAACACATGTAACCACAATTTACAATTAATTCAACATAGAAAATAGTCATAAAGATCATATATGTAGCATATGTAACTGAGATAATACGGTATACTTTTCTTTTTCTTTCTTGATATGCCTAATGTACTAAAAAGACATTTTTTTACTGGCTATGTACAAGCATGTCAGCGTGGATGGCAACATCAAAAATCAAAGTAGAATCAACAGTTTTAATCTACTCCAATAATATCCTCTATATGCCAAATGAACAAATCTGAGAAGCCAATATCTTAAAGGCATTTAAACCACTTCAAGAAGGAACAGAAAATGAACCAAAAAAATAAAAAAATATGTGACTTTCAGGTGCAGTGTATAGAAAAACTGCACGGTTAGGCTTCTATTACAAAACTTAAACCCAAATCAGGGTGTGTGATAAAAACAAAACAAAAAAAAACATTGTTTAGAAACTCAAAAATCCAGCGTTAACATAAAAATCTCAAAATATAAAAGTGTCTTTGAATAAATAAGCGAATACAAAAATCCTCAAAGTCAACCCTCCTCCCCTCTCTCTCTCTCTCTCTCTCTCTTTCAGTGGATGGCTGGTTTATTTTACAGCGTGTAATGCCTTTAAGTGAAGCAGGCGCTCAGTAAACACTGTATTCAGTTCTTAGTGAAAACTTTACATGATTGTTCAAAACATACATGAAAAAAACCACAATGATAAAAAGACATACACACTTTCAAAACACACGTGATTGTTGACTATACACTGTGTCTATAGCATCATCTCTATACTGGTGAGTGTGTAGTGCACCGATATGTGATTTTATACAGGGTCAGTATTTACAGAAATAAATAAGTCAATCAAATCAAGCTCCAGGTGTTCACTGACAGAAAGGAGAAGCTGTGGGGTCAAAGGTCTTGAACACGTCTTTCAGAGTCCTGTCATCCGCCTCCTCCTCTGGATCTCCCTGTTTTGGATCTTCCTCCATCGCCTCCCCCTTGTCCTCCTTCTCCTTCTTCTCCTCCTCCTGCTCCTTCTTCTCCTCCGCCTCCTCCTGGGCTCCCGCAGAGCCCTGACCTCCCTGTTTGGCCTGCCTGGGGTCGGTGTACTGGGGTCGTATCAGTCCAGCCAACGCTTGGATGGGGAGGTTATGAACAGCGGGGGGTTTCACCGGTGAGGCCGGGAGCAGAGAAGGAGAAGTGGAGGGGCGAGGCTGATCTGAGGGAGGGTCTGTGCTTTTGGCGTCTTCTAAAGAGTCACTTTTTTGGAGTGGCGAGAGAGACTGTGGTGGGTTGTTGTCCTTCTTCTCTGGGTGTTTGAGGATCCCGGTCTTCTTCGGGGGGTCTGCCTGCTCCTTCTGAGCCTGCTCGCTCTGGTTACGAGGGTCATACAGGCTGATACCCCCGAGGATGGTAGTAGGACTCTCCAGCCCCCCACCTGAGGATGCCAGACGAGGGGCGTATGGCGGCAGCTTCTCAGGCTCCGGCTTGACTCGTGCAGCATGAGGCGAGGAGCCAGCACTCGCTTTCTGCAGTCTGGGGTCCACAACGCCTCCCCCTGTGCTTGGGTCTTTCTGACCTATTAGCTTTGAGTCCAGACTCCCCGTACGTTTGAGTCTGGGGTCCATGTTCTTTTGTTGACGTGGATCTGCAGGTCTGTCCGAGGATGCTCTGGACTCTAGAGATCCAGAGGACAGTCGGCTCATGCGCTCCTTCAAACGTGCAGCTGCCAGTCTGGGGTCAGTGGGTGGGGGGCTGGAGACAGGGGGGTGGTCAGGGAGGCTTGATCGGTTCATCTGAGCGTCTGCGATCAGAGGAGGGAGAGGGAGATTGATGGAGTGCTCCTGTTTGGGGACCAAAGAAGGGATGAGGTCCTCAGGAGCCCAGACTACGGTCTGAGCAAAGGCGGGCCGCTGCAGGATGATGTCCACACGGATGTGACTGAACTGCTTCAGCTGACACCGAGGGTCCCGCAGCACCACACCAGGACCGGCATCAAGAGGGATGAGGACAGCTTTGTCCCTCAGCTCCCTCTCTCCCTCCTCATCCTCGTCTCCTGCGGGGGGCTTCTGAGGAACAGGCTGGCGGTATGAACTCGGCTCCATCGGTCTCATCTTCCTGGGGTCTCTGGACAGCCGAGGGTCTGCAGCTCCATCAGACTCCTTTTTCATATCTAGAGGCCGCTGGCGAGGGTCTGACTTCACTCGGGGGTCGCTGGGAGGGCCTCTCTCCTTCACAAGCCGAGGGTCGCCTAATCCTGGAGGCAGCTGAGGAGCCTGGGGGGGCTTGGACTGAGACTGGTGCATCTCGCTCTGCTTCTTTAGGGATTTCAGGATGGAGGACACACAGTTTCCATCTTCATCATCGCTCGAGTACCAGTTTGTGGTTTCATCTGCAAAAGAGATTTAAATACGGTCATTTAAAGTTCTGCTCAGACCCCGTCCTGATAGCTGTGAGGGTTAAATCTAGTAAAAATGGCTCCAAACTCCTGAAACCTGATCCTGCTTCGTCCTTCTGAGCACTCACCCCTGTTTGCATTACTGTCATCCTGTCCCTCTGCTCTCAGTGTCTCAGTCCCCTGTGGGTTTGACTCTTGCTGCTGCTGCTGCTGCTGCTGCTGCTGTGTCAGGTGTAGAAAGATGGCTTTCTGCACTGCTGGTGGTAAAGACTGCAGCTGGGACTCTGCACCGATCTGCTGCTGGAGGTTCTGGATGAAGGCTGCAGTCGGGTCTACTCCATCGAAACACAAAACAGAAAGACTTCACTTGTATATTTTCAAAAGCTGATTTTAAGAGATGAACATGATTATAACTGTGGCACTGACCCCCTTGTTGACCCATGGCCTGGTTTTGGAGAAAGCTGCTGAAGACCTCCATTGAGTTCTGGCCCAATGATGGAAAAGAGAAGAGACTTTGTAGCATCTGAAGATCTGGAGGAGGGAACGGAGGTCTCTGCATGTTAGGCATGAACGGAGGGGGAGGCTGCATTGGAAACCCATGAGGTGGGTGCTGTCCTGGAGGGCTCTGAGGCATAGGGGGGCCTGTTGGGTGACCCATAGGACCAGGTGACCCTGGTGGAGGAATAGAAGCAGCAAAAGGGCCTGAAGGCATGTTCCCTCCGCTCTGTGTTTCCTCTGAGCCTCCACCAAACTCCTCGGTGCCTTCACCCTGATTCTGGAAGTTGGATCCACTGAAAAGAAATGAGCCTCATTAGATAAAGTCCAAACGTTCCTCACAGAGGGATTCCAGCTGATTATTTTGGTTACCTCAGAGCGATCTTTTGTGCCAAGTCTACAGTAGGTTGAACCTTGATCTCAAACAGGGAGGGGATCTTCTTTCCTGCTTGGCCAGAAGCTCCATCAGTTGGACTGCTCTGACCAGGAGTCGGCAGCAAACCCACCCCAGGAGGAGGCTTTGGAAGTGGGGCGATGCCCTGCTTCCTCAGATCCTCCAGCTCTAACTCGTCCTCACGGGCGTTCTCCTCTTCAGTGTTGATTATCTGTAAAGAAGACATTTTGGACCTTTTATCAGAATTTCATCAAACAAAGATCCTCATCATCATCTTTTCTTTTTGTTTTTACCTTCTCAAGCAACTCTTTGGTCACGTCGTTCAGAGCTTCATGGGAGAATTTGCAGTTGTCTCCTTGGTAACATTTGGCCCCAGTGTGAAAGAACTTGCACGGGTATTCATGTGCAAACACAGGTTAAGGAAAGCGAATAATAAACGAATAAGGCAAATTTGTGGCTAAAAATGTGATTAAGGGAAGGACAAACACTCATGCTTAAAAAAATGAAAATACTATTCTGGAAAATAATAATTAAATTCCGGGGTAAATACGTCCCAAATTGACCAACTTCAAAATGTTCTTTATATATGAAGGCCATTCTATCAAATCAGTGTTTAAAAATACATTTGAAAAATTAGTTCTACCTGTGTTTGACTACAACTACTCCTGATATTTCTGCACGCTCACCTAAATGGGTTAACCTCCCACCTGGCCTTAATAATTGGAGTTCTGCAGGTTTGTGCACACGCAAGTTTATTTTCCCCTCCCTTACTTCACTCATTTATATCAACTCCTGTCCTGACTGTTATGTGTTCTGTTGATTTTATAGTGGTGCTGGCTTTTTCACACATTGTGAAACACAAAGATGAGAGAAAAATAAAAAAAATAAAATGTGATTAAAAACTTTTCTTTCCACGTTCAAAAAGGATATTATGCATGTAAATACAGTTATCTCCTTTACTGCAGTATCCCTGGAGATAAAATTTACACAGCTCCTTCTTCTTATCTGGCACAACGAGCTCATGTTCAAACTTGCACTGCTCCCCCTGTAGGAAGAAAAACCCAAACATTTATCATCCTGTCATCTTTGAATGTCCAGCATCAGCGTCCGCTCACATTTTAACACATTCAAAATAATATTAGTGTCACTTCACCTTGATGCATCGGCCCTCAAGGAAATACTTGCAGATGTATCTGCCGTTGTGTTCGACTGTGTGCTGATTGATAAACTCTTTGCTCATGATCGGCCGTTTCTTCTGAAAACCGGAGGAATTTTTTCCTTCCTGTGACACAAAATAAAAACAGAACTTGTTTTTATGTTTTTAGTCTTTTAACCTCAGATGATACAAACAGTTGAGTCATGCACAAATAAGAGAGAGAACTTAAAAACTAACAAGAGAAACTTAACAGTAAAAACAAAGTGTGGTTATATCACTATTACTATCAGTAGTGGCCAAATAAGTTTGAGAATATTGGTTTATCAGATCTCCTCAAAAATCCAACACTGAGGTAGTCTTACAGGTGGTATGTCATCCATGCCCATGTCTCCTCCCCGACCTCGTCCCCGTCCTCCCCAGGGTTTCCCTTTCAGCTTCTTGTTCTTGTTGAGCATCCCCCGTCCTCTCCCCGGTCCGCTCCCTCTTCCTCTTCCCCTCTGCCCGACTGAAAAGCAGACAAAAACATACTCTTCCTCACTGTGTTGACTCTTAATGTTTCCCCTTTAATCTGAATGATCTGATATCAAACACGCTCTTACACTGCTGCTGTTTCATCCCTCTCATGTTTCCCCTCTTCATCTGCTCTCTTCCGTGGCGCCCTCTTCCCTGGGAATCCTTTGATGGAGGATAATCCGTCATGTCGTCTTCATAATCATCCTCCTCTTCCTCGTAGTCATACTTGTCGTCACTGTAGTCGCTGTATTTGTCAAAATCGCTGCTCTTGTGTGGCGGCGACTTGCCGTGGCTTCCCTTTGAATCCCGTCCATGCTGGCAGTAAAAGAGAGAAAACGATGACGTTCGGGTGTTTGGTGAGGTGCGCAGGTTTTTAGCTTGTCTGAGACTGACTCACCTGAGAGGACTGGCTGTCAGACTCTCGGGTTGATCCCTGGCTCCTCCTGTTTTTGGGCCTTTCTGGTCGGTCATAGTCGGAGTCGTAGCTATCGGAGCTGGAGCTGCTGGAGGGGGAGTGGTGCTGAGGAGAGCAATGATCAAAAAAAGTTTTAGAATAGTTATAAAAGTTTTTATTCAAACCTTTCAAACCGTCCCTCCACCTTCAAACTCATCCCAGCACCAGTGAGCATCTTACTTTCTGTCTGTCCCGCCTCCTCCTCTTAGACCTCCTCTTCTCTCGGGTCTTTTTGTATCTCTTCCTCGAGTGTCGGTGAGTCTTCTCCTCTTTCTCCTTCGTCTTTTCTTTCTCCTTCTCCTTCTCTTTCTCTTCATTCACCTCTGGAACATCTTTGTTTTCTTCTTCAATCCCGATCCCTTCATCGTCTATTTCTCCATCCTCAAGTTCACCGTCCTCCCTACGAAACAGTCGGTACATTAACATCAATATGAAGAGTTGAAATGTTTTTATTGCATCATGCATGAAAACAGCTGTGAGCAAATAACCCAGAATGACCAACTGCTATACTGACAGGAAATGAAACTGTTATTTTTCTGCATTTCTAACATCTTGTCTGTGTTTTAATACTCCTTTCCATTCACTATGAGCTGTGTTGTAGTTGTTTTAATTAAAGAATAGGCTGGATGTCACATGACCATGCAGCATGCAATCCGTTAACTCCTAAATACTCCTGAATATTAAGGCCACCAGGGGAAATTAAAGTTCCAATACATATATACATGTATATTTATTTTTTATTATAATAAGAAGAATGTCAGAATTTCAAGAGAAAAAGTCAGAATTCTGAGATTAAAACCAGAATTCTGACTTTTTTGTGAATTCCGATCTTTTTCACAGACCTCTGACTTTAATCTCAGAATAATAATAATACTAAATTTTATTATTGGAATTTCCTCCTGTAGCCCTAATCTGCTTTCATGGTTATCAGTCTCATAAACTACTAATTATTGGTATCTGTATCAGCCTTAAAAAAAACAATATTGTTCCACCCCTACAGCTAACATCTATGATTTCTTAGGCAAAATGTATTTAACTTCCTCATGCAACAGCCAGGAGTCAGAGATGGCTTTGAGAACTTTTAGTACCAGATCATTTTTACAGTCAACACTTTAAAAATAACAGGTTTACTACTGCTGTAATAACTAAAACATTAAAATGTCAAAGTTTCTGAATTTTTACAGACACCAACAGAATGAAAATCCTGATCTACAAGTGATTCTGAGGACTAAAAATGTGACCAATGCTGGACACAGGAATTCAGAAAAGTCATCATCTAAACTTCTGATATGATAATCAGTACATAACCATCTTTAAAGACGGCACAAGCTTTCTTTCTATCAGTTTGCAGCAGCAGCCGTGACCATCTCCTTTCACATTACAACATTGGTGAGTTTCATCATTTCATATGATTCCCATGACATGTGAAGTCAGTTTGAAAAAATAGAAGGAAGGATCATGAAATTAAAAACACAATACAGTGAAAAACTTCCTCATGCTGACTTAAGACTGTGTTGGCAATGAGGCGCTACTAGGGCTGCAAGATTTATCACTCAGAGTATTCACTGTTGAGTACTTTGAGCATTAATGTATTATTTTGAAGATTTTTCAATCAGTCACAACTTTTAAAAGTCAATTTGTTATGAAAATTTCACTTGCTCAACAAGTGAAGAAATTCAGTCATCCGCTCAGGGGCCTTTTCAAAACTTTCCAGGATTAAATTGACTCATAAAAATAATTGGAAGAATTACCGATAAGAAGATTTTGTATTAGTTTTAGCCCTAGTAGCAACCTCAGAGCGTATCAAGCCTCAACAAGACACCCTCCATATCCAAAGCCTCCATTACATCTGAGTCAAAGTTAAAGATCCACACACCTCAATACTATCTCTATGATTATTTTTCCACCTGTACCTGAGTGGAGCTTAATGTAAAGAGTTGGCAGATTATCAAAACATTTCCAATTAAGCACATGAAACCATAAAATAAGACTTGTTTTGATTCTCCTTCACTTTTCTGATCCATCTCAAACACTAGTGCATCCATATTCAGGTGTGGCATGGAAGGTATAAAACAGACATGCACATGTACCAGCTGACATAACTCCAGTTTTCGTTTTAAAGACAGTAAATTTTGGTCAAATCTTTGCTTTTACAAAATGCACACATGGTCTGAAGCCTTGTTAAGACTGGAGACCGACCACAAAGACAAAGGCACGGCCTAAAACCACAAGCAGAATCACAATGTCAACCCTGCATGAACCCCGAGGCTGCAGTTCTTCCATACGCCCGCTAGAGGGAGCGCAGAGCCAGGGTGGGCGTGGCGATTGCATCATAGCCATTTGCATAGTCTCCTGCAGATGGCAACAATGAAGCCATGAATCCAGCCCAGTACTACAGCAAACACAAACGACGAGGTCTGATACCTTCGCATGGAAATGACCATGAATGATCGACAAAACGATGGGAAACCTGCGCTGTTTGGCCGGCGTTATCAATTGCACCAAAGAGCATGCAAATATATTTTTAAAGGGGGGAAACCGTGGTCTCAATGTACCCTGCAAAATTGATGATTTAAAAAAGAAAAAAAAGAGAGAGAACAGTAACACAAGCATGTAGACCCACAGCACTGAAACGCACAGATGAGCGTATTAAGAATTGCATAAGAATGTTACTCGACCTTTCATCCCCTGCAAGCTCAGAGTCTGTCATGTTTTTGTCAAGAACAGGGGCTGGGGGACTGGAAACAAGGCTCACAGAAGCCATTGGAAAACGGATCTGCCTCCCTCCCTTCTCTCCGGTACCAGAGTGAGTTAACACAAGTCACTCAAAGGAGACGTTGGGTTGTGAGAGATGCTGGAAGATTTGAGACTGGAAAAAACTCACGGTGTTACATGTCTCGACAGAGACAGTAAACAGACACTCTCCTCTTTCATATCAATGACGTTTTAACTCTGTGAGCGCAGCTTGATACCCCGCTTTGCTAATGTCCCGTCGCTTGACAGCTGCCATGGTGAAATAGAGGAGACGGAGGGAGAAACAGACAGAAATGTAACCATGTTCGTTGATTTCAGCATCTTCATGGACTTTCTCAACAGGGACTTCAGCTCAAAATGGCTTCTGAGGTCTGCAGGAACACATTCCTCGATCAAATATTCCTCCGCGTATTTATACTCCTATCGGATCTATCTAACAGGATGGAACAAATCCTCCTCGGTGATTGGTCGGTTTACGCGCGAGCAAAGAGAGCAGAGATTCGTATTGGTTCTCGCCGCTGTCTGTCATTTTCAACATCTGCAAGAACAAAGTGCATACGACGTTCACTTTTGTCCTTTCTCGGTGTTTTAATTTATGACTTTACTTATTACACGTTCATAACGACCCGAGTTTATTATTTTTGAGTGAAAAAACTGATCAGGCCTAAATTCTTTGAGTGTCTTTGTAAACTAGGGAATTATTTCCTTGTTTTTGACGCCCTAGGGATCACGCGCGCGCATTGTTCACGAGCGTTGGACCAGTTTGGTTTCAGGAGCTCGTGCAGTCTCACCATTAGCCACCAGATGCAGCTGTGGGGCTGCAAATCCAAACCAGAAAGACTACAAGTCAAGATTCAGTGCGCACTCAGACTAGTGATGGGCACGGCAGTTCTTTTAGATATACTGAATCACTAGAATCAGTTCACTAAAATGATTCGTTCAAAAGATTTGTTTACCAAATCACCGAATCATTCAGCGCTTGGCAGGGGGAGCCTGTGACTCCGACCTCCTGAACTGATACACAGCTGAACGGTTCAGGATTCAGTCCAATTCATAGCTTCTGGGACCGGGAGACAAGAGTGTTTGGCTGTGTTGCTTTGGCAAACAGGTTTGTAAAAATGAACTTGTTTATAAGTCATGATGTTTTCAGTGTACTGTCCTATGGTATGCTAATTTATCAGATCTGCACAGTAAATTGGGCTCATAGACTGTATATAGAATGGATGCCGTCTGCCTCCTCACTGGGTTAAGCCACTCCGAGAACAGCACCCTCTGTTGACGGGATGCAGTATAGGTCATAAATCCCGCCTCCGCCAGCAATCCCTATGGAGCTGTGGACAAACTGTAGAAACTTATTACACAGAACATGAATTTTCTCTCTTCACTGGTTGCGATGTTGACATGTAGTTACAGTAAGACTGGTTTGTGCTCAAGTCCTCTCTTTTTGTGTGAAGCTCAGTTTTTAAAAGTTATTAGGGAGTTGACGTTTTCTATGATTGACAACTGATACAGCCTACTGGCATTCAAGGATTGTGCAGCTCACCCGGGGGATACGCTATTTGAGCCGAGCGTCATCACAGCGACTGTCCCACCAAATACATATAACGCTACTGCGCAATGCTGGTTTCAGGAAATGTAGAAAAATCACGGAAATACGGAGAGCTTTTTGGCTTCAAGTCCGTGTACTGGCAGGAGGCGGAACCAAGTTGTCCATAGTATGTACAGTCTATGATTAGGCTCAGTGAGTGATTCGTTCACTAAACGTTAAGAAGAATTCAAACTGAACATGCACTGTTCCCTCGCAAACCGCTGCAATGATAGGATGCTGCGGGTTTAATGCACTATTTGTTACATGCTGTGTCCTATTGTATGCAAGTTGATGATTCCAGAGAGTGTAGTTTAATATGTGATTCGTTCACCAAGTGATTCAGGTGTCAATCCATGCAGTTCCTCATTCGCCGGCTGCTCACCTGGCAATGCTGTTGTGAACGAACGAATCAATCGAGGAAGTGATTCGGTTCAGTACGTTCACTAAAAAGATTCGGTTCTTTTAAACGAATCGTTCGCGAACGACACAACACAACCTTGAATTTACCTGCCTGTTTCCCAGAGTCCACATTACAAGAGATGCACGCAGTGAGATATAACAAAACTAATTGATCTACTTTTATTTGCCGTGCAGACATTCACAGCCACAATAACAGCCTGTATTATTAGTGCAAAGTGTTGCACCAACGTGTCTAGATTGTATGAGACTTTTCCTTTTCAGCCCAAAGAGATGAAGAGAGAAAAAAAAACGTATCAATGTCCGGGAGTTTTCTCGGTGGGAGGGATTTTTGCTTCAGGAAACTTCGGTGGCGTGCAGAGCTCAAGGGCTGAACTTTCTGAGCGCACATAGAAGAGACGGGAGAGCATCTGTAGCCTCAGACACCTGATGAGCATCTTCCAAACTCTGTAAGCCCGAAAACAGATGATCTAAAGAAATAACTATTCTGAGGATTCAAACGAAGCATTGCAGCTTTCCAAATATTAAAGACAGTCATCAGAAGAAAGAGACAATTGGACTTTTGGAGATGGCACCGTCTGTTCGACGCAGGTGTATGCTTCTGCTGTGTCTGACAGCTATCCAGATTGGTCATGCTGCTGTTCAGGTATGAGCATTTTACATTACATGAGTTGATGGAGCACCTTACTTGTGCAAGGTGTTTTGAAATCTACATTAATAACTTTAATTTGGCAAAAATATCTTTTCTAACCTCCTTCTTCTGTGTAAAGTAATCTTTTTCTTGTCTTTGCACCAGTCAGTCTTCCCACACCACATTCATTATGATTAATAATTCTGTTTAGTTTTAAGTATTGCTTTTAACATTTTACAATAAAAAGTTTTAGATGTCTTTGCATTTTTCAGAAATATGTTCTTTGTAGTGTCCGGATATGAATCCCCCCATGCTTTGTCAGCTGGTGGTATTTCCCCTTTGCCTGGGGCAGGTGAAGGGATCAGAGCACTGTCAAACTGCTGCACAGGTCCAAACAATGAATTTAATGTATTGAAGCAAGTCGCTATCACTCAAAGCTCCCCTAAATGCCAGTGCAGGAATTTAAGGTATGCTGCACAGAGAAATTGTTCCAATGAGCATGTGATTATTAAACCCTCCTGAAAGGATTAGAGGCACTTTCCCCGAGGAACTTTGTAATGGCTTGACAAGCTTTTAAACCTCAAGTAACTGCGAGTGGCACCCATGCTATTTTGAGTCTACCTATTCAGGCATATCCAATGAGCATGTGCCCTCCACCACCATGAAAAATATACAGAGGAGCAGCATTTTGGACTTAGGTCCCCCTGACATCTGTCGGACAGCTTTTGTCCAGCTGTGTCAGCCACTGGCTATGTGGTCCCAGGAGAAAAAAAGGGGAAAATAGAGGATAATAGGTCCAATACCTCACATGTAAATGCAATTCAGTCTAATAGAAAATAAATGTACCTGCACATACTTGGAAAATGTGAATTAATTGACTAATACATAGTATAGGAGAGGTGAACTTCGTCAATTTGAAGTTCAGCTGTGTTTTGCAGATGATTGTTGGTAGTCTAATTACATTTATATTTACAGTTATGAAATGAAATACATATATACCAACTTTGTTACAAAAACATTGCAGGTACTGTGTATAAAATGCTCAAAAAACTGAACTTGGTGATTTACTAACTATTGAACATGAACTTAAGATTAAATTAAAAGTAGTAATAAGAAAACTTGTGCTCATTTGAAATTTCTGCATTATGCCGTCAGTGGATAAAAAATTCCGAACTGTAGCCATGCTAGTTTAGGATGTGGACTTGTCTCCTGTGAAGCCACGCTGTCGTAGAAACATGCAGAGAGTAGTTTGGAATTGTCTCACTAAAATATGCAAAGTTGTCCCTGAAAAAAAAAAAGGCGATGTCTGAATGTCGAACTGTATTTGAAGTGATTTTAAGCCAATGCAGTGAATTCCACTTCAGAGTCAGGCCTGTTTTTAGTGCAATGCCACCCAGGGGTCCCAATCGCAGCCATCAGAGTCCTTCTGAGTCTCTGAATCTTTCCACAATGTTAACTGCTGTAGTTGATGAAATCCCCAAATTCTTTGCTATTTTCCGCTGAAGAACATTTGTTTAAAAGTTTGCTCATGTAGTCTCTCACAAGGTGGTTAACCCCTTCAATGTTCAAGTTCCAGTTGAAATAATCTGCTAAAATTGACAAAAATGTGAGATTAATTGAAGTTTAGTCTGTGAGAGAAGTAGAGAGTAGAGAGTCATCTGCCTTCATGACACAAAAGTTGAGCACGTTTGTTTCTTTTTGTTTTCAATCTCAGGTAGCTTTTTCATGTTTCACCTTCTTTGTGTGACTTGGTGAGCTGTGTTTTAGAGGAACCTCTCCCAACACTCTTTGCACATCTTGTCAGGGTTGCATAATACATTTAAATACCTATAAAACTGTCTTTAATTATGACAACACTGTACCCACCAATAAGCTTGGCTTAGTTTCTATTACATCATGCTCTCAGGCAGCTTATTAATTTTAATATCCTACTCATGTTTTATATTTCAAGGCCGTTACACTGAGGTAACTTTTATTACCGCACTGGTTTTCTGGTTGGTAAGTCTTTCCATTCTGAAATGTTTTGCCAGGACTCTTTTCTGACAACTCTTAACTCTGCTCATATTACTTGTGCTTCATTCGCAGACGTGTATGGATAAACATCAGGTGGTCGGGGTGCTTCGTCAGATGGAGAAGTTTCTGAAAGGACAGGAGATGAGGTTCACGGAGGGGCTCAGGATCATGAAGTCCAAGCTGGCAACGCTTCAGAACTCTGTGTCCAAGCTGCCTCAAGCCGACCAATCAGCTGGTGAGTATGAAACAGATAGAAACGCAGATCGTCACTCTAGTCTTCATCATCATCATGGAAATCCTTGGATGGCAAACATGTTGACTGGGTGTTTTCTAATTAGTTATGTGTCAGTGAGCTAGCATGAATAATACTGGTGAACTAAAGCTGCTGACAGAAATTCAACCATAGTTTATTTCATTTTTTTGACATTTTTTCCCTTATTATTGTCAAGACAAATATTTGTCCCCAAAACATGACTTTGGCGCTATAAGTTTGATGGACGACAGTGGTTGAACTTACAAATCCAAGTTATACATCCATCAGATTGGCCCTCTATACTCCTACTCCTTTTACTTTTACAACTAATAATTATGTATAAAGCACTTTCCATGGCACTCAAAGACACTTGGGAGCAACTATGGAGAAAACCTGGTCCTCCCTCGTTCAGTACATTCAAGCAGATGTTTACTGGTTAACTTTGGGCTAATTAATGTGGAGGTGTGTATGTTTTCAGTGGGTGTTTTTCTTTTAAGGTTGATACTACTCAATAGTTCATGAGACTGAAACCAATATTTGGAACCAGTATGCATTGACGGTAGAAATAAAAGAACTTACGGTCAAAATGTAGATTGAAAACCATCACAAACTTTTAAACAAAACTTTGCGTCATGCTTTCAGCTAATGTTTGATCAGAGCTGAAATGTCAAACTTCATATACAGGAGTTAACGGGGATGACACATCTGGAGGAGAGCACACTTTTTAGTCAGCTATCTTCATCAGGGATCAGTTAATAAAAGGCCAATACAGATAACCAGCCACATACCAAATATCGGCCCTGATAACCGTCCGAGAACGATAATCTGTCATCTCCTAGTTATCGAGATTCATTTTGTGTTCACTAGTCTTAAATCTTACACTGCTGTGTTTTTAAAGGTTATGTATAATCTAAAAACATGTATTTATTTATAATATTTTGCCCTATTATAAAAAAAAATAATGTTATCAATTCCTAATAAATCATCTGATATATTTTGATTTGATTCGGTGGACCCCCTTTCAAGAAAAAAGTGATCTTATTTGTGTAGTGGTTACATTTTCTTATTTGATTGTTTCATGTGTAAAATCAGTATGACAGGTTTGAGTATGCAGGAAAAAATGGCAAAGATGATACTGTAAACATGAAGTTTGATGGATTAGCTTTATTTTGGACGATAGCACTTCCTGGATAAGAAACAATCCAACGACACTTCACACTGTAAGGATTTTCTCATGCATGCCTGTAATGACTGAGGTTTCACTGAGTAATTCAGGAAGTAATTATCCTGGTTAGGGCAATCAAAAATTTTATTTTATTCTATTGTTTCATGTGAATATGATTATTATTTTTTAAAACACTGACAATAGAGAGCCAGATTTGGCTTCATCCAAATGGGATTATGTTTTCATCCAACAGCTCCAGGCCATCTCAAGGGGAGTGGATTAGTGGAAATGTGTTGTTTGGCAGCAGACACAGAGGGTAATTTGTTGGGGATGGACTCAGCTCTGTGGAGAGGACTTGGCAGCTTAGAAAGTGGCTGGTATTTTACATTTACAGCAGAATGTGGAGGGATGTCCCCGTCAGCTTGTTTGAGCCCAAATGTTCGAATAGTGAGTATCTGAAGATGCAGAGTCCCGATTTGACATTTTCCCCTTATGTTTTTATTTTGTTTACAGAAATAACTGAAAGTAAAAACAAAATTGTCTTCAGCTTAGTCGATTTGACTTATACCTGCGATTATCAACCTGCCTTTTGGTAGAAATAAATTTAATTGTCCTGCTACTATGTCACAAAATGATGGCACTGCATACATAGAAGTCACTGTTGGACTTGAAATTAATGCATATTCCAGCACCGCTGACATATCAGCTACATAGTGGCTAATGCTAAGTAACTTGCATGTTTGCACTTTGCAGCAAATTGTGCTCAGTTTCCAACAAATTAAATAAAGCAGCCTCCAGTCGAATGAAAGTGTGAAGAATTGCAGACTTGAGGCTGGCTGCAGAAGCCCCTGAAAACAGACACACACAAAGCCAAAAAAGCCAATTTCCAGAGCAAATATAAACATGTTTGACGCCTGGTTCAAAAACAGATTTGGTCTGTATAGCTTAGGGCGCCCACTATACTAGGAGTGAGTCTTTTATAACACAATTTTTTGAAGTTATTGAGGTTATGAGACTAGCCGATGAGAGGGATGTCTGGCTAGGTTGACAGGTGGGGACATTGCAGCAATTTACAAAAAGACTAAAGATGGCAACCACCTCTGATTGGCTTTAAATCAAAAGGGTAATGTCAGATACACAATGTCCATTTATTGTGCAGCATGTGAATAAAAAATGCCTTGATCAGCTGTGATTGAATAGTTGAGATTAGGATCCAGACATCCCTAATAAAAACTGAACTGAGAGGTGAGTGACACCACCAGCAGCTCCAAAAGCTCAATTTAGGGAGAAAATCTGAAACATCTGAGCGGAAAAACTAGATATGAGGAGAAAGTTTGTGAAATACAACAATGGTTCACAGAATTATACATATGCTGATATTCTGTGAAACAATCTCTCGTGTGTTCAATGTAAGGCATGCATCTTTTTGCATATTAGAGCCACAGCTGTAGTACAGTACTGTAATAGCAAATTTATCAGCATTTTTAATACAATAACTGGTCAGAAATAAGGTTAAATAATTCCACATTATATCCGCATGAATGGCCTGGACATGACTGAGGTCTGATTATGTGACTGTTTAAACCTCCACATAAATATACATTATAAATTCAGTATACTGCAGTGGTTTTCACCTCAGGTTGAAAGAATCGGAAACTTTTGATCATAATCCTCCTAATTCAATTCAGCACAAAAACATACTCATAATCCAATCATGCTGTTATGTAATACAGTTATGTTACACATTATACAAGCAATAAAGTTTCCATTCACCATAGCTTAACATTTTGCTGCTGGTGAACTTCTGACTCATACGGCCGGTTCTCTGCTGTTTGACGGTAAATGAGGCAGTTAAACATCTTTTCCCATGAAAGCTCTGAGCTGCCCAGTGACACGTGTATATCCCCAGGCAGAGAATGCCAGAGGATGTCGGGAGGCTTACTCCACATGTGATCAGCCTTCCTCTCGTGCTCTCTTTCTCTCTCCTTCAGCTCCCACCACCTGCCCTTCCCTGGAAGCCCCCGCTCATGGATCCAAGTTCGGCTCTAAGTACTTTGTAGGACACGAGGTCCATTTCACCTGCTCCCAGGGGTACCATCTCGTGGGATCTGCCACACGTGTGTGTCGCGATAACGGCACCTGGACGGGAGTGGGTGCTATATGTAAAGGTGAGCTCTAGCAGGAAGTATGAGGGAATGTTTTGAACCTGTGTCTTAGTTTTAAGTTGGTATATCAGTGATAGTGTTTCCCATCACTCTGAGGCGAACTATGGAGTACCGCAAGGGCCAATTTTGGGACCAGTTTTGTTTACGCGCACATGATGCAGAGACACAACATTTCACCGTATCTCTACGCTGATGACACTCAGCTGTATCTGCCTGTCGATCCAAGCAAAATCAAAATCCTCTCAAACCTTAAACTGTCTCATTGATATTAAAAACTGGATGGAGGCTAATTTGAGTTTTTTTAATCTGTATGTGTTAAATGTTGTTTTTGTTGGCTCATTAAAAAGTGATGAGTTAACTTTCTATGTATTTTTGTCTTATAAGAATTAGGTTCAACAGCTTCAAAAGTTGCAACTCTGTTAAGTCACTTTTAAAGTTAAAATTTACACACATATTACCAACTTATTTTACTCTTTAATGGAGGTTAAAGTTGATGTGAAAAGTGGAGGGTTGAGATGAGCCCCTGATCTGGCCACCTTACAATCACAAAAGTCTGGGTCTGTCATTGTGTTTAGATACCAAACCATTTTGATACAGCACCTTTGGTTCATTGCAGACATGTGCCAATCAGAATATATGCAGAATCAAAGGTAAATCAGATCCAGTGTCCCCACATGGACTTGGAAAATGGTTGGTTTCGCACTTTGACTAAAAGTCACTTTTTTCTCACTATTTTGTGTCTGTTTGTGCTTCTTTCTGGATGATTTTATTTCTCTTTTGGTTCATTTGTGTTGTTTTATCTACTCTCCAACAATGCGTGTTAAATGTCACTTCAAGCAAAATCCCTGTTCTCAAGGCCCCCTGGATCCTAGAGCCCCCTGGGCAAGCGCCCCGGTATGCCCACTCAGTAATCCACCCTTGCATTAAGGCGACCTCGGCTCGGCAGCGTCTGAATGCCGAGCTGCAGCCCTGAAGCCAAACAGCTCCTCACACATCCACAGATAACAGGCGAAGAAAAGAGCCTTTCTTTGGAGTGACTGGAGCTCCTCAGCACAGTGAATGAAACCCTCGTTAAAATGGCATTAAATGTCTCTGAACACAGAAAAACACCTGTACTGCATTCCACTGTGGGGTGCTTTACCCTCCAGGTTTCCACTCCTCATGAGCAGCAGTGCTTAAGCTACTGTAAGATAAAGCCCCCCTCTCTGGCTCATGTTTCCCTTTTTCTTTGACAGCAGTCCCACTGGACGGGGTTAGGTCCAGACGTTAAACCCAAACCATGGTCTGATAGCACACAAGTATGCTAAGCATGCTATTGATAGCCCCCTTCAGCCTCCACTGAAGGCACTCATCCAGGAATTCCAAGTGGCACACGCAGTCGAACATGTGCATACGTTTATTGACGTTTATGGTTAAAACAACACGTGAAGGCTTGACTCTGCACAGTATTATCTCTGTTCATGATTTTCAGCCCGGCGTAGGAGCTCTAAATTTAGCCACATTCAAAAAGCAGTATTGATAGAGAGTGAAAACTTGAAAGTAGAAAAAGAGTTTAAAAATATCTGGGAGAGTGAAGTGGGCCTTTTCATGTCACGGCCCTTTGGTGGACCCCAGGGAAGTCAAATAAACATGACAGGGATTGGTTGTCATCCAGTATTCTGTGGCCTCTGCATGGAAGCTTAGAAAGCAGAGGTTGCCTCATAACATCTGCAGCACTCTCAGAGCCAGCTGTGGTAGAAAGGAAAGTTGGAGAGAAGTCAGGAGATCACAAGTTATTGATTTATCTACATGATACTTGACCAGAACAGCAGGTGCAACTAAAAGATTTTTTTCATGATTTACTCCCAAAAAGTTAAACTTTCAAGTCTTATTAATTTATTAGAAATACAGTAAAATATTTCAATTTTTGATTAAGAGCAGATGTCTGTTATTTTAGAAGATTATAATAATTCCTAAAACCAACCAAAACAAGGATTTAAGATACAGAAATATCAAACTTATGAAGAGTATGCACATATATACAGTGTTTGTGATTGGCCAATCAAGTGCAGTCATATCATGATTAGCAAACAGGCTGGCAGTGGTTTTGGCGCTGTGGGCAGGTGCTTTGTCCTGCTGGAAAATGAATCTCGTCAGCAGATAGAAGCATGTCGTTCTCTGAAATCTGACTTTAGACTTGATAAAACACAGATGATAAACACTAAGAGAGAATATTGCGCCCCAAATCATCTCGTGGATTAAGATCCCTTGCCTTTCCACTTTTCATCCAGACTCTCGCACTAAAATCTCCATGTAAAATATGAAATTCTCTTTCATCTAAAAAACAGGACCCAGGGGAGAGTCTTCATAATATTAGTTTGTGACAGTGATCATCTCATACCAGCCTTGGTCCACTCCTTGTGAAACTCTTGTATCGACTTTTCATGACAATCCTCCCAGCGCTCTGACCATTGTTGATACAGCCAGTCCTTTGGCAATGACATTCTGATGACTGTGGTTGGGTGTACTAAACCAAACCGACAGAAATCTGAAACTGATACCATCTGTTAAGTGATTTAGTCAGACTCCAAATAATATACTTTAATATTTTGAGGTATGATTTTTACGCAATTTGAGGTCAAAATTAAAACTGAAGAACATTTGAAAGATGTTTAGTTTGCATGTGACAAGTCCAGCATCTATTTTCACTTTTTTACTTCATCCTTCATAGGAGTAAGCGTAAATATTTTACGTGGTTCTTTTAATATGAAAGTCAAAGACTTTTGCAGAATTACCAATTTGCACATGTTCAGGTCGAGGTAAAAGAAACACTAGTAAAAGCCGTTCGGAGGAAAACATGACTGCAGAAGTTTTTATGGGATTGTACCGAGAAGGTGTTGACAGAAAAGCACTTTACAACTGTGTTTTGCTCGAAGGAAAGTACTTCAGCTTTAAAAATATCCAAAGATCTGCTGCTGTGCTGTTTGTGAATGTGTTTCACATCGCTAGAAGTACATGGATAAAACAGAGCGTACTTCCAGCAGTTCAGGGCTTTACCGTTAAAGTCGTAGTGGATTTCAGCGAATCACTCTCTAATCATGATCCCCATTAGATCTGATCAGGATAAGTACTACTTCCACAAATAGACCAAATAAAAGGGCATCACAGACCCACAGTGGACATTTTCTGCCCATAATGACAGAAGCAGTGACTCATTTTTAAGTATAAGTTATCAGTAGGTGGATATGATGGGGCATGTATGTAAGAGCTGTTTGATGTTTCCCCAGTAAAACCTCAAACAGATTCTGCAGCCGGTCTGTTTCTATTTTTTTAATCAAGCATCTGGAATCTATTAATAAGATGTCATCCTCATGTTTAATCTATTTCATGATGGACCAGTGATTGTCCTTTCCTCTGCAGATATAAGTGAGTGTGTGAGTAATCCCTGTCAGAATGGAGGCACCTGTGTGGAAGGGGCTAACCAGTACAAGTGCACCTGCCCCCAGAACTGGAGCGGGTCTCACTGCCAGCACCAAACTCAGACAGGTCACAGATATAAGATCTTCTTTACTTTCTATATTTTGAATGTGTTAAGCTGTAAATCAGTGTGTTACAGTTAGTCTGACTTCCATATTTCCTTTTTTGTTGCAGCGCCGCCTGAGTGGAGTGTCATGAATGATCCCGCCTTCAGCCGCAGACCCCGCTGCGCTCAGGTGAACCGGGCCCAACACTGCAGCTGTGACGCCGGCTTCCATATGAGTGGCACCTCCGACAACAGCATCTGTCAGGGTGAGCTCTGATTATGAGTTACCGTACTTGTGGGGAAATGTTTCCTTCCCCTGTTCCCTCTTTGAACAAGAACAAACTTATCGTCTCTTATCGTAACTTGACGGCACAAAAAACAAAAACTTTTACTCCTCTGGTCATTAATATGTTTACAAATGAGAGTAATCTGTGGAGCCAGTCTGTGACAAACAAAATAATCCTTCTCAAAGGTCACAAGCTGATTAGGATCCATTCAGGTTACAGTTCAGTTGCTTTTAAGAATTAAATGGTTGAGTAATAATTGGAAATGAGACTTTAGACTGTGAAGATGTTGACAAAGACCCAATAAAGCTCCTGTGAGGAGTTGTTTTGCGGTTTAAGAGCCAGACTGAAATTCAGACTGATGCCTTTTTATAATGTGCAAAAGAAAACAAGACCATCAGGAACAAGACTGACTGTTTTATATTGTGATTTTTTTAAGTCTCAAATCAGTGCAAAGGGGTAGGTGTCAGCAAAATAGCTACAGAGACAGCTCTATCTTTATTAAAAATCACAATAAATGTGGCTGTCAAAGGCCATCAGGGTGAGATTTTATCGACACTTAAGCACGTGAAGGACAAGAAAAGCAAAGACTGCTTTGTCCACAGGGGGCGCCAAAGATGAGGCAAACAGAAAGCTGCTCATGGAGGCTTTAAAAAGGAGAAAAGAAATCAAATCGTGTCCTCTTTAATATAGTAGAAAACGACCATATTGTGACACTAAAGCAGGGTAAGCTTAAGGACAGTGCTACCTGTAATGGACATGCTTTTTCCTCTTGGAGCTAGAGTGCACTAGAGATTTAGGTGTATTTTCCATATTTACAGTATGATTCACGTGTTATCTCTGAATTCAGAGGATGTTGGTTGTATGAGCGATTCTGCAGCCAATCAGGAGGGAGAACCGCAAATGTTCTGCCGTCATTTTAGAGGAGCTATCACACAGAAAGCCTATGTCTTTTAATTATATGCACAGAATACAAAAATCAAGACTTTGACTGGTCATGTGATCATTTTCAAAGCTGACGCTCATACATTTCGTTTCTTGACAGATGTAAACGAGTGTGAAGTTTATCGCCTGGACCAAGGAGGGAAGCTGTGTATCCATGAATGTGTCAACGTCCCCGGCTCGTACCACTGCTCCTGTCCCAGTGGCTTCAAGCTGCTCCCAGATGGGCGGGGCTGTGAGGGTGAGTGACAAGAGAAAACAGAGGACAAAGACTCATTCACGGGGGCCATGGCTGCAGATTTAGCCGGGTATGTAGCTCCAGAGTGGAGTATTTGTGATTTAGAAGGAGCAGGAGCTGAAGTAGCAGAGATTTCAGTTTCTGCAGAGGTGTCCGTCAGCCCACTTTTACTTCCACCCCTGAAGCTCACGATGGTTGCCAGAGGAAAGAATGACCTCACCCTTTCCCAGCAGAAGGGATCTTTAGGACATGAGACTAAACTGAAAAACCAAATAAATAATCACAGCTCTGCACCCCCTGCTCGGGCTGTGGTAACCAGGAAGCAGCGAGGCAGTCTGGCAAGTCTCGAACTCGCTCGGCTTCTCTTTCTTACATGCCTCTGCTGTTTTGTCCTCCAGATGTGGACGAGTGTTTGAGCCAGCAGCACAACTGCAGCCGAGGCACAACTTGTATCAACACGGGGGGAGGCTTCCAGTGTGTCAACCCAGAGTGCCCCCGCTCTCACGGCAACATCAGCTACGTCAAGACCTCTCCCTTGTAAGTCCCACAGCCCGATGTGACTGATGTTATCTGTTGTATCAGCTAAAAAAATTCCTAAAAAATTCAGACCACATCTTCCTGATTTCATCAGAAACTGATCATAAACTTTCAAAGAGCCATCTGCTTCATAAATAAGACCGGACTGTGAGTCACGAATATCCCTCTGCAAACATTTTGCCTTTTAAAAGCAAGAAAGGCAAAAGTAAGATCAATGTTAGATTGCTGTGCATTTATAAAGGTGCACCTGAGCAGCTGAAGTATGGTTGAGTGAAAAACAATGATCTGCAGTATTTAGGGGAAAGAAGTGACTGTTGATTAAATATTTAAGCACAGAATTTTAAGCGGATTATTCACTCGTCAAATTTATGAGCAGCTCTTGTAGCTAGTGTGTTGAGGGTAACAAGTCACAAAGTAATCCATAACAGTTCTCGGATCACTTTTTTTGTTATAAGTAACACAGCAAATTAGTTCCACAATCCAAGTCATCTGTAGGGAATTATTTGTTATAAAAGTGATGTAGGATTGAAAAAATGCAGCATGTTTCTTTAATGACTTCAAAACAAAGACAGTCCCTGAAGCCTTTGCAGTGTTTCTGTTTCCTTTCGTGGCAGGTAGCTGTGTACCAGTGGAAATTAAATCTAGTCCATCTGATCCAACAAGTGCTTCAGTGGACCACATTTTCTTTGTGGAAATATTTCTATTATTTTGAGTTTTTTAGACTAAAGGAGCCGGAGCAAATCACAGTAACATCTAAGCTGTGCCTCGTAAGCTGCTAAGAACTTCGCTTCAAGTTTGAGTTAGCATCTCTGAGATGCAAGCTGATGCTGAGGCCCATTGCACAGGATCCAAATACTGTAAGTGCTCCAGAACAGCTCCCCCTTCTGTTGAGCTGTAGAGCTACAAACGCTTGCACCGGTTACCTGAAGAAGCAACTTTTTCGGCATACACAGAGGACGGATTTTGGCCCACACACTCCTATGTGTACCTACTGCAAAAAACTGCTGCAGGTATTTAACAAGATGCTAAGTAGTGGTGATAATCCTGTAACTTAATAAAAATCACAATAATATTTTATTTACAGGCACCTTTGAAAACACCCAAGGACAACTTTCAAGACACTGATAAACACAAACTTTGAAAAATAGAAGTTAAAAGATGTAACAGTGCAGTTCTCTCATAGGTAATGCAAATGATTGTGATTGTAATAGAAGAAATCGCAGTGGTTTTACTGCAGCTCTATCCTCCACTCCAGACAAACATCATGCACGCTCAGCAAAACTCGAATCGATGACTTTTCCCCCCTTTAAAACCATGTAGAGCGCCTCCTTGCCAAATGTTTGGAAGCATTACAGCTCCCAACTCACTTTTTTTTTTGCCATTCATCGACTGGCTGCCTCATTTAAGAGCATGAAACAAAGCTCTGTGTGCTCCTACTCAACCATCAATCTGCTGAAATACTGCCGCACTGCCAGCGCAGGGTATGGATAGATGTTTGGGGGGGAAACACATGAAACTAGGAGAGAAGAGGGTATGTAGTATGACAGAGGCTATGCCCTTACTTCGTACCACATGTTATGCATGTCTCACAGCAAAAAAGTTGTAAAATATGGGAAAAAGTGAAACAAATTTTTAGAGACAGCTGCAGAAAATAAAAAAACGTGTCAAAAATTTTGAAAACAATTGTTTGTCCATCTTTTTTCGCCTTTCACACATGCACTCCTGACACTTTCAAGATATTTTCAGGACTTCTTTTCTCAGCAAATTCAAGACGGCTGAAAATTCAAAAAGTTTGGCTGAAGATGTGGCGGAAAACCTCAGTTGTTTGTGTTCGCACATACGCCCCACAGGAGTGATTCTGAGGAATTTTCAGGAGTGCAGCACATGTTGAGAAAAGAGCTAAAAGCAGAAGTTTATATGAATGCAGTAAACTTGCAGCATGCTCCGAGATGACCTCATAAGAACTGCATGTTTGGGTCAGAAAGAAAACAGTCGTGAACACTTTCCCACGAGGAGAGAATAATGATGTAAACATGTTTTGCCTGTGACAAGACGGCCTCATTACGTGGCAAATACCAAACACACACAGCGAGTGGGAAACATTAAACTCATTTTCTGCCTCATTGTTTTTTGTTTCATTCCTGTCCTGCAGTCAGTGTGAGAGGAACCCCTGCCCCATGGAGAGCCGCTCCTGCCACCTCGCTCCTAAGACCGTCTCCTTCCACTACCTGTCTCTCACCTCCAACCTGCAGACTCCTGCTACACTTTTCCGTATGGCGACCGCAGCCGCCCCAGGGCGCACCGGCCCGGACAGCCTACGCTTTGGCATAGTGGGCGGAAACTCTCGAGGTATTTTTGTCATGCAGCGCTCAGATAGACAGACTGGAGAGCTGATTCTGGTGCAGCAGCTACGAGGGCCGCAGGAAATCAGCGTGGATGTGGACATGTCTGAGTACAGCGACCGCACCTTCCAGGCCAAACACGTGGCCCGGGTTCACATAATGGTCTCACCTTATAACTTTTAACTTCAAGCCCACGAAGAAGGCGAACAGACAAAGAGGAGCAGCAGAGAGTGTGTATTTCAGCACCAATCTCCATATTCACACGGGGCTGAGCTGCACGGTCACAAAATGCCAAATTTGAAGAAGAATTTTAAAAAGTAGAAATATGAGTCAGAACCATGAACAGTGAGCGATCATTGTAATGTCATCCTTTGCTTTGTGAAGTTCGACTGTTGGTCGCCACTATCTTATTATTATTTTCTTCTTTCTATTCCCTGGTTTGTGGCCAAATTTGAAAAAATCTACAATGTCGTGTCTCAATTCTGGTTCTCACATTTCCACGAAAACAAAATATAGGAATTTAAAAGTGTTGACCAACGCTTAATAATTTCCTCTAATGTTTTTAAAACAATCTGGCTTTTTTTTTGCAATCATTGCTAAAGAAAGTATGAGCAGTTTATATCAGCATTTAATCTCCTACTTGCTAACATCTCCATTAGCTAGTTTTAAAAAAGTTGCCATTACCTAAAATTTGTTCGCTAGAAAGTCTCACCTTTCCTGTTATATCTACCTAAAGGTAATGTTAGCTTGTAAATAGTTGAATGCAAACATTAGAGATTGTCTTATCATACTGTAGCGGTCAATTATGATCCTAACGTCAAATGTGTCCCTCTGTTTCCTAGGATTTTCTTAATCCATTGTCTCTAAATTGCTGATCAATAATGAGCAGATTAATAATCCTGATTTGTCATATTCACAAAACACAGTCCATAAACCGAGAGAGTCAGAGTCTCCATGCTGACCCTCGTAATGGTGGATTGGTCTCAGCCTAAAAAACAGTCGACAGTGTTGCAGCACTCAAGCCCAGGACTTGGACTTCAGACTCGAACGTTGACAGCAACAGGACTTTTAAGGTGAAGGGGGAGGACCCAAACTTCCTGCATTTCCTTGCGTTGGTCACAAGAGGTATCATGCACATTCCTAAGTGGAAACGAGGCGTCAAACTTCAACAGGCATCTGTCCAGTATGAGAGGCTGTCAGCGAGCCAACAGTAATATTAGTCCAGATACTTCTTCAAACTATTTTTATCCCCGTCCACATCAGAGAGTTTATGAATATTTCTCTGTCCACACAACAACACAGAAATGGTGTTGAATTCAGATCAATGAAACGTGTTTTTTTCTTTTCTAAAAGGTCCCGCATGGTCATGGCATTCAGTCCACACAGTCAAAGATGTGTCTTTAAGTCTAAGTGACCTTTAATCAATGATGTTTCTTTAAAAGACTGAAAACCAGCAAACCATTGATACACCTGTGTCAGGACGCTTTGTTTTTGTCTTTCCTGTCATGTTATTTTTGTATTTTAAAGTCCATCATAGATCCTGTTTGTGTCTCTCAGGGTCAGGAGCGGATGCACTGCCCTCGTTTTACCTTTAGAGACACTAGTGCTCCTGTGGCTCTAATTTATTGGAAATACTGTTGCCTATTTTGACATTGTTACTTACTGTACGCCACATTTTTACCCATCACCATATATTGTATATTTGTTACGTTATTTGTACTAGCAGGCCTTGTTTGAGGCTCTTTTCATTATGCTAAGGGAGTTTTTTTAACAGTAGATGCAGCTTTATACCTGGGCATGTAACCTCTACTACTCATACTCTGTAATTTACCCTGAAATAGTTTCATTGTATTCTTAATGAGAGTCAATTTGGTAAGCGTATCGATGCACTACACAGTTTATCTGGATTTTTATGTGTCTGTACATATCTGAAATAAAGTCAGTCCAACATTTCTGTATTTGTTAGAATACCTGGCTCGGTGTTGAGCTTCGTGGCAGGCTTTTAAAAGTCTTCTTAATGGTGGGATAAAGATGTTAGAGGAAGAATGTGTTTCATGATATGATGCTCAAAGATGGCAAGAGTTGTTGCTTTTAGATTCTTACTGTCACATTTAAAAGCATGTCAGTATGTCTATTTGTCAGAGAAAGCAGCAGCTAATGTTCACCATGTGTGCTCTATTAATTTCCTTTACATCTCCATCCAGGGGTTTAGATTGCAATAAAAGGGGCCAGAGGAGCCGCATGCTTCCTGGAGGTTTTGGGTGGTGAGAATGGAAACACACACATTGACAGTACTTGCGCACAAATGTGCCTAAATGGTGTAATTTCCTTAGGTAACAATCCCATGAGCGCTCACATTGCAGCCTTTGTTTCAGGCGTGCGCTCGGGCTGTTTGATGTTCACATGTTTCATCCATCCAGAGGCGGAAGGATGTTGCCAGATGCAGCTGGAGAGCTTTGAGCCGCGTAACCAAAGCCATTTGCTGGGGAGAAATGATAAAAATATACAGAAGAAGCCTCAGGGAAAAGCCTGTGTAGAGTGTGGCTTACACTGGTGTTAGGTCAGATTCACAGCAACATGGTGGCACATGCTGCACCAAATAACTGAAGCAACAGGACAATGCAATAACCTGCATATCGTTGCAAGAAGGCTTTTAATATATTTACCTGCAACTTCTGCAAGATTTGAATATGATTTCTCTGCAACTGCCCATTTGACACCCACGTAGAGAAATGTGCTACAAGTTCTGAAACTGATGTAGTAGTCTGATCCGTCATTGTACAGTATGATAAAAAATATCAAAGTATAGTATGGAAAAAGAATGTCATAGTATAGAATGATAAAAATGTCATTGTACAGTAAGAAAAAAATGTCAGACTATAGTATGATAAAAAGATGTCACAGAATAGAATGATAAAAATTTTCATAGAATAGTCTTATAAAAGTTTTATAGTAAACAATGTAAAAAAATGCCATAGTATGGTATGATAAAAAATGTCAGAGAATAGTATGTTAAAAAATGTCATAGGATTGTATGTCGAAAAATGTCATGGTATAGTATGGTGAAAAAAAGGTCATAGTTTAGTATAAGAAAAATGTCTGACTATAGTGAGAAAAAAAATTCATAGAATAGTATGATAAAAATGTCATAGTATTGTGTGATAAATATCATAGCATAGTATGATAAAAATAACAGAATAGTTGATAAGAAGTGTTATAGTATAGTATGTTCAAAATTGTCATAGAATAGTATGATAGAAATTGTCATAGGACAGTGTGATAAAAAAAATGTCACAGTACATAATGGTAATAAAATGTCATAGTATAGTATGTTAAAAATTTTACAGTGTTGTACCATGAAAAATGTCATTGTTTAGTATGTTAAAAAATGTTAAAGAGTAGTATGATAAAAATATAATAGTTTAGTGAAATAAAAATGTCATAGTATAGTAGAATAAAAAATGTCATAGTATAGTATGATAAAAATATCATAGTATCATATGATAAAAAATGTTAAAGTATAGTATGTTGAAATTGTCATAGTTAAGTATGATAGAAATTGCTATAGTACAGTGTGGAAAATTAGTCATAGTAAAGCTTATATAAAATGTCATAGTATAGTATGATAAAAATGTCATAGTATAGTGCGATAAAAATGTCATAGTATAGTATGTTAAAAATGTCATAGTATAGTATGATAAAAATGTCATAGTATAGTATGTTAAAAATGTCATAGTATAGTATGTTAAAAATGTCATAGTATAGTATGTTAAAAATGTCATAGTATTGTATGATTAAAATGTCATAGTATAGTATGTTAAAAATTCATAGCATAGTATGTTAAAAATGTCATAGTATAGTATGTTAAAAATGTCATAGTATAGTCTGTTAAAAATGTCATAGTATTGTATGTTAAAAATGTCATAGTAAAGTATGATAAAAATGTCATATTGTAGTATGTCAAAAAAACGTCATGGTGTAGTATGTTAAAAATGTCATAGCATAGTATGATGAAAATTTCATAGTGTTGTATAAAAAAAATGTCATAGTTCAGTTTGATAAAAAAAAAATGTCATAGTATAGTATGACAAAAATGTGGAGGTGGAGGTGAAACCAGTGTATGAGAAGTTATACAGGAAATACCTGAGCATGAAAACTGTAGGGTGCAATATAGTGTAAACATTCATAAAAAAGTCATATCAACAAGCTCAACCTCAATATAGTCATGTTTTGCTTTAAGGAGGGGTCCAGGTATATGCTGATTTGTTCTCCTGCTGGTGGAATATACTGTGCATAACCTTTTCTCCAAAAAGAGTAAAGCTCTTCAGTTTTTTTACAGGCAGAATCTCCCCCTTTACCATCTGTAGACTTTCTCTATTCCAGCTTTCACCATGAATCATTTTGAAGATGAGCAGCAGGAAATTTTGAAAATATCTCCATCAGAGCCGACACGAGACACGTGTTTTTCTGGCGAGTTAGCGCAGAATGAAAGGCATTCAGGAGGAATTTACACTACTTTATTATCCAGGAGAGAGGGGTGAGGTCGCCTGTGGATCATCTTTCATGTGAGGATAAATGTTTGGAGGAAAACCAGAAATATGTGAGAGCTGAGAGAGGCAGAGCGGCGGTCCCTCTGACTTTAAAGAGGCCTGTAATCTGCTTTAACAGGCCTGAATAATGACATCTTTATGTTTGATATGAATATTACCCCGTTTGATGTTTGCAGGTTTGACTGGAAACTTTATTGACGAGTTGACGTGAGAACAGCTGTGAAAAACTGACTTCAGGTCAGTCTGATGAGGTGCTGAATAAGAGCTTGAGCTCTCTCTGTCAGAGTAAAGCCACTCCTTCCTCCATAAATTCATCATTTCTGTCCTCTCAGTGATTTTATAAACTGTAGGTTATGTAAAAAAATGAGTTTTAGTAATTTAAAATCTAAATCTAATCAAACTTTGTCATCTGTGGAAATCTGCACTAGAGTGACTGAAAAGGAAGCAGATGATTATAATACATGAACGTTTGATTTATATGCAGTGCCAAAGGCCAAGACTGACCAGTATTAGTTATTAGTTTTGTCCTTTTTGTGCAGAATTTTCTAAAGATTCTCTGAATCTTTTGATACACCATAGCAAAATTAGGAAATCCTAAGTTTACCAAAGTTTGACTACTAGAAAGGTGCCATTTTCAAGATGGCGTCCATGATAGGTAGGAAACCCGGGGGAGACACCCCAGGTGAATAGGGTAAATTTTTAACTAACAGATATCACCATGAAACTTCCCAAGTTTATAACTTACATTAACACAAATATTTTTTGTATTACAAGTTTCCTCAAATGTCATGTATGAATATGTAAATAAGGCAATATCTAATTAAATATGCAGTAATATGCATACATTTCCAGAACCGAAGCCTGAACAATGGATTAGGGTTAGGTGTTTTTTTTTTCCATATATGCACTCGCCTACACCCACTCCGCAATGGCATGTGATAACCCAACCTGTTGCAAAGGAATGCTATTAGTAAAGCAATGTTTCTCTTGATTTTTTTTTTTCTTTTCAATTTTTGGTGTTTTCAGTGTTTTGATGTCCCCTATCCACCTGTTTTGAAATGCACCAAATTGAAAAAAGATGAATATTTTTCTTAAAACAAAACTCAGCTTTAACATGTTGTGAATTTTCTTTTAACTATTTTCAGTTAACATTGGCTTTAAATGCAGATCATTAAATTGTGTTTTTTGTCAACATTTAAACCAGCGTTTAAGCCCTCTTGGTTTTAGGGTTGTGTAATTGTGTAATTTACTGTTAAATCTGTAAGGATTTGACCTGTAACATCCTGAATTTAAATACAGCACCAAAGGCCTTTAACGGGGTCAAAGGGTACAAACTCTAAAGCTTGTGCTTTTCTCCAAACAGTCAGGGCTCCATAAATGAACCTGTAAAGCCATGACAAATAAGGAGTGTTGTTCCTGGACTTCATGTTGGTTCACCCCTCCAACTCACGAGCCTAATAACAGCTAATGGGCTGAGGGGAAACTGCGTCCATACTTTGAGAACGTGGGCTGCTTTCTAACTCTCCTGTTAGTATTTTCGTCTCTGTGTTTCATTATCTTCCATCATGATTTCCCTCACAAAGGCCCATTCATTCAGAAGTTTACTCTCCTCTATTTGGCATTTGGACGCTTTAAAGGGAAACAGATCTGAACTAGCAGAGTTGTCACCGTATTCAAATGTACTTTTATTTTTAAATTAATACTGAAAATCAGAGCTCAGGAAACAAACATTTGTCTGCACTGGATTGTTATTGAGAGAGAAGAAAACAGCTGGTATGAAAAATTCAAGCCCAGATCTTCATGACACTTACGAAAGGGAGAGGCAGAGAGAGAGAGAGAGAGAGAGAGAGAGAGAGAGAGAGAGAGAGAGAGAGAGAGAGAGAGAGAGAGAGAGAGAGAGAGAGAGAGTCAGATTATCCAGACACCTCTCCACCTGTGGACTTCTGAAATAACAGGAATCAGCCAAAACCCATCTGTACAAATAAATGGAGGTCCACTGCAGGTGTCTGCAGTTTTATATAACCCAAGGACAGCGTGCCATCATAAGCACAATTATTCCAGGTTTCCCATACTGAAAAAGGGAACATTTCAAATCCCAGTGATCAGCTTGTGCTTTGCTAACCACAGATCGTACCCTCACAAGATTACAAGTCACAGAGACGGCATCAGGTCAGCCATCTTCAAAATCAACAAAAACAAAGATTTCAAGACTTCTTCAAAAACTTTTTTAAGGTGTCTGTGAAAACAATGCAGCGACTTTATCAGCGAATAACGCACAGAAATCAGCTGAAATTACACACCCAGAGACTGTTTAGAGTTTTCGATGCATGTAGAAAAAAATGGAAGCACACAATGTAAACACACACTGAGTAAACATGGGTGAACACACACTTTAACAACTTATAAGTACACTTGAAACCCAAATAAATAATGAATTATTTAACGCCACATTAACAGACATACGATATATTGCTCCTTATTTTATAAGACATCAAACCTGCCCACCCATACGGACATACAGTAGATTCAAAAACATGACTGAAAACCCAAAATTTACACCAAAGAACTCAGTTACATCTCAGTTTAAAATGTACAAAATCACTTACTTGTGCTTCGTCCCTCTGACGCACATTCACACACAATACTGAGGATGACGAGTAGATTCGATCGGAGATGTGAGCCACACTTTCAGACCTATTTCTCCTTAATCACCTGAACATATCCGGCCTCAAACTGGAACAACATGTAGGCACAGCTTTGATCCCCAAAGTGCATAAGAGCTAACATGCTACTTGGAATAATAGTGTTTGAGTTTCTGGAGTTTCTTCGTCTCAGGTTTTGAAGCTGCAAACTAAATAAAGGTACGCACAGGGTGTAAACTACAAGACAGAGCTCCCATCTGAGAATATCTTTAAAGTACTCAATCAGGTTGTCTCTCTTCAGGCTGTAAAAATAGCTTTGATAAATCACTGTTAGAGTTCTTTATAATTATCCTCCCACCATAAATAAAAACCTATTACAACCAAATACCCAAAAAGACACTTTCAGAGTGTTATGTTCATGCATGGAAGAGGCCGCCTGCTCTTCATTCTCTGATAAAAGGAGTCCAGATTAATCGAACAGAAATAAATACAGCACTTAAATATAAAAGAAACATTCTCTTTGGAAAGAAAGGCTCAAAACTGATCGTATCAGGGGAGGTTGGTCAGTGAAAAGACAGTTTTTCTTTCATAGAGTCCGTGGCTCTGAAGAAATGATGAGGAGTAGTCCTCCTAAAAAATACCGTGGTCTGCTCCACGGTTCCTGCAGAGGTATCAACAGCTCAGGACAGGAAGGTCCCGTGAAATATTCAATGGCACGCCGTCATCACCCTCACGCAGCTGGAAATCCTGGAGGGAACCTGCAGCAGAGTCATGAGTCCGTTTAAACCGCCGTCTGGAAACGTTCGACCTCACTCCAGCTTTGACATCTCGTACTTGGTCGTCATAATTTCCTGGAAATATACAGAAATATAATATTAACATTTAGTCTGCATTTACAGTCTTCTCTTTCAGACAGACATGCTCTGTTTTCTTTTAAATCCATCTTATTTCTGTGTGTGGTTGAGTGCAGATGGTAGTTTCGTCTCTGCTCATTTGTCCTGGCTGTGGTTACAGGCGCTAAAAATGACCATTTTAATACTATTTGTGATTTTACTGATGATCTTGATAGAAACGAATAAGCATCACCATCTATTTCAGGCTGTTTAAGAACTAGTTAAAACTCGTGTGAGGAGTTTTTATCAGGTTACAAAACAGACTTAAAAAATTTTGATGACCGACACCATCAGGAACAAGTTTGATTAAGTCTTTTAGCTACTTGTGATCTCTAAAACCCTGGTGAAGAATAGGTGAGACTTATTTTTACATTTTACCATTGCAGACAGACTCAGCATGATGCATTTTAAAATAAAACAGGCTCAGAAATGAACCACTATGTCCACAGGGGGGCGCCATAATCAACGCAAGTGGAAAGTTCCTCACAGGAGCTTTTAGAGACGCACACCAGAAACGCAAAATTTACAACACAATTTGCATTAATAAAGATGTTAGCCATTTTGCTTGTTCATTTTGCATTTATGAATACACAGATATATGATGTAGGGTTGCTGCTGCACAGTGTGTGAAAAACACATCATATCAGTGGGAGTCAGTGGGAGGAATGTATCCTACCTCATCAGAGTCGAGCAGGACTGGCAGAGCTCTGCAAAAAAAGGACTCGTGTTAGAATCAAACATGTCAGAAGTTAAAAAAAAAAGAATTGTTGATATTTGTGTAAAAGAGTGCTTACACATCAGTAAGAGAGCTGGGAATGTTATCTTCCACCCACTTCAAGTCATCATCCTGCGAAAAGAGAGAAAGGTTAAAAAAGTGAACACTGCCATCTGCTGAATATCGTGACACCAGAACTAGACTGACTGGGTTTGGTTCTGAGGGCTTCACTGTGCCGTTGGTCTCATTTTTGGATGCTCTCAGTTTTATACCATCCGCTGTGCAAAAGAAAAGAAAAACATGTCAGCCATGAGAAGAAAAAAATAGTACAGGATGCGGCGAATACTTGCAGTTTCACGCTCTAGTGTTGTTACCGTACCGATGTTGGAAGAGGCGATGAACTCCTCAATCTCCTCGTCATCGGAGTCATCAATGAGAGGTGTGAAGGCGTACCTGTGCACATCAGAAATACATGACTTTCAAAGTAAAAGAAGGTCAAACAGAATAAATTCAAGCCCTTCTTTTCAGTTTACCTCTGGTTGTTTGCAGACGGTCTCCATAGGAACATGATGACAAACAGAATAACAGAGAACAAGAACCTCCAGAAAGCATCTTCAACCCACAGCTCAATCCAATCCTGAACAGACAGAAGAGATGATCAATATCAGAGTGAATCACTGATCATTTTAATCCTGATAAAGATGAGAGTCAAGTACTCACAGACTGGCAGTCTGCTAACCGGAACTTCTTTGCAATCCAGCCCATGAAAATGATGGACGCTGGAGGAGAGAGGAGGGAGAGGTTATTCAGCAGGAAAACACTGAGCTGTCACTAGGGTTGGGTATCGTTTGATTTTGAACGATTCCGATTCCAATTTCGATTCCTCATTTCGATTCCGATTCCTATCGATTCTCTAATTCGATTCTTTTAAAAGGCAGGATATCAAAAAGAAAAAAGAAAAAAAAAGCATGGTTTGAATGAGGGTGCTAACCGGGGCTCTTCTTTTTGGATGAAATTTCTGAACTTCTCCATGAATTTTTAAATCCTATTAACTTTTTAAGAACTTTACTATGGATTTCTCACAGAGCTATTTTCAACCAGTATATAAATATCATTTTTTGTTTTCAGGTCGTTTGTCTATGAAAAAGCACAAGGGCAAACGTTAGATGGATATTTAAGTTTACTCACCGTACACAGTTCAATTTCTTTACCGTTTCAAAGTTAGCAGAGGACAGAAGTCATTTATTGTTTCACTTATCTGATCCTGACTGGTTAGCGGAAGACAGTTGTTGTGCTGTAGAATGCACCCCTGCCATAGAATGCCTCCCCTACACTGATTAGCTTCTTAGTGGAAGAAATATGATCTCATATTGAATAAAACACGGGTATTAGATCATGAAAACGTGTCAAATGGAGCAGTAAACTTTCGTTTTGTTTGTATGTGTCTCAAAAATGCACACATAAAGGTGTACTTGGGTATATAAACTGTAGAGTAAGCTGTTAATGTAGAGAACATTATATTTTCAGGACAGTAAATATTCCGAATCAGAGGTCTATTGTTTCCGGCATATCTGAATAGCCTGAATGAAATCATTAAAGGCACACGCTTTAGATTCCGTCCAACGGTAAGAAAAACTTGGATTGTTTCGCCTTGTTGTGTACTTTCAACCGCGCTCCCGTCAGTGGTGCATTCAACAGCAGGAGTGCATTCTCTGGCACAACACCGGCGAAGCGCGTCAAAGACGAGCACTCGGGTATTTCTCCTCCATGAATCCTGAGGTGTTTAATCATGTTTGTCGTTTACCCTCCTTTGCATGATATAACTGTATTGCTAATGTTGCATTGAGATAAGAGCTCATTCTTCCTGCTAAAGTTAGCCAAACTTTTGACCAACGAAGAAGAAGCTGCCGAACACCAACGAGGACGGAGCGCACGAGACGAAGCCACAAAGAGAGAGGAGAGAGACAGAGAGAGATTGTAACCCACAGCGGCTGCATTGCTGTGGGTTGCAATGTACTTTCTCTCTCTGTCTCTCTCCTCTCTCCGTGCGGCCCCGTCTCACACGCTCCGCCCTCATCGGTGCTAAGCGGCCTCCTCTTCGTTGATTTTCGGCGGCTATTTCTTCCGGTCGGCGGACTCTGGCATCGAAACTTGGAATCGAAATTTTAATATTTGAACGATACCGGAAGAATCGAAGTTTTAGTCCCGATTCCCATCGATTCTCGATTCCCAACCCTAGCTGTCACAGAACTTCACATGTTTGATAATCATTACAGGTGAGGTCAATAAACTTACCGATGACGGCAAATATTAGTGTGTTTGTAAAATGTCTGTACAGAGACAGCTTGACGGGGTTTTTCCTCAGCTTTAGGGTCTTGATGGTTTGTGCCAGGCTGACAAAGATGTTAGCGGCAGTCAAGGGAAACATTTCACACATTTCTTAATGGATATCATTCATTACAGGAAGCAATTAAACTCTTCTTTTAATGTGTAATCGAGCATGATCGGACAAAGAAGCAGGAGTAAAGAAACGGTCTGTAACAAGTACTAATATGTCCTGATTGGATAATGATTTAGGAGATGATGATTGATTCTTTTGTTTAAATTGAAGGTTAAACTGTCTCAGTTTTCTGTTAGTAGTTGTGTGCTCTATTATGTTAGCAACAAGGCCGACTTAATCAGACAGTTTTACATCCTAAATATCAAAAACTGTTAAAACTATCAGGACACCAGGATTGCATCTCGTGTCGCAGTCAAAGGACGACAGACGGAGATAATCTGTCTAAAAACTGATCAAGAGTTTAGACTTTGTCAAATTTGATGGCAACAAATTTGGACTTACAACTTCAAACTTTTATTTTGTAAGTGTTGTTCATTGAGAAATGTCTCAATTAATCTATAAAACATCAAAACTTCAATTTAAAGGTACAGTGCGTAGAATTCAGCACCATTCATTGGGACGGACTTTGACATAAATGGCAGATTATATTCACATGTACGTTATAATCACTAAATAATGAAAAAAAAATGTTTCAAATGAATTTGAAATGAGCCTTTATATCTTAATATGTGTTTTCTATCATAGCAGAGAATAGACAAACTAGCAGCATGAGTGTTTGTGAAATATGTGAGGTGAAAAAAGAAGAGGGAAGTTGTTGTTGCTATATGCAAAACAATTTGTATTGGTGGAATTTTTTGAGACTAAAATCTTTGCAATCAGTGTGATTATTTTTCTTGTGCATTAAAGGAACCTCTTATTCTTAAAGGTCACTCGCTCCAATGATGAGAGGGCTCAGCAGGGGGAGTGTTTCAGCTGCTGGATATCTCTAAACACTCCCATTTCTACGCGCTGTACCTTTAAGGTTCTGTCACTGCTGGGTTTCCTTTGTGTTGTTTATATATTAGTAAACTGTGCTGTGTATTAACTGGAAAGTGTGATCATGTGGGTTGTCTTTGTGTTGTTAATGATGGATGAAATGCAAATCAAATTCATCGGGAAGAGCAGACTGAAACTGCAAATTAAAAGGAACCAAGCACAATGTCACTGATTGAGGAAGGAAAGGAGCGGTGAGGATGAAGGATATTTCCACCAGTTTGACCATCAAACTGATACAAACTAGGCTGTTACCACTTTAAGTAGAGAATCAATGATTAACGATTAAGCAAGGATTTATGATAAGCAATACGAGTCCCTGCCAGAGTACAACAAAGAGCTCTTTCACTGCTTTTTAATTAGGCGGGGCTTGTGACAGCTGCAGATCAACCTCCGGCGGTTTAATTTGGACTCATGTGAAGCAGGTGAGGAGCAGAGGGGAACCACACAGGGAAAGGTTGTAGGTGCACAAAAGGATATCCACCAGCATAGAGAGGAGTCAAGCAGAGCCAGGGGAATGTTGGCCAGCAGGGCCAAGTCAGAGTCTTTCGCCTAGAAGGGAAGACAGAGCAGGACCAGAGGATCCGAGGAAGGAAGAGGGGGGAAAAAAATCACAGAGAGGATGGGAGATCAAAAAGCAGCAAAGGCAGTAAAATAAAGAACCATTCACCAAAGTGCAAAAAAGAAAATTAAAACTCAAAAGTTTATGCTACAGGTACGACCACTGAGGGTGTAAAAGTTACTGATGGATGGTGCTGCTGAGTGATAGTGGAAGGATATGAACCAGATGGCGCAGGAGTCAAACACGGCCAGAACAATCGCTGTCATGAGGACAGGGCCGTTGTCTCGACCCTTCAATTAAATAAAGATTAACACATCACAGAGATTAAAGCAAAACTGCAAATGTTTTCAACTCCAAATCATATTACCCCACCATCAACCTGTGTGTGTGTGTGTGTGTGTGTCGCCCATCAACCTTGTCTCCAGCACCCCTACGACCCAGTAACGGACAAGCGGATGAAAACTGGCTGACTGTTGGACCAACATGACTTCCACCTGTGTTAACTCTCGCCACTTTCTGGTGATCTAGCAAAACTTCGATAATCATTCTGGTACCTGTAACCACCATGCATTGGCAAGCACAGCCCACTCTTCTCTGCCTCTGATTGGCTAAAACTTGGCTCTAGTCAGTTTATCCCTGTACAGTTGTTGTTAGACTGGATGCTTTAACGGGACTATTTTTCCGATTAACAGAGATTTTAAATGCCAGACATCAGCTGTCCGGGAAACTCTCCCCTAACCCTGGAAATGTGAACTGCAGATGCACAATATTGTTCTTTTCCTCAATATCCACTAGCCGATATTTTCAAACTCATCCTGAATTGATGCGTCGAGTTTTTTCAGAGTGGAGAACATCAAGTTTACAGGTTTCCATCTCTCCTCTGCTGTTGTTCCATTTCACTCATGTAATCTGATCCCCTGTCAGCGTAAACATCATGCAAATTACACACTGAGTGCTTCAGGTTTTCCCAGACCCACTCAGGTGTCACATCTACTCTACTACTCATCTACAAACCAAAAACTTCATGTATGCCATGATCAGGATCTAGGTGGGGTCCCATTCTTGTACTATTAAGTCTTCAGCTGGACCTTCACAGGTTTAAAGTCTGATCTCAGGTCCAAGAGCCATGGAAGACATCTTAAGCTAAGACACGGACAGAGAGCAGAACTCACCCCAGTTATCCTCAGGACACCTTCAATGCTTGCAAAAGCGAAATAGAGGACCCCGAGTCCCACAACTCTGTGCATCACTGTCCCCAGCCGAGGCCTGAAACAAAGAGACGCCAAGTAATTATGACATTAATTCTGTGTTTAATATTTAGATAATTACACAGCTGTTATCAAAGATATACAGGCCCACATACTTTACAATACCATAACCAAGGCTGACGATGATGACGAGCAACCTCGCCAAAGTCCTCTTGAGGGCAGAGACCAGCTCCGCAAAGATCAACAAGCCCGTAGCTGACGAGAACAGTCACACGAAAAACATCAGAGTCAAAGCCAAACCTTTTACTATTTCACATGGAAAGTCAAACAGAAATATTTCATGAGGATGTGTAAACACTCACTAGCAGAGCCGACAGCGTTGGTGTTTTCATACTCGGCACAGAAGACGGCTTTTTCCACCATCCCCAGGAAAATGACCCCCGCGATCCAGAACTGGATCCTCAGCAGGTCCTTCCAGTAGCAGGCTGCCCACAGAAACCACAGCAGGGCGTACAGGATGTACACGATGCACATCACCATGTAGAACTGCAAACAGAGAGAGAAAGGGACAAGTGTTAAAACACAGACAGGAGCAGTTGATCCCCCACAACGTTGGTGTTTTTTTCTTCAAAACGCTTAAGAAATAACAAGATTTAAATATATGGATTTCTAGTTGTAGATTGTGTCCTGTGATTGTTGATGGGATAAGTTTAAAGCAGTTGTTATCAGCTGGTCTAGCCTCAGGATCGATCTCCTCCTCTTGATAGAGATGCCTTGGTTTCTTTAACTTTATTTCTCTCATTTTTCTTTCTTTTATACATGATTAGCTAAATGGACAGTAGTCCACCTTGGTCATGGTGATTACATCAGATGTTGAATTTGATTTCATTAGGATAATGTAATCCTCTTAATCCCCTTTTGTTGATTATAATGGCTCCATCTGGGTTTGTTTTGGGTGAACTGCCCCTTTAAAAGGTGCAGACAAATGGGCTTATTTCAGAATACCATTTGTACCATTTAAACCAATAAAACAATTTAGAAACTTCCAATATGTGAATAAAATTAATTCATACGCTTTGTTTGTTTGTGCACATTCTGGCGCCCCCTATGGACAGAGGTAATAAGACAAAAACACACACAGGAGCTTTAAAATACAACAAAAGTGAAAGTTTATCAACTTACAATCATGAGAGGCCACTCCGTGATAGAGATGTATCCATGGCTGCCTCTCATCACCACATTCACTGAAAAAAAAGACAAATCAGGGTCACAGACACAGTTTAACCAGTATAACCAGTATCTCTGCATAGGAAACAGGGAAATCCTAGTGCAGGAGAGACTTACAGTGTTTCACGAGAAATAAAAAGTGTCTATATCAGTATTTATATTGGTATCAGGTGAAGATAACCTCACCTGTTAAATTCCAGTTGGCTTCAGGTTTGCTGGGCACAATCTTAACGACCAGCAGGTACGGCCCGTCCTTCCACGTTGTGGCGATGACGTTTTCTTTCACATTTAAACTGCTGTTCTTCACCGAGCTGTCGTCGTACTCTTCAGTTATCCAGTCTTTGTCACTTTCAACCTATAAAACGACAAAAGTGATGACACATTTTAATCAGCGCCTATTCTATGTAGGTAAAAAGTATTAGAAACACAAAACTAACAACATGAAGATATTAATAATTTAGCTAAAGGCATGCCGAACCATATGCTGCTAATTCAGCATTTGGTATGGATCAAGGGTATGGGCTAGGGGTCCAGCATCATGCACCTGTCCCCTCTGTGGTCCACACCAACATTTCACTAATCAATTACTGTCTTTACTGAAAACACAGATGTTAATGATAGTCTTGATCATGACTATCTTATTGTTTTCTGATGAAAATGAGAGTAAAAAAAATAATCATAGTTCAATATTAAACTTAAATAAATAAATCAGGCTGGAGCAGTTTCTATTTTTACTCACCAGCACTTGACCGTCGACAGGTTGGCTGATTACACGTGGGTCTGCCTTTGCTTTCTGAAAATCAAGTAACAGTTCTTAAATGTTTGTCCTCAAAAAGTTTGTGAAAAGCGTCACTAATTTGAGGATAAAAGTGCAAAAAACTCACTTTAAACACTGGAAAAGAGCGCAGCCCATTGCTGCATGTGACTGGACTGTGTTTGTGTTCGATGTACTCTCCTGGACCGAGGGGATTTGGGTCCAGGCTTTCTCCTCGACTGAGAGGTGTCCTCTCATACATTTCCTACAAATCAGTGACAGAGTGGGTCTAAGGAAAAATCAGATCGATGATTCATGTGACGTCAGGCTTCGGTGCTTACCTCAATATTGTTGAATTCATTGTGGCACGGGTAATATTTTAATAACCAGTGAACAGTGAAGGTCAGCTCTTCAGGACAGCCGAAGGACACAACTGAAAGAGCACGACACACAAGATGATGAACACAAATCAGGACAAAAAAGGCAGAATGTCTGCTTGATCATTCACTTTCTTACCTTTTAACTGAATATCAGTGTCTTTATACATGGATTTTCTCAACAGCAGAGGCCTTGATGTCTGAGGGCAGATCAAAAAAAGAGCGTAATTTGCAATCATGCTTCTCATTAATCAACAAGATTAGTTTGGTGAGCTGATCAGTCATCATTCTGGGATTGTGGCTCAGATGTTCACATCAAGATGGACACTTCCTGTTACCATAAAAGGAAAAAAGACTAACTAATACAATGAGAGAGTATTCACATATTAAGACATTATAGTTTTCATCTTTGTAGGTGAAAAAAATACAAACTGTTTCACTGTCTTTTATAATATCAGTTTTTAAGTCATATTTTCCATGTCTGAGACACACTGAACTCTCAGCCGTCACTGTTTTATTATTAAAGAAAGCAGCTCCAGACGGAAGATTATATCCTCAAGAACTTTAATATTGTTAGTAGGTGTAAATGTGAGTCTGTCTGGAAGAATTCAATAACAGACTTTGGCCTGACCTTCCAGCACACCTTATACTGCGATTGGATACAGAGACAGACAGCAGCAGAGCAAATCTGACACTTCTAGGAGCTTAAATTATTGATCAAGGTTTTCTAATTCTCCTTGACTTCAGTCTGGCGGCTGTTTCTTAATACTACAGCAACTACAGCTGCCAGTTTTATTGTTTTTCACAAGGGAATACATTTGATGAAACAAACCCCAAAATTAGGACACACCTTTTGTGCACCTACTTTACATTACACTTCAATTTGAATCATAAAAATTGCTTGCATTATTTGCAGGATCCTATTTTGTGTGACTTAATTTTTCCCTGCAAAAATGTTACTTAAAAACCATAAAACTAATTTTAAGTTGATGCAAGGAGTTTTTAACTGCTCATGAATCAGACTAATGACCTATATAAACAAACGAGACCGTCTGCAACAAGACAAGACAATATCTAAACTCAATTCAAACCCATGTTACAACTGCAAGGGGTCAAGTGTCATGCTGAAGAAACACCTGTTTTCCCTCTTTCACAGCAAATATTTACAGTAAGTAAAAAACAAAAGCAGTATGAGATGTTTTTAGTCAGAAAACACGTCTGACATATAGAACAAAAACAGCTACAAGATGATTGAGTACTGCTTTGTCCCTGGGGTGTGCCAAAATCAACAAAAACAGAGAGATCCTCACAGGAGCTGCGAACTCTGCACTTTCACCAGAAAAGCTTATCCACCCTGAAAAACTGTCTGATGCTTTAAATAGACCCTACTCTAACATAAACACTTCTATGTTTGTGGCAATATTGAATAATAATGATATTACTAATCTGGACGTGGCTCTTTAAATCTTTTGGTTTTTCTTCAATTTTACACACGATTTCCAGAAAGACCACCTAATTGGCCAGCAAATTAATCAGGCCAGTTTTGAAGTAACAGACATCTGCCAGTGCTTGTGCCCCTAAGGCTGATGAAAACATTAACGTCTGCAGACACTGCAGGCAGTGCCATCTGTTTAGCTGCTGTCAAATAATGTTTGGAAAGTGAAAGCATATTTCACTTAAGAAAGTTATTGGCATGTTACTGAACAAGATAACCATGTAAATTAGAATATAATGTGCACAGAAAAAAAGGATGATGGAAAAAGGATCTTGTGCAATATCAATATCATCATCACATCCATACCCGTTTTTTGTTGGGACTGATCTTTCTTTCTCTTTTATATTTTTCTCATACTTGTTCTCATACTTTTCTTTGCACTGCTCTTTCTTTCTTTTTTTTTTTTACCATAGTTCCTTATTTATTTGTTTTTTTTGTACCCGTTATAAATGCGTATGTTGTGTGTGCTGCTGCTGTTAATGACTTAATTTCCCCACCGAAGGATGAATAAAGGAAAATCTAATCTAATCTTATGATGTTATTACTCTTTTTATCATTACATTGTGATAAAAAGTATGATGTCTACAGCATCACCTGAGCTGTGGGCTTCATCTATAATAAACCAATATGGGTCAGTCACTAGTTGTACCCTTTTATTCAAGGAAAAATGTCAAACAGGTATGACCTAATTAGACGTCTTTACCTTTTCTGGGGCGATTACACAACAAACTCCAGCAAACTTATCAGCTATCTTAGTTTTACATTTAATAAAATTACAAGCAGGTAATGTATAAGCACGAAGAATCGCAGATTGAGTTTTGTAAAACTTTTCCAGAGTCTTTTAGGTAAAAACAGAAAAGTTTAAAGTGCAAATTAATGAGATGGATTTCACAGTCATACTGGACTGGGCTTTTAGGGTGTGTTTCTGTTAAAACTACAGCATTTATAATGACATATTGGTTATAGTAAGAGTAAATAGCACAGTGGGGAAAACACCTAAACCCTCGAGGTTAAACCAAGTTAAGGACTCTCCAGTTTTGGTTTCCGGACTGCCTCAGGTTCCTGGGCTTTTCTCGGAGGCTAATTAGCAGAGTGGACAGCTGTTAACGAGCTAGTTAGTTAGCAAAAGGCTATCCTATCCTTATGAAAAGCACACAATTTACTCTATCATCATATTTATCTACAGCAAGTTAAAAGGATTAAACTTAATGTCGTAAATGCAGGTAATACGACTGTCACCACACTCCGCTCAGCTGATAACCAGCGAACATAACAAAGCTAACGCGGCTAACGTTAGCTAGCCGGTGCTGCATTCGCCGGTGCGTTCAATGTTACCAGAGTCATACTCACGTTTACTACAGTGATCTTCCAAAGCCCCGTCTCTGGAGCGGCGTCAACCGCTTCTATTGTGTTGAATAAAAATAAAACAAGGACTCCCCACGGATAGAGAACTCCTCTGGTCGGACAGCTCCACGTCCCCATCCTGACTGCAGCAGCCATGTTCGTTGTAGGCGTCGGTGATCACCTGTAGGAGGCGCCGTGAACGCAACAGCAAGAGGACGTTCTGGACGGTGCTGGTGGGGGAGACTGGGGATGGTTCTCACATTCTTTACTCTTTTCTCAGTTATTCAGAGACTATTTTTTTACGGTGGCCGAGAACCGCCACTACTGCATATAAAAAAAAAAAGAATGCGAAAAAAAAGAAGTCACAATAGATGTTACTAATGCAAAAAAAAAAAAAAAGGAAAAGAAACTGAAGCCCGCTGCAATTAAAAAAGAAAACGGTGCAGATAAAAAGAAGCCACAGCGTAAACTGAAAAAAAAAAAAAAAACATTTTGTTGTTTTGTGTTCTTTTTTTATTTGCAGTAGTGGCGGTTGTTAATGTTACCAGCACTGCATTTTCAAATGCATTTTGATACATTAGTTCGACTGAAGTTGCACTTGGTTGAATTCCTCAAAGTTGGACCATCATACCTACACAATAGGAGGTGGTTTCTCGTGCACATACGCCTTATTTGGCCCCAAACTGGCCGAATGTGGTGGTTTTGGATAATTTGGGGATAAATGTCTCTTTCTTTCATGGCAAAGTTTGCCCTGTTCAAGTGTAAGTAGTATTGTTACATAATACCTTATCCTGTTATCGCCATAATGATCAAATGTGTCACATACCAAGTATTTCTGCCATGGAAAATAGGATGATATTGCAGAATGTTGCAAGTTGTTTTGAGTGGCATCTCCCCATCTGCAGTGATTCCAGCCATTCATAATTACAATAAAGAAACTGTCAGTCTTGTCTGTTTGCTTTTAAAAATCACTAGTATTCATTTTAATCTGTTTCAATACCAGGTAAAACCTCTTTGCAGGAGCTTTGACAGCATTTGCATACCAGTGCGTGTGGATAACTACAGCAACAGTAGAGCCTTGTTTTTTCTAGGCCTCTTATAAAGATTGTAAGAACAATTATATTCAAAGAAGTTTCCTTGTGTTGTCTGTGTTGCTGTCTATGTGCTTTATTATTAGAAAAATGTGCATTAATGCCAAATAATTCTCTAAAGATGTGCTTTTGGATGCAATTTGCTTAACCTTGACAAAAAACTGAGCCATTTTAATGGAGAAATACAGGAATCATTTATTTTTACAGTAAATAAAATCACTTTAAAAATGTTCTGTACATTTCTATATTTACAATGCAACACAACATTCCAGTACAGTAAACAAGTTCACAGTTCAGTTTATCTTAAGCTTATGAAACATGTGCGTGAGCATGTTTGAAGTAGACACACACGGAGAAATAACTCCTAACACTGACATGTAGGCTGGCCATGTAACGCATTAACTGCAGGTACAACAAAAGGTGCTCCCAGTGCAATGAGGCATTTCATTTTCAGGACAGTTCAGGTCTTTACAGCAGGTGGGAGGTGTCACTGGAGCTGTGATCACCCAGTCCTGCTTCAGTAACCGCGTCCCCGTTTGTACGACTTGTTAAAAGAGGAGTGTTCGCTGCGGGAGGTCTCAGAGAGGGGTCCGAGGAAATCACCACCACATAACGATCATCCTCCTCCTCCTCCTCTTCCTCCAGACTCCCGTGAATGTCCGCAGTGACGACTGAGTTTTCTGCTATCTGGTGGCTACAGGGGGGCGACGAGCTAAACAAAGGGTGCTCAGCAGGAAGAGTTTCTCCTTCAGGGTCCTCCTCGGGGAAGCTGGTATTAATATAGATGATATCTTCTTTGCTGGAAGTCTCCGGGAGCTTTTCGGTGAGCTTTTCTAACATTTCCCGCAGTTGTGTAAAGGCGGGTCTGTCTACGGGGTCAGCCCTCCAGCAGCAGTACATGATTTCATACCTAGAGCGGGGAAAATAAAAGACACAAATAAATCCAGATTCATATACAATGGGAGCAAATTCCTGCTATCTGCAGTCGTTACTAAAGTTGATAATCTCTCGGGGGGTTGTCTGACTCAGTGTTACAGTGTGTTTGACCCTAACTTAATTTTACGCCCGGAATATCCCTTCAATTCCTTGGGTTTTGAAATAATCTGGACTGGAAACAGTCTGTTTCAACGTCACGATCACAAGACAAACGAGCGAAGATCCTGAGACAGCTGCAAAGTCCCCATCATCTCAGGATTCAGCCGACTACTTTGACTTAAAAGGCTTTAGACGCAGTCCGTACAAGATCCAAACAGATGATCGGCCTCATGTGCGGATGTTTTATTGAAGGTTAAAGAGGCTGAATTTAAGAGGCTTGGTACTTTTTAAAGTGCTATACCTTTTTAAAAGTGTAGATTTTTATCTACCATCAGCACTTTAATTTCTAAAACCAATCATATCAGAATAAAACCAGAAAATAAAACAACAAACCAATGAGATGGCACTGTCGTTGAGTCTTACAGGATCCTTAGTAGTTTAGTTTTAGAAGTTTTGCTCACCAAGGTATTTTAATTTACTTTTAGGTGTTTGCACGGTCTGTCTTCTTCACTGTTTTGTGAATTTGTTACCAGACAGCTGAATGATAGTGGAGTCGACATTACAAGGTGCAAAACATCGTCTGAACTCTCAGTTTTCTCTGTTATGAGAGAAATCTGGAGCTGTTTTCCAACTGAGTTAAAACTACAAAACAACTTTAATGTTTGAATCAACAACCGCTCTTTCTCATACCAAAAACATGACTTTTTTTAACATTTGAATAAATAGACGAGACACTCACAGCTCATCCAAACAGTCTGTCGGCTGCTTCAGTCTGTGTCCCTCCAGCAGGTAGTCATAAATCTCATGGTTCTGGATACCGGGGTACGGCGTCATGCCTCTTGTTGCAATCTCCCACATGGTGACCCCAAATGCCCACTGCAAAACACAGAGTGACAGTATTAGGATTTTAAATGTATGACTGTTAATCTATACATCCTTTTCCCTCCAAACTTTATAATTATGTAAGTGCAGAAAAGCCAAAGTGTCCAAAAGAGCAGAAACTGGATCTACATCCTCGTTGTTCTCTTCCTGTCAGCACTAAACTTGCACAAGGATGGAAAATTTGCAAAAGAAAACAAAACTCTGATAGCTGCTCTTTACCACACCCTGAGGAGGAACGTTGAGTTATTAGATCAGCGTAAACTCAGCTGACTGTGCTGTGTGGATCCCAGACAAACATTTCTCAAAATCATGAGTCGGCTAATCGAGGGCTCAGTTCTTCTTTTACTGACGGCATACAGCGGTGACACACACACACAGGGACTCACCACGTCGCTCTTTACTGTAAAAACTCTGTCTGCCAAACTCTCCACTGCGATCCACTTCACCGGCATTTTGGCGATCCGGCCCTGCCTGTAATAATCTCCGCTGTAGATCTTCTTCGATAACCCAAAATCTGCCACACACACTGTCATGTCGTCGCGCAGCCTGCAGGACAACACAGACAAAAACAGGACAATAGCTGTTAGACTTTTGATTTGCTGTATTGAAAGTCAGCTGATTCAGGAAAATAGACAGAAATAAAAACACAGTTATTACAATAAATTTTTAAGTTTTGACCTACATGCAGTTGCGAGCCGCCAGATCTCGATGCAGAAAGTTACGCCCGCTGAGATACTCCATCCCAAAAGCGATGTCGACCATGAACTTCAGAAGGGTCTGAGTGGGCAAGAACTGTGCAAAGAAACCACACAATAACATTTATAACATTCCTAACATTTATGTTTTATTATATAACATCGATCTTTGTTTATTGAATCTCACCACCGGACTCTCTCCCAGGCGTGAGCGTAGCAGGAAACTATGCAGGTCTCCGTATTTCATGAATGGCAGGATGACCATGGGCTTGGGAAAATTTCCAGGGCCGACCTCCAAACACACACCTGAAGGGGGTGAAGAAGGGCGCATTAATAATGTTAAAGAGGTGCAAATTAAAGTGGGGAAGGGGTGCAATTATTACTGACTAATCATATCAGACTCACCCAGGAGTCTGATGACATTTGGATGGTTAAAATCCTTCATGCAGGCCGCCTCGTTCAGGAACTCCTCAATCTCCTTCTGGGAGAAACTATCCACTGATATGAAGAAAACAGAGGGAGGTTACCTGCTGTTTTCACCTGTTTGATGTTCTCTAGATAAAGGTTTGTAGAAATAAGAGGCTCACATTTCATCGTCTTCACAGCCACTCTTTCTGATGTCCCGTCCATTTGTCTTAAATGTCCCTCCACCACAGAGCCAAATTCACCTGATTGAGAAGAACTGAATCATAAATACTCCAGACTTTTAATCCACACGTAGTTTTTCCAAAAATTGAAACAGTGACTCACCCTCTCCGAGGATTTTCCCGATGGAGAGCAAGCTCCTCAAAACCATCACGTCCTGAAGTTTGGCCTGGAGTTCATCGCTGATGCCGAGGTTTCCCACTGCAGAACGAGACACTGTGTGTTAGGGAAAACTACCCCTGCAGACAGTTTATACTTAAAGCTACAGTGAGGGAGTTTTTAACAGGTCAGGAAACTGACTGTTTCTACATTTTCTAAAGTAAATAAACAAAAAAGCAACAAATTTTATCATTAAAAGAAAAAAGTTCAAGATTTTTCATCATGAAACACTTTTTGCGCATGTGCAGGACATGATCTGCAAAGAGGTCAGACATTTCATTTTGTTAAGAGCTAGCACCAAAACTTAAACAGACAGAAAGTTCCCCTACAGGAGCTTTAAATCTTACTTATTTGAAGTTAAATTGCAAATACTGCACATTAACTTTGCACACCAGTTAGATGGATAAACCAAACATCAGGTTAATGGAAGCACCGGTTTGGATTAGGTTCAAATCTCATCCCCCATTCTTGCCCCTCAGTTTCCTTTCTCTCTCTACTAATGTCTCCTTTAAATACAGGCAAAAAAACCCTAAACAGTCATTTAAAAGTGGTTTAATACAGAGAAAGAGGCTCACAATGATGCAAAATCAAGATTTCAAAAAATTTAAAACTTAAAGGTGAATTTGAAAAGATATTTCTGTTAAAATGTGGAGGAAAAAGTGAAAAACAGAAAAACACTGAAGAGGAGAAGACATATGATGACTTCAATTATTAAATAACAAAATATGCAAAAATTTCTATTAAATTCTTCATGCATTGATGCAAAGCTGCACTTTTTTAATTGAACAGAACTTGCATTATGTTAATCTGCAAGCACTGGATGTCTAACCCCAATGCAATTGAGTTAATTTGCAAGCAGTAACCAGGACTCTTTCCTCCTCTTCCAGTTTTCTGCACTTCTCCCTCCAACCATCTTTTTTTCCCATCTATAAAGTTTTTTATTGAGTCCAGCAGCTGAGGCAGATCCTAAATAAACTTCCCAAGAATTCAAGGTCAAGTCAGAAACAGTATTCCAGTGAAATCCTGATTCATCCTGTAGCTGGTGTGGTTTTTCCCACTGAAATGTCAGGTCTATATGTGCCTGTGTATGAGGATTTTTGAAGGAGAAGAACGTACGTGTGACTCCTATAACTGAGCGGTTGTAGGATCTCTGGTACTGCACAATAGGCTGCAGCTTTTCTTCACCTCCAAACATCCGCCTGCAGAGGGAGACAGATAATAAGAAAGCATAAAGCATGAGTGTATGATCATCAGAGCTTTCTGATCACAAACAGACTCAGGAGCCAGGACGGAGCTGAAGGGGCGGTCTGAGGAAGCTCTCCGAGTCTGTTTTCCTATCAGAGCTGCAGCCTGTGACACATTCCCGTCCGTGTCCTGATCGGCAGCGCTGAGTCACAGCTGGTTGTTGTGCGTCGCTCCAGCTGCACGGTTATTAACTGCTCTCAGGTGCAGGCAGTAGTGATTAAGAGGAAGCAAAGGCAGTTTATTAACAGGGCCAGGAAGTTTTCGAGCTTTACAATAGGAAAAGGTTACACAATACTTCCAGGTATCGGCGCAAAAATAACTGCAGCTTTAAATCTGTCGGACAGTTTATCACGTAAATCATGTAAAATGAAATGATTCACATAAGAAGGACATAAATAACCTGACACTAAGAGTGAGCCAGTGTGATATCTGGGAAAGGAAAAGCCAAATAAATAATTGCAATGAGGTTAAATCAGGAGTCTGGAGAAACACACTGATGAACAGGTGGATGAAAGTGCAGATGCTTGGATATAATTTACACTGAAGTCAAAGTACTGTGTGAACAAAGCAGAATAATTGAACTGCAGCATATTGAACAGCACTTTTTAAAAACAGAGACAAAATATGTTAAAATAGTTTTATTTCACAGTATCTTATCTTTCTGGACCTATGAGAGTAAATCTATCAGCACAAGCGGCAGTGCTTCCCACCGAGCATTTTTCAGTCCAAAAGACGTTTAAAAGACGTCTAATGGTCCTTAGACATGGGTTAAAATCGATCTAACACTGGTCTAAAAATTAGTTTTTTTAGCCATCATCTGGTAAGCTTAGTCGAGCCGTCTAAGAGACTAAACTACACAGTGCATTGATCAATGACTGTTAAAAATGTTTTAATCCAACATTTGGCCATCGTTACAGTTGGTTTTTATTTATTATTTAATAATTAATGGATTAAACTCCATCATCTAGATTGGAGCTAAAATATAAACCGATTATAGATGAGCAAATTTCTGTCTAAACTAAGACAAGACGTCTAAAAGATATCAAAGGCTCAGTGGGCTCAGAGCATAATGAAGAGGCTTCCTGCAGTTTTAAAAGCCACTAGAAACGATTAAATTTGCAGAGACTGACTCCCCAAAGTTCTGAGTGTTTTCTAGCGCATTCAGAAAGAAGCTACAAAAGCTCAGTCTTCCTGTAACCAGTTTAAAAAATCAGATTAAAGAGGAAGTTCACAGAAAAACAGGTCAAAGACAGTTATTGAAAGTCGGAGCGAGTTTGGTAATTAAATCAACAGTGTGTTTGCAAAGACAGTAACAGATAAGATAGTTCGCATACCCGAACCAAGAGTCAGAAGTCCTGTTGTGTACACAGATAGCCCCCCAGAGGATCAGCAGCAGCAGGCAGAAGCCGCAGACCACACCCAGAACCACATAGACGGAGTCTGGAACCCCTGTGTCAGGGGTGGACGATGGGGTTACCGCTGATTCTGAGACGAGAGAAAGAAAGTCTGAATAAACAAGTATGTAATGTCTAAACTTGTGTCAGGGTCTCTCTGTACCTGTTGATTTTACCTCAAGAATATGAACAAACAGTTAATAGAAGTCACAAGGATCTATCCTCTCAGGACAATGAATGTCTGTCCAAAATCCTACAGATGATGACATTTCAATCTGGACAAAATAACTTGATGTCTCATGAGAACTTTGTCCCAAATGAAGATTTAAAATCCAGATTGAAACCCCACAAGGTTTCGCATCTATTTATAAGATGGTGATGTTACCAGCTCAGTGCATCAGATAAACTATGCTTTCCAATAGTTAAAGTTTCCAGATGGTGAGATAAGTCAATAGAGCAGCTTACTGTCCCCTGGCACAAAGATCCAGGCTCGTGGGCTGACCATGCCGCTCCCTGCCTGCGTGCACGCCGCCACCTCCACACTGTAGGTCACGTTGAATTCCTGCACGGCTTCGTACAGCGTGGTGGTGTTACTGTGGATCTGAAACACAGCAGCAGATATCATTAAAGTGTGTCAAGTGTAGAGTCATGATAAGATTTCCTTTAAAAGACACCTGAAGGTTAATCATTATCTCCGTGAGAAACTTCATGAACTCGGTCAAAGGCTTCAGTAAAAGAGTTTTAAAAGTGTCTCTTTAAAATATTTTATTGGGTTAATGTCCTTTTTTATGTCCAGAGGTGACAAGAAGACAAGTTTATCCATTTCTACCTTTTCCAATAAAAACCTTATTCAGTATGTTTAAGAGAGTGAGCCACCTTTGCCATAAAAAAAGAAACTCTTCCACTTTTACGTCCATTCAATGAGGTTTTAAAGGTCCAGCTTGTGATGTTACTTCTCATGATTACTCCTTTTACTTAAACTAGCAGTGTTCATTTTGGATTCAGTCTTTTGACAGAAAACTGCTTTTTTTTTTCAGTCCCTCATAGTTTTAGTCTCATCAAGTAAAAACTCATTAATTTTAGTCAAAACTTTTTTCCGTCTCAAAAGTGATTCAACCTTTTTTTGATCAGTATTAGGTTGTTCAAATCTGCATATTTCCCTTTTTTAACACTTGAACTTGTGTAATATCGGAAGTCTTAGTTGAATGATTTAGTCCAAACTGTCCCACAATGCAATGCTGCTGATCTACTGAGGTTATATAGAGAAATGATCTTTAATTCAGGTCAAGAATTGTTCTGTTGCTTTTTGTCATTTTATTTAACTTCTGTTCATGGGGGTGGGGAGTCTGGGCTCAGCCCCCAATGTCCCAAAGTCCAAGTGACGCCCCTGGACAGTTCACTCAGTTCACCTTCTTCTGCAATAATTTAGTGCAAGTCATTCTTACGAAACGCCTCCAAACATGACTCCAGACTAGGAGAGGGTAAATGGATGTTTTGAAACAAAGCTGTTCACAGAAATAACAAACGTAACGTGTCTGTGTCACTGACACGCATTAGGAAAAGTTTATGAATGAAAATGAGAATGCAATTGTTGCAAATGATAATAACTCTGCTTCCTGCAGAAATGAATGGCTTAGTTTCTGAATCACAAACTAGTCAGTGGGAAAAAAATACAGATTTTAAATGTCCATCAGTGCATCTTAAACATTTTTGTGCCATCGTTTTGTCTCGGTAACAAAAACCAAACATAAGGTGTGGAAAAAAGTCTGATAAACATTTATGCACAACTTTCGTACAAGCAGTTAAAACACTGAATTGGAGCATATGAATAAAGACTGATGAAGTGGGCATCTGAAATAGTTAATAATGATTTCAAATCTCTAGAGGAGAAATCTCTGAACACAGACAATGACTGACGAGGAAAAATAACTGAGACTTTTCCTGAAAACAAATAACTCCCAAAGTAAAAAAGTTCATGATGCGTTAAGTTTGTCACCTAACCCTGAAGACTGTAAAAAATGTGTCACTCCCACATTCTTGTTGAAACGCTGACTCATCTAAAAGCTGTGTCTTTAATGTGCACACTGTACCAAAACACCGATCACGTTCTTAAAAAGGGATAAGATTTCTAACAGTGCTGGAACACCTCGTACATTTCTGCAACATCTGAAATCCAGCTCCACGGTTCTTCACTCCCTTCTCTCTTTCTCCTTTTTACTCGTTTCCACTTCATGCGCTTGGATTAAAAAGTCCCTTGAAGCAGTTTTCTTGTACGTTATTAACCCTCTTTGGAAAAATACAAGGGAACTGTAAACATGAGATTATTGTACATAATGAAACTCCTGCTAAAAAAAAGGGAAGGAGCCTAATTTCCTGGATGAGCTCGTGCTACAAATGAAGGGAACATGTGACAGACGCAGTCCGCTGTTTCACAACACCGGGCCGTAGCATCTGGGGTTCCTCTGCTCCGCCAAAGTGCTGACAGCTGAACCCATGATTCACAGACTCTCACGTCTGTGGCCCCAAACAGCGGGCAACATGTGGTTTAGAGGACAGACGACAACAAATCCATGACAAATTTGGGGAATAAACCTCAGACTACGAAAACACTTCAGTCTGTTCTAACTTTAAAAACGAGCTGCGTGGAAAACCTTCAACCACACAACACATCCATGTGTGAATTTGCACATAAACATCAACACCTTGTGACATATTATCACATTGCAAACTCCTAATAGCAAAGACCGCATCACATACAGGACGAAACTGAAAATCCTTTGTTTTCAAAGCTGTGCAGTCAAGTTTTCTTTACTTATTTGTAAACATGGACAGTCTTCGTCTCTCAACTCCCCCAGTTTCTGTCCTAAGGAGGGTCTACAACATAGACTGTACAAAACCAAAGGCAAGACAACAGCGGCATCAAGTAAAAACAGAAATTTGAGTGGAGAAGGCTTTCCAAGACTTCCACCGATTTCAGCACTGTGCAGTTTCCGTGCAACTGTGAAACTCTTTCTGGTGTCGTCTGTTTCCACACATCCTGCTACCAACCATGATCTCCTGAGCTGAGGAGATCAACTATCTACAACCAGTTTGCTAAGACTTGTGCAACTGCTTCAGGTCACTTGTTTTTCAATTTAACCAGACTTGTAACAAGACTTTTTTGCCAAATAGCTTAGCACCATTTCTTTTAAAAGCATGATCACGATGTCAAGAGGAAGAAAAGCTGCTAAAAAGTGATAACACTGTTCAAGAAAGAAAGAGAAACACTTGCTTACTGCTTTGAAACATCGTTAAATCGCTCCCTTTTTAGATGATAACATATGTTTTAAAATTTATATGATTTGAGACACAAGTTTGGCCTGATTTTTAAGCATGCGCCCCGTGTACAAAGGTTTAGGTCCTGAAGAAGCTGGCCCAGGTTTGGTTTCAAGCATTGCCCCCTGTGGCATGTTACTTCCTACTCCCTCTCTCCTAAATTCCAGGTCTTTTCACTGTCCTGTCCTTTCTAAACAAAGGCATAAAACGGGAGATGGAGGTACAGAGTCCATACTAACACACAATCAATGACCCGCACACGCTCAGATGACACCAAAGTTTGAAACCACAGAGATGTGTTTTCAGAACTTTACTGTAACCTGAAATCATCATCAATCCTCCTCCATGGACATCTCAAATGCTGTAACAGAAAAAAGAGAGTGTCTCATATTTTGTGAAATTAATTCCTGAGAAGAAAACCACATTTCCGGGGCTAAATCTTTTTTAAAGATTTGTTTTTGGGATGTTTTACTTTTATCTGGAGGAGACAGTGGATAGAGAGAGAGAGAGAGAGAGAGGGGTTAGTGATATGCAAGAAAGGAGCCACAGACTGGAAGTGAACTTGGGCTGACCCGCTTGAGGCTTAACCTCAGTATAAAGGGGTGCACATAGAGCTTTAGACCAGCAGTGCTCTCTGGCTGATTTTATTTTGCCAAGAAAGAGAGAAAAAAGGGTCCTGACAAGACGCTGTTGAGATGTGAGCTCAGACGTGTGCGATCACAATAAGGTAGGCTAGCTCCTAAATTAACTCAGTTATTGCTCTGCAGCGCAGACAAAAACACTCTCCTCACCACATGGATAAACACTGAACTGTTGCCCTACTTTGGTGATTCATATTTCTGCAGTAAAGTCCTGCAGGTGCAGGTGAGTCTGACTGTAACACGGGTCACCTCTGTGCACATTTCCAGTCACGGCTGCAGTCACCAAACCTTTGTGTGCGATCACGTCACCGAAGACTGCAGCAGGCATGGGGATGTTTGGACCTAACGTACACATCCCGTCGTGTTCATATTCCATTCAGCCTGAAATGACTCACGGCCACATGCTGAAGAAAGAAAAACACTGAATACCAGTTTTCACACCGTCAGCTTCCTCCAACTACGACGCCGACAGGAAGGACGGAAACTCACTATTGTGGTGGTAAAGAGCACAGGCAGTCATAGAAGCACGACTGTCATCATGGAATAATGTATTAGACATTCAATTTATTCACTTATTGTTTCTTTAAAAGGCGACACTTCTTAGAGAGTGAATCTTTATAAACACGGATCCACTCGTCATGTCACACTTTCCCTGACATGTAGACAGAAAGTGGAAAAACTGTTGTTTCTAGATAAAAGGAAGCTGACCTCTGCTTCAGTATGCAGGACAAAGGGAGGGTCACATATTCCCAGTATGCACACATTCTCTTTGTGTTTGTCATACTTCAGTCATTGTTACAAGAAAGTCACAAAAACAAAAGTTCTTCCTCTCACAACATTATGACTCCACTTATATCATTTAATACGTGCTGTACTTACAGTTTTCATTTTACATTAATTAAGCCAAACAGACGCTGGTAAAACTTGGGGTACCAGTCTAGCTTTAGAGCAGGAAGTCCAGTAAAGAGGCTTTTTCCCCCTGAGGGATCAAATCCAGGTCTGGACAGGATTTAGTGCATGCCGCCCTGTCTCTCTCAAAGCTGTTTAACAAAGGTGAAAATCTCAAAATAATACTCCTAAAAATAGACTGCTGCCAAATCAACATTCTTCAAACAAACATGGAAAAGTCTTCGTACAACCCCAACTCTGGAGAAGTTATGATGTTGTGTAAAATGTTGATAAAAACAGAATTAAATAAAAAAAATATGAAAAAAGGAGCCTGAGATCCTCCATCAGGAAAGACTTTTAAAAAGGTTTTCTATTTAGGTCATCTCAGAGTATAAATTTAAGCTTTTCTGTGCCAATCAGCTGGTCTGGTTTCTTTTTAGCTGCTCTGGTTTTTGTGGTCCACATCCACATGCCTGTACTGGTCACTCAATTCCCTAACAGAGCGGTCACATACCGGTGTGACTGGACAAAACAACCTTAACAGCATATTCTAGATCAAAATCATGACACACTTTCTCCAAATTTCCACCACATACAAACAGCTTTGCGATCTGCCGTCTGTCAATTCCAACTGGATACGTTTGTGGGGCAAATTTCGTGGCGGATCTTGAACAGTGGGAATCACTAGAACTCACAAGAACCCACAGATTCAAATGCAATCGCGCGATAATGAGTTGTCTCTATAAAGACAGACACATAACCATATTAGCTGTAGATTGTGTCCTTCCAGAAGAGGACATCCACTTATAAACTTCTAGAATCAGCATCTCCTCATCCATGGTGTCAACGGGGTGAAATGAATTCTGAAAACCTTTGACTTGTTCGTCCCCGCCCATGTTTGCATGGTGTGAAATACAATCCGCCTGAAATACGTAGTGTTTTATTTGGAAAGGAAGCCGGATGTTTTATTTTGAAACCTGGGGATCGGCTACGAAGTGGGCCGGAAAGAAACGAGTGGAAACTGACACATTAACTTGAATGGAAACGATCAGCGGTGATTGGCGGCGACGGCCTTTTCGCCGCCATTCTGCATGGGGTGGAAATTGGGGGTAAGTCACATCGTCATCTGTGCTTGTTTACATCCAGGTAGTAGAGAATTATAGCATTACAGCAGCTGCCTTTAACTCGAGCTACAACCCTAGGAAAGTGCAGCTGGTGGAGGGGATGTAAAGTGTCAATTATAGAAATATAATGAGACTTCGCATGTGCGCATATCTGAACAGCAGTCTGTGTAGTGATATTGGTGTCAGACATCTTTAGAAAACCAATATTTTCACTTGTTGACGTCACTGTGTCTGCACCTGCTTCTGCAGAGTGAGTGTTTCTGACCTGGGCTTTAACTTGTGCAACAGAGGGGGGACTTAAATCTGAGGCATTCAGAGGAAAAAGTATTCCTGAGTGTTGCAAAATCACTCAGGAATGAAATCAGCCATTATTACTTGAAGTCTATTTACACTCCTGTCTAATCCCTCTTTCTTTTTTTGGCTCTACATTGCATACCTATTTAACTAAGGAGGATAAAAATAGAAGCAGGGTTCAGTCCAGTCTGACGCCATCATGCTCACCTTGTTCACTTGTGCGCCGTGTCTGATGACGACATCATAACCTCGCAGGATGCCGTTTATCTTATCCTCCGGAGGTGGTTTCCAACTGATCACCAGCCATGACTCATTCAGATGTACGGTGACGTTTCTGGGATACACTGACGGCACTAGAAGTGGATTTCAGAAATAGAGGAATCAAAACGTCACTCAGAACAATGAGAGAAAACCACATGAGTTCTGATAAACAGCCAAGCTATTGAGCGTGAAAATAAAAGAGAAACTCGATGCTGCCTCTTCGATTGAAATCTTTGATTTCAGTCTGGTATGTGGTCACTTCCTGGCACGGTGTATCACATCTTTCAACTAAAATATCCCCTGTGGTGAATGTAGGAAGGAAATTGGATGCAGCTCCACCCAGTAAGAAGTCAGTGTTTTCATAGTGAGAACCTCCTATTTCCTATGTGACCCTTCAGGAAAGCAGCAAAGATTTAGAGGATAAGAGATTTTTTTGCAGGTTGTTGTGCAATGTGTTAGAGCTCCTGTTATTACAAACTGCTACTGCTGCTGAGGCTTACACTTGGACGGGAACGTGGACAGGATAATTATATATCACTACATCTGTATAACCTTCAGGAACATAACAAGATCTCTCTCTAAAGTAAATACACAAGGTGGTTTTTAAAGATATGCAGACTCAAAGCCTCCTGTGCTTTAACAACCAGGAACACCTGTGTGAGCTGGCAGGGATTCTGGATCACAAAAATGTCAAGAATCTGGATCTTCCACTTTTTTATCCTTTTATTTCATATCCGGACTGAGAATCAAGGTTATACTTGCAAAAACAACAATCATATATGTGGGAACACTGAAGATCTTTTTAAATTTGTAAGAGAAGTTTTATCCGCATGGAAACTTATCATGAACTTTGTATGACCTGTTTTCATGTTTGATGTTGACATGTCAGTGAGTGTAGCTGCTGTAACACTGTCAATTCCTGCGAAGAACTAATACACTATCTATCTATACATCTTGACATGACTGCTGCAGTATTACTTCATATATTTCCAAAGAATCTGAGATAAGATAAAAGATATCTGGACACAAATGGGTGATAACTGATGAACAAATATCTGCCAGAAAAAAGATCATGTTTTATGAAGACTAAAACTATTAATCTTTTTTTTTCTTACTGAAATATGACCTGTAATGAACTCTTAATAAGCAAAAACAAAATTTGGCTTTAGTTTGAGGACTTTAGCTGAAGGAAAAAGGGCTGAGGTAATCAAATTATGTATTTTTTTTCTGGTTTATTTCTTGTTATTAGTCATCACTGTTTAAATTTGTTCCTCTTTTGAAACTGGGTCATAATACAGTGCAACCACTTCTCTATATACCTGTGTAATATTACTCTAAATCCAGTGTAAACCACAGTATAACACCCAAATCAACCAAGTCTCATATGAATTATTCATATTTTTATTGTTATTTCAAATATGATTTTATTTTTTATCATTATCATTTCAAAAGTATATATATATTTATTATTATTATTATTATTATTATTATTATAACTATCAAGAAAAACTTTATTTTATTCTTAAATAAGATTTATTTTAATTCTAATTCTAATTCTAATTCAATTTTTAATTTTAATTTTTTATTATTTTTATTATTACTTCTACTACTATTATAACTATATTACTATTATCATTATTATTTTTTTATTTTCGTTATTATTTTTATCATTATTATTATTATTATGATTAAAAGTTAGCATAATTATTATTTTTATTATTACCTCTTGCTTGAGTACTTTGACTCTTAACTTGCCGTAACAGCCTAATTAAGCCAAGTGGGAATCAATTACATTATTAATATTATTCTACATTGTCATTATCATTAATATATATTCATGTTATTTTTTTTTTTTTTACTGCTGGTTTGTGTGGCGTTTAATTTAATTTAAAAACAGTTTCCTGGTCCGTCCACTACTCACACACCTCCCTCTGTGGTGTTGCTCTGGATCCACGTGGTGACCGGAGAAGCTCCCACCTCGTTGCTGCAGGAAACGCTCATGTTGTACCACGTCATCGCCTGCAGCCCGGGGACCTCGCTCTGGAATGGAGGCACGGTGGCGTTGACGAATCGAGTGGTCTTCACCTCCCCTTTCCTGCGACTCACCTCTCTGACCTTGAACGAGTGGAAAACATGCAGGGATAAATCTGAGTCAAAGCGTGACTTTGAAGCAACTCTGAAAAGAAGGTCAAAATGTTTCACTGACAGTTTGTGTTACATGTTAGCTCTCTTACCCTGATGTGGCATTTAGTCAAAGGAGAGAAACCGTCATGTCCAGGAGTCCAACTCAACAGCAGCTTATTGGACTGCCTTCCCGTCACAGTGACATCAGATACAGGACGCGGGAGCACTAAAATCCACCATAAAAAACACATATTAACTCTGTAATACTGAAGCGTATGGTTAGCAGGCATCATGAAAAACCCCTGGACTGTGTTAAAGCCCCCCAAAGACCAGGTTTTACCTTTAATGTTGATATTCGCCTCTCTGGAGGTCGTGACACCCTTGGAGTTGTAGGCCTCACAGCTGAACTGAGTGAACTTGTCCACACCTGCAATTGACACATTAAGGAACACCATGTTAGGCCTCAAAACAGTCACAAGTACCAATCATCGAGGTCAAGAGGAGGAGAGTTTTGATAAATTGACCCTGACTCAAGGGTTTTATATCACTTCTGGGAAAAGTTATCTCAACTACAAGCCAGACATTTTCTCATCAGGTTTGTGTTTGGACCGAATGAACAAAGAGGAATCTGGGCAGAAGGGCGATGTCAGCTTCAGTGGAAAAACAAAAGTGAAGTAAGATAAAAATACACATTTAAGGGGGAGTCACGTTTTTTTTAATCATGCCTGAAAAGTTCACACAGCAGTGCCTAGTGCCGTGAGCAGAAATCAAACCTCTCCACTCTGATCCACTCTGACAACAATCCCAGCTCGGACTCTTTCCTGGACACACAATTCCTGTCTTTCAACGCACAGATCTGCCCCGCTACAATACAACTGGGACATCTGCTGAATAATGTCCCTTTTGTGCTCTGTTTTCCAGAGTGTCTCTATCTCGGAAACCCTTCAACAAAGCTGACCACAGAGCGGCCTGTGAGAGACGACTGGAAACAAACTCTGGGATGTTTTGTTTACGTTCTCCATCTCATATGTTTACTTTCCTCTTCTCGCTAGCACAGAGTTAAGAGTGCTTAACTTTTTACACAAACAAAACCGTCAGCGCTTTTGTCTGGGTCAGATCGACGTGATCACGTGTTAGGCCAATAACATTTCAAGCGAACTCTGTGGCATACGATTCAAAACTGTGCAATAAATCTGATGTTTGAGAAGTGAGAGGAATGTGCAAATACATCAGCGCGTTTCCAGCCAAGCTGTGCAAATGAAACCACCACATGTCTCCTCAAACTGCAAACAAGGGGAACGCAAAGTGGGCACAAAGTAGGTTTGACTGAGGTTTTAAAGACGGTTATTTTTGCAATATTTTAACACGGCGTAAAGGAACAACAAGAAAAAAGCAGAGTTTGTATTCTTTCATTTACTCAACCACTTCAAAACACGACTGGGAAACACACTAAACAGCTGAACTCAGATGTATGAGCACGAGGTCGATGCAGGGTGAAGTAGAGTGTAAATTTGCAGGTGAAAAAGTTGCAGTTGTTGTAAATCAACCGAACTTGAATAACAAAACACATTATTCCAGACAAATAAAGGTTAAAAATGCTAAAAACTTTGTCAAAAACAAAAAAGATGCAAACTCTATCCCCAAAACCTGACAGCCTGCAGTTATTTGGCACATGCCACGTTTTACATTTCTGTAGTTTTTCTTATTTCTGTGGCTTCAGTTTGGAGAAAATAACTCTGGGAACAAAAAATTCTGATGAAGGAAACTTTTTGTGGATGAAAAGTATTACAGTGGCATGAAAAGTGATGCTGAATGATATATCTGCTTTCACGTAATCCACTTCAAATTCATCATATCAGCTAAGGTGATAGGTGAGGAGATGGAGGACGGTTCAAAAGTTGTAGCGGCTGAAGTTAATGTGGAGGGGGTGAGCAGCTTGTGGAGTAGTTATCGTTCATTTATCGTTATCGAGATGAAGTGCTCAATATATCGTGAGATTGATTTGAGGCCATATCGCCCAGCCCTACACTGTTGAGCACTTTTTAGAGCGATTAAAACTTACAGGTAGACTGAGCTAGTCTACTTGTGAGCAAGTGCAGGAAATTCAGCTGCTGCAGCTTCAGCTTTTTGAGTTTTTAGAACCCATCTTGCAAACCCCCATCAGAGGCTCTGACTCCCCTTTAGGATCCACCAGCCCTAGCTTGTAATAATGATAATAACATACACAAATAATATATGCTTGTATCTGGAATGATTGTGGCTAAACAATGAGTGTTACCAAAATACTGTGCTAATTTATAACAACAAGGAAGTGGATTTATTCAGTGGGAGTAGTTTCATACACAGATCCTCTGCAGAAAGTCTGCGGTAAAGCATCAATCTAAGGTCACAGAAGCGAAATATCGGGGTGTGTTTCAATCTCCAATCACAATAAAGGTATCAATTCTTCCATAGTCATATTTTCTGCTAATAGAGAAATGAAAAAAGGTCCTGCACTTGCAATTCTGCTTTCACTGTAGTCGGTTAGTGTATCAAAACATGAAGCAATAACACTATAGAAAAAATAGGTGGTTTGGCCTCTCAAATGGAAACATCAGAAATTATAGGGAGGGAAGTTCTCTGGCTCTGAGCTGCCTGAGAGTTTCCATTTTTAAAGTCTGGCAGCAGATATAGTCCAGAGAAGAAAACACTTGATCGAGCTTCAGCAGAGTGACTGTATTTTTACACATGAAGTCACTTGATTTTCTTTGAGTTATCGAAGCTGAGGTGCCAAAAACAAGATCAGCAGCTAAGATTGAGTCATTCAAACAAAGAAGTCAGGTTAATTTAGACTGAAACTTTGGTCAGAAAGCATCCGCATCACTTTGAGAGTGCATGCTAGTTACTCCCTGCAAATAAAACAACAATCTTAAACCAATCACAAAATAAAAGCTCTCAGTGCTACAAAGAGGGAATGAAAGGCTCCAGACTTAAAGTATGCATGAGGTGACGTGCAGAGAAGTGGGCTTTACTGTGTTGTTGTGCCAATATTTGGTCCTGCACAGAGCATGGTAGAGTCTGCAGCCTGCCAGCCACTGTGTGCAGCCCCTCCCTGCTGGATGGAGTGGGCTGTCCCTTCAATGAGGCCTTTGTCCCTGAAGCCAACCCCCCGAACAGACTCCCTGTGCAGCCCCCCCGCTATCCCCTCACTGCTCAGGCCCTTGCACATGCTGGACCAAAGCACAGCTCTGAACCTTTAACCCCCTCTGCTTCGGGCTGTATCACCAAACAGCAGCCACAGCAGCAGGAGTTTAGCCTGCGGTGAGCTGGAAATGAAGGGTTTGAGTATACAGAGCAAAAAGGTTAGGCATCTAATAATAAATGTTTGCTCTCAGGGGGAGGCCATAAAAGAGGAAGAAGGCACTGAGAGTTGGTTATTTTGGTTTCTCTCCACAAAAATTCACATTAAAATCAACATTTAATTTAGAATAAAACTAGAAAACATGATAAAATAAATGCAAATAACCACACTCACTGTATTCAAATGTAGTTTAAGTTATCTTCAACTCATTCAAAAGCAGCTTATCAGCACTTTTTTGTTGTTTTTCTCCAGTTAAGTGTGAAATGATGCCACCTCTGTATCCTAATGTTAGTGATAAGGTAGAAGCTAGTTAGCATTTTAGCACAGAGCTAGCAAAACAGTGTCACGAAAAGCTCTGACCAGGCGTGAATGACCGCTGTTAACCCATTCAGAAAGTGCAGCAGGAGGCCCCGGTATCACTGACCACGGTTGTAAATCTCATCACAGTAAGCAGAGCACAGATGCTGAGGCGGCACGGACAAGGCAGAATAGAAACCACCACCAACGAAGTGATGCTAACTCACGGCACACTTTTTAACCTTTGACAGTTGGAAATGTTTCCACATTCAGCCGCAGCAGGAAGTTAATCAAAGTGAAACAAGTTAATTGGTTTAATAAGCTGAAGCTTGTGTGTTAATGTTTTGTAGACAATAAAATCTTTGACAACAGAGAAAACAAACTAACAAGAAAAGCTTGATCAAAAAGCACTTTTAAGTTTTTACCACACACACTTTCAGACCACATTCTTGAATTAAGTCGTTTTACAAGAGGAAAATATTCTTTAACAGAGCTCAGACTGATAAAAGAACCAAGTGTGAATCCTACGTAGACATGAAAAGCCACAAAGCACATCCTCGGTTTCTCTACCAGGCGCCGACTCATAAATAGTGTGTCAAAAATGACAACCTTCAGAGATGTAAAGCGATTAAAGCCCGAGTCCTACCTGCGATAGAGTAGCTGCTTGGAGAGTTATGAAAGTCACTGTCAGGTAATCCATCACGGAGCCAGCGGATCTGGACAGGATCTGGAGGTCCTACCGCCTCACAAGAGAGCGTGAACGGTGCGTTTCTCGTCACGTTTCTGTCCTCAGGTTGTGTGAGAAAAGTTGGAAGACCTGGAAACCAATGAAAGAAACATTTAAGTTCACTAAAGGCATTCCAAAGAGGAATCTTTAAAGCTGAGAAATGAAGTTACACACAGGTGCTAAAAATGCAGTTCCTCCTGCGGTCACTTGAGGCTGATTCCAAAAGTGAGTCATTCCCCATAGAAGCCCATATTAAAATGATTAACTTAATGTCAGAATTAAAAACTATTGCAGCTTCTTACAGATGAACCTTTTGGTCCTGTAGTTCGTTCCTTTGCCCATGACGACTTTGTTTAAAGGAAGGGTTTTATGACTTGTGCAACTTTAGTGATATGTTGTGATTTCTGTTGTTGGTTGACTATATTTAAGGAAGACTTCCATCTTTGTTATGGTCTGTTGACCAATTAGAAGCTGTATCTTCAATCAGCTGACCTTTAACCTGCCTCCTGTGTTAGCTTTTACTAGGCACCCACCTTGTTAAGGGTCGATTTTGACCCCTGTCTTAAATCAGCTGTAAATTACACTAAAAACAATTCTCTCTCATCCAATTTGGTCCTCATCTCTAGGTTACCTTGTTAGGCTTAATTATCCATGAAAATCATGCTTATAATAGTTTTTGTAGTGGGCCTCTGGGCCTCCCTTTGTCAGTATACCCTTCATACAGACATCTACACTGAATTGATCTCACATGTCTGGACATGCCCAACGTTGTTTATTGTGCAGGGAAATTCATGGCAAAATGAGAATTTCCTAAATCTCACATAATTGGAAGAGGATCTGACTGTCAGCATGGTGCCTAACAGCGCACTTATGATTTCAGTTTTTGCTCTAATTATTAGATATTAATCTAACTGGGTCAACAGCGACTCTAACTTGGTAAGTGCCATAATTTTAATGACAGCATTTTATAATTTAGTCAATCTAATTTTTTTGTTTTTATTTTGTTAAAATAGAGGTTCCTGACAAAGTCAAAAAGTCTCAATGCAAAAAAGCTCATTTAAGTGGTTCTTTAAAGCATTTAAATAAAAAACGGGTCGGTGCAGACCCTAACACGGGAGGAGGGTTAAAGGCCCAATAATGTGTCAGGTTACCCTGCCTCAGCAGAGCAGTGAAGGTAATAAAACTCTGCAAACACCTAAATTTTTCCACATAGGAAATGCTAAAGGAGTCGATTCAGGATTGGATCATGTGTAGAATCTGTACTAGCATTGGTGTTTAAGTCCAGAGGTCCTTTCTTGCTCCAGAAAAACTACATGCCAACAGGTAACATGCCAAACTGGAAGCTTCAAAAGAGCACCAGTGGGTAAATTCAGTCTCTTACATCCTTTTTCCATCCACTCTACGGTTGAATCTCACCTTCCACTTCCAGGGTGATCGGCTGAGACTCCACCAGTCTGTTGCCGATGCTCAGTCTGCAGCGATACTCCCCAGCATCCACCCTCTGCACATGATTGATGCTGTAACACAGAGCGAGAGTCCATTAAAACTCTGCATAATTCACCTGACATGAATTACTCCACCTGCATGTGTTACATACTTGACAGTGGAGAGGAGAGTCGTAACCCCGTCTGTGATGGTCTGCAGCTCGTTGATCACCACCTGCATGTTTGCAGCCAGGTCCAGACCGTTCTTCACCCAGACGATGGTGGGCTCCAGCCTGGCGTCGGGGATGTCGATGGAGCAATTGAATTTTGCCTCATGGCCCTCAGACAGCTGGATGGTGCCTGCGGTAGGCTTGAAGTGGAGCCGCCTGAGCTGATCCGGAGTCAGATAAACTCTGGCAATATGGGCTGGTATCACAAGAGGCTCGGAGGTCCTGGTGGAGCGGTAGATCTGGCTCCCAGAGTGCTGAGCTGTTTACAGAGAGATATTTGAGGCTGTGTTTAACAAAATGATGCAACGTGAGCTGCAAATGAATGCAAAAAACACAAATAGACTAATTAATCACTCTAAAAGCTCTGAAATTAAATAATCTTTTAAAACATTTGGGTTTGAGAGAGCATGTATAAAATATTTGATACCAAAGAAACAAGAAAAAGAAAACACTTAATAACCGGGACAGTTTTTGTGTACCATAACAAAACTGTTCAACACAAAGTATGAAACAAGAATGAAAAGTTTCCATCACATCCTTTTTAAAGCCAATCTTTGTACTTAGATTTAAAATTTTAACCTGTATCTTTTAGGTAGCAGCTTAAAAAATAACAACATTCTGATAAAACTGCAGAAATCGTGAATTTCAAGGATTTTGAGTAAGTAAAAGTTTTGGTTTCAGACATAAAAACTGCTTCAGTGATTAATCAGTTACACTTCTGTTACAGAGAAGTCGATTAATCGCCTCGTCGTGTCAGGTTTTTCAGTCGATTAATTGTGTACTTTAATACAAGCTGAAAATGAGGCCACTAACTGAAGCTCTGTCTCCACTGTCAGACTGAACTATGCCTCTTGAATAGATGGGTAACTTGAAGTGTTTTTACTGTCACCATTCCACTCCACAGCCGAGGAAACCACATTTTATTACCGCTATTAAAACAGGCTGCCGTAGGATACTCGTCCACTGCTGTGCAACAGATTTTCTGACTTATTTTGATCAGGTTACATGAACTTTTGGAGTTTATTATAATTTTTTTAATAATTCAGGTGAGTATTTAAACCTACATCTGTTCAAATGCACAGAAAAAGACGCTCACAAGTTAAAGTCTGAGGTTTACTTTAAAGAGAGTAAACGCCTCACCGCTGACTGGACTCCAAACTAGGATCGTTGCAGAGAGAAAAACTCCGAACCAGACCGGGTTTAACTTCTTTTCCATGACCAGGTCTGCGCTGCTTTCTGTCCCCACGACAGCACGAACAAAAAGAAGAAAAAACACGTCCACGTTTCGCGTCTAAGCGGATTGTTCGGGATCGACAGTGACCCACATCACCCTCTCCGGTGGCTCAAACGCGGACTGTGTGAAGAGTTGTTGACCCGAGATCAGATTCCGCTGGAGACCAGAAAAAAAGTTTACTTTTCCCCACGTCACGGGAGGGATCCCACGAAGGCGGGGCTGAGTGGAAACATCACCGAGAGACTGTAAACGACCAAAACACGGCAGAAAAACGGCAGAGATGGCGCAGAAAACGGTAAAATGAATAAATAAATGAACGCAAAATTTGCACAACTTTTTTCTTATTTTTCTCAGTCTGTCTCTTTTTTAGTGGGAAAACTTTAACTTTTTATTTGTTGAAGCACTTGGACATGGCCAAAATTTAAAAAGAATCAATATAATTAAGGACTTTCTTAGTTGATGTAACCTTTTTGTTTTTATCTGAAGATTTTGATCAAATTAAGACACTACATAGAAAAAAAACGGTGGTGCAACTCGGTTATCCTCCCAACAGCTCCACCACGTGGTCTACCATAAACCTTAAAGTACAATGGCTATCATTGTGTTATTTTAGAAATGTTTTAAAGGTTTGCTTTGCGTATTTTCATACATTTTCATGACAACATCAATTTGCTTATCCCTGCAACACACTAAAAATGACCTGTTCTTGGAGTTGGGGATGTTTTTTGTCCATTTTAAAGCTTCATCAGTCAGATTATGGCTCAAAATATGCAGCCATATCTCGTAATTTGCCATTATAAATTGAGAAGCACGAGTTAAATTGATGAAGATGAAGTTCTGACCTCTACATATTGCTAAATATTCCCATTCCTGAGCACTGTACCTTTGAAGCCAGTCCCCCAAACTTCCCCCACTGCAAATATGTTCATATTTTTAAGGCTCCTGTCAGTCATGACTGCCAAGGCAAACTGTACAGATTCAAGCTCTGTCATTTTACCTGAGCAGATTTTAAAAAGATCCCTTTTCATTCTTGTTGTGGACCTAATTCTACATTTATTCCTCAGAGGTTCAGACGTCATGCTTTACTACTTTTTTTATTTATAAATGCCTCTTTTAATACACAAAAATGCCAGTAAACAAATAAATAATGAATAAGCAGTGATTTAGATTCTGATTAACTGGATGGCGCCAGAATGTACAAGAAAATACAAGATGCTTTTACAGAGTCGACAAATCTATTTGGAGTTCTGCATGTTTTATATTTCAGGTGAGTTCTCCCTCCTCCTTCAGGTGCTGCGACACAGCACCCGGTCTCACTCCTGGTCCTGAGCGTTCCTGAGATCCTAGATTGCTCTTGGCGGCGTTTCTGGAGGCCTTCATGTGATGAACACCAGCCTTGTTTTTACAGCAGCCCATGGTGCTCAAGAGCCGGTACGCGTCCTTCCTGAAAGCCTTGGTGAAGATTGCGTAAAGGAAGGGATTGGCGCAAGAGTTGATAGGGAAGAAGAGGACCAGCAGGATCTTGGAGTTTGTCACGGTGATGAGAGGGAGCTTGAACGCAGCAGAGATGGCGAAGAAGGAGATTGGCGCCACGCAGAGGAAATCTGTGAAGATGAGCACGGCCATGCGCTTCGCGATCTTTGTGTCGGCACTTCTTCTGGGGAAGTCTGGGTTCTTCACGGCCAGATAGATGAGCCCGTAACACGTACACACGACAACAAATGCACCCACGTTGAAGAGGAGGATGAGTATGATGAAGGCCTGAGCCAGAGGAGTCTCGATGTCCATGGGTAAACACATGCTAACTTTGGCGTAGCTGCTCACGCCAATCAGAGGCAGGACCCCCATCCCCACACAGATTAGCCAACCAGCTAGCATTATACTGGCTGCCTGTGTGAGAACAAGATGGCGCTCCACCTGCAGGGCGTTGGTGATGGTGTGCCAGCGCTCCAGGGTGATGGAGGACAGCGTGTAGACTGACAGCTCCCCTCCAAACACAGATAGGAATCCCGCAGCGCTGCATCCAGGTCCCGTCTGCCACTCGATAGCATGCTGGCTGTAGTGACCTTGAGTGCGCAGGTCCACGATGGCGATCAGGAGGAGGTAGATCCCAATGCAGAGGTCTGCAAAAGCCAGGTGGCACATGAGGAAGCGAGGCACGGTCAGCTTGTTGCGGCTGCAGAGGGAGACCAGCAGCACTGTCAGGTTTCCTGTGATGGCCAGGATGTTGATGAACCAAATGGCAACCCTGAGGAAACTGAAACCTGCGATGTCCTCACAGGGGTTGAAAGCGTCCGCTTCAGGCGTGCAAATCAAAGTGGGTCTGGTTTGACAGAAGTCCAGCTCCGGATAGTGGAAATTCACCTCCCCAAAGGCTTCGTCGTCCATCAAAAGATCAAAATCGTAGAAAAACGGCACATCTGCAAACGGGGTCCCATCTGCTGAGCCTCCAACCACACGCTGAACCCTGATTTTGAAGGACAAGAGCAAAGAGAGGAAAACATTTAAAACCTAAGCTCTTAGTAAAACAAATTCCTTTTTTTATAACCCATAGATCTCAAGGCAAAATCATCCAACACTTTTTTATCCAAGGCTGCCAAAGAAACACTTTGTCACAACCAGTTTGCACCCACTGAACTCCAGCCTTTTGTGGTTTACACTAGGATGTTCACTGAGTATAATGGATCAAGGAGAGGAAAAATTACCAGGTCTTACAGGCATGGCCTTCTTGCACAGGTTCTGTCTATTTTAACATGTCATTGTTCATCTTCCTGATTGGTCATTTATTGCATTATTTGAGCAAATCATACGAAAGGTTTACTTTGCAGTTACTTCAAATCCATAGTATTTAATGCAGAAAGTATGAATTAAGGGTATTTTGTATTTTTGTATTTTGAAGCTGCAAATAAAACCTTTGATTTCATTCCCCACAAAGTCTTTATTCAGAAAGAGAAGTGATGTTTTTTTACCTTGCTGATGGGTCACTCTCATCACAGTATGTAGAACCATTAGTCCATGCAGGATTAATAGTATGGTCCCTAAAGAGGAGGATAGAAATCATGCAAAAATCACATGTAAAACACTAAAAAAGCTTCTTCTGGGATGAAGTTTTCATGTTTTGTTAGGAAAATAAAATTCAGATGGACACACATTTACACTCAATTAAACTGTTAAGTGCAGAGTGTAAGTAACCTCTGGTTGTTCCAGCTCAGCAGAGCACAGCAGTGACTGTTGTAGGTGAGATGAGCCTCACGTAGGCTCCACAGTCCTTGCAGAGGAGGAAGACTCTTCAGGGCGTATGCCGACTGAGCTAACAGGACCAGAACTGACTCCAGTCCGTGAGCTGGTAACTTGATGAGAGCTGTTGCAGACACATCCCTGAATTAAGATTGGAAAATAGCAGACGACAATAAGAACTGATAGGACACTAAAGCATAAAATTCACTGAATTACACCTTTTCAGTTTGTCTACTAACTGATATCTTCTCATGTAAAAGTTGTCAAAATCTGAAGCAAAATCCCCTCGGCGTTAGAAAAGGTGTTCCTCAGGGATCCATTCTAGATCCTCTTTTGTTCTTAGTATTAATGCAGATATAAAAAAAATATTCTACTAATCTTTCTCCCTTTCTGGCCTAAAAATGAGAAACAAACTAATAGAATCCCCCATTTGGAAAAAAAAAAAACAAAAACTAACGAAATTACCACTTACAGAACTCCAGGGCCTGTGGCGCCTTTGAAAGCATCTCTGTGGATCACTCTGAGGTTACGATTGTTCTTTAACACCCTAAAGTCATAAAAATCAGGATGATGACACCAAAATTTAATGCTTTGAGAACAGAAAACCAAACTTATTAAATCAGAAAAAGCAAATAAATGGATTTACAGCTTGTCTATCTTTGTTCCATTGAAGGCGTGGTCGTGTATTTCTCTGATGCCGTTGTTGTACAAGTTCCTGCCATCAGTCAAGAGGTGACAAACAAAGCTATTTCGATTTCATCCAGAACTAATCATCACATAAGGAAAAAGAAAGTACCACATGACTTACATTGTAACATACTCCTTTGTCAACCCTATGAAGGCATTTGGAGGTATTTCCAGGAGATACAGGTTATCACAGATGTCCCTGCAAAAGCATAAAAAATCATTAAAAATGCAAAAAGAATCTAATGCATGTATGATGAATTTTATCCTCTTTATATTGAAAGATGAAAATACTCACAAGATAAACTCTGATTCAAGAGAGTTGATGGATGTAATGTCAGGAAACACCGTGATCCCCGTGTTTGCGACGCTCCTGTTTTAGCAAAAGATAGATAAAGCCATTTTGTGATGATTTTTTTTCAGCAATTTGAGATCAAGCTTGACTCCAGTTAGATTTAATCTGACAGAAATACTTTCTTTATTTAGTTTTTGTCAAACTATACATTAAACCATCTTAAAGAACAAGAGAAAAACTACTTTGTCAAGCTCCACGAAGACTCCATAAATGTGGCGTCTGACAATATCCAGACTCAGATCATATATGAGACACACTTTCACAGATTAAGGGCGAAATCATCTCCAGATTTTGGAGGTAACCATGGCTCCATCTACTATGCATCTGCAGGATTTAAAATATAAAATTGTCACAGACTTGCTCTCACAGGTAACGCAGTTTGGGAAGGTTGTTAAATGCCTTTTGTTCAGCGAGCCGCATACTCCTGGTGTTCTGGATTGAGCTGCAAAGAACGGAATGAATACATCAGTAAAAATACAGATTCATAACAATAATAAAGATTTATCGACTGGGTTTAAAAAGACGTACATTTCAGAGAGGCTGGGGAGGTAATTAAACGCTAAAGTCTCAATAGTTTCCAGGGTTACACTCTGAGTGATCTCACTGCATAAAAGAGCAGAAACAAAAGCAACAAAATTAATCCAAGCAAACATTCAGCGCTGACAAGAAAATACAGACTGATGTTTGGAGTATTTACACAACACGAGCGGTTTCTGTCAAAGGGATTCGTAATATTATATTTGATATCATGCAAAGACTCATTGTTGCTCTAAAAGGCATTTAATCTTATGCACTGCAGCTGGAGTTCAATGATCTGAAGGCAGACAAAAAGGCAGACAAGTGAAAATTAAAATTAAAAATCTTTGAGGTTACGGTTAAAGTTTGTAAGTGGATGGAAATAAAGATACATACATCCTCTGGACTCCTCTCAAACCACCAAAAGAGTGACTGGAAATAGTTTGCAAAGGCAAGTCGTAGAGAAACCTGAAAAAAAGGCAAGGCAGGTCAGTTTAGCACCTGAACTCTTCTACTACAGAGCCATGCTGTTGTAATATATACAGAATGTGGTTTGGCATCTTCTGATTATGCAATATTTCCAATTATCATACACCAAGACTCACACATGATCTCTGACACTCAGAAACTTTAACGCTGAGAGGATAACCTGACTGTGTGAGATCAACTTGACATTTTCTTCACAGGTAATTAAGCCACACTCATGCAGGCTCTTCTTTTTTTAAACAACATAATGTGGTGGCTACAGCACTTAAGCATGAATCAAAATATAGACATCACTCTGAAGAAATGCCCTTCAGTCTGCAGTACGGGCCAAAACATTTTTCTTGTTTTAAAATATGAGAACTTATTATTGCACTTCTTTCTGCTGATAAGTATGTTGGCAAAAAAAAAAAAGCATGCAGCATGTTTTGGGACATTTAACGACAGAAGTTAATGCATTGAAACAGTAATGCACAATCTGCTCAAACTCTTTCTGTTACCACAATATTGAAATCTGTAATGGGATATTGCAAGATCATCTTTCATAAAGTACCCATCCTGGTCTCAAAACGGTGTCAGTCGACCAACATGTCCTTTTTGACGTTAAAAACAAAGTTAAGAAAATATTTAGGCAAATTAAACAAACTTAGTCCTCGTCTGATAGAGAAGAGTTTATTTTTTCTACGTAATGGACCATTCTCTTTTAGAGTCATAAAAAGTGTGACGGGCACCCAAGTAGCTTGTCTGCACGTTTCAGACGTGCGTAATTGCGCATGGCTAGTCTTTATCGGACGGGGTTCTCTGACGAATACAAAGGCACACATAAGAAATAACTGTTTTCATACCAGATAAAAAAGTCTTAATTAACTTTGAGGGCAGGTCAGGCTCACTGTTCTTTAAATGTTTCATAATGCATCGAGCCATTTACGCACCACAGCGAAGTTCATCCGGTCTGTGCTGTAGAATGAATGTTGAACTTACAGTCTTTTATCTCTGTGCTCCCTCGTCAGAACCGACTCTTCTGTCACGTTGTTGCACCTGATAGAGTTGGAGAAACATTGGCAGATTCTCGGGCAGACGAATCCTGAAGCGCTCTGACATCCATAGAGGAAAAAAACAGAAAGTAGAAGGATGGTAGGCAGTGAGGTCCACATTGTTTTCTTTGAGTGTGAGACCCCCAACCTCACAGGAACGGCCTTAGGAAGGATGCGCACCTACATATTTGGTCATGACGGAGAGTCTGTTCGGCAGTTTTTGCTGCAGATCTTCATCCTCTCAGAGTGGAGGAGCCTCCTCCTCCTCCTCAGTCTGGTACTCAACTTCTTATCAACAGGCGCGTGAGTGTGTGAGGAATGATGGGTGGGCTGAGCTTTGAGTTATTTTGACAACAACGTCAAAGCGATCAGAGGAGTTTTCTTTATTTCCTTCTTTACGTCCTTTCTTCCTGCCTTCATTATTTTAGTCCTTCCTTCCCTCCACCCTTTTTCTAATCTCCCTTCCATGTTTCCTCTCTTCCTTCCCTCCCTCCTGTTTTACCTTTCCTTCTTTGCTCCCTTTTCCCTCCTTACTCTGCATTACCTTTATTACTTCTACCCTTTCTTTCTTCTCTTACACTTCTGTCTTACATCCCTTCCTTCCCTACTAGTTTTGTCTAACCTTCCATCCTTCTCCCCCTCATCTGTCTTACCTTTTTTCCTTCTTTCTTCCTTTTTCCATTCCTTTGCCTCTTTCGTCCTCCTCTTCTGTCCTTCTTTCCATCTTTCCCTCTATCTGCCATCCTTCCTTATCTTCTTCCTCAACCTCCTTCGTTTTCTATATTCCTTCCTTTCCCTTTCCTTGCTTCTTTCCTACCTCTGTGCTTCCCTCCTCCCTATCCTTTGTATTTCCTTCCTTACTTTTGGCATGTTTAAACGTGGGCACTCTCTGAACCCTTAAAAAGCAATCCAGTAAGTGAAGTAGGGCTCTATTAAAAAAGTTTTTTCTTTGAGTTTCTACACTGAGTTCATTTATTTGATGATCCTTTGAACACAAGTGAGCACCGTCATCCACACTGACTGTATCTCACACTGATTAAGGTTTCATGTGGAGAGGGACCTTAATGGGACAGTTTTCCTCTCTATACTCATGATGAAGAGGCTCACTCAAACTTAGAGGATCTTGACGTGATAATACAGCATGTTTTCATCGAGATCCCCATCCTCGTATCAAGGCTGAAGTTCGTAAAGGAATGACTCATGAACAAGCCTCTGCTTCTGAAGTGTCCAAACCAAAGGTGCTGAATCACTGATTCCCTTTCACCCATTCATACACTGACTACCTGTGGAGCTATTCAGGGTTTTATGTCCACCAAAAGACACTTTAACATGTAAACAGGAGATTTCAATGACCTTATTTTCACCCTTTTTCACACAGTGAATAATAACTGAAAGAGCTTTCGCATGAGAGCTGCACCTCTGACGGAGAAAAGAAACTATTGTGCTTCAACAAATCCATGTCTATTGGCCGTGTGGAGTCGAAAAAGTGAATGGAGGCTGAATCTATGGCCACTAATATCTGCATGTTGGTGCTGAGGGAGGATTTTCCAGACACTGCGGGTTTGCACGTGTTTAATGTGATTTCTAAATTTAACAAATCTACTCAGACAGACTGACAATCATTTCTATTTGTCACTCTTTTCCATTATGTTTCCTCACACTTGTGTCTCTAATTACTGTTCATTTACGGCTGATTAAAAAGAAAGATTTCTGCAGGCTTCAAAGGCCGAGGCAATGACTGAGTCCCTCAGGAGGACAGCGTGACCCACAGTCGAGCTCCACATAGCTGTATCTCATTTGGCGTCACTAATGTTCCTGATAAAGTGAAGCAACAATAATCTGCAGCCTTGACAAATCAACTGTTTATCACAAGTTGCACCCAAAGACTAAATCCTATAACAAACATACAGCATTAAATAAAATGAGTGGAATTTACTGAATTGACGTCTTATCAAGGGCTGACTTTAAATATCACACTTCCACATAAACAAATATATTTTCTGAAATAGTGCAAAAGTACACAGTATTCCTTCATACCTGCTTTGTAAATAATCATGTAGATATCCAGTTTCTAATGTGAGTGTTAGCTAACGCTCCAGTTATGCCTTTCTAGTCAAAACATGGTCTAAAGCCGATAAGCAGGAACAATTACCAAGCATGGTCATGTCAAAAGAAGACGGATAACAGTGAGAGCTGTGAGTGGTGTTGGCTGTGTTTTAACACTAGATGGCGGCAGAGCTGAAAGAAAGCAACAGCAGTGAGTATTAATGAGGGGTTAAATTATAAACGCATGTTAAAAAAGAGAGGTGGGCAAATTCTTATGAATGAGATATTTTTGACAGGTGTGTCTATAAAGAGGGAGGTGATTCTAGGGCTCAGGTGCTAACATGTCCATGAAGACCACTAAAGAGCTTGTTTACTCCCATATTTGATTTTTATACTGAATCTAAATTCTTCATGCACAGCAGCTACAATGATCAGTTAATGGAAGTGGATGAATTTCTGGTTGTCAAATGACTGAAAACAACTTATTTTTTTAAGCATTATTTGTTAAAGAAAAAACGGATTTTAAATTAAAAGCTTAGTTTGTTTTCTTTTTTTGTGTACACTGAGATCTAGGGCTTTTTAGTGTCCTTACAGTATAATGTTTGCTTGAGACAGTGAACTGATTTCTTTTGAGCAGCTGACAGCTGATAAATCAAATTTGTCCTTAGCGACCAAATAAGAATAATTCCTATCACTAAAAAAATCATGCTTTAGAAAATAAATACATTGTAGTTGGATTTTGTTTAATGTGGCATCTTGTGGTTTAATTTTCTGTAGCTTCTATCTTCCCTGCTACAGAGAGTCTTGCGATTTCTATGTGTCACTTCCATCTTTGACCACTAAAGGTCCCCGTTAATCCAGAAACGTCTCATCTTCCACTTTGTAGAAAATAACTTGAAATCATTTCTCTGCCTTCCCTCACTCATCTCATCATGCTGCTTGAGAAACAAGAGTTAACATGTCTTTATCAAACACGAATCCCTGTTATTTATAATGACTTTTATAACAGTAAAATGATAATCTGCTGTTTCAAGGTCCATCATCAGATCAGGAGGAACTGTTCTTGTATTTGTAGACCACAAACATGAATGCAGATTCTTGTCCATACATCACCTGTGTACATATAAATTAAACATTCATACTCAAGTCACATCTGTGCATTTCCAGCTTTTCTAATAGTGCACTCTCACCCCTAAAGCACATCTGAAATCACTGTTATTTTGATGTCAAAATTCTGTTAATTTGTGTTTTCTGGAAGATCATGACCTGCTAGATGATTTGAAACAGGTTGATTGTGGTCTTTTTTCCCTTTTTTGTACATTATTGTCTTCATTTTTGTTTTTTCAATTCTGCTTTTGACTTTTTACAGTGTAATCTGTGTGGATTGTTATCTTACGTTTGCATGAATGAACCCAGGAAGAGAAGTTACGACCTTGGTAGTAGTAGCTTCGAATACATAAACTATATCTATGACACACATTACAGGCTGCAGAAAGATTACAGTGGCTTAGAGATGATCTGAAATCAGCTGGTATCGCCTCTTTTTGACTCAGGTTTCTCTTTCTTCTGATGCTTTTTCATCCTCCCCTCCTGGTCCTGACTCTGCCTCCCTGATTGAACCCCCTCCTCCCTCTCTCCTGTGCGCCTGAGTGGGTGGGTGTACACCGGTATTGTGGCACAGTGACACCATTGATCTCTCCACAACAAAACAGTCCGGCACTATCAGCCAGCCGTTCACCTTTATTGAATCCTGCAGAAGAAAGCAGAAATACTGGAGCATCAATTTGTCACGTAGATCTCCGCTCTGTGGCAGCCGTCCTCCCACAGAATCAAAATAATCACCTGCTTCCTGATATCAAGTGAAAAAGGTCTGCAGTGGGGAGGAGGCGGAGGCTCATGCTGATGTTTTGGAAAGGTTGCAGGTTATTTCTTGTTATTAAAGCCATCTGAACATCTCTGGTAGAGGAAGGCAGGAGAGTGAGCAGCGCACCTCTCTGACGTCAGCATGCAGACGACAAACAGCACTAATTACTCACTTCATCTGTGAGGCAACAACGTCTTATTGTTTCTCAGCTCACAGCAGGGCTCTCACCGTGTCAGAGTGATGCAAAGCAAACATGTTTTCTTAGCTTATGGTTATTTTTAGACCTGAGCTTTTGTGTCATTGTTTTTGTTGGCTGCCTCCACACAAAGTCAGACTTTTTCTATTAGAAAGGAGCCATCCATGAAAATCCAAAAGCAGCACATATCTGAGTCACAGCACATGAAATTTCAAGGACATCAGATCCTTCAAAACTCTCTGAGACCGAATGAATGGCAACCTTTTGAAAGTTGGTCGTAGTGGGTTTGTGGAGAGCCTTTGTGAAGACTTCCTTGAGCTCAGTACTTGATGGTTCACGTATGAGTCAGAAACGACTGATTTTGGACAAAGAGCAGAGCGTTAAAGGGGACATGAAGGTCAGTAAATTCAAAATTATCGAAGCTTTCAGTCCTGATGCCCCTGGCTGATCTATCCTTTTATGAATGAGCTGACTAACCTTCTTCTATTCATTCATTTACTCATGTATTTGACAGAAACAACCCTAATACTAAAAATTAACAGCAGTACAAGTATAGTCACAGTGGAGCGCAAACACGAGCATCTAAAACAGACTTAGTTTTGGTTTAATTTTGAAAAGTTTGCCGTCAGTTCTGTGGTTCTTTAACTGAGAAAGAAGACTTGGTCATACAGCTTAAACCCGTTAAGTGCTGCCCCCTTGTGGCATATTAAAGAATCTGACTGCAAAAAGACAGTTGTTAGTACAAAATACGTGCAAAATAAACAAGAACAAATAACTTGATTAGGTTTATTTATTGTTTAGTTTTCTCTAATTTTCTTTTTTTTTTCAGTTTTCATTCCAAAATAAGGAAAATGTGATAACTCGCAGTCAGGTGAAGACAGTCTGAGATCAGCAATTAAACAGTAAAAAGTATTTTAACAAGCAGGTGAAAATTATTTTTAAATAGATAACTAAATACATAAATTACCACTGAGTATTAGGGCCACACTGAGAAATTTTTTTCACACAGACTTGGAGGATAAAGTCGTAATATTCTAACCTGCTGTTTTAGAGAAGAGTTGTAAAAATGAGGACCGTGGATCATTTCGTAGAGTTCTACTTCAGTTTCACAAACAGGGAGAAACTATATCTTTTGGCACATCAGATTGTCATAAGCATCAAGACTTTAAAAAGAATACATAAGAAAATGCATCTTGCAGCCTGGTGGACTTGGGGGAAATCAATGCTTTTGTGGAGGGGAATTAGCTGGAACTGTTTGACTGCAGGGTTATTTGTGGAAGCATCAGCGGACCATTCAGAGGGGTTTTGTGGTTTCTCAAGAAATAATCCGACTGATAATCAAGATTTGGATCCAGGGGGAGTTGAGCTCCGGCAGTACACCTACAGAGGCCCCAACACCTTATGGCGTATGGATTCATATGATTAACTAAAGCCCTACGGCATTGCAATAAACGGCTGCCGACTTAATTCTTGTAATAAATTGACATTACTCTCAAACTCTTAAAAAAAAAGCTTTCCCGATGTGGCCTTAATACTTCATCTTAACTCAACTTATTTATAGAGCACTTTAGATACAACTAAAGCTGACACAAAGTGCTGTACATAATGATAAAAAAAAACATAAATCACCCATTCTTGAGAGTCGGGACAAAACATGTCCTACATAGAAAAGTCTAATTTATTCAAAACATTAAGAAATTCTCAATGTTTGACATACTAAAAAAGTTAAATCTAATGGATTTGTGCATACCAATCCTATTTTTTTGCACAGATATTTACTTTTTTGGGGGATATTTGTTTAAATGATTCGTCTGTGGTTAGAAGGTCCATGTTATTGCTTGTGTCCTCAGCAAGAGGTCACAATATTGACCAGCCCCAAAAAACTTTAAAAAACTCTACAATTGTGAAAAAATATACATCAAATAAAAATTCAGGGCTATAAATATATAAAACAATGCATGGCCTGAACATCAAATGACTTTTTGCCTAAAAATCTGCCTATCAAAGTTGTGTCCTCAGTTTCTGTCAACTCCGTCAGATTATTCTATAAACCTCATTAAATCATGCAATATCATGGTCAGCTATATCCCTGAGGACCCCTTTTCATTTCCTGCTTCTGGTGAATGCAACACCACCACACATGGTCTGGTAAGTTTTACAGTTTTTGATATTTTAGACAAACAATGTCAATATTTGTATGGTCACAGCTGGACCATGTCAACACCGTCTCTCCATTATTATACTTTTTTTTAAACCACAGTGAGTTCAATTAAAGTATTTTAGTGAGATTATCAGGACAGCTAGCAACTGCCAAAAAAGTAGCTAGCTGCACTGTACAATAAATGTTTTGGAGGGAAAATACATGCCCTTGCGTCAACTCCGTCAGACATCAACTCCGTCAGATTTTGTGTCTGACGGAGTTGACGTGTAAGCTGATGGAGTTGACAAATCCACCTATAGCCTCTTAATGTGCTGACATTATGCTATTTTTGAACATGGTTAAGGATAACAATGTTATTCCAAGGTCTTATCTGCACATAAAAGTACATATATAGCATATATTACGTTATTTTACCATATACTTCTGACTTGTAGAGTAGACCATGGGAAGGCTTATAACTTTCAAACTTTCCCAACACACACACACACACACACACACACACACACACACACACACACACACACACACACACACACCTTATCTCATTGATTGATTAATTAATGTACAATCCTAAAGGTGCAGTGTGTAGTTTTCACTATCGAAAATCTACACACCGGCTTCTTATAGAGTGCGCAAGAATTCTATGTTGCTCTTTTAAACCCCAGTGTAGGTGGGATACCAGACAGAAGAAAAAGGTTATTGTTTTTACATTGTTAACTTGGACCATCGGACCTTGGGCTCTGTTTTCGTGTCCGCCGTTGACATGACGGAGGGTGGCAAACCCCGTGCAGTGGCATTTTCGTCTGGCGGAGCTCAGCATGCAGCCAGTTTGGTATTTTCATGGACTGAGGTGCACCGAGGTCCGCCAAGCTGGGCGTGGATGTGTGGCAGGGTGAGGTGTCCACAGAATCAGCTGGCGCAGTGACATTTTCGTGCTCGCTGCCGGCGTGTAAAGTGCGCTAAAAGCTTGCCGATTCAAACCTGGTCAGCTTTCAGCGCAGGTGGAGCCGGATGGGCTAGTGGTATTTTGGGAGACCGGCAGCATATCGGCCTCACCAGCAGGTTTCCACAGTGTCAGGAACATTTCCGTGCAATAAATAATCATCAACAACTAATAATCTGAGTCAGCACATACAATTAGATCTATATCGATATATTCTGATCTATATCTGATCTGATGAGTGCATTTGGCACATGTTTGGACACTCAACCTAACCAAATTAACACAGCTGCTGAATCCGCATGAAATTAAATTAAATATCTCGTAAATAAACACACATGATGAAGTTAACAAGATATTTAATTTGTCTCCCCCCATTTCTATCTTCCTCTTCCTCTTATATCTCGCGCAGCTCGACCTGGACATGTCTCCGTGTCCTCTCCCCGTCCTGCTGCTGCTGCTGCTGCAGCTAAACAGATGATTTGTTCCAGTGATCAGATGAGTTTTTTACTTTAAGCCTACATACAAATATTATAATATTCAGTTTTGTGAGCAAAATTTATTTTATATGCCAACATCTATGAAAGAAAGAGCCAGGCCACAGAGCACGATTTACACACAGATGGTTTTGATTTTAATGCCATTATTGGAATTTATGTTGTGACCTTTGCGCACAACCCACCTTTGTCACACGGGGTTTAAATATATGCAATTTAATGTAATAGTCTTTATTTGTGGAAAAGGGTGTTTGTCTTACCAGTGGGTCCAACATTACACACACCAAATCCATCTGTGCTAATATGATAGAGTGTGGAGGACACCCTCTGCAGCGCTTACAGTGACACTTGTTGAGGAGCTGCCTTCTGTCGCCATCGTGTGGCATTGCTGTCTTCAGACATCCCTTGATCTCTTTGACTACATCACGAAAATTGTAATACGCCTCGCCAGTGGCGGATTTAAAGGCGAGAAGAAGAGCTGATTTTATTGGTCAATACAAGTCTCAGCTGTGTTAAAATCCACTCCACGTCCTCTCTCCTCCCTCCCTATGACTTACGCCGCTGGGAGGAGCTGAGTTAGGGATGGGGGATACTTATGGCGGGCTGCGCTGCTCACCAAAATACGAAAATGTGCTTGGGAACGCCTTCTCGGCGTGGTGGTTAATTGCATTAACGGTTCAGTATGAAAACAAGGAGTTATTAGTTCTTTATCTATTTTCACCTATTGACCTATTGTCAATCTGTTTAAAAACACATTAGTTCAATAACATATGCAATGTCATCAACTCCGTCAGTTTCTCGTCAACTCCGTCAGATGTTCGTCAACACCGTCAGGTGTATGGTTTTCTTAATTTTTGGAGAAAAAACAAATTGTTTCTTCAGTTTATATTGTTTAAGTAATGAAGGAGCATTGGCTCTACATCCTCTTGTCACTTATTTACTTACAGAAATTGTTTTTATAATATAAAAATTAAAAACAAAGTTTAAAAATTCAACTATTTAGAAATCTTGGTTTTCAAAATAGTGTGAAATCACACATTAGGTTTATATATTATATTTCATGGCATATCAGAGTAACTAAACACTATTACAACATACATCAGAACTTTAGATTCTTGTTGGACTAGAATTATTAAAATTATATTCTTTTTAGTGTGTCTGATGGAGTTGACACAAATCCGCTGTCTAAGGGAAACATGTTAATTTATAGAAAAATTGTTTTTATTTAGAGCCTGTTCCTTTACGGGGTTAAATAGCTAAGACCTTTCTCTACAGTAATAAATAACTCTCATCAATATAGTGTGCATTCTCAAAAAAAGTTTTTTAGGAAGTGTTTTGTCCCGACTCTCAAGAATCCCTGAAATATAATAAAAAGCAAAATGAAAAGCAATAAAACAAATGCCCTTGCTTACCAAGGCTTAGTGACTCTCAGGAACTGCCACTACAAAGAACATGGCCATCATCCTTGAGCCCCAAGACGCAGTATCCACCATGGGAAAAGGCAAACCCAAGGCGACATGGAGGAAGGTTAGTCGTCTCTAGAAAGTCACAGAAAGGCTGAGTCTGGTGAACAAAGAGGGAGTGTCAAAAATGACGATCTGACATGATCCACACCTCCTACTGGCTGAAGAAGCTAACTGCACTCCATGAAGGCCTGGATGTACATGAACCAGCTTCAACAGTCCCACCCAGAGTGGTTTACCCAGGAAGGGGACAGTCCCATTCTACTACTGGACTTAAAGCATGTTACTGGATAACATGCTTTAAACAAGAAACCCTTACCAAGATGGTGGCAGTATAGGTGAGTCTCTAGTGGACACTCGAGGAACAGCAGCTTCGTCATCTCAGTGTGGGCTTCCCTGAGTCTGAGGATGTGCTTCTTGGTGTGCTCTAGTTAAGTCTGCTGAGTAGGAAAATTAGGGAGAAAAGGCAGCTTGTTGTTCTCTCCTGTGATTCTGCAGCACTGTTGTACTAAATCAAAAGTGATAATGTGGTTATTGTTCTTGCAGAGGGAGCACATTGTAATTTAGCATTGTCTGCGTCTTCTTAATTATAATGCAGTTGTGCCCAACGTGCAGCAGAACCTAGACCATATTGTTACAATAATAAAATCGTCTAAGGCCACTTAGGAGGCGCAGAAGAAATTATGTGCAGCCATATGCTGACCCCTGAGGAGCAGAGCAGCAGCGTTGTGCTGCAGATGAGAATGAAAAGTGTGCGTGGGTGATGTACTATACCTGCTGCTCAGACTCTGTTTATCTAACCGGAGGTCTCTGGAGGCAGAATCAACATCTGCCTCACTCACTTAATACTTTTTCATTATAAAACTGTCTCCTAGAGAGGATTAGAAGAGACGGACTCAGACATTTTTATTTTTTAACTTGAATAGATTTGGGTTTTTTCTCCAGTTTTGACTGTGAATCAAGTAAATCAGCACATTCGCACTCACTCGTGGGTTTGAGCGAAGTCTCAGTCAGATTGAATGGATTGTGATTGTTCTCAGAAGGATGCTGATCTCTTCCAGTGTGGCACAGGTGACAGTAACAAAGATAATAGATCCTTTGTATCTGTGCTTGAGATGAGTGTACAGATGCAAATTTGATTTTTCACACTTTTTCCCACATTATCAAATCTTCTACCTGGTGTTTAAGCTGTTCTCACTGCGTTTTGTTATAATTCAGTGTTTCATATTTAGTCATTTATTTATTGTTAAATTGTTGGAAGAAAAAATGGGACTTTAATTGAAATCATATGTTATTATCTCTATATTTTGGCACCGTAAATCCTCAAGTATGAACCCAGACATTTATCTATTACACAGGCTTTTATTAGAGACAGGCCTTTATATGAAACGATCTGTTTTTGTGATTATAGCTTCTCATTTTACACAAAGTGAAGGCCTGATTCACACAATGATTAAATGGCTTTTGTTCCCACTAAACCTGTGCATATGACTTGTGCACAAAGACTTAAATGCACAACAAACTGCACATATAACGTCTCTCTGCAACAGTGCTGTTTACTTATATTTGGGTGATCTGTTATACATTTATTTGGTGCAAAATGCGAAAAAGCCACATAGCAAATATTATACCTGCACACAGTCATTAATATCACTCTAACATGACCATTTTTGTGATTACAAAGTTAGTTAAATTAGGTGGTTGCTAACTTTGACTTAACCCCTCAACATGTAGTCTGGACCATAATGAATCGTTGATGTGTTCTCTTGCAAATTGGATGTTTTTTGGAAGTAAGATGGGGATAAACACTGAAACACTCTACAACGAACTCGTCATTTACTATCAGGATTAGCGTGCACAGTGCGCAGCTCTGAGCAGCAGAGAGTGAAATCCGGAGACATCCAGGGGATGGGTGGCGCTGAGCAAAATGTGATTTCAGGCCCTCTATTTCTGGAGGAGAGGGGCATCGGCTGTGTGATAACAACAACTCGGTACTATTGAGTAGCAGCGCATGCCCCCCGTAATAACCCTCCATAAAAACTGTTGTTCAGGACTCTGCGCAACATGCTTACTCAGCCACCGTAATAACTGTTGTTTTAGTCTTCACCCAACATTTTTTTTCTTCTCATTCATAAAACGCTTAAATCAGGGCCATATCCGAGGATAGCCTTAGTTGGGGACTGTCCCCGGAAATCAGGGACGTCTGGTCACCTTAATGTAGATTTACCTGTAAGTTGTTTTCCAGGATAGAAAAATGAAAGTGCACTGGACATTAAAGTCAGCCTTTAGTCATCTCTAAAGGACCTAACTCTGATCATTATGAGGGAGCATGGGCCGCAGACTGAGAGAGGATTGGGGGTTTACAACTTTAATGCTTTTATCTGCCATTGACAAAACTGTGCATACCTTGTTGGAACTATCTCAGCTGATGTAACCTTTAAATCAATATTCGTGTAAACTTCATCCTAAGTAAGACTTTAAGGTCAAATTAACGGCTTTGTTTGAGTTTACATAGATCTGGCTCTGCTTTCCTCTCTCTGTTGTTGAGTTTTCTTCCAAATTACCTCGATAAGAATAAAACTGTACGCTTTGTACATTTTCTACATCTTACCCACGCAAAGCCTCATGTTGGTCTTTTCTTTTCCCTTCTGAAACAGTTGCTCTTCTGCGTAATACCTCACAGCAGCTGTGACAGAGTAAGCCTTTCTGTCTGATCCAGCATTTCTCCTCTGAGCGTATGCAGAGCCTACAGTGTCACTCTTTAATATTCAGAGCCAACTCGTTGTATTCTTTAGGGTGAGTGTAAAAAAAAACACGACGCACCTGCCACATAGGGATGAGCAGGATTCACTGAACAAATCACATCCTGTCAGCTGGACGCCAAATATATCAAATCTGTATTATATAAGGATCACATGTGCAGATTCTGTCTGTTTAAGATTTGGAAATAAAGCCGATTTGTTTGCCTCTAAGCGGGAAGTTTGTATCTAGGAGCTCTCTCTCTCTCTCTGCAGGGGGGTATGACTGTCAAATATTGCATTGTGGACCAGAGAATAGGCTGATCGACCGCCGTGCTGCATCGTGGGAGTCATCCGATAGCTGAGATGTCCCCAAACAACCTCCTAAAATCACATCAGACGCTGGACCATATGTACAGACTCTGCTGCGTTTGCAGTTTTTATTCATATTAGAGCATAATGAGGCCATTGAAACACAAATTAAACATGCAAGACAGCGAAAAAGCTGAGTTTAAGTAAAACAAACAAACTAGGAGGAGATTTCCTTAATACGCCTGCAGGCCTGACTGTGTGTGTCCCTGAAAACACACAAACATAGCAGTGATAAAAGGCTGTGTGTTCACTGTGTGGCCTGCTGCGCATCCATTACTGTGATGTTTGTGTTTCATTTTATTTGTTTTTTGGGGAAAAAATGATAATTTTGACAACCCCACTGCCACCGGGCTTTTCAGTAAAACATGAAAATGGAATCTGGGAAATATCAGTATTTGTTATTATAAATGAAACAACACTGTAAAAACCAGATCATAATTTTCCCAGCATGCTCCTCTGACCTCTGCTGTGAGATCCCTGATTTTGTATTTCAGAGTTTAGCTTTAAATGTGAATTAATTAAAAAAAATATATTCAAAATCATCAAATCATAAAAACATCTCTTTTTATAAAGAGAAATGGTGTAACTCACCCCATGAGCTGCTCCTGGAGCCAAAATCTGAGATAGTTCCTGGAGTTTCTTCTTCGACGGATCCTGGAAAAGATAAAAGTTAACCTTGAAGCTTTCACGCCTTTTGGAGAAATCCTTAAGAGGTTACCTGAGAAACTTCAGTTGAACCCCGTAGAAGTCATACAAGTTTAACTGCAGAAGTATATGTACAAAACAAAATACAGTATTGATCACAAACTTAACTTTCAAATCTCAAAATCAGTTTTCTCTCAGTCGAGAAATGTGCCCGTTTACAGCCGTCCTCCTGTTAGGAGCCTAAGTACTAATGTCCTCGTCACAGCTTACAAACACCAGGCAAAAATTGAATTATTAACAGACATATGTCCACTTCCACTACAGTCACTAGTGACAAACCTCCTGTCTGCTCGTAACCATCACTCAGTCTTTCCTGGGAGTCCCTGAACTCCATCATGCCGTAGGTTCCTCTGGATCGCTGCGGCAGATCTTTTGCTTTGTACTTTTCAGCTGCTTTAATTACGCATCTCCCTCTTTCTCCTCTCTCTCAACCCAGTTCAGTCTCAGCAAATGACTGTCTTACATCAGTCTGGTTCTGCTCGAGGTTTCTGCCTGTTAAAGTAAGTTCTTCCTCTCCACTGTAAGTCTCTAAATGCTGCAAAGAGCGTCACTCATGTGGTTGAAGGTGGAAGTGGGTCTGATCTGATCCTGTCATTACATTGGGTCTTTGTAAATAGAGTCTGGTCTAGACCAACTTTTTGTTGAGCATCTTGGGATAACACAGATTGATTGACTATCAGGTCATCTCCCTGTTGACTGTCAAACCAATCAGTGAAACATATTTGCAAGAGCCTAACCAGATGTAAGAAGGGCATGAAAATGCTGGAGCATGCTCAGAATGCATCGGCCTGTTTCAGTCCAAATAGAGCCATACATACAGAACTTAGAAAATCCCCCAGCTGCATCATCCAGGTATGTTAGTGCCGACTAAAATGTTAGACTGATGCAATGAATCACTTTTGTTTTTAGCAACGTGTAAATATACTGGCTGGAATAATCAAGAGACTTACCCCGAATTTTCACCACATGTGGAACGGCGGTAAAATGTTGGTCACCGCTGATTGTTTCCATTCAAGGTAATGTGTCAATTTCCACCAGCTTCTTTACCCCCCTGTGGTTCAGAAGACTTTGTAGCCGATCGCCAGGGTTCTGTTTTTTCTGGATGCCACAGCATGCCACATTAATTCAGCACAGATTAGCCTGTGCTAGAAAGGAAGTCAAGCACAGACACAAAATAAAACATCTGGCTTCTTTTCAACACAAAAAACGTGTACGTGTTTCAGGCGGATCGTATTTTACACCATGCAAATGTGGGCGGGGGTAAACAAGTCAAAGGTTTTCAGTTTCATTTCACCCTGATGACACCATGGACAAGGAGATGCTGATTCTAGAAGTCCAAAATCATTGAATAATCTTTTACCCGTATCATCCCTTGTAAGGACAGTCATAAAAAGGATATGGCGTAGGATTCCATAGCAGGAGTAATGGGAGTGGATGGTAAGTTACAAATTAGTACCATGATATGTTGTCTGGACAGGATGGATTTCCTCCTCTGGAAGGACACAATCTACTGCTTATATGGGTATGTGGCTGTCTCTTTAGAGAGAACCCTTTATCGCGCAATTGCACGTAAATCTGCGGGTTCTTGCGAGTCCTTGCGATTCCCATTGTCCGAAATTCCCCTTGGAATTCGCCCCACAAACGCATCCAGTAGGAATTGGCGGACGGCGCTCTGATATGGTGGAAATTGGGGGTTACAACCCTCCCCGATCTCCCCTTCTCTTTGAAATCAGGATTTTGTCTCCCAAATGTTCTCCAAAGGCTGTTTCAAAGAGGAAGTGCAAAGGTGAAAATGAAATATTCATCTCTGCTGTGCTCCATCCTCAGGTTTTTTGTCCAAAACATACACAACTCTGCTCTTTCTCTTCAGGTCTCAGCGGCTCATCTCTGTGTTGTTGTTGTTCACATAGACCCTGCAGTTTCAGACTCCATTTATATTGAACAAAGCCCTGAGTCAGAGACCTTGAGATGAAGAGTTCTTAATTTTAATCTGTTTGCAGTGAAGAAAAAATCCTCACAGGGGCTTAGAAATAAGATTTAAAATGAAGGCCCCATTAAGAGAAAGAGGCGCCGTGAAATCCAAGGAAAGTATTGACATCATACTTGCGAGTTGGTTTATTTGAATCGTGAGCTCCCCTCTGATTCACCCCGGTGAGCATGTCAAATACAATGAAACTCTGCAGCAACAAACGCACATTTGTCACCGTTACCTTTGAAAAGTCCTCTCACTGTGAAGAGTCAAACAGAAACACTTTAAACTCCTCCGTCACCTGAAGTTTCCTGCACTTGAAAAACTCTAATGACAAAAGTTGAAAAAATGCAGATGAGGACTGAGTGTTTGACATTTGGCCTCGAGTTCTCACAAAGGATTAGATCAGTCCGGTGCTGTTCTTCAGGTGTTAAGGTTGAATCTCTCTGTTTAATAATAGATGACAGAGAAGCTCTGCTGGCAGGAGGGGTTGAGCGGTACGAGGATCAATAGGTGACGCTGCGTTTGTCAGATCTTATGAACAGGACATGCTGTGAATCAGAACGGGTCCACGTGCATCCACGGGGATCTCCGATACAACACTTCTTGTTTTTTCCAGAAAAAGTCAGAAACTTTGAGGCTTTCCTGTCATATTTTGAACAGACAGCGATCCTCGTCTCCTAAAGTTTCACAGCCTTAGCTAAAACTTTAAATCCCTCAGCTGTTCATCAGCAGCGTCCCTGTCTGTCTCCTTATTAAGGCGAAACAAAAGAAAAGAGGAATTTTTGCAGAATCTCTGACATCTTAATCTCAATCCTTGTATTGACAGAAGTGACACAGCTAACAGCCTCAAATATAAGTCATGCATGCAGTGACAAACCATTGGCTTTATGGATTTTCCCTCCCCCGCTCATTAGGCCCTGCAGTTTTGGCTTGACGGCTTAAAAGGGATGGAAATGTTGGATTGTTGATCGTCCGCAGCTTTAAACTAACGGGAAACTGTGCTCAGACTGACCTTAATGGATTCGGGGTGTGGCCTCTTTGAGTGACAGGAAGGGTTTGCTACAAATTACACTCACATTTAAACATTATTTAATCGATATATTTGCACTAATTGGCAAAATTACCCCCTCAAGGCGGCATTTAGCAATTGACTCCCTTTAGCAGCGACATGTTTCTATAGCTGAGGGGATTAACATTAATATGGATATATTGAGCATGTAAGTACGCTGACATTATACTCCAAGCTCAGCCATGCCCCCGTAAAGACGCACTGATCTGTGAGCATGACTTCTTTTTCTACTTAAATCACAGCAGCAGACATGTTGGCTCTAAGCTTTAAGAAACGCAGGACTTAATGTCCAGCATGTAGCCTGACTTTTATTTTTTTATTAAGATGTATTACATAAGTGGAAATATCACGCTCTCCACTCTTTTGACGTGATCCCACTTAACGCTCATGCATGGAAATGTGACAGCCCACATGGCCTAGGGAATATATTTTAATCCCAGTTTATTCTTGGAGCGTTTTCTCGGTGGCTGGAGTAGGGACAGGCTAAAAAAGTCTATGTCAACCCAAAGTTTGGGACTTAAGCTGATGACACTGAAGAAGAAGAAGAAATAGGGTGATATTTTAGGAGACACTGGTCACCAACCAAGTTAAAAAAAAGTTATGACGCTGTGTAAAATGTAGTTAAAACAGATTTTAAAGGTTTATAGAGAATTTAAAGTCTATATTTAGTTGGAAATGGTGCATAGATATAAGGTAGACTCAGGATTACAGCTGCTTATCAGTCCAGGTCACCTTAGTCTTATTTGTTTGTGTTTTCATGACACAGCGAATACTTCCAATCGGTAACAAGTTGGGACCAGTTTAGCACCCCGAATATCAAAGATTTCCAAAACAAGTGTCAAATTTTGATCTGTCAGGCTCTGAAAATCAACTGGTTTCCTGTTTGCATGTTTAATTTTTGCATGGTTACCCTTTACTTGTGGGTGCAGCAACAAATCGTATTCACAGACTAAATTTTTTAGAGGTGATTAATTTTAATCCATGCAGTGACTTCCACTACAGCGCTTTAATTGTTCATAATGCAGTGCTGCCTCAAGATCTAGCCAGGTCTAGCCCTTTATTCTTTTGCATTGTGTTCAAAATCAGCCTTGCACATCCATGGATATGACGACAATGATTTCAAATTTCAAATTTCACAGAAAGTTCCCTGAAAGTTTTCTGGTTTTCTTTTTGCATGTTCGTTTTTTGGTGACTTCCACTACAGAGCCATGACAGCTCATAATGCAGTGCTGCCAGAGGACCTGAAGATCACATCCATATTAGCGTTAGATCTTGTCACTTTAGTCTGTATAATATTCAACACAGCCCTCTGTTGAAGTCTTTTAATGCGTCAGGGTGGTTAAGTGAGTATTTAAGGTGATAAATTAGACCAATCTTTGTCGACTGTCTGTGCAGGTTCTTGTTATATTTTGACACTTGACCCGGCTCCCATTAAAGTGTTTGATAAAGAGCATCTGTAAAGCCATTCAGAGTCTCCTTTTCCAAGCAGCTGAATCCAAACAACCGCTGACCGTTTAAAATCCTCAAACTATAGCCAAATAAATTCCCCATCTCCCCATCGGCTCCAGCACTGCAGAATGAAAGTTAATAACCGGAAAGTCATTGCTGAAATTCAATGATATGTTTATGGTGATAAGGAGCCGTTAAGACTGGTCTGAGGGGGTAAACGAGGTGACGGAGGCTGAGCTGCTTTGTGTCTGTGCATTGTGAGGAGGAGGAGGCGGGTGAAGTCATTGAGGTGACAGTGTGTGGACAAGATAATAAAAGCTTCAGTGAAATCTCAGAGAGGGAGAGGAGGGCAGTAAATCTGTAATCTCTGCCCCAAGATGTGATGACCCATTACCCACATAAAGATAACATCTGGCCCCCCACACTCCTCCGTGCCACCAGATAACACACCATTTTACATTTCACTGTTTTACGACTTTCTAATCCCTCGACGGAGACAGTAAGAGCCATCTTAGTAACCGCTCGCACAGCCACAAATAAACAAACTCTTAATCTTCTGGAACCCTAAACTCAGATAATGAACACGGCTCATTTTGTGGAAGCGTGCACAGCTGTTTCCAACACACGCCTGAAATGACCTGAATTTAACGGTGAGCCAGGACCGCGTGCCAAATTGGCTTTCTGCATGCACCTTTGTTTTCTGCACATAATGCAAGCCGTTAGCTTTAATAACCACATGTCACATGGAGTTACTGCAACCATCCTGAGCCTCATCTTAAAAGTGAAATTGACTTTATGATTGAAGCCGCCGTCTAGTTGTTTGAGGAGGAGACAGAAAATGTGTCATTTGTTTTTGTCCACGAATCTCTGCTATCATTTCTCCTGTTACAGAATCAATACTGCTTTAAGAAATAAGAAACTCGTTTAGAAAAGGCGTTGAATATTTTGTCAGGCGGTGCAGCCTTAAAATGCTTTCTTTGAAGACTGCAGCGCTTTAATTTTCTCTGTTTCTAACAGCAGTGTCTGAAAATTGAAAAATAGCTGCAATGATAAAGTGCTTGTAAAGAAAGTTGTGATCAGATTCGTCTTAAATTAAAGTCACATCAGTAACAAGAGTTGTGGGTGTGAATGTGTTCATCACAGTTAAATTAAGGTTAGAAATGAACATGTGCACTTTTTCAATCATGTACACACCTTTGTTGAGTCGATGCAGCTTCTTCCTGCTGCTCCTGTGATGGAAAACAACTCTGCTTCATTCACTGTAATATTAATTGTGCAGAGATCTTGTCTGGTGGTATAAACCTGAAAGAAACAGATTTTCTTGTAATAAATGAGTCATTAATTTACTGAAAAACCAACATGATTCTTCGTATTATTAGTACATAGTAAAACATCAGCTCTGTCCTCAAGAGGAGAAGAAAACAACTCTTAAAATGTTGGTTTCTATTGTTTAGGTTTCTTATGCAGAATCTATGCAAGACAGCCAGCTCCTTCAAAATAAAAGCCTATAATTAACATAAATAATTAACATTTTCTTAGTCAGTCTTAAACATCTTTATCTCAACAACCAATCAAAATGTTAACGTTGATGGAAAAAGTTTTGCTGTTTTAAACTGGGGGTTATCAGATCTACACGAAACACCTGAAGACCATGATCGTTACCTGAGCTGACTCTTCCTCCACCTGGTGAATAACGGACCTTGAATCTTTGCAGAACTATGCGATAGATGGTGTATGCGTCTCGATGAATGGATGTGAACACTTTCCTCCCCTCAGCTCTGTAGAATTATGAGAATATGATTTTAAAATTGCACAGTTTGGATTTCTGTTACACAAAGCCTGCAGTGTAAAATATTCGCTTCAGATATCTGGGTCAGACATCCTACTGAGAAGCCACCCAGGCTATGATTTTATGATGAAAGGGTGCTTTTTGTCATCCACCGGGGTTTCTAGGCATTCAATTTTCTCTGAAAGTCCAACCTGCATCACACTGACTTAGGTTTGTGTCGCTGCTGTTTGGCTAGTTTACACAAAAAAGTTAGAAAAATCAACTTACACAAACTATCATGCTGAATCTAAAGACTTAATGACAGTATTACTAATCCAGGTGAACAAGATTTATCCTACATATCTCCATTCAGATCTAAAGCTAGGTAGTTAGTGACAATTCAGTGTAACACAAATTATAGAGTGCAAGACTTACTTGTTTATTTCTGGGAATCTGAACAAAGCCCAAGTCCCAAAACTGGTGTGATCAAAACACTGGCATTTAAACTGCAGAGAGGTATTTTACCCTGAAGATGGCGATTTAGTCTGGCTAAAGGTGCATCACATAGATAATGAAATGCAAAGACTGGCATGAATCAAAATTCCCCAAAGCATGCTGGGATACACAGAGAAGCAACATAAAGGGAGGGTCTTCTTTTGTTTCTACAGTGGCACAAACTAGTGTTCATCATAGACTGTATATACCACGGACAACTTGGTTCCGCCTTCCGTCATTATATGAATTTGAAGAGGCAGAATTTATGACCTATACTACAGCCCGTCACCAGAGGGTGCTGTTCTGGCGGTTGCTTCACCCAGCAAGGAGGCGTCCATCCTATATACAGTCTATGGTGTGCACTGACTGGAAGTTGAAGAAGTTATTGTGCTAAAAAAGACTTTGCATCAGTGGACATTTTTGAGGATACAAACATACTTATGATGCATAACAGGGGACTCTTGTCCTCAAGGGCCACCGTCACGTGAGGGGTGAGCAAGGGAGTTTTTAAATCTAATATCTGACTGAAAGATGTTGCGAAATATTCCTTTTTCTAAAACTTATGTCACTCCACTATGTTTTTTTGACTTTGTAGTGCACCATCATCTTCTTTAACCGCATGATATTTACATAATGAGGGAGAAAGTGGATGAAAGTTGGCGCTGCCAGCCATCGCAGCACCGAGATACCAAGCACCCTGAGATACCTGGCATCAGGAATCTGGCAGGATGGCCTTTTTTTTGCTAACTTATGCCAAAACCCTGCATTTAAAGCGAACAGTGGTGTAGCACAGAGTAAATAAACCTTTCACAGTGTTGGTTTTTACTGGCAAAACTTCTCAGTTTAAGACGATAAGGGAAGCAGCCAAAGTTAGTTGGAGAATTCAACACATCTTGGCCGTGTCCGATGTGTTAGTGCTGTTAGTCTTTGGCAAAAAAACGCCAGTGAAAATGGTGTAACAGTTGGAAAAAGACACCAATATCAAACTGTGCCCTATTGATGATGTATTATTGGTGAATGTTTAAAGGAAAGTGTGATACAGAGATGACAGGAAAGGGTGCTGAAAACTTGTAAGAGGTCCTGGTACGCCAAGAAAGATCCAGGAAGCCAAGTGGTCAAATTTAGAAGCAGGCTTACTGCATACTGGCACACCTCAGGGACGAAATGACTCAATCCGTTTATCTGTTTTCTCCACTTGAAGGTTAATTAAGTTTACACATGTACAAAAAAAGATTTACTCTTGCCTCAAAGCCCTTTTAATTTGAGTTTTCACCTTTTTAATTTCTTACTTAAAGCTTTGTTTTTTGTGGTCATGCTTTAAGATGTTAGTAATCAAACCCTTTACGGTGAATTAGGTTTAATTTTCGGTATTTCTCTTCCTGTGAAAGTTGCTCATCTAGTGCATAATCTGTGCAAACGTTCAGACGTTTTGATGCGTATAGATGATCATATTTTCAGCTAGGATTTCTGCACAGATTTTAAAGCCGATAATAGGTGAAAGAAGGTGAAATCTCAAGGGTTTAAAAGTGCAACAGCTGTCTAGTTTTGGATGAAACTGTTCCAGGCTGATTGAAGCCTCTTGGCAGTTATTTTTAAGGTGTTGTGAAATAAAAGCAGAGACCCAGTCATGTTGTCAGTTTTACTGTATCTACCATGACAGCCTCGATAAATATTTTCAGTTTATTTCAAGCTTTTTATTTTACAAGCCCCACAACATCCATCTCAGAGAAAAGTGTGCTTCTTTTACTGTGGAGGGTATCCTGCACAGGTCACACACAGAGAAGCAGAGCTTTATTTTGACAGTGTTTGGTTTTGACAGGGGTCAGGGAGAACTCCTGACATTTAGAGCTCACGGACGAGATAAAGTCGGTGCTGCTTTTCTGTTTGGGCCCTCGGGGCGGTGTTTGCAAAGTGATCCCTCCCCTGTTCTCGCTCCGCTCTGCCGGTAAAATCTGATCTGTCAGGTTCCCGTGCTGTGCTGAAGTGTCCACAGGCAGAACAGCAAGAGACTTCTGTGACAACTTACGGACAAAGAAGAGGTCAAAGCACAGCCTGTTGACATTCAGGATGTGCTGCACGCTTCCTGCCACAGCTCAGCGCCCGCTGAAGGGCAACTTGGGGCAAGGGCGAGCGATAAATAACCGCTTTATCCGACAATAAGCGTCTCAGCGTCATTGCACAAATACCTTCAGTGTAGTGTGGGTGGTATTAGGAAAACAGCAACAAACTCCATCACAGCCTTTCCTTAAAGCGCCCGTCCATCCTGAAAGAGCAGATCAATAAGAATCGACAGATGAAACAGAGGGCCTGGAGCAAGGGAAACCATTCACACATCACACCAGATTTGTTCCGAACTTTGTGCACAACTTGTAAAGGATGAAAATCCATCAAAAAGGTAAGGTATGCAGGGCTGGTACTCTTCATGTCAAATCTAATGAATGTCTTCACAGCATTAGTGAGATGTCTGCTCTGAATATGAACTCAAAGCAACCCTGCATACGCCATTCAGACTCTGTAAATAACAAAACCAGGCAAAGTTACTCAAATTCATCAAAATGAGAAAATTCTAGCCAATCAGAGAGAGGCAGGGTTTGTGATCTGCGTTGGACGTTGGTAAATGCCAACAAAAAAGCAACTCCCAGGTTTTAGTATCAAAGCCTGCAATGAAATGTGAAAAACTGTAGTACCTCAAATATCCACTAGAGGCTGTCTCCTAAGTGTGTCAACTTCCATAGAGCCTCGTGTTAGATTGTCCAACTTGAAGAGCAGAAATAAACATGTTTGCAGCCTGGTACAAGAACAGTTTTAGTTGCTAAGACTAAGACTTTAAGTTATGCATAATTGTGGGCGTGGCCTCGAGAAGTTCGGACACTAAACTTAAACCTCTGTGACTTGTTTTTGGTGTTGGAGCCCAAACTCATAGGTGCTTCTTTGGGGCTGGTAACATGCGTCTTTGCAGGCCCCACCTGATGAGACTTTCTCTTAGATTTGCCTCCCTCGTCCCTTCTAACCAACACCTTCGCATCTTCGCTGTGTCCACTAAAAGCCAACAGATTGCCCAGAGTTACGCTCTCCATGTCACGGCTTACTTGCCCTCTTGACTTGAAAAGTTTTACAGCTAAGCAGCGCTTCACAAGTGTTCTTTCATAATCACTTACTCACTTTTTTCTTTGAATGGATGATTTCACATAATGAGATAGATAAAATGTTAGAAAGAATAAACATTGGCTCGGTTTGGACTGGAGGGATCCCAGCATGCTTAGAGCAGCAAACAGACGGACTAAACTGGGGAAGATATTATCAGTTAATTGTAACAAAGATTTTTGCTTGTTTTACCTGTATTTTTTATGGCTTTCACGGTATTATTTGTTATTATTTTTTATTAAAGAAACATTTTTAAAAATTATTGTTCATCTATTTATTCTTTTTTAACTTTTTACCTTTTTTTCTTTCTCCACCCTTCAGGTGCTCCACAAAATTATTGTTTATTTTTTATAATTCTATTAAATTTTTATCTTTTTCACATTTTTGTATTTTATTTTTTTTTTGTGGTGCATCACGCCACATTTCTGCACAATGTCACTCAATTAACTCCACACAGCATATGCTCTACAGTCTCTTTTATGCCCAGTTGATGGACTAGCCTCCTTGGCAATGTGCATCCATTAATTTAGGGGGCGCAGCTTCTTCAAAAACACTGGTAGGGGAGTGCATTTCTGGCTGATAAGTCAACATATTGATCTTAAATCAGAATCTTTCTTGTACATTCAGAAAAAAGTCAAAGCAGCATCATGGTCCTTGTGACTCAACCTAAGGATGCTCTCAACCCATCAGCACTTTGAATCCTAATGACGGCAGATGGGCGCCTCGAACCGGCTCTTTGCAGTAATTGGAGAAGAATCTGTCTTTGTGTCTTTCCTGGAATATCATCCTATAAACACCAAAACTTTGATCCACACATCAACAATAAAATTCTAAGGAAACCGTCTAAGATCCAATTTCAGATTCCTCCGCATCCAGGAAATGTCACATGATTTCAGGCCAGCTGGAAATGTCAAGCTGTGGTGCTGCTAAAAATAAGATAGACCCTCTTCACAGGGTTTCTCGTATCAAGTCTGTTGCCTTTAAAATGAGCAGATGAGTGAAAGCTTTCTTTGCCTTTTCACCCCTCTCTTCTTCTTTTGTTTGGAGAGAAAAAGGTTTGACAGGTTTACAAGAGACTGCTCTTTTCCGCTCTGCATATTTAAACCTCCTCTGAGGAGCTTTTCATGAAACCTTATAAGTTTTGTCTCTGGGTGGCCTACATAAGTGAACCAGACCATCAGTGGTAACATCAGTTATTTCAGGTGTTAGTTTTGCTTTGTTATATTTGCCAGGAAAGTTTTTGCTCTAATAGAGGAGAAAAAAAAACCTGTCATACAACGATGACGCGCAAAGTCAAGCAAAATGTCACCAACAGCCATCAGGAAAGGTTTCTGAAAATGACAAAGACGTATGGAGGCAGAGGATTTGTGACTGCAGTGAAAACAAGGCCAGTAGAAGAGTAAGGGCGACTCTGAGTCTGCCCTGAGGCCTGAGCTCTGCAGAGAGCCTGGGGCAGTGACTACATAGAGTAAAAACAGTCTGCTGGTGCTGCTGGAGCTTGTCATGAAGTGTCCCTGCTAGCTGACAGACCCCTCGACATCTCTGCCAACCGATCGGCATAAGGCAGGTCAAAGGTGACGCCAATCAACTTCATATTGACATGAAGACTCTTGCAGCCTCAAGTATTGTTGTGTTATTCGGGAATGATTCATTCAAAAGAACGAATCTTCAAAGTAAATGTACTGAACCGAATCACTTCCTCAAATGATTCATTCGTTTCTCAGTTAAGTTGAGCTGCCAGCAGCTGCTATGGCACGCAGCATTGCTGGGCGAGCTGCCGGTGAGCCGCTGCAGGGAGGGAGGGAGGAACCGCACACGCAGCCACAAAACTCTCATCTCCCAGGCCCAGAAGCCGTGAACTGAACTGATACCTGAACCGTTCAGCTGTGTATCAGTTCAGGAAATCGGATTTGCAGGCTCCTTCTACCAAGTGCTAAATGATTTGGTGATTCGGTGAACGAATCTTTTTAACGAATCTTTTCAGAGAATTGATTCTAGTGATTCAGTACATCTAAAACAACTGTCATGCCCTTCAAACCCTGACCCTCAAGTCAGAGAGCTGACTTTGTACATGCATCATAAACACTTTGAATGTAATAGTCTGCATCAACATTTCTGCATGACTTGCAGTCACATGAAGCTGCAGATTCAGACCTTACAGACTTTTTAAAGCTCCTGTATGGAACTTTTGGTGTGAGTTGGCACCACCTGTGGACAAAGCAGCACCTCCTAATCTCCTCCTGCGCATGCTGAAGCCATGATATTCCACTTTGCATAACTTTAACACCAAAATGCATCACTCATCTGAAATCTCTGCAGTGGAAAATGTGAAAAAGGCAGTTTTACTTCCATACCAACTTAAGCAACTATAACTATCTGGTCCTGTTTGCTTTTGCAGGTCAAAAGAAAGCATCAGTTTTAATCCTAGTCGGTTATATAAGTAGAAAACAACTCCTCAAAGAAGCTATAAGTTCAAGGCCAAGAAATGGTTTCTTCAGGACAGTCTGTGAAAAGAAGATACCTTTTCAATTTCAAAGAAAAAACTTGCAAAAGTTTGACGTCTGTGATTGTCGAGAAGTTCAAAGGAGTGGTGAGGAGCAATCAAACGTACCCCAGGGGGCCATATTGGATATCTAGGTTAGCACTGAAGAAAACACGCAGTGCTAGAATAACCGGCTAAGCTTGAAAGCACTCATTACGAAGGGTTCTGAAAGAGGAACAGTCACTGTGCAGGAGCTCCTGTGTGCCGCTTTCACTCTGGGAAATCTGAATGCAAATGATTCCTCTAAACAAAAATGTCTGAATGAATTAACGAGAGGGAAGAGAAAGCTGGCAGGTGCGTGTCCTCCGTCTGCAGAAATGGGAATTTATCTGACAGCAGGACGTCCCTCTGTACGTTGGCGGTTGTCCAGAGCTTCCTTTTGTGAGGTACCTGTGCGAGCAGAGACCCGGCCGCCCTCGGAGGAGACGCTCTTGCTCTTCACGTCTCCTGAAGGCCTTTCATGCTGCCGTCTGCTCTCTGCCTCTGACGTTCATGCTAATGGATTTCATCCCTCTTGTCTTTGTGGGCCGTATTGTCCAGAGTTGAAACACAATGAGAGCCGGAGGGATCTGCTCCATTCTTCAGAGGATCTGAGCGTGCTCAGTGCAGAGTTCATGCTCTGTGTGATCAAGATGAGATTCAAAGCTGGCATGATGTCCCTCTGATTTGCATGCTGTATGTTCTAATAGGATTTCAGCGACTCATTCCATCATCGTTTCATTTCCCTTGGCTGTCTCTTCTCTATTATCCTCTCCAGCCGTCCTCCGCTGCTGTTGGTGTAAATCTGCAGGGAGAAAACAGAGGCTGATTTTATCCGGCTCTAAATATTAATGTGCTCTGCGTGAGGACAGTTTCCACAAACACGTAGAAGAGTTAAAAGAAAAAAACAGGTTGGCTTGGATTGAATGGAAACGTCTGTGTCATTCATGTGCAAATAGACATTAAATATACTCAGTTCTTAGAAACCTCTTTTCACAGATGCATGCCGACTCGCTGCCTTTGTGACACGATAAAGAGCTTGTGCTGCAGTATTGAGGGATTTGAACGTCATTTCAGTCCTCGCCGCTGAAATGAAATTAAGTTTGGTAAGGATCCTGTTTATTTATTTTTTGTCGGAGTCTGAAAATGAAGATGCAGATTTGCTTTTTATGACATCATAAAGATCTGCGCTGTAAATTATGTATGATACTTCCCCTCCTGAGGGAATATAATACACACAAACAAAGACTTTAACAATTCCTCTCATGAAGACACCCACACTGCCGGGTTTATCCAACGTCGGAAAGAAAGAACACATTTTTACAAGAGCAGAGACACAACTTCAACTGTTGGTTCGCAGACACACACACTGAGGCCTGGATGGTTTAGATTTTACAATCAAGTGAGTATACTGATTAAAATTAAATAGAAGAGGAAGATGAAGATATTTAACCTGTAAGAATCTGGTCTTAAACACTGTATTTACCTCTAAAAAACGCAAGTGTTTGTCCTATTTTAAAGCTCCTGTGGGGGATTTTCAGCTTGTATCGATTATGGCACCCTACTGTGGACAAACCAGCTATTTTTAATCTTGTCCCCTACATGTTAAAGTCGTGTCTTTTGCCATAAAATCTCACCCTGCTGACTTTTGACAGTCAAATGAATAACTTAAAATTAATATTTTTTGTGAAAATCATAAAATAGGGACGTTTCGGCTGACACCTCTCCCTTGCCCTTTATTTCAGGCAGTAAAAGTTGTGTTAAAAAATTATCAGTGTTGTTTCTAGTGAGGTTGTTTAGTTCTGAGCATAATGAGAAGGCATTACTGTTAATATTAGTCTATTTTACAAGCATTTAAAACTCCTCACAGGAGCTTTAAAGATACAGAATCAATTGATTTACAAAAAAAATCATCCATGGGGCAAAAAAAGTTGACTTGTTGAGTTCTTGAGATGAGAGTAAGGACTTATTTCAAGAAAATTGCACTTTTTATCACCCCCTTTACTAATTCCAAGCAAGTCAAGTCTTATTTTCAGCTCTTTAATATCCTAAAATAAGATTTTTACCTGGACTTGTCAGCTGAATGTGACCCATAATAAGCCCAAAATACGAGCATACAGAGGGAGTAGTTGGTGAGCCATGCAGAGGGCACGTTGTCAGCTCATATTTTTTAGCATACTCTGTAAAAAATGCAAAATAAATATAGTTGTTAGGATGAGTTTCTTCAGCTAGTCATACTAGCCTCTAGAGTGTTGGAGCTGTGTCACTCAACTACCCCAGACACTTTGGTGTTAGATTGCTGGAGCCGGGGGGGCCTCCTCCAACCATCCCTGAGCAAGGAACCCTGTACACATTATTTACACCATGTAGGTCCCCAAAATATGTTTGCCATGATATTTCCTTCTTGGGACCTTCCGCATGTTCATCTAAGGCTTTTGAAACATGTTGTCCTTTGTTTTGACCGTACATGGATTTCTCTTAGGGTCAGCTAAATACCAACAGTATGTTTAGAATTGTGAACCTCTATATATACTTGAATGGTCTTGGACCACTCTTTGTTACACTTGTAGCATGCTGAAGCTGTAACCCAGATCTGCAACCAGTAAAGCTTGTCAAACTGAACATTCGTGTGGACCTTCCATTCTTTCTGGTATGAACCTGGGCTCGGCATCCTTACAATTTGGCGTCACGAACAGGATTAATCACTAAAAAAGGTAAGCATCTTTAATTATTCAATCCACTTGTGATTGTATTGCTTACCCGATTTGAGCATTAAAAAAGATACCTTTGCTATGGGATGCCTAGTAGCCCTTTTACAATTGGCTTCTAAACTTTTGATAGTCTGAATGGATAATGTATTTAATTTAATACAACATTAATAGTTCCCTGAATTTGCTCGCTGAGATGTGTCGATATTAATCAATATTAGGGTGGGCCCACTCGCAGTAGATGGATAGTGTGAATATAGGTGTCCAGAGAGACAAGAATAGATATTGAAGTCCTTAGAGGATATGTTGAGAAATATGGAATTGGTACCTCTGGTTTTTTATAAGAAGACGTCCTTGGATGACGTGGTTGTGTTATTGGTACTTCTGTCTAAGTGTCTGACGGACTGACCGCTCGACGGCCCCGATTCAGTCATTAGCAGAGTGGTACTACTGGTTTTTTATATGAAGACGTCGTTGGACGACGCGGTTGTGTTATTGTTGTTACTGTTTAATAGTCTGACGGACTGACCGCACGACGGCCCCGATTCAGTCATTAACAGGTACTTCTGTCTCTGTTTGAACGGACTGACCGCTTGACGGCCCCGATTTATTCAGTGGCAGTTGTAGGGTGATTTGCTATATGAAAATCTACGTATTGAATAATATCGACCCATAGCAGCTTCTCTTTACATTGAGCGACATTTGAAAGTCCTAAATAAGGATTTGTATATGGTCACACAAATTAAACAGTTTGACGCTTTGCATACTAACAAGTAGTCTTAGTTTTACTAATTATTGTACATTTACCTAACAATGGGTTCACAACCCAGCAAATTAAAAGGGCCTCCGGGCACGATTAAAAATAAATCTGAGCTTGACTTACCCAGAAAAGAAAGGAAAGCGATAAAAGAATTGTTAAAAGAGGCTCCTCAGTCGAACACGGTTCCAGTTAAGCCTGTTGCTCTGATGTCCGCTAGGGAGTGGATGCATATGAAACTGGGGTTTTACTATGTTGAACCTTTTTTGTCAAATTTAGCGGAATGGACAGATAATCGATTTCCAAAGGACGGCAGTTTTGATAAAAAGAAATTGAACATTGTACGCGAATTGTTGATAGATAATATCGCTATTGCCAATCCTCTCTGGAATATGGATTACATGACAGAAGTGTATCATGTTTGGGCCTCCATGGCCAATCAGTTTCCTGGTAACATTAGTAAAGCAGAAAGGAAAAAGAAAAGGAGTGTTTTTTCTATGACACAGAAGACTGTCCCATTACAACTTCAAAAAGGTGACGGTCCGGTTGCACTGTCTTGTAAATCCCCAGAGTCATTGCCTCCACATTTGACCCTCCCCAGTGCACATGTAAATGATGACAGTGATGATGATGACAGCTGGCTCTTTCTACATGTAATGGAAGAAAGTGAACAGCCAGGGTCAGTGCCCCGAATCCGCCCCACTGTCTTGTTTGCTGAGGTAGGGGAGCCGAATCTTGCTATGAGAAAGTTTCAGAGCGAGTGCATTGAGCAATGCCTCCAAAATTGTAAAAAAACTTTTGAAAGTATAAGCAAAAAATTCATGCTGGACAAAGATAAAGCTCATAGCGCTAAAATCCAGTATGTCAGAGAATACATGGCTTCTGAATTTAAACGCATGTTTAAAATAATAAAGAAAGGTCATGATATCTCACTGAATGATTTATCAAAGACATTAGTTGACTGCTTCAAATCCGTTTTACGCCGATATGAGACAGATTCTAAGACTCAACTTGATTTAACAAAGCCCATTGGTAGCAGGCAGTTTACTGCTTTTACCTCAAAAATCTCTGATGCTGAGACACAGGCCGTGTGTAAATTCCTTGAGCACCGGTTGAGTGACATAAAGAGTAATGAGCTGGGAACCCTATCCTCTGCGAGAGAGGAAGTAAACCTGATGACACCACTCATCACTGTCGATAATCGTGTCATGGATAAACCATTGACTCTCACTGATATTTCTCGGATTACTAGAGATGCTCCGTCACCGCTGAATAATCCTACAGCCTTTATGAATTGGTGGACCACGGCATTAATGCATACATCTCTGTCCGGACGAGATGTTAGATACATTCTTGCCACACTAATGCCTCACATCAAAATAGATACTTTAATTGCGGAATGTGATACCTTACGGTACCAATATGATGGGCCGGTAGAAGGGGAGGAGACCATTGAGGGAAAGTATCCCTGGTTAAGCAGAGACCATAAAACTGAGCATATTTCTGAACTTACTAAATTCCTTGAAAAAAATGCCGCACAGGACCGGGATATTACCCAGGTCTTAAATTGTAAACGGAAACAGAATGAACCTATAGCTGAATATGCTTCTAGATTTTTACAATGCTGGAAAGAGCAAGCCAAATTACAGATTAAGGAAGAAGAGGATCCCTTCTTTGCCTCTATGTTTTTAAACGGATTGGATCAAAATGCTTCGTACACCCTTAGAGTGACTGCACCCGATATTTATACCTATGATCCTAATAGACTTTTGAAGAAAGTTAGAGAACTTGATGCCATAGGCCTCTTTGCAGCATCCAAAAATAAGACACAAGCAGTCCAACTAGGTGCCGACGAAAAAGAATCCGTTCATGCATTCCAGCATGTACAACTGACCAGAGGCCGAGGACATGTTAGACGGTACAGAGAGCAAGGGCCATTTGAACCCTCTCCGTATCAACCGGATACTTTTCAGGTCAACCCGAGGGGTGAATATATTCCCCCAGGGAGGAGAGGACGGGGACGAGGAAGAATGATGGACATAAATGATCGTTGTCTGTACTGTTATGAAGTTGGACATTGGGTAAAACAGTGTCCCTTAAAACGGGCCCAAGGTTCACAATATGGGCCTATAAATCAAATGCCTCCCTATTATCCTCCTCATATGACCTCTGGTTTCTCTCCACAGACCAATACACAAAGGATGATATCTGGAAGTCATTCCACAACCCAGGGTCCTCCGGACAGAGGGGCGGCTTCTTCCTTATTGTGGAAGCAATGATATAACCGACAGTTGTGGGACATGAACAGACTTGATTGCTCTACCATAATTGTAAATACTCCACAATTCCATGTTTCCGATGAACCAGCGGAGACACCTCAATTAAGTATGCAAGTTTCTGGTAAACCTATTAAGTTTCTAGTTGACACCGGGGCAACTACATCATGTTTAAGGAAAAAGGACTTAAGTTGCCCTTTGAGTAACCTCTCTGTTCAATCTGTCGGTATCTCTGGAGTCCCACAACGAGAGCCCCTGTCCGTTCCACTGCCTGTTGATTTGGATGACATCAAACTGCAACATTCATTTGTTGTTAGTGCTACAACACCGATGTCCTTATTGGGACGGGATTTATTAAGTAAATTGAATGCGGTCATTACGTGTTCACCCGATGGTATTGAAGTCTATATTCCAGCAGACAAGACATATCAGCTATTCTCCCATCTTGTTGAAGTGTCACATAATGCCACCAGTGTATTGACAAATTGTGATTTTATCCCTGACCTGTTTACTTTGACAAATATCAAGAAATTGGCATCTTGTCAGGCTGCTAGTGCGGCGTTGATCATACATTTGAGATCTGTCAATATGCCCTTTTCTGATGAAGTAATTGAACCTACCGACATGGAGGAAATTCCACAGCGTTTTTTTATGTCTCCAAAAGGTCTTGTACTTTTATGGAAAAACAAGGAAGGGGTTCTTCATTTTTTTATCTGTGCTGTTCGAACTGATTTTGGGGATATGGACCATCTTTTGATTTCCTGTCAAGACTATCTAAAAAGGACACCTGATCAAATTGATCAAAATAAGGATTACATCATCTGGTCTTATGGTCCTGAACCTACGCATTTCTTTATCAAACTGTTGCAAACAACGGGCAAACCCTTGATTTCTCTTATGGACCACACGGAAATCCTATTGCAACCGCCTTCGATTTTAGCGGCTGTACCTTCTAAACTTTGGGCTTTGCATGCAAATCATGTAGGATTATTGAATGTGCCACCCTATCAGGCTAAAATTAATCCTAAGAAATACCCAGTGTTTGTTAAACAGTATCCTCTCTCAAAAGAAAAAGAAGACGGCATAAGACCGGTAATTGAAAGTCTTCTGGAACAAGGGGTGATTGTTAAACGACGCTCCCAAAACAACACCCCGATAAATCCTATTCTTAAACCTGGAACTAATAGGTATAGATTCACACAAGATTTGCGAAAAATTAATGAAGCCGTAATTCCTATTGCCCCTGTAGTGCCTGATGTCAACTCCATTCTAACAGCGTTACCCGCAAAGTCAAAATTCTATACAGCGATTGATTTATGCTCTGCCTATTTTTCAATCCCTGTACATGTAGATACACAGGATTTATTCGCGTTTACGTATAAAAATGATCAATACGTTTGGACCAGATTGCCTATGGGATTTGTTGATTCAGCTGTTGTGTATTCAGCCGCTGTTAATATGCACTTGTCTCAGTTAATCTTGCCATGTCGATCCTGTATTCTACAGTATTCCGATGACCTCCTTCTTTGCTCAGAGACTGAAGAAGAATGCATTCAAGATTCGGTGGCTTTATTGACACATCTTGCTGACGGAGGTCACCGAGCATCCCTCGCAAAGCTCCAATTCTGTCAGGAATCGGTCAACTATCTGGGCTATGTTCTGCGAGCTGGGTGCAGGTATTTATCTCCGGAACGAGTGGCAGCCATTATGGATATTCAAAAACCTCGGATGAAGACTGAAATGTTATCCTTTTTGGGACTGGTGAACTATTGTCGACCCTGGCTGGCGGATTATGCCTTTTTTGATTCTGTGTTAAGGAGGTCAACTCTCCAAGATGCACCTGAAGCTATTAACTGGACTGAGGATATGAAACACGCCTTTCGTCATATCAAGTACCTCCTGTGCACGGCCCCAGCGTTGGGACTTCCGGACTATAACCTTGACTTCCATCTATATGTGTCAGACAATGGGGAAGTCACCTCTGCAGTTTTAGCACAAACGCATGGTGAACGAATGAGACCAGTGGCATATTACTCCAAATCCCTTCCGTTGATTGTACAGGGCATGGTCCCCTGCTTACGAGCCGTGGCTGCTGCAGCAATGATGGTTGAAAAAGCGCAGACCATAGTTTTGGGGTATCCTTTGACCCTTCACACCACGCATGCGGTCAATGTCATCCTTCTTAACATAACAACTCAACATATGACTAGTCAGAGAAGAAGCAATTATGAACATATTTTGACGGGAACGCAGAATCTGACCATTTCTACAGCAACTCATACTAACCCTGCCATACATCTCAAGTCCTTATTACATGGAGATAAGGACATAGATGATGTCAAGGAACATGATTGCATGGACCTTATCAATTCAACATCTAGCGTACGAACAGACTTGCAACAGACACCATTGAATAATGGTGAGTTAGTCCTCTATTGTGATGGATCTGCAATGAGACCAGATGATTCAACTATCCTTTCAGGTTACGCTATTGTAGATGATCAAGGCCATTGCCTAGAATCCTACAAATTACCAGTTTCTTCTGCTCAGGCGGCTGAGTTAGTAGCTTTAACTAGAGCCTGCCTAATTGCAAAAGATAAGAGTGTAACTATATATACTGATTCTAAGTATGCTTTTTCTGTGGCACATGATTTCAGTAAAATCTGGGAGAACAGAGGATTTGTCACCACTGCTGGTAAACCAATTCAACACGCCAATCTTGTCAAAGAATTGCTTGCAGCCATGATGTTGCCGGATCAAATCGCAGTTGTAAAATGTACAGGCCATTCAAAATCTGACAAGGAAGTTGCTCTGGGTAACAATTTAGCCGACAAATATGCTAAAGATGCAGCCCTTAATGCACCCCTCTCTCCTTGGATGGTCTCTCATTTCCCCTCTCTCCAACTCTCTGACCCTCCCTATACGATGGATGATCTTGTTTCACTTCAAGGGCAAGCCTCACCTTATGAGATTACACGATGGCAGAAGGGGGCTGTTATAAGGACGTCGATAACTTATGGAAATGTCATGATCAAAGAATTGCCCTCCCAGAATTAGCATATGATTCACTCATAGCTTTTGTTCATGGGGTTACACATTCTAGTTATTCAGCGGTGACTAACTACATCTCTCGATTGTTTTTTACCATTGGATTGGAAAAACGAGTTCGACAATTTATCCAACGTTGTCTTATCTGTGCAAGATGTAATCCTAATACGCATCCTCCACGACATGGGCATCTCCCCAAACCTTCCGGTCCTTTTGAGTGTCTACAAATTGACTTTACACATATGCCTCGATGTCGAGGATATTCGTATCTTTTGGTTATTGTCGACAGATTCTCTAAATGGCCAGAAGCATTTCCTGCTAGAAAGGAAAACGCACAGACAGTGATTAAATGCTTAATGGAACATGTGATACCACGGTTTGGTATTCCCACTTCTATCGATTCAGACAATGGCACCCCTTTCACCTCACGGGTGACCAAACTACTTGCTCAAACTTTAGGTATCAAATGGACCTTTCATGTCCCCTACCATCCTCAAAGTTCAGGGCAAGTCGAACGCATGAATAGAACAATTAAAGAAAAGATCATCAAATTCCATCAGGGTAGACAAATGAATTGGGTTGAGGCTCTTCCCCATGTTCTTTTGGCGATAAGGGCTATGCCAAACAAAACTACTGGCTTATCTCCCCATGAGGTTTTGATGGGTCGGCCTTTTCCTTTATGTCTTCAAGTCCCTAAAGACTCTGCCATGAATTTGACCTGCTTACAAGAAGCACAACAGGAGTATGTAAAACTTTTGTTCTCTTTTGTCGCCAAGTATTCTCAGCAGGTTATAAATTCCATCCCGTCGCCTTCAGAGCAGCCGATCCATAGCTTTTCTCCTGGCGACTACGTTCTGGTCCGCAGCCTGAATCCCACTGGAAAAGATCCACGATACGGACCTGCGGTTCAAGTCCTCCTCACCACGGGCACTGCAGTCAAGGTTAAGGGCCAACCACAATGGATACATGCGACACGGCTCAAAGCGGCTCCACCAGCGGTTCCCCCGTCAACTGCTCCTGGTTCTGGACTGCCCTAACCCGATTGAGGAAGGCAACCTACACCTACACATCTATGCATCCACTCGTTAACATTGTGGTTATCTTATATGTTTTTCTCGGTGGATTGATATTATGCAATACCCTCCTTTATGGCACTATTGGCAGCACCATACCTTCAGGTGGGTTAGATTTGGATTTTGCAGGACTATTGAAAAAGGAAGGGAAAAGTGATCAAGCAGTTCAGCGGATCATGATGCATGTCAAACGAGCTATGACTAAACAGCCAATAAAGCACACACCCTACTTAGATGTCGGTCTTCTTAATAACCGACCCCTCAGTGAACATGAAATACAATGTTTGTTTTATGCTTTGACACCCGCAGGAGCGACTAAACCATATAATATAAACAATGTTACTTATTTACAATTAAATGCTCAAACTATAAATCTATTTGTCGAATACCAATCCCAAAATAATGAGACGATAGATGCAAGACCTTTTCCTATTCATACCATGACATCGTATCCCACAGTTAACTTTTGTAATAATTTATGGAAATCTATGACGCCTGGTTTTTATGTACATTTAGATTTTGACATGTATGAGGATTTTAAGCCTTTAATTCTTAAAGCATCTCAAAAAATACTACCATCGGTTTGTGTTTCTCCTGTAACTGGTTCTAAGATAGATTATATCCTTGGGTCAGTCCGAGGATGTCCACGCATACTGTATATAATGGCGTCTAACCCTTTCCCAGCACTAGACAACGTGGTTTGGATGTGTGGGGAACATCTTCATACTTATATACCCCCTTATTGGCAAGGAGTTTGTGCCCCATATTGGTCAGATAAAACTATAAATTTTGATAACAATGTCCATGGTACTGAAGATTCATATGTAATTGCATGGCCCTCGCAAATAGACACAGATGCAAACCCATCATCAACGATTGAAGACAATAATCAGGATCTTAAATATAAGGAATTAGCACTGAATCTGGATAATAAAAAGCTTTTTGAATCGAATTTATGGTACCAATCACTTAAGAAGCGGGTTAGAACTTTCACAAGAAATTCTTGTTATGCTTGTTCACTGCTCCCTGTATCTACTCAAGATCTTTTCGCACTGGTAGCCAAATCACTCACGGGTCCCAAAGGACTTCCTTCGTGGTGTACCATGGCATATCAATATGTCATACAAATGCATCCCAAAACCAGAACACATGACATTAACTCTTCCAAGTTTCGACCTGTTATCAGACCTACTAAAATGCATTTAGGTAAGACAACGCATTCAGTGCAGAAAATCAAGAACTTTCTTAACAAGGTCGTAAAATATGTTATATACTCCAATATTTCTATTAGTCAAGAAAATGGAAACGATATTTTCCATGTACATGCAACATCATTTAACGTACCTGAAAATCATCCATCCTTGCTTATGTGTTCTGGGTTTTACAATAAATATCTTTTGAACATAACCTCGGACTTGTCTATTACCCCTCATCAATCATCCATAGCGGTAGATCCATCCGACATCTTTGATGTTTGTCTAGAGGGTCAATCCCTCACTGATGGTGGGCAGAATATGGGTTTTCTAAAGGTTAACCAGTGCCGTTTTATTGTTAATTCACATACTGATTACGCCCAATTATCTCTGATGGGCACTCCATATACATATGGCTTTTATTGGTGTTGTGGTAACAATGTTTGGAGTAGTCTCCCTCCCCGTTTCAGGGGTAGGTGTGGTCTATGCATGTTACATGACGTAACCTACATTGTGGAGCCCGTTGAATACGCACCACAACACTTCAACTCCACAAGATCTAGGAGAGAGTTGTCTGAAGTTACTGGTTATATCCATTTGAAGAACTCGAACCCCACTGACTTGGCCACACGTTATTATGCATTGCGTGATGATTTTCAGATATATACACATTCACAATTGGTTTTTAGTACCTTATTTTGGAACACGGAATTGCAATATACGAATCATTATCTTATCGCGCTTACTAGGCATGACTTGGCATTAATGGCAAATGCCACATTGCAGGGTTTTAATTCCATATATGCTGAGTTAGACTTGATCCGCCGTTTTACCTCGGATAATCGCGTTGCTTTAGATGCATTGACGGCATCTCAAGGGGGTGTGTGTGCCATTGTAGGAGAAGGCTGTTGTACGTACTTACCATCTGATTCTGAAGGAATGGGCAATTTGACGATAGCCATTAAGAATCTGGAAGACATCTATATGGGAATTGTCACTGCCAATAAAGATGCACGCTTCACAGGGGGGTCTACTGGACTTAAGGCTTGGGATCATATCTCAGCCCTATTTGGAGGTAGCTCCTTCTATGCCTGGGTTATGGGCCTTGCAGGTCCAGTTATGGTCATTATTTTGATTGTGGCTGTTGTGATGTGCTGTTGTTTTCCCATTTTCCGTGCACTAATCATGAAATCTGTTTCTTCTATGGTCAGTACGTCTTTCGTGCAGACTACACTCCTGATGGAGAAGGATTGTATCCCTTCCCCCTCCGTACAGGGACCTTGGCTCTCCTCCTCTTCGTCATCTGAGTCATCTGAAGAATTCAGGGATGGGGAGGCCTGACACTGGTTAATTTCATACTGACCTGTTGAGTGTCATAGCTCCTTAAAATATAGGACTAGTCTGTTTTATCTTTAGGTGGGTTGACAAGGTTTGTTTTCGCGGCTTTTGTTCATGGTTTTGTAGGGTTTAGGTGCTTCAGTCGTTGGTCTAGGGTAGAGGGCAGCCTCAAATCCTACGGCCCGTTGTGGGCTGGTTTGGGGTGGCTGACCCTTCTTCTATTTGTTTACTCAACCCATCTTTTTGTTTTAAGAGACCCTGGTCAGGTGATAACTGTAAAAAATAACATAAACGTACATAAAAAAAAAAAAAAAAAAAAAAGTGAGGACTGTTAGGATGAGTTTCTTCAGCTAGTCATACTAGCCTCTAGAGTGTTGGAGCTGTGTCACTCAACTACCCCAGACACTTTGGTGTTAGATTGCTGGAGCCGGGGGGCCTCCTCCAACCATCCCTGAGCAAGGAACCCTGTACACATTATTTACACCATGTAGGTCCCCAAAATATGTTTGCCATGATATTTCCTTCTTGGGACCTTCCGCATGTTCATCTAAGGCTTTTGAAACATGTTGTCCTTTGTTTTGACCGTACATGGATTTCTCTTAGGGTCAGCTAAATACCAACAGTATGTTTAGAATTGTGAACCTCTATATATACTTGAATGGTCTTGGACCACTCTTTGTTACACTTGTAGCATGCTGAAGCTGTAACCCAGATCTGCAACCAGTAAAGCTTGTCAAACTGACCATTCGTGTGGACCTTCCATTCTTTCTGGTATGAACCTGGGCTCGGCATCCTTACAATAGTAAAAATTAAGTACCAGAAGAAATAGTCAATTTAAAATGTAGAAAACACACAAAGTTTCAAAATCTGACAAACTTCAAACTTTATGTGTCGTTATGTAGGTCGTATTCTTTTTGGCATGTGGACAGCAAGATTAAACCTTCAACCTTCAGACTGAGAGACAAAATAGACAAAAGAGAGAGAAATAAAACAACCATGAGAAAGATAAACATACAATTCACCAAAATAAAGTTTCATAAATGGAAAAAATATCAGGATTTGTTAAGAAAACTCCTTCAAATGACATTTCAGCGCTCATATTTCTACACCTGTATCTCTACTTCTGCTTCACAGGAGACGGCGTAAGCTACTTCAACCTCTTCGCTGTGGTCAAAACAAAGGGTTAACTCTCGGTTCTTCATCGCCAACTCATTTAACAAGAGTCTAAAGGGACTCTCATTCATCAAGAGATCTGAGCGCAGTGTTAACGTTATGTTTCTCATTTCACACACATATTACGGCCGCGCTCAGAGTGATTGGTCTCTGGTGAGCAGTCAGGTACAATTTAAAAGTCCTGTCTATTTGTAATCTGCTGGAAAGATTGAAACATGCTCTGATACGGTACAGCAGATCAATCCAGAGCACATACACTCTCCATACACCTATCCACACTAATCATTCGTCAAAACACTCTGGGCCAAAGATAAGACGCTCGTCTAATTAAGGTTTTGCAAGCCCAGCGCAATAAAGACACTAAAATGTCTCAGGGATTATTACTGCAGATCGATGTACAATCTCCTGCTTTTTGATTCATCTCAGGAATTATCGTTGCTTCTGTGTGGTTTGGGTTATGATACAGATGAAGATATAAAAGTGAAAGGAAAGTGAATTTCAGGATTACTGAACGTGTCTGTGATCCAACAATAAGACATCTGAGTGAGAGCTGTGACTGAAACATGTCCAACCAGAGTTTCAGAGCTCATTTAACGTCAGAATAAAATCCCAGAGAAGAATTTAAAAAAATTAACCTGTTTGAGGAAAGAGGACCGATCCAGTACAGTGATTCAGAACAAGCAGGAACATAATATTAGTAAAAGGGGCAGTTTGAAGTTTGGTTCACCTACAGTATAAAGAGTTTTTTCACATTTATGAAAAAGACTGAAATTAACATTGAAGCCTTTTTAAGATAAAAACAAACAACATTGACAATATTTATAATGTGATTTTTAATGTCTGAAACAATGAGAGGGGGTAGGTGTCAGCCATCCACATCCCTAGCTGTGTGACTGAGACTTCTTTAGAGAAGATAATTCCTCATAAAACATTGTTTTGCATGCTTTTATTTAACTATTTTTCTGTCTTGATGAATTCACTTGTATGCTTTTATTTTGAAATATAAGCGTCTAACGTTAGATTGTAAGTTTTGGAGCTGAATAGAAATGTTGAAAGAGCGATTAGAAAGTATAAATGTGAAGTTGGTAAAAACTGAAGGACTCACAAGCTCATCTCAAGCAGAGCAGGTGTTTCACATGGGGTTAAAATCACAACATTTTCTCTGATCTTTAAGGACCACAGAGTCTCCTCTAATTTTCGTTGTTAACCCCAGAGATGATTCAGCACTTGTGGGTATCCTTTGGATAATCGATAGAGAAATGTCAAAAAAGGGGTCAAAAAATGTTGAATCTTTTACTTCCAAACATCAGGACCAATATTAGTACCACAGTCTGGTTTACATAAGCATCTTGGTGACTTGGTGACCGTTGGGCATGAGGTAAAGATGGCACTGAGTTCAGTTAGTGATGATACAGGACAGACAGTGAGTTTAATAAGAGGTCGGACAGATAAAAGAGACTACAGAGTCTATTTCTCACATTTTTCAGCTTCAGCTGCTCGCTGACTTTCCTTCAAACACAAATAGGACAGAGCAGAATAAACAGAGCTCAGGGCCTTTGTGGGCTTCTTCGCCTGTGGCCCCCTCCTGTCTGGGATCGCCGACGGCTCAGCCTGGCGTGTTTGTGCTGCGTCGTTTTTTCTTATCAAAGCAGAGATCTTACTGTCCCACTTAAATGGTAAAAACAGGAGAGTGGAGCTGGGTGCAAATTGTTGTGTTTACAGGCATAAACTGCGATCCCAAAGGGCAGTTATTAAGTGTTCACACGCTGCAGGGGAAGAGGCTCCATAATCCCTCCGAACATGAACGATAACAATAAAGAACAACAACAAGCTAAACCTCAACACACACACACTCTCTCTCTCTCAGACACACACACACACGAAGTTGTACAGAGGTGCTTTATCTAAAAGGCATCTGAGAGGTCTTTGTGTTCATGTAAGGAGGGTAAGCTTAGTGTTACAAGCAGGAGTCCAGTCCAGAAGCAAAAACTCCCATGTATAACCTACTGTATATATAGATAAATATCAAAGAAAAGAGCTGAAACATCTGCAGACGTCATTCAGGGCTCTTACACTAAAACAAACTCCACTCTTGATAAGTGTTTTTGTTTTATTTTTAGTTTAAAGTGTCTCAGGAGGCTTAATTTAAGACGCACTTACCTTATAAGTCCAGGCAAACTGCTTGTTTTGTGAAAGTACACTCCACAAATGAGACCTGAAAGGCTAATAATGGCTAAAAAAATATTTGACAATGGTATAAGGAAAAAAAAGTTTTTGCTCTCATTAAATTCAGTGTATTTACTTATTTTTGGCATGTTAAACCTTCAAAGAAGATATTTTCTGTACTCGTCAGGTGAATGTGGCTTAAATTTAACCTAAAAATACATTTATTAGTTAGTTATTAGAAAGAAACTCTTACTAAAATGAGGCTTTTTGCAGAGGAGTTTCGGTATTTTTAGCAGATGGGATTTAAAAAACGGAATCTGTGGGGAAGCGCTCCATATTTTTGGCAAACATGATAGGGGTCAGCTGCCAAAACTCTCTCTGAGTACAAACACTGAACTGTTCAGTCCTCCAGGAGCTGACCTCGATGACTTTATGAGCCTCAACTTTTTGCCTTTGCCTTTACATAAATGTGAAAATCAGCGGGGACTTGACCTTATTGACAATGATTTTTAGGAGGAGGCAGGTCAGACTATAGAAGAAGTGAAATACATGATATGAATTGAAACGATGAGCTAAAACAGGATCAAGTTGGAGACAGAAAATCACATATTTCAAACCGAACTAATTCATTACTTATATTTACGTTCATTACAAATCATTTAAAAACCTGAAACTAATTTGTGTGAATTTTTTACTTACTTGTTAACTCTGCAAGTCCCAAAGCTTAAAAACTGCCGATTCTGGAGCGCGCAGATGGCCTGGCGGGTTAGCGCACCCCATGTATGGGGAAGACAGTCTCTGCAGCGGTTGCGGGCTTGAGTCTGGCCCTGACCATGTGCTGCATAAGAATAAGAATAACTTTATTAATCCCCGAAGAAAATTCAATTGTCTGTTGTCTCACATAATATGTCTCCAAAAGTTACCTACTATTTACACAAGAGTTATAAATTCAAATGGCTGTTGGTACCAAAGATCTTCTGAATCTTTCTGTCCTGCAGCGAAAAAGAGAGAGGAGCCGTCCACCACCATTGACCCTTTGGTCCATCAAGGTGTTGTAAAGTGGGTGATCCATGTTCTTTAGAATAGACTCCACCTTCTTCAGTGTAGATCTCTCCACCACATCCTCCACTGAGTCCAGCCTGAGTCCAACCACAGAGCCAGCCTTTTTCACCAGTTTGCTAAGTTTGTCCTCCCCCATCTGCAGTTCCTCCATTGTCCACTAGAGGCTGGTTCAAAAGTGAGTCAATCCCCATAGAGCCCTATGTTAAAATGTAAGCAGAAACAAACATGTTAACAGACTGGTACTGAAATTGATTTCTGGCTCAATACCCTAATCATGATATCTGCTGAATATTTAAAGATGTCGCTCCCATAAATTATATAAAGGCTAAAAGTTGTGTATAATTAGGGGTGGGGCCTCTTTGAGTGACAGGTCGGAGCTGCTATCTGTCTGGTAGTTGTCTCTTCAGCTAAACTTAAACTTCTGGGTCATGTTTGTGGTGCTGGCGCCTTTCCAGGCATATAATCTCCCTTTTAACACTCATGCTAGCATTAATTAGCAGATATCTGTGTCTGTGCTCGCCATCCTTAGCTTTTTAGCTCATTCAGTGTATGTCAAACATTGATTTATTCACAGTGCACAGGAGGAGGATTGTTGTTGGCTGTTCCTGCACAGAACTATAGTGATAAGAGGCCTGATTGTTACAGTTTTAAAGCAATCATTATTCAAACCGAGGACAAACAAAAACTTTAATCATGAAGCCTCAGTGATTGTGTTAGGACTGTTTAAATATAATCATAAAGTTCAACAACGCTCTCTCAGCAGAAGCTCCATAATAACAACAAATGATACATCATTCTCCCTCTAACTGTCTCGCTGTATTGTCTGCTTGTTTTTGCGAGAAAAACTTTTGTCCTGAGTGATTACGAGACAATGAGAGCGAGCTGTCATTTGTAATCAGAGCGAGCTGCAGCAGCATCCACACTGCTAATGCAAAATGTGTTTTTGTTAACTTGTTTCCCTGAGCCAACGGCCGACAGTCCCAAACTTCAAAAGAAGAGTTTGCACGCCCACATCGGACTGTGAATGAAATCACAGACAGGAATATAATTGCGGTGTATGAATTATTCAGTTTGGGGATTTGTGATAAGACTAAATTCTTATCGGGGGCTTTCCCTCGAGGTCCTGCAGACGGATTTCTCGTCTCTGTGCTGCCGGCTGCTCCAGCACTCGGCTGAGGTCCCCTGCTTCGCCTGATACCAACAGGAGGGAACAGTTAGCTGAATCCACTCAGACTGACATGCTGCTTACAAACGGGCTTCATAGGTAATTAATCCTTAATGAATCTTCTGTGCCCTCATCCTGACTTTGATTATATTTTGATACCTTGAAAAACGAGCTGTTAACCCGGGAGTCGTAACAAGAACAAGCAAGCGGGGGGCTTTACTCTGGACTCCCTTTAACATGATGGATCTGGCATTTGTAGCAGAACTTTGAAGGTTCTGTGTGGTGTGGTGAACACCAGCGCACACAGAAATCTCTGTTTAGTGTGGCGGGCAGGAGAGGGTTGGCTCTGCAGGAAGCTCACCTGGATGGGTGGCTGTGCAGGAACTAATTTTTCTTATTTACTTAGTGGGATGTAGTTGAATTTATTTTATATTTGCCTCTTTTTCTGTTGGGTTATTTGAGTTGATTTTCTTTGCTCTGTACTGCTTGGACATATATTTGTGACTAAAGGTCTTATTCAGCTGCATGTGTTTATTTCTCTGTATTCACCTGACAATAATATTTCATCTGTACTGACATATTCTCATCTTTACACTGGAACCAGTCTCTAGTCCAGTAGTAAAACAAACCTACTCTCTCTGTGCTCCCTGTGCTGATGCTGAAATTTACCTTCATTAAAGTCCCGGGGGCTTAAATCCTCCCGGGTGAATCCCCTGCTCCCTGCCACACAATCTGCAGGACAGCTGAGGCTGTTTTGAATAATTGCTCTAAGTGTGCAGTAAGAGAGCAGGCAGGACCATCTTGTGCAGAGTTTCTCTTCCCTTTTTGTTTTTGAACATATCGGTCCAGAAAACTTTAAAGCACAGCACGAGTTCCCCCCTGTGGCTCACTTTCTGGAAGTGTTGGACCGGTAAAATGTTTTTTTTTTTTCCTCCTCTGCTATAAATCTCTTGTTGTGATCCTATACTTCAGGGTTTAACAATGACCTCAACAAACTCCTCTCTCTCTGCAGCTCTGTGTGACTGCATGGGAAAGTTACCGCTCTTTCCAGCTTACTTTACTTCAGAGCTGTCTATCCTGGGCTTTATCAAAGGGATCGAGTTTCTTAACTGCTGCCCAAATTTCAAAAAAGCCTCCCACTACTGTTCTCTGCAGCAGAAAGTCACCTCCAGATACAGTATATCTCCAACACATCAGAAAAATGTAGGAGTATATCATAGAGGTGCTATCGTTAGAGCTCAGATGGACAGGCTTTCAGATTTAACATTTAGGTCTTCCTCTTATAGATCAAACCAGCTCTGTCTTTGAAAAGTTTGCATCTTTGTGATGATATCCCGAAGATCCAAGGTGCTCGGGGGGGGGAGGCACAGCTGAGTCAAAAGCCAGGTCTCACAATTCATTTTATTTTTGGCAGCGTGTGTCAGACATCTTTGTTCTTATAAAGGTGTGACCTCGGCAGTTAAGTGCCCGAACTCCGAGTGGGAGTCAGCGCTTTTAGAAGTCCTCCTCAGAAAAGAAGACTGGCTGCGAGGACATCTGTTTTATGTGTAAGGTTGTTCTTCTTTTGGCCGCTGCCCCACATACACAGCTGCACACATCGGCCCCTGAGGAGTCGGAGCTGATGCTAACAGGCTCGCCTTGATGGCACCTTCAGCTCCGTCTCTATTATCCTGCGGGGGACATTAGGTAAAAACATGGAAAACATAAGCACCCAATCGTAAAACCCATTAGCTATCGTCTGATTAAGAAACATGCACCTGAGATGACTGCCAATGTCTTGTTCCTGTGCTCTGCATTATTTGGAGTCTGATTAGTAACTTGGGAAGATAAAAAAAAGAAGCTAAATTTACCCTTCCACATATCTGCATCCTCTAGAAGTGTACCTGTTCATCTGTCACTGCTGAGTCTCAGTTTCACTGTCAATAAGTATGGGATGAAACCGTTATGCCACTCACTATCGTAGGACCCAACAAATATTTAATGATCTATCCATCTATCTATCTATCTATCTATCTATATCCATTTATCTACGTCTATCTATCTATCTATCTATCTGTTTGTCTATCTATCTATCTATCTATCTATCTATCTATCTATCTATCTATCTATCTATCTATCTATCTATCTATCTATCTATCTATCTATCTATCTATCTATCTATCTATCTATCTATCTGTTTGTCTATCTATCTATCTATCTATCTATCTATCTATCTATCTATATCCATTTATCTATGTCTATCGATCTATCTATCTTTTTATCTATATCCATTTATCTACGTATCTATCTATCTATCTATCTATCTATCTATCTATCTATCTATCTTTGTTTTAAAAAGTCTTTCATACAGCTGATATTTACGGTGTAGGAAACCTTTAACGATATAGAAAAGGGGATTAAAGTTGTTTTTATAAAATTTAAGAAAAAGCAAGTCTGGAGGAATTTTCAAGAGTAACTGACGATTAGGAAGAGGAGCAGCAAACGTGTAAAAGTTCTGAAATACAACAGGCACTAATCAGGCACCTCTGGGTTGAGGTGACACAGTTGCTCTGTTCTGTCCAATCTAAGCTTGGGTTCAAAGAAGGAACAACAAACCAGTACAGAGAAACATCTTCAAAGGCCTTAATGATAGGTGTTATATATAAATGAAAAAGGGCTGGTGGGATCAGTCACACATACTGATGGTGGGTGTGGGAGTAGATCACACACACCGTGGGAGCAGGTGGTAATGGTCAGAAACCCAGCAGGAGCAGGAGGGGGTGGGATTAAGACCACGGTCCCATGAGGGTCTTGAGGATGAATTGGCTGTACTCCCAGAACCCATCGGATATCATCCACACATCCATCATGTGAACTCTAACATATTTATAGGCAGCTTATCTTCTTTATGGTCTTGAGGGGCTGCAGCTTATCCCCTAGGCAAAAAGTGGGGTTACACCTGAAAAGGTCAACAGTCAGCCAAAGAGCAAACACAGCAAATCTACGGGCCCTATCGTAACCCAAGTGCAAAGTGTTCAGACATTTGTCATTATTATTTTCAGTCATCATTTTCATGCCTGGAGCCCATGTAACCTTCTCCTTTGGGTGGGTTGGTTTTAGAATGGCTTGAGGTTTGGTGCAAAGGTAGCGGATTGCTGTCTTGACGATGTAAAGAGCATCTGTGCTCTATAGACCATCAAAAACCCGGTCTAAAGTCAGCCATGTAGTGTGTTCCTGATATTTAGACGGTGTATCAGTGAGACCACAAGAGTTCAAAACATGCATTCCTCTGCTTGTCAGACACCAACAGAAACACAGCTGCGCCACTGCATGAGAAAATATGAGTGTCTTTGCTGACACTGTGAAATTGGGTTTTTTATTGGAGCAGAGGCTTGGAGGGAGTCAAGTATTTCTCTCTCTCTCCTTAAATCATGATTCTGCTCTCCATGTGAGGCCAGGAACACTTTAACGTCTATCTCCTCACCCTTGATTCATCTGAACTATGCCTGAGCCTAAAATTCCAGTCCTAGACTGTCAGCAAGCTCTCCATCATGCACACTCTCTCTGGAACGCTCACATACCTGTGCACTCACGATCAATACCAAATGGTGTTTTTTTTTTTTTTTTTTGTACAACCAACAAACCCATGCAGCAGAAGGATATTAGCCAAAAGTGGTAAAGTTTAACTCTGTGTAAATTGTTACACCCCTGACTCATCAGACTGTAATGGGGAACAAGAGCAGACACCCTGCATTTCAGACCGTGCATTAAGATTGTTTATATAGAACCCTTAGGCAGTGGGAGGAAGCCAGAACCCCCAGTTTAAACCCAAGCATGCAGTGGAGAATTTGTTTATTCCAGAAAGAAAGGCTTGAATCAAGTTTCGAACCAGAACTTTCATGCTGTGAGGTGACATGCTTTGTGCATTTGCGGCAAATCATCCACTCTGAGATGCCTAGTCTCTCAGGATGGTAAAAAGAAGAAAGAAAAAAAAAAGGAGGTCTTGCCACTTAGCCCCAATTTCCACAGCATCCCGAGCGGCTGCGAAAAGGCCATATCCGCCAATCGCAGCTGATCGTTTCCATTAAAGCTAATGTGTCAATTTCCACCAGCTTCTTCCTGCTGCGGATCAGCAGACTCCACAGCCGATTGCAAGAGTTCTGTTATTTTTTTTTTTAGATCATAAGCAGAAGGTTCTGGGGTCTAAAAAAAGTTACTAGAGTCTGATAAAGTTCCTGGTTGGTTTAAATGAAAGCAGTAAACTGTTTGGGTGTTATCTAGCATATGCAGCAGGTTAACACGGCAGATGCCCTCTGGTTATTTTGCTGGCATCGCCTCTCATATCACTTTCAAGCTTCAAAACGTGCCCCACAGCAACATCCCTTTGAGTGCCCCAAAAAGATGAAGGTCAGCCCTTCTTACTTTCTCCACAATGGGCAGTTCAGAAAGCTTTTCACACCTTGCAGTGAACATCAATATTGCAGCAGGGGCAACAACATGTCAAACTCTACTTTGGCCCCAGGTGGACTCTTGAGCTCTGCAGGGTGTCCTGCACAAGCAGACAGTTTCAGGCTCCCGTCAGACTCTATGTGTCATCCTCTGCTGCCAGAGGACGTGGAAGCAAACACTAGAGATCGCTTTTAGCACTTCAAGGTCCTTCAGATTTCCCCCTAAAAGTGAGGGGCCTGAAGCTCGGAGTGCTGACCTGTGCTGGTCCCTGGGTATGCATGTGAAAGCACCTCCTGCCCACGCTGTGTAACTCTGTGACAGGACGGCGCTGTTATTCCGAGCCACAACCTGCACAGGACACGGCTTGATCTCATCTGACACTGTAGCTTTAGTTTTGGCTCAGGTACTGTAATCTACGTCTGACCTCTTTACACAGAAGACTGTAATTCCAACTTTTTCCATTTCCGACAGTTTGGACTTCACAAAGACACCAGCCACATGCGTCATCTGACCTTTCTGCCTTAATACCGAAACGTCAGGGACAGCTGCAGCTCCACAAAGATAACAGCATGAAACTCAGAAAGTGCAGAAATACCACTGGTTCTACTTTATTTCATTATGTAAAGGAAAGAAGAAGAAGAAGAGCAGAAGCAAAACCTCTCTTCTCTTTCAAACAGAAAAATACTGAATACAGAAACCAACATGACATTTTTGCTTTATATTAAAAAGAAGTATTATCGCAAGCTCTGAATCAAGTCTCATTTCTCCTGAATAAAGAAAGTCCATCACATTAATGTCAAAGCGATAACCTTGACATTAGCCAGGCTTTGTGAAATTTATAGGCCTTTCTTCATTATTTCCTATATGAATTCTTATAATGAACTTCTTTCATCCGTAGTTAATGGCCTCATACATCTTCAATCAGTTCAGCTTCACTCTGCTTCCCTTTCTTAAATGACATTGAGCCCAATCTCTCCAAAGACTACCTGTTGATAGTCAGATCCAAGCTGCATTTTCTTTTCTCTTGTCACAGGAAAAGGCAATTTCACACATATTATGATAACTTTCACACCGGCAGAGGTGACAGTGTCAGTTTTCCCAAAGCAACCGACTGTAAGTTCAAAGACTAAGAGTGAGAGATGACAGACAAATGATGAAGGAGGGAAATCAAAAAAGTGGCAGATTTTTTGAAAAGTCGAGAGCTTACTCATCCTAGAAAGGTACAGAATGTAACCAGCCGAGAACATTTCCATTAGGGTGCAAATGAAGAAAGGAAGCACGAATAATTCAGAACAAATGTGACAGCTGCAAAGCCAAAAGTCACGCAACAAAAAATAAACAAATGGATTAAAGGAAAATGGTTTAGTGCAAAGTCAGAAAACTTTTGTTTTAAAGAAAAACTTCATAGCAGCAGAAATTCTTCGGGCCTATAGGGGGACTAGGGGCTCATTTATGCCCCCATTGAATAAAATAAACTGAAAAATACAATCTATTTCAACAAATTCTCCCATGCATCCTTTACAAATGCTAATGCATCCACTAGTAGGCGCTTAAAGAAATGAATCTGCGCTTGCACCGCACAGCCATTCAACTGACATTCAGATAGGGTGACCATACGTCCTCTTTTACCCAGACATGTCCTCTTTTTGGGGGGCTGTCCAGCCTTGTCCGGAGTGTGGCGCCTATAAAATCCTTTAAATGTCCGGGGTTTTGTATGGAAGTTTTGAGTTTGTGTCGCTTGGACTTACAGAGTTAGAAGGGCGTAAAAAACACTCGATCAGACCTAGAAAACTCCGCCCCGTGTGGTTGTGTCCTCTTTTTGGGGATTCAGAATATGGTCACCCTAATTCAGAGAGATACATCTCACTGATTAGGTTAAGAGGAGCGCCCCTTTGCATAAACACAGACAGGACTCTGTAGTGAGAATCACTGTATGGGCTCAAATCAATTCCACAACACCAGTGCAGCAGCCATCCCCATCTTCTGTCAAAGCAGCAATATAATCCTTCACCTTCAACATCTCCAATCCTTTTTTATTTGCAATACCTCAACTCAAACAAATCACTCTATGATTTAGTTGCTATGGTTTCCTATGCACCTTCATGAACTGACAACATGGCCAGCATAAACATTGCCTCGCCAACTGGTGTTTAGGTGTAGCACTGCAGAGAAATGCAGACACTTAAGTGCACATTTATGTAGAGCTCGCAACAGCGTCGGCCACTATAATGTAGCTGCAGTGCATAGTCAATGCAGAATAAACCAGGCTTAAGGATGTGGGCTAGATGACTGGGGTGTTTCTGGTCCAAATGGGTCAGTACCTTCCAAAAGAGGCCAAAAAAAGAAAACAAGTGACAGATTCACTGATGTACGCTAAGTCCAAAAGCTGGCAAATGAGTTTCTGGAGCATCAACTCCTGGAAAAAGTTCATGCCGACTCTGGTAAAAAGGTGCCAGAAAGGTAAATCCCATTTAGTTTTGTATGGGGGTGTGTAGCTGCAGAGTTACACAATGTTAGGCAGGTGGTTATGGTGTTACAGCTTATTGGCTGTAACCATAAAAAAAGGAGAAAGCAGAGTCTCTTTTATTGCCACCTATGAAGCCCCAGAACAAGGGATTAAGTCTGAGGAGGTTCAGGGATGCCAGCAGCACAACTGGCAAGTAATGAGTATTGTTACGGCACAGCTTGGCGTCAAACTGACCTCTGGGGTCGGTGTTAATTCCTGACACTTAAATTCTTGGTGGCCAAAACCTCCTTTAATAAAAGATGATTTACCATAATCCAGTTTGTCCTTACAGGCCATATCTCCTCTATTGTAGTGACGGGTATGCAGTGTTTTCTGCTGCACAGATTTCTACTGTTTGCTTCACATCATCTCTGTATTTTCTGGACACTTGCTGTTGATGCATTTGTCTGGCTTTCAGCAGCACATGGAAATTTGTTTGGCCTTTTGCGCTTTTTTTTTCTGAATTTGGAGTATGTTTCTCTATGAGAGTGTTATTGATTGCAGCATTTTCCATCCTTGTCAAGGACCAAAGAAAAAGCTCTTTTTCGTAGAAGAAACTGCAGACTCCCAACCTGTGATAAGGCAGACAAATGAGGAACCACTTCATTAAAACACAGAAGGAATTCAAATGGTGTCAGATCCAGAGGAAGTTGAAAAATAAGCAAAAACTTGGCACTGACTTATGTTTTTTTGAGTCCTCTTCAAACATTTCTTTGGTCTCTGATATCAAACAGTCTCATCTCTACTTTACATTCATGTCCTGAAGTGAACTTTCTGTCTTTTTAACATCTCATGAATCAGGTTGTTTGTTAGACACCCCCGCCTCCCTCTCCAATCTCTCCAAACTCGGAAACTCTCCACATGTTGCTGTGACATTTCTGGGTAATAACATTAGATTTGTATGTGTTCATCAGTGATCAGACTTAATTAGGTCACACAGCTCTCTTTAAATAATTTAAATGATGAATTAGAGCAGTAGATCCACGTCGATACTAATTAATATTTTAAGGTCTTTGAGATAGCTTTGGAAAAAAAACAATATCACTTTGATTGAACTTTTAACACTGATGAACCATTTAAGACCACCGTGGTGTCTTAGCATGTTGCCGTTTAATTAAGAAGTATAATGAAAATATTCAAATCTTAATGGCTTCAGATGGTGCAATAAAAGACTCACATCGATACAGGGACACTTCTTGGAGCGAGTCCAGTTCTCAGACACAGCCTGGCTCTCATTGCTCTGTCACAAAACATTATGGGACAGCGGTCTAAAGAGAAAGCTGAGGTCACCTCCTGTAAACTGTGGGTATGTGCTTAAAATGAAAGTGCTGAACCTCAAGACCTGGATGTAAATATGTGCCCAGTTTAAGAGTAGACTGAGTTTTTACTGCATAAGGATTAATGACTATTAGGTTGTGAATACTCAAATCTAATTGGCTGATGGGTGTTATGATGCCATACAATACTATAATAAACCATAAAGTGGAATGATACTCTGTGACTCAACACAATTGTACAAGATAACAACACAATAAAGCAGTATAATGAAATGAAGTGATTTGATTACAATTCTATGCACTACAGTTATACCGAAGAATACAGCTATTACTACACAATACACAATGATACAATACAGCATGATATGATGCAGTGATACTACAGGATACAGCTAAACACATACAAGATCATGTGATATACAATATGATACGACAGAGTAAGTTTGCCACAGCGGCATCACAGGATAGAACAAATTTGGTAAAATATGATTTGATAAAACTCAGTAAGATATCACAGAGTACGCCACAATAATATCACAGGATACGACCTATAAAATACAACAATGTAATACAATGTGACATGTCATTTAACTATATATTACGATGTATAATGTGACATTACGATAAGATGCATTACCATACATTTGATGCATTACAGTATCACATGAAACTATACAATATCAAATGTTGACATAACATGATATTACAATACATTATGTTTTAAAAGTTATATGTTACAATTAGGGGTGTCCCAATTTGATAATGATATCGGATATCGGTCTGATATCAGCAAAAAAGAAAAAACAAATATTGGATTTTATCAGCATGCATCTTAAATCTGCGATATCAGCACTCTGATACAAGCAGTCCATTCCAGACTCCACTCCGGCACCTCTATCTTGCAGCACTCGGCTCCAGCAAGCTGAACCCACAAAATCACAACAACAATGTGTACTAAGGTTCTAATGAAGTAGCAAGGAGTAAGAGTGGTGTTGGCCATGTAGCAGTATTTTTTGCAGCTGAGTGAAAAACTTGTCATGCACAATTTTGTGCCAATATCGATATCGGTCAATATTGAAGGCTACAACATTGGTATCGCATCGGAAGTCAAAAAGTTGTATCGGTACACCCGTAGTTACAATGCAATGTGTTGTGTTCCAGTGCTTAATGTAACGGTATGTTTTGATATATTTGATACAAAACTTTACAATATAATACAGTACAACGTGGCAAGATATGATGTCACCTTACATTGACAGGTTATGATGTGATATGTTTTGATACGATACATTACGATACTTTACAAAATATTACAATCTTTTATTAGAATACATTATGTTACGATTCGTCAACATAACGTGACATTACGATGTTACATTTCAGAACATTACAAAACAATATGTGAGTATTACTTATTCAAACTAAACATGACATGTAGCTTGATCCATGTGCCATCTGTTCACATGGAGGGGGGGGCGGAGTTGATGACCTGGACTGCAGCCATCGCTAAGAGGCAAACGATGTGTTTTGGCTTCACTATTGAGAGATTACCATGACCACAAATTACAATGTCATTTAGCAGACGCTTTTATCCAAAGCGACGTGTACGAATCATACACCAGCGGAGGACACACACTTGGAGCAATGGAATGGAAAAGGGGGGAATCAAACCGTCAACCTTCTTGTTGTTGGACGACTGCTATACCTCCTACGCTACCACCGCCCTATATGACTACATCTAAATAGAGTGCATCTTTAAAGAGTTTCTCCTTGAATACTTGAGTAGTGAATGTTTTGATTGCTGGAACTTGATTTCAAGTATTTGCCAGATCTTTAGGCGTTACCATGGAAATGGAGCGACAGCTAGATGAAAACAAAGATTTATTTTTAAAATGCATTAAATCATACATTAATGGTCCTTCTGTTTCCTTGGCAAGCGCCTTTGGTGTAAAGCTGTTTGAGGTGTCCTTAATCAGGTACAAATTTCTACTTGACACCTCATCAGGTATTATCCCTCACTTATACAAAGACCTACATTTCCGTAAGCTGTCTGTGTCTTCAAATTCCCACACTTCAACCCCCTTTTAACACACACAGACACATGCACTCACTTTGCAGTAGTTAGAGAGGAGGGGGAGAAACTTCAAGAAGATTTAACACTTGGCATGAATTGTAAGTCGTGTACAGCCGGTCTGCAGGGAGCTGTATGACATACAGTGTGACAACTAATAACATTTAAGGTGGCAAACACATGGATCACCACTGTCGAACAGGCTGCGAACGGATGAGCTGCCTGCATGTTAATGGGAGCTCAGCGGGGGATAAATAATTAAAGACAGGATTACATAATGGATGAACTTCCTTCAGATAAGTATTGTTAAGCAGGGAAGTGTTGAAGGAGGATAAGAGGCAGGATGGCCCCATGAGAGTTTGACGGTACGGGGAGCCTCGTGGGACTGAGTATATCCAAGTGTGCCCAGGGCCCCACATCGCAGGCAGCAGATCAGAGGAAAGAGTCTCACACCAGGGAGGAAGAGGGAGCAAAGAGAGTGCGTGGAGGGGAAGAAACAGAGCCATGACTCAGAGGTGTTTGGCTGGGATCGCTCCTCCTGCTGGCTGCTTGGTTTTTCATCCCAGGCTCTAACCTTGATTAACACTTCAGGAAATTAGCAGGGGACATGAGCGAGACCTTCAGGCAAAAAGGGGGCCTCAGAGATCAGACAACATGCCACAAATTTGAACTTTGGGTAGAATAAAACCCCTGGTAATAGAAAGTGATCAAAGGGACAAATTAAAACTTATTGCAGCATAATTAATAATCTGTATTTTTTCTAAGAGAGGAGAAAAAAGTGGAGTCTTTTAAAGCTTCATTCAGGAGGACACATTACTGTTTTTACTGTACAGCATTAGTTACTCAGTAGATTCAGATTTTGCTCATAAAAATGTATTATATGATGGATTCATATGGATGAAACTGCCCATTATTAAAAGGAGCAATCTGTCCTATCTACATGAATTTGAGTAACGCCTGATTGTACACCTTTTGCATAGCATTTTCGCTTGCAGTAAAAATAAATTGGATGAGTGTGTTGGTCTTCAATTGTGGTGTTTTCAGGGGGACGATGATGGTATGTTGCTATTTTTAGGGAGTGCCAAAAATCCACAATAAAAGACGGTCTAAAGTCTGAAGTCAATAGCGCTGTACTTCCCTGATTTTCAGAGGATCCATCTGTGAGACAGCAAGATGATTCACAACAAGCATTCCTCTGATTTTTACACAAAGAGAGACTTGCAGACATGCTCTCATTTATATTAGACTACATATCATACTTATTGGAGCAGGGGGCTTGGAGACATGAGTCCTCCTGCACCATGATATGTTCTCTGTAAAGGCTAATCCAGAAGTACCAGAAAACAAGGACACTCGCTGCCTTTAAATGGGATGAGAATAAAAAATCTGTTCAGTCCTGTGTGGATCTCCCTGATATTTGATGTACCTGCAAACCGTCTTACTCTGTAATGTAGCTCAAGTACATCCAAGAATATTGAACTTTTGCAGTTCATTTCAGAGAGACTGTATAAAATAAGCAGAAAAAAAGGTGGAAAAAGACCTCGTCCCTGTCCATAAAGAAACACACTTCCTTATGTTGGACACTAGGGGCACCATCTGTTCATTTACAGACTTCAAAAAAAAAAGTGGAAACAAGGGGTCAATCCAGCCTCTTTGAGCCCAAGGCCTTTGCTTGCAACAAGATTGTGCGCCGCTTAACTAGCAAAAGACCCTGATCCTCTTTGCGGTCTTAACTAATTGCTTTATACTCTTAAATAGAGCCCATTTTTTTAGCACAGCCTGTTAATACCTATGGGTTGATAAATTATATCACGAACAAGCTGTTTCACATCGCACATATCAATTTAATCCATCTTAATATTAATCAGCGCAGCTTTAAATGAAAGATCTGAATGTCTCCTCCACCTCCTTTTTTCTTTGATGGGATCACCTGAGGCTTTAAGTGTTAGATCCTCTTCAGGGAGAGGAGCTTGTGTGCAGGTCTTCTGGGTAATACAGCCCCTCAGAGGCCCGTGCGCGTTTGAAATTTCTGTCACGTGTTTAAATAATGCGTCAGATATCACACTGGGAAATGGAATATGTAAAGCTCAATCTATAGGATCCATATTATTATTCCCCTGTTGTGCAAAAAATTCATGTAAATGCTGGATCTGCAGACACTCATGCACAAAACAGGCGCCTTTAGGGGAGATGATTTCCTGCTCAGACTGTATTTAAGAATACTGCTGATGGTGACAGGTTGGTATTACAGGTCAGAGCTCTCTCTATCACTGACAAGCTCCTTTTTTTTCCAAAGTATGCGAGAGGAATATAAAGTAAGATGGAAGAGAAGCTTGAGACTCTGTGCACTGAGAGTAATATTTATAAGACAACAGAAGAATCAACGTCAAAATCGGGTCATGGTAATTGTCAAAGGATCGTGTACAAAGCTTGACGCCAGTTTGTCAGCTTTTTCTGTCAAGTCATATTTCTTTCATCTTGTTTTTTAATGTTTGATATTTTAAAAACATGCCCTCCCTACAGAATCTGCTCCGTTTGATTTCTAATTTTTAAACCCTGCATCAATTTAATATTTTTTCTGTCTCCGGCAGGCTGCTGCTGGTTGACTTAATGGACTCAGATTTGTTTTATGTCCCTTTTTTAGTGTTTGGTTTCATGCTGATGCTGCAGCTTCCAAGAAAGGCCTTCCAAAGAGGAGAAATAAAAGGCCAGTTTATGCATCTACGGCTGTCCAAGAATCCCCCTTATGCTTGGTTTTTACATTTGAAAATGTGAATTTCTTTAATGCACAGCTTTTCTTTCTGTTCAGTTTCTCTTTAGTTTGTTTGGCCGACAGCTTAAAAGTATGAGACACTTTCCCAGCTTGAAAAAAAAAACTAAAAAACACTATTTTCCCTTTTATAATTAGTGCAGACGTTCTGGTTTAATTAAATAAAATGGATAAATGCATCTTCAACAGTCGTTAGAAGAGTGGCTGTATTACCTGGGCATCAAAGCGTTGGTTAACTGCAGCCAGAATGGAGTATTTTAAGTGTAAGACTATAATTAAGTGATCAGTGAGAGGTGATTTTGCAGCCAGAGAGGTCCAGAGATGGAAAAGTATTAATGCTTTTTACAGAGAAAGCAGGAAAAGTGGTCTTTAAATTATTGCTGTAATGCTCATCGGTGCTTGAACCCCGCTAATGAGAAGCAGAGCAAACCTCGTTGATGTTAAAGTGGAGCATCAATCGCTGCAGAAGTAAAGAGGTTTATATACACTGATACAAACAGGAAGAGTTGATGCTCCACCAGAAGAAAAAAACAAACAGCATAAGCCTTTTAAAGCCCCGGTCACACTGATCCTCTGAAATCTAATTTCCTCAAAAGGGGACGTGCGGGTTCTGCTCCAGAAGCACTTTTTCTAATCAACCTCAATTACCTTTCATCCACTTTCAGCCCCTCCATTCAGGTGTCTTACAGTTTGTGTCATTAAAAGCTCACTCTGTGATTCAGTGTGCTCTGTAATTCACTCCGACCTCTGCACAGTCATATAACCTTCAGTTTCTTACACGCAGACATTTAGCCTTTAATTTCCTGCTGCCTCTACTGTACGCTGTGTGTGATCACGTCTACGGCCAAGAACAGCAAATGAAGACCTGGTGAAATTAATACTCAACACTTTTAAGGGCCATTGGCTCTTTATCTGTAATATATCTTTATATTTTAACAGGAGTCTGCGGGTGTATTCATCCTCATTTTCTTTTTTACATTCAGCACTATCCAAAGCTTCCCGTTAACTGATTTCTTGCAGCACCATTGACCTTAACTTTCTTCCATTTTCAGCATTACCTTTAGGCAGAGCTCCCTTTTATTCTAACAGGGAGTTTGATATGTTTAATAATACTTCTTATCAAATAGACATAATGCAATAAGTGTAATTTATTCCAGAACAGCTTGAGGTTATGTTGTCTCACCAAATGATGTCCTGTTAGCGTTAAATAAACTCAGAAATACAGAGCTTCAAATTTAATGATTTGTTCTCCTGCAAAAACAGCAATATTAAAATACATGTAAATAAGGCCTAATCAGATGAATGCAATTTTATAATGACTGATTTTTAGATTCAAGCTTCACTGCTGAAACCATGATTAAGAAGAGAGAGACACCCTCCAGTGGATTATCACATAAATTTAAATTAATCCAGGGATCCCTGGTGAATGCAACAACTTTTGCATTCATGTTTCAGTTTGTTTGCTTTCTCTGTTTCTTTGATATACAGTGTGTCATGGAGACTTGATAAAGTACAGTTTTGGGAAATTTAGTATTGTACCCCAAATACCTGAGGTATTAAAGTTAGAAAGTTCATCCTAACACTGCTGTTTTTGAGAGAGACTCCAGGACAAAAGCACCACACAAAGGTGGTCTTAAAAATACTCACCTTGTTGAACTGTTTTGTTATGAACATGTTTATTCCTGCTGTTAAGTTGGACATTTTAACATGGGGCTCTATGGAGTTTTGCTCACTTATGGAAACAGCCTCTAGTGGACACTGAAGGAACTGCAGTTTTTGGGACTAATGGTCCCCAAAGTTTGTGCTCTCTGACGATCAGAAAACACTTCATCTAAAATGTCCTTTCAGACCACAGGACTTATAACAGCCAGAGTTTTAGCAGCTGGTTTATAGGGGTGGGAGAAAAATTGATTCACATAAGTATTGCGATTTTTCGTTTCACATCTATTTTTATGTTCAAAAATCGATTTTTTTTTCTTTCGGATTTTTCTATCTTAAAAACTGACTTACATGTGATGAGTATTTTTTGGTTAAATATGGCTCCTGGAATAGTCAGTAGACAATCATAATCATTTAACATTTTGACTGGTGTTAAAAATGCTGACTAGAATATCAACAATATTGTAGAATCGCAATTTAAATTGAATTGGCATCCAAAAAATCCTAGAAGAATTGAATCTGGAGAAAAGCATATCATCCAGGTCCTTCTGGTTTACCTGCTGAAACCGTGTCCTGGTGTG